TTTTGCAGCTCCGAGACCGAACCATTTTGTGGTCAGCAACAGTCCGATAACCATGGACTTTCGACGAGAAGTTTATTGACAAGGGCTACAAACGAACCGGCTGCGCAGTGGGCCGTCGATGAAAAATTGTGACTGTCCCACGCCGACAGATTGCGACGACACTCGCCAAAGAGCGTCAAGTTGCTAGCGATGGGGCTCACAGTGCGGTGCTCGAGCGAGAGGAACACGTGCAGCGAGACATGGCACACACGATACAACGAGGAAAAGCGCGGGCGAGCCATTGGCTCCTTGGCCGCGAATACACGAGACAAAAAGGGGGGGGGGGTGTGATGAGGCATGGGGCCCCGGCCAAACCTCGTGCTCGGGAATAAAGCGCCATCAAAAACTGGCGGTCGACTTGGTGGCCGGACCTAGCTCCGGAGCAGAGGGGTCAAGGACGAGTGGTGTCAAAGAGACGGACGACGTCTTACGATATTTTCTTACTCGGCACCCATTGCAGCATTGCGGGCGTGCATGGGACAAGGGAGATTTTCCAACAAGAGAGGTGAGGTGAGGTGAGGCGAGAGAGTTGCCCCCCTTCCCCCCCCTTCCCCCGGCTCTCAAAGTTTGGGCCGCAAAAAAAAATTGCAAAGACGGCTTTTGTTGCCGTCGATCTTGATCGTCTGGTAGACTGACTGACTGGATGGGGCAGCCCCCTTGTCCACTTGGGGCTGACAGCGGCAAGGGTCGAGCATCCATCGTGAAATGCCACGCCCGAGCCAGGCCAAAAGAACAATGACGATTCACTCTTGTCGATTTCTGGGGAAGCCGGACAGAGGGGCGCGCGGCTGAGGCGGGTGAGAATGTGTTGAGCTGACACTACCTGGGCTAGTCCATGTGCTAACAACCCAGCCACCACCTTTCCACCCGTCGAAACAAGAAATTACTGCTCACCCATAGATGAGAGACAAGACCGTCCGCTACCGTCGGATCCAATCGCTTCGGGCACAAGAGAAGAAGAAGAGGAAGATGATGATGAAGAGCCATCAAGACCATGACCGATCCGCCAACTCACCCCCTTTCCCCCTTTTCCCCTTTTTCCTTTTCCTCTCCCTATTCTGCCCTTCTGCGTGCGCCCCCCCTGGTTGTCTCTCCTATACCTTTTCAGTCCCCGTTGTATACCCCTATTCCCCATCTCTATGGCTTCTCAAACTATCTCGAACTCTGCATCCTGCTATTGGAATCTCTTGGCCCTCTTTATATCGTGCTTTGATTCTCCCCGTCTCTCCATGAGCGGCCCCCACGCCCCTTCCTTTCCTTCTTTCCCCAATATCTCTCTTGGTCGTCTTCGTCCCCGCCTGATCTTCTCTTGCCCTCTTTCCCCTTCTTCCCCGTAGCTTGCTGGACTCGCTGACCCACGCCGTCCGGCAACTTTTATGTGCTCAGGCCAGTCACGGTGGCCATCAAGCAATCACCTCTGTGCCAATCACTGGGAACCCCCCTCCCACACCCATGACGCTAACTAAAAGGGAGGCTTGAGCAGCAAGTGCTGTGCCAAAACGAGACGTCATGGTTTTTTGCCGCCGCCACTCGACCGTCATGGAAACTCTTTTCGGTTTACTCGAAATGGACTCCTAGGCACGTCTCCCTCGCGTGCTGTACTGTGTTCGCACTCCACTACGAAACTACATACCAATGATACTCCCCGTACAGCACTACCACACTTGCCTAGCCGATCATTTTCGGAGGGTGTGGGTGGCGGTGTTCCTCTCTAGGCTCGGACGGCCGAGGTACGGCCTGGCCACTGGGGTTTTGCCCTGCCATTCCTAGACGAGCCGACGGGACAGACTGAACTTACACGGATGCTACCGATTGCCGCAACGGGTCTGCTCAACTCAACCGCCTGAGCACAGAGGAGCGGCAAAACGTGAGAGGGAGGCAGAGGGAGGTACCCTACCATGAATGCTGTCTCTGTCTGCTGCTGGTCGAGTTTGAATGGCCCTATACCTATTTCTACACGAGTGTGTGGGTGTGGGTGTGCGCCTTGTAAGGCCGTCCCCCCCTTTTCGCCGGCACAAGCCTTTCCCGTCGGTTCGAGTCACCATCCACCCACCCATCGACCATCGACACGTCCCTCGGTGGTCCTGTCGGGTCTAAGCCGCTCTTGTGCGTTGGGATTGCATTGAAAATGGGGCTCGTGTGCACCGCCGCCTCCCCCCCTTCTCACCAGGGAAGGGCATTTGCTGGCTCCATCGAAGACGGCTTGGATTTGTTGTTCCCTTTTGCATCTGGGAGCTTGTGGCCGTTATTCCCATGGCAACCTTTGTCGTTTTAACACTTTGTTGCTACACATCCACCCCCTTTCCTCGTGTGTTTTTTTTTATTTACTTTATGCTCGGCTTCGTCCGCCTCTGGGTGCTCTTTTGTGCCCCTTTGCACGACTGGGATCCATCCGAGGCCTGCAGCAGCCAGACCCTCCCCTCTATCCCTTTCTTGGACTTTGTTCAAAAGTAAGAGAGGCGAAAGGAAGCTTCTTGCTCTCCTCGATGCTTCTCATGCTCTTTCTTCCCTTTTCTGCTCGGGATGAAGGGCTGCCGAGGACTTGTCCTCGTCTGGATGCGGCTTCGTCCCTCCCACCACCCCCGGTCCACGATCCCGTGATGGTTTCGTACACGTACAATCAATATATCATACACAGGACACATGCGTGTGGGCAGACATGCATATGTGTGCGTGTGTATGTGATATATATAGTGCTGAGATCCGTTTGGCTCTGCACTCAACACGTACATACATCTCCCGCCTATATCTTGCCCACGATATATCCAAGTATTCCGTAGCGCGCACGCACGCGCAGACGTCAAGCCAACCAGTCCCGTTCCCTGCCCCCCCCCTTCTCTCCCTCTCCCCTGCCCTGCCCTTCAAATGGTGGGGAGACGTATCTGCGTCTATCGAGGCTGGCGGGCGGATGGTAGGCAGCATGGACCGGCTGCCCAGTCCAGATCGGGGAGTCGAGAGTGAGCGAGAGAGCGCTTGATCCTCCCCCGCCCCGGCCCTCCACGATGCCCTTAGCTCCGGGGAAGAGCCCTGTCCTTATTCGCGAGCTATGTATAGGCGGGAGGCATGGCACTGGCGCATGCGTACGAGGAAGAGGCATTCGTAGAGGCAGGGCAGTTTGGGGTGGGGGCTGGAGAGCGGGTGAGAATGGCTGACATGACACGTGCTGACCACTTCACCACCGGTGCTGACCAAATCATACCTGCCTGCACACATACATACATACAACACACATATCCGCCCCCGCCTCGCAGTTTTGTCTTCCACCTTGCCGCCGCGGCCGCCGCGCCCGCGGATGTGGAGAAAGAAAGGTGTGTTGGCGTGTTGGGTTTTATGTTTCTCCCCCCCCCCCCTTCCCCCGCGGCCCTTCCCTCCTCTTCGTCTTCACCAAATCTCAGCCCATCTCGGTCGCCATGAGCCGCTATCGTGGCCTATCTCGCTTTAGTGTCTGATGAGATGAAATAGACCCTATGAACGGACCGGATGATGAACGTGCGAGGGACTAGGGGTTGTGTGTGGAGGGAAAGGCGAAGTATGAGTCGAGCGTTTAGTTCGTCGGCGGCAGCCAGGGGCGCGAATTCCTTAGTTGGGCACTTACTTGGGAGGGGGGTAGCCTCATGGTTGCTTCGGAATAGCCCGGATGCCTCTTCTTGTTACCGCTCGCCAGCAAGCCCATTATCCATCTACAGTAACGTCTTGTTGGCTCGTCCCCTCATCCCTTGGTCCATGACCCAGAGCCTATCGTGGGAGGAGAAAGCAGCAAGGGGTTGAGGGATGTGTGAAGCTCAAGCAAGGAAACAAGAGAAGAACACGATGAAAAGGGGGGGCGGGGGAGGGGAGGGGGGGTTCGCGAATTCGAAGGGGGGCAAAGCTCTAGATGGGAAGGGGGGAATTCTAGCAAAGACTCATCCTCCATGGCTCCTCCCAAATCTCATGGCCGACGGCATGGGCATTTCGGTAGCTTATGCCCATCTCCATGCCCTTCACGTCTCGTCTCCCTGCCGTGTTCCAGAAAAACAAAAACAAAGACAGGCCTGGCACGCAAGAGACAGACGGCACAAATGGATCCAATCAAACTAAAATATCAACCGCGGTCCATTCTTTGACAAGACGATCCAAAAAGTCGCATGGAAAGCACGTGTGTTGCTCGTCTGCGCGCCATAGGCCCGTTGCCAGCAGGCGGCCCGCGAGGTCCAAGAGCAGAGCGGGAACAAGGCGAAGGAGAGTCGACATGCTCATTCCGAAGTAGCCCATCACCCTCTGCGAGAGCATTGTCCAGATAAAATCAATTTTCATGTGCTTTCTGTAGAACTACAAGTTATCGTAGAAGGAGCCCGCTTGGACGTCAGCCGCATCCAGCAACCGTCGACACCCACACGGGCATCCTAAACCAAATCAAACATGAAGAAAAATACATCGTCCGAGTTAAAGGAAAAAAGAAAGAGGGCCAGTCAGTCTTCTAGCTGGCTCCAAAGATCTTGGGGGAGGGGAAGGGGAGTCCTCGGTCTCAGCATCAAGCTATGCCCCTGGAGGAGCTCATCACCGTTGCTGCCGTCCTGTCCCCGGCCTCCCGCATCACTCTCAGGCCATTCGTGTCCTTGTCATCTTCTATAGACATGCAGCTACCACAACCTTGTTGTGGTATCCTCGACCAAAGCCAGTTCTACCAGTGCCTCTGGGGAGCCAAGTGAAAACAACGACGAGAAATATTCGAGACGCAGAGCCGCCGCCGCCGTCATCCGAGGTTCAAAACGGTCCTTGATCCCCTTGAGTTGCAATATGAAATGCAAGAGCCGCGGAGGCACTTTTCCCCTGCCACTTCATGTCTAGTTTGGAAAACAAACCATTCCGGTCCTCTAAGAACGCCGTTGTGTGCCATATGCCTTGCTACGATCCGGTGCGCCGGTTTTGCATGTCCAGCTCATGCGCGTTGTGCAGGCCAGCGCGTCAAGGCCTGGACTGCCTTACCATCTTCGGCCGCCCAGTGGCATGTTATTGGCGTTGACGCCGCCTGCAGGCCAGTGTCAGTTCCTCCTCGCCGCGTCAAAAGGCACGATGCCGATGCCGCTCACCTCTACCGCCTCCACCGCCGCCACGTCCACGCCCATAGCCACCCCAGCCGCGACCGCCGCCGCCGCCGCCGCCATATCGCGTCATCTCAGCAAGGCGAGGATCGATTTGCTGCTTGGCCTCCTGAAGCACATTGACGAGGTCGCGCGCCTGCTTCTGGTCTGTGGTCATACGTTAGCTCTCCGTCAAATCGAGTCAAGATAAGGGGGGGTGGGACGTACTGTCAGTGGTGAAGAAGGTGATGGCGGTGCCATTGGCTCCGGCACGGCCAGTTCGACCGATGCGGTGAATGTAGTCTTCCGAGTTATTGGGGTAATCGTAGTTCAACACATGAGTGATGTTGCGAACATCTTTTGGCAAACAAAGGTTAGCAGGCGAAGGCGGACATGCACAGCAACGTTTCCAGCGCGAGAATGCGAAGAGACGGCTAAGTATATAGACCATCTGTGTAGCTTCCACTCCTGGGCAGACTGGGGCAATCCAAGTGCGACATGTGCCATCCATCCTGGCGGCAGGCGGTCATCGGGTCCACGGGTCGGAAAGCCTTGGGAGACATCTTGATCTAGTCAAGAGACGCCAACTTCCACAAATGTACCGTGGTCTTCAGGACGGTACAAGAGTGGAAATGTGGGCATGGCAGGGGTGCCAGCCACACAGCGGACCAAGACTCCGGGGCAGAGAACCGGGTGGACACGAGTATGTCAGGCAAGTTCGCACATATAAGATAGCCCCTAGACACGAGAGTAAAGCACAGCAAGAGTGTTGCCGGATGTTGCCATGATGTGGGGGCAGGGGACGGGGGGGAGGTACTCACCAATGCCACGGGATGCCACATCAGTGGCAACCATGATGGGACTCTTGCCAGTCTTGAACTGGTCGAGAACCCAGTCACGTTCGTTCTGCTGCTTGTCTCCGTGAATGGCTGGGGGCAGGTCAGAACGGCCAGTGCTTGCGTCCGGTAGAGAGAATCAAAAACTTACACAGCGCCGGCCAACCGTCTTGGCGGAGGAAACGGGTAATCTCATCAGCGACACGCTTGGTGCCGACAAAGAGGAGAATTTTGTTGTCCTTGTTGTCCATGACCTTTTCAAGGTGCTTGATCATGCGGTCTCGCTTCTCGTTCTCGCTGACAACCTCGACAATTTGCGTGATTCGGTGATTGGCCGACAGGTCCATCGATCCGATATTGACCTGAATGAAGTCGTTGAGGAACTCCGACGCAAGGGCTCGGACTTCCTTGGGCCAGGTGGCGGACCACATGAGGGTCTGTCGATCGGGTCGAATCTGCTCAATGATCTTTCGGATCTGCGGCTCAAAGCCCATGTCCAACATGCGATCGGCCTCGTCGAGGACAAGGTAGGTTACGCGGCGAAGATTGGTCTTTCCAGCCTCGAGCATGTCGATCAGTCGTCCTGGGGTGGCAATACAGACCTCAACACCTCGGGACAGATCACGAATCTGGGGTCCCTTGGGGACACCTCCGTAGACGCAAGTGTTTCGAATGCGGGAGGAGCGGCCAAATTTGGTGATTTCCTGCTGAATCTGGACAGCAAGCTCGCGAGTGGGAGCCAACACGAGCACAATCGGGCCATCGCCTTGTGCAAGGAGCGGCTGGGCGTTGATGTGCACGATGGCAGGCAGGCAGTACGTGAGCGTCTTCCCAGAGCCGGTCTCTGCAATACCGACGACGTCGCGACCGGAAAGAGCCATGGGCCAGCCCTGCGACTGGATGGCAGTCGGGGCTGGGAAGCCCTGTGCCTTGACCTCGTCCATGACATAGCGAGGGAAGCCAGCCTCGTCAAAGGTCTCGACGGGCTTGGGCACGTCTTGGCCGGCAATAGTCATCTGTTGTTTGCGGCGGAAAGCTTCCACCTCAGCCGGGGACCGCTCGGACACCTCGGGGCTCTCCTTGTAGAAGGATTTTTCGAACTTGGGAAGAGACGAGAAGTCTAGGGGCCGGTTAGCAGGGATCCAATGGACTCGGGAAATATCGACGTGGGAAGACAAACCCCATGACTGCTTCTGCAATCCAGCACCAAGACCGCTCATGCGGTCGCCGCCGCCGCCGCCATATCCTCCTCCGCCGCCGTAGCCACCGCCACCGCCGTAGCCGTTGCTATGTCCGTTAGCACTGCTGTAGCCATCACTGCGACTAATCCATCTCGTCAGCAAGGCTTCGGAGAGGTCTGGGGATGGAAGGGATGCCGGGGGAGATGGATGTTGCGCCGCTTCTTGAGGGATGCCCGAGCGACGGCTAAGCCGAGCGTCGAGGCAACTCAGTTGTCATGGGGAGGAATGCAAGACTTACCCTCCGCCGTAACCGCCTCCATACCCGCCTCGGTCCCCGCGGTCGCCTCGATCACGACCGTAGCCGCCTGAGCCTCCGTAGCCGCCTCCACGACCACCGTAGTTGGACATCTTGGGAGAGATCTCGACGTCTTTTGGCGGTGCTTTGGTCGCTGGAGCCTGTCGGTCGCGTGATGGGGCAAAGGGAGAAGAAAATGAATGTCACAGATGCAAGGGTTGTAGTCGGCGGAATGAAAACACCTCTGATGACGTGGAAGGAGTGCAAGCCAGAGGGCCGTCGTGAGGCAGTCAGTCGGGATGATGGGGTTTGTTGGTGTTTGGTGCAAGGAAGAATCTCGCCGCGCCCGACTCTAGTTTTTTTTTCCTGGCCTTCCCTTCCCGGTCAGTCAGTCAGTCCGGTCTCCTTCCAAATTTTTTTGGCACTACCAATCGGCGCTAGGAAAAACTTGTCGGCACCTTGAGAACCAAGGCACACTTGATTGGCAGTGGTAAAGCGGACTGCTTATATAATCAGGCTTGGTAGAATCGGTACATTGAGCCAGGTACCGTATCTAATGCAGCTGGCCGGAGTACTGTAATCGGCTAGCAGCCCAGGCGTTGCAGCCAGCGGTCTACCCTATACCTTCACACTAGGCTGATCGAACGGAAAGTCGTACCCGCCGTTCAGACCATGCGTCTCTTTCCTCGCGATTGCCAGACGAGCCATGCGAGAGGAGAATGAACGGTCATCGGATGGAAAACCAGTTTGGGCCGTGATTGCCCAAGGCCCATATTGAGCGAAGCAGCTCCTGTCTTACCTTACCGGAGCAGGGAAAATCATGGTACCAAGTGAGCAAGAAAATCAGGCAAGGTATATAGAATTGCTCCATGACAGGCTAAAAAACCTCAGGGCTGCCAAGCATAAACACAAATACAGGGCACACACGAGACGCCGGTCATCACTCGTCCGTCTATTATTTCCATCCTAAGTCTACGTATATATCCACCCAACTCCAAGGGGAAGAAAAGTAACAAGGGAACCGAGACGTCCCGACATGCCTCCATGCCGCAAATTCTCGCGCCATCTCTACTCGCGAGACACATCGCGACCAAAAGCCTTGGACTTGAGCCAGTCCAGCAAAACCAGAACTCTGTTTCGGGCTGGAAAAGTAGTCAGTTGGCATTCCTTTAGCTGGGCTGGATGAGGAAACTTACTGCTGAAGCACATGGACAGATAGGCACTCCTCCAAAACAAGTACGTCATGCTGCCGCCCGTGGCCAGGTTGCCATTCCACCAGCTGACGTCGGCAACCGCCTTCTCACTGCCAATGTACGCCAAGCTTCCCTGGTGGCTGTATCGGAAGGGCTTGATATCCTTGATCCTCCGCAGCTGCTTCTCGAGCGCCCCAATCTCCTCAGCTGCCTCGGCCGAATTGCCTGCCTCGAGATTCATCTTGCTGCTCAGGTCCTGAATACGTTCCTCGTGGTTCTCCGTCTTGGCCAGGTTATTGAAGAGGCGGGCGAGAAAGTTGCCCTCCTGAGAGGCAACCTGGGCGGTTGGCGCGTATCCAGCCACGGCGCAGTCGCCGATGGCCCAGATGTCGCGCGTCCCCTGTACGACCAGATATTCGTTGACGGCAAGGCCTCGGCGGGAGTCCTTCTGAGCTGGGATCCGCGCCATCAGGTCCTTGACGACGGGCCTCACGGCATTACCGGTGGCCCAGACGAGCAGACCGTAGGGGATGATGACGCGTTCCTTGCTGCCGTCGGGACGCGTCACATCGGCCTCGACCGTCTTGTCCGTGACGTTCTTGACCATGGTCTTGGTCTTGATGTCAATCTTCTCCTCGCGAAGCGTGTTTTCGGTATAGTCGATGAGCTGCTTAGAAAAGGACGGCAGCACGTTGGGCAAGGCCTCGATGAGAGTGAGCTTGAAACGTGGGCTGATTTCGGGCACCAGCTTCTTGATGTCCTCCTCGAAAAAGTCTTGGAGCTCACCAGCGAACTCAACGCCGGTAGGGCCACCGCCCACCACCACCATGTGCATCAGACGGTCCACCTCCTCGCTGCTCTGGTCCTTGAAGGCAGCGGTCTCAACGCAATCCATGATTTTCTTGCGGATTTGTTGAGCATCGCCAATCTCTTTCAAGAAACAGCTGTGCTCTCGGACGCCGGGTATGCCAAAGGTGGCGTTCTCGGCGCCCACACCAATGACGAGCATGTCGTACGGGATCTCCGTCTCGAATGTCGCGCCCTTGATCTCTGAGTTATCCACGATCCTGATGACTTTGCGATCGGGGTCGATGGAGGAGGCCTCGGCTTCGTAGTACTTGACGGCAGCTCGCTTGTGGCGGAGGATGGCGCGGACCGGCTCCATGATGGAGCGGTGCTCAATGGTGCCCGTGGTGCACGACGGGAGCAGGGGGGTAAATAGAAAATAGTTGCGCGGGGAGACGACGACGACGTTGTAGTTTTCGGTGTCGAGCTTCTTGAGCAGAGCCACGGAGCCCCAGCCGGTTCCTGATGATTGTTAGTTGCCGAGCTCGGGATGCGCCCAGAGAGACGGCTGGTGGTGTGGCTCACCGAGGATGACGAGCGTCTTCTTGCTGGGATCGGGCTCGTACTGCGGCTCGGGATGCCGGTCCTGATAGATGACAAAGAGGGTGTAGCCGACAAGACCACCAAAGGAGAGATAGGACAGCCTCCAGGCCCATCTCAGGGTGGTGCGCAGCTTGCCGGGCTTGGGTTTGGGGGCCTTGTCGGCGTAGGCTCTCCGGAAGGCGATGCGGCCGGTGGATTGCAGCTTCACGGCGACGGTCGGCCTGGCAGCGGATCGCAGGGACGTGACGGCCGAGAAGGCTCTGGATGCGATGCGGCCTCTAGGGCCTAATTGGCCAGCCTTGGTCAAGGCCGCCATGGCTCGAGAAGAAGAAGCCATTGCGCCGGGGCTTCCGAGAGCTGGAGTTGCGTACTCAGGCAGGCCGGATGAGAGCGAAAGAGCACGAAAATGGGCAGAGGGGAAGAAGAAGGAGGGCACGGGAGGACAAGACAGAGCGCGCCCGGCGAGCTTGGTAGCCTCGTGAAGAGGCAATTAGGGGTGCGCGAGGTGACGGACGATGTTGAGAATTCCCGAGCTCTGCTTGGAAGAGGACTGCTGGGAGGACTCGCTATCATTTTTTTTAGGCTTGGCAGAGCTGGGAATACTTTGTACAGTACATTCTGTACAGGAATTCGGTTGGTACGGAACCTGGCGGCCCTCCGGGTTCGCGCGCAAAGTCCCCAAGCTGCTGGGTACTTACCTAACTACCCTTAGGTAGGCAGGTACCTCAGAGAGAGGCGGAGGTATGCCGGGTACCTTGGAGGAGAGGAGCTAACTTACCTACGCTTTCCTCCGTTTGCTCCTGCAAGACCATCAACTTTGCTTACGGTGACTCGACCAAGCGCCTTCGTATGACTGTCATCATGTCTTGCCTCCCGCTTTTCGCTGAAAATACTGCGTGGCGGAGGTGAGGTCTTGTCACACGCGGCCGACAGAAGGACGCAGCATGTGTTACCACATGTCCAATGTTCCTTGCCTTACTCATCCGATGCTCTCCGTAGTCAGCAGCGTCCGAGGCAAGCTCCGGTATCCGGCGGCTCGGGTTGGTCCCCGTACTACCTTGCCTTTGAAGCATGCTCAATGATGTGTACTGCACAGGGCTGTTTCCTGTAGGTGGCATGGGGGTAGCAGCAGCACCGAGCCGCCATCCACTTTGAAGAGGGAGCTGCGTCGCACTGCGTTCCGTACATGTACAAAGCCCCCATCGACGGTAGCTATGGGACCGCCGGAGAACAAGGGTCGCCGGTCCTGATGGTGTGCAGCTTGAGCATGCTTGCCCTCTGTTTAATGCATCTTTGAACATTAGTTTGACTGCCTGCCCTACAAGGCAATGGCCAAGATGCTGCGGCCGGCGAGATCTTCCCATCCTGCTGGGGCCCGCGAAGCCGAGATTGGCGGCTACCACGCTCGCCTTCGTCCTCTACTCCGGACTTGCCTGCTCACATGCCCGAAGCCCATGTCTGTTTGGCCGTGAAATCCCGATGAACAAGGCCGAGGTTTCGTCTTGCCCGTACCGAGTAGAACCGCGTGCAAGCGGACAGGACACGGAGGTGAAGGGTAAGAAGAAGAAGGAGAAGAAAATGACGTCTCTTCATCTTGCTTGGCGCGGTCGTCTATGATGTACATTTCCTGTACTGTACAGCAAGGCTAGCTCCGCCACGATGCACACGATGGCCTTGGCCGGACGGCAGCAAGGCAGGAGCCACTTTGCATGGCCCGAAAGGGGAATTCGTCGGCAAGCCGCTTACCGCCTCGCTCGCTTCCTCCCTGTTGCCTAACACTGTCGGAAGTTATCTGCACCTGTAGGGAGTCATGACTAAGGTGGCAGTCGAGGTTTGGACGAACAAGTCCGCCTTTGTTGAGCACGGCCGACAAGAGTGAAAGTCAGTTTCCGATTCCAAATGATGCGTCGGGCCCCTTTTGTGTCGCGAGCGCCGTGGATGCAGAGGCAATTGATACGAGGAGAAGCAGAGGGGATCCCAGGCGCTCGGGCCGCCGTGACCCGCTGCTGCTCGGTGCTTGGGACAGAGAGAGAACGTACTGTAATTACCTAATCCCTTCCTTTGTGCTTGTCTACGGCGAACAAGGCAGATGACGCCCTTTGTGTGCCTGTGCATACGAGAAGCCCTTACCTATCTACCTAGGTAGGTAGGCACTTGGAGAATACCTCGTGACTTACCCGGGACCGGCCAGCTCTCTTCGCTGCTCAGCTCGTGCGACTCCGTCTCAACCGCCTTATCTGCCAATTTGCAGTTCTGCCGAAAATGCAGCCGTCTGTCTGTGTGATGGCCTCGGGCACGGCACTACGCGAGGCGCATTGCACGGGCTTACAGAGCCTTGGCTGTCAGTCTTGGGTCAGAGGCGTGTGATCGCTCGAGGCCTTCCATCGAGGTGGTTTCGAGAAGCAAGCGGCCGAGCGATCATCCGAAGGCCCGGCCCCGGCTATTGATGAGATACGTAATAGTTGGTTGACAAGGTCGACGAGGCCCAGAAAACAATGGAACAGGACGAGAAGCATGTCGACTACGCTCAGGCCTTTGTCCTGGAGCCATCCGCGAAGAACAGGTTGGAGCCTCCTTGTTCATTTGATCCTCCAGCTCGCCCGCACGTCCGCTCGGCGCCGCTCGACGAGGCCGCTCGACGAGGCCCCTGGTGATTCGGCCACGGTGAGCGGATGAAACGGACAGCTATGCGCGGCAGCAGGAGCGGTTCGCCGCCGCCATGATTGCATGGGAGCTCGGTTGCCGTTGGCAGTACAGCACCGTAATGCCTAGATGACGCTGATCCGACAAGCAAGAAGCCCAGTGACCCGGGGCTCCTGGTTGATGATGCCTTGAGCGTACCGAGTTGCCGCACGCCCGTTGGGACATCCCTGCAGGCCGGTACGTGTCTCTGTACTGTATGGGTGCCGGGCCTGCGGGTACTGGCGAGGTACCTGGACGCGCACATCTATTTCCATGCGTCGAGGGGTACGTGCAAGTATCCCGTCGTGCCGCGGAGTGGGTGGGTGCCGGTTTCGAGGTCCCCTCTGTATCAAGGAGGCAGACACTCGAGCCGACGACCTTTCTTCTTTGTCCCCCACATCAACGCAAAGAAAGCGACAAACCCATCACATCAAGCCTCCAAGTCCAAGGCAAACACGCATCCAGGCAGGAGAGCCGAGCCTAAGCCATCATGTCCTTTGCAATCGCCACTTCGGCTCGCCTCCCCCCGCTTTCCCGGCCATCGTCATGCTCTTACGATTGATCCCGCCTCAAGGCTGCCTCGTCGTCATCGCCGGATCCCTGCCGGCTGACGTTGACGGGGCCGTCCTGAAACCGACTGCTGTCACACGCCAAAGCCTCCGACCCCCGCTTCCGTTTCCCTGAGACCTTCTCCCTCTGTGGCTCCGGCTTGGTGCTGGAGGCAGGGAAGCCCTGGACCATGCCCGCCAGCCGTGGAGTCTCGCTCCCACGGACCTCTGGAGACGGCTCCTCAGGCAAGCCGTTGTTTGGGATTCCCGGCATTGCCAATGGCCAGCTTTCTGTCCCTTGCCCCCATCGGTTCCGTCCGTGCCTGCGTCCGAGCCCCTGAGCGGGAGCCATGTCTATGAATCAACCGGTTTCTCATAACTAGCCACGCAGTCTCATGCACCCCGTTGCAAATCACTGTGAGGTTGCGTATTTGCCTATCCTGGGCCGTCGATTTCCTGCTTCGTTTCTTTCTCCTCCTCCTCCACCTCCTCCTTCTCCCCCTCCTCCTCGTTTACTCTCGTCCCTTTCCACCCTCGCCTACGATTTCTTCGAGCGGGCACTTTTCTCTTCCCGAGGCTCATTGTTCCTCTAAGCTTCTTTATTCGGCTCTAATAATCCCTTAATTCTTTCAGGGCCGGCTCCTCCGCCCCGCTCGCTGCTCAGCGGACTTTCGGAGCATTCAACCGGTAGTTCGCTACCGCATCCTTCCCAACGTCGACGCCGTACTCGCTTGCATCCTCAACTCAGCTCATGGTCATGCGGTAAACCAGACCCAGCATGATCTCTTGCTTGTCTTTTCGTTCAACAATCGACTTTTGCTTCGAACAGCCGCCTGTTCGTCAAACGAAGGGGCTCTCAACGCCCGCCGTGCTCGGGGTCAGTCATGGTTCCCGTCGTTGAGTTGCCACAACACAAGTCGACTCGGAGCGTGCCGGCAGCCTCCGAAGCCATGGAGTATCCGTCGTGGACCAGAGATGAGGAAAGCGAGAATGAGGCTCACCATGCCTGGTTGAGGCGAGACACCCATCGTTCTCGCAGCCGATCAAGTAAGAGGCGGGATTCGCCTTTGGTGGCCAGGGAAAACGGCGAGTCGGCCCACGCCAAGCGTGGTAAAGACTCGTCCGATTCCGGTGAAGAAAGCGGCCACGAATCGGCTGGCAAGAAAAATGACAAGACAAAGACAGACAAGTCACCTCCCTACGGGCTTCCGCCGCAGGCGGTAGCGGCACCACCTGCAGTTACGCAACGGCCGCCGTCATCACGACCGCCGCCAAAACTGCCCAAGATCAAGACAGATCTCGAGCCCGCGGCAGCCGTGAGCCCAACCCCAGATACCAAAAATGGAGATTTAGTAAGTTGGCTCTTCCCCGCTTGGGTCTGCCGAATTTTGCCCCTGACACAATGCAGCCCGGTCCAGTCAACAATGCGGATAACCCGCCTCCCCAAGGCATTCCTCCAGAAAGCCCACATAGCCCAAAGACCCCTAAGCCCGGGCCACCGCCTGCCAGTGTAACTCAACCCGTCCGCGTGCCCGCTCCCGTCATCACGGCCCCTCCCGGACCTGCACTCTCGTCTGGGGCGAGAAAGGGCCTGGAACCGCCGCCGACAGAGGTTCCCAAAGTAACTTTGACGGAGTCGAACGCGTCAAGGATGTCGGCCCTACGTGGCCAAGTTGAAACGGCGCGACCAGAACCGGTGCGGGATGACTACCACAAAATCGAAGGCAACCTTCACTCGAGCACGGAAAATGCCCTCATCGCCGTTGGCTCCGTTGGTATGTCGTTTGCTCCATCTCTCGCTGGCCTATGTAGTTTACTTACAGCCGCAAAGGTGCTACAATCATTACCTTCTTCATCTTCTGGCTGGCTTGGAGATGCTTCAAGATGCACAAACGGAAGCAGGGTGGTGACCCTCCAGGCCGGGGGCCTACCCTTGTGCCGTCACTGGACAAGCCCAAACAGCTCATTGTCGGCCTTGCCTCCCGCATCCCCGTGTTGAGGGAGCGGGTCGCCAAGCGGAGCTGGGCCAACATCGACAAGCCATACGACGAAGCCTATTGGGAGAAGACCTTCCCAGTGTCCAGCGAGTCGCCGCAAGGAGGCGGCAAGGGCATTCACGTGCACACGGCCATCACCACAAGGAGCGACCCAGAGGGTCAGAGCGACTTGAGCCTGCCCCGCCAGACGCCGCAGCAGCCCATGGCTTCGCAGCAGGCCCCGTTCAAGACGGGCACGCGCTCGCGGCACCAGCTGTCGGGCATCAGCGACATCTCATCACTGTCGTCGGGCTTCGGGGACGGCGACATCATCATGCCCCCAGCCCACGGCACCGGCCACAGCACCGCCACGATCATCACGGCGGAGCCCCTGGCGGTGCCGGCACCGGTGGAGCAGCGCAACAGCGTCAGCGAGTCGTCGCAGCGGCGCGAGACGGTGTACACGGAGGCGTCGGAGGATCCGCTGCCGCGCTTCCGCACCATCAACTCGTGGGTGCGGCAGCAGTCGGGCCGCATCAAGCGCGCCAACCAACGCGACATGGCCGCCAGCGACGCGCCGCCAGTGCCCAGCATGCCTCCCGAGCAGGACTTCAGGCTCATGATGCCTGACGAGGAAGAGCCCCGCCGGGTAGAGGAGGCGACGGCGGAGGCAGGTCATGCAGATTACAGGAGAGCGAGTTAAATGAATGACGAAGAAGGGGGAGGCCCAGGAGGGGCAAACTACCGCCATAAGAAGAAACAGAAAAGCAATAGGCATACGGCCTCTGGTAGAGAACCCAACGGAAAATGGTGATTGATGATCCGTGGGAGGCGTCAGACCCATAATTACGTAGCCGGCCTCTTGGGAGAGAGCCTGCCTCCCATTCTTATATAAGCTCCTGCAACTACCTGATCCAGACTTCGTTTCCAAAGCTGTTGCGCCGTGCTCCATGGCGCCTTGCAGTCAAGTAAATAGACTTTTTTTGCAACGCATCCGGCGGGACGGGGTGTGGCGAGCAGCTCATTTGAAGGGAAACATTTCCCAGAAGCCAATCTCCATCTACGTCTGCCGCATCAGCACTCGACCAGCCACGACGGACAAAACCGACTCACCTTGGTGGCGTGGATGAATATTTTGACCAGCTCCTCTATTCGGCTCGGCGATTGTAGCCGCATGCTCTCTTCAAGCAGTTCTACGAGAACGCAAACGTCAGCGAGCACTTGAGGATTGCCTTGTCATCCCACCCTCTCCGACCAGAATAGCGAGACCGGCTGTCGCTGGGACAGTGGCAATACGAGGGAAGGGGGGGATGGGCCTCACGGGAGCCGAGCTCAACGGCCTGCACGTAGTCGTCGGCAATGTAGTTCTGGATCCAGGGCCAGTACGTGTTTCCCTCGCGGCGCGTCTTTGGGTCGGCGTCGAGCATCTGCGCGACGGCGCCGTAGCCGAGAAGACACGGAGCCAGGGCCATCTGGAGGGCGAGCCAGTCGTCGCTCTGGCCGACGTCGAGGACGTAGCGGGTGTAGGCGGTGCAAGCTATGTGTGTGTGTGGCGTGCGTGCGCGCGCCGTCAGCCAAGCCCTCCACTGCACGATGGGCGAGTGACGGGTGGGAGACGAATGAAATAGGAGAGGGCGCGGCTGTTTGAATGGCGGGTCGTCGCACCTTGATTCTCCTCTGTGGCTTTCATCTCGGAGAGGGAGACGCCGAAGGACTCGCAGTAGTTGATATGTAGCTGGAGCTCTCGCAGGATGTGCCCGACGATTTCGGTTGCCTGCGGACGCCGCCACCCGATGTCAGCCCACGGGCGTCTGGCTAGAGTCAAAGGGGGCTTGGGGACTAGGAGAGTTTGACCCTGTTGATGTCGTCGACATTTTTGGCCTTGTATGCCGCGAGGGCATTGGCTCTCGCGAAATGAATCTGGGCAAAGGGACACAGGGTCAGTCGGCACAAATCTCATGCAAAGCGTGCTCGCCGTCTGCAAGAGGTTTCGACGCACGAGGTACAGATAGTCCTGGATGATGTACCCCTTGAACGACTCAAGCGGCACCGTGCCGTTGCCAAGAGCCATGACGAATGGGTGGTACACAAACGTCTCCCATACGGCTTTGACGTCTGGCCGGTCAAGCAAGTACTCGACAAAGTAGCCGCTGCATGGGAAGGTTAGTCTTGGATATTTCTCACCACCGAGATCTGCAGCCAAGGTTCGGATGCTCACGGTGAAAAGGGTAGATGCTGGATCGAGTGGAAGTGACCCAGCGGCCCGCAGCCGTTGCCCAACCCGGGGGCCGAGCGGATTCCGGCCTCGATGTATCGGCACGCGGCTCGGACCGCGACCGGGACGTTCTGGCCCTTTGACAAGCCGGATGAGATGGCAGCTGAGCAACATTGAACAAACCAGGTCAGCGAAAAGCATATGTCGTGCGCAGCCTGGACCCCGGGCCATGGTCGTACCGGCCAGCGAGCAGCCGGTGCCATGGGTGCTCATGCTCTCCTGCCACGGGCTCTGAAGGCGCAAAACGAAATCGTCGGGTCCGAGAAGCACGTCCACCACGACTTCGCGCTCCGCCTCGGTCGACGCCACCGTCATGTCGGCACGGAAGGGAAGATGGCCGCCCTTGAGCAGCACCCATTGGGGACCCATGGCCTGGATCTGGCGCCCCAGGGCCTCGACATCGACTACCGACTCGATGGCGCCCTGCGGCGGCGGGACGGAGCCGGAATTGCCGGCCTCGGCGAGGATGAGCTTGGCCTCGGGCAGGTTGGGCGTCAGGACGGTGGTGAGAGGGAGGAGATGCTGGGAGAGTCCCCGGATGGCTTCGTGCGGGAGGAGCTGGGCGCCCGATGACGAGACCATGACCTGCGCCGGCGTGAGTGATGAGGAGGGTGATTTGACGGAGAAACGGGCAGGCGTGTAAGGGGAAGATGAAGGCAGTATCGTACTGGGTCGACAACGAGAGCTCGCGTTTTATGCTTGACGACTTGCCGGGCAATGGCCTCGATGGTGTCGGCGGCCGCGAGCATGCCTTGCAGCCAGATGATATCGCCATCAGCTCCAGGGTTCCATGGCTATGAAGGGCCCGATCCAACTCACCGGTGGTTATGACATCGGCTCCAACATCCTCCAAACACGCCTCCATCTGCTGCTCAACAAAGGTCGAGGGGATGACGTGGATGCCCTTGACGCCTGTCGTGTTCTGGACGGTCAAGGCCGTCGTTGCCGTCATGGCGTAGCATCCATGGGCTGCCAGCACTTTCTGGCCTGCTTCCAAGCCTCTGCGACCCCCCCGGCGTTCAAACAGCATCATGTCAGCCGTGTTTCGACTGCACTGTCGCTCCATCTTGTTCCCCAGGCTCGTCTTGGGATTGACGGCGACAAGACGTAAAGGCAAGAAGCTGTCTGGACACTCACGCTCCGCCTGAGCTGTCGGAGCCGGCGACTAGCAGAACCCTACCCGGAGCCATGGCTTGCTTCTGATGCGGGCTGGAGCAGCGGCAAATGTGTCGATGCTGCTTGTCCGTCTCTTATCCTCCGGGAAGAGACCAGAAGGGGCGAGGGAGCAGGAAGTCGCAAATGAACGGTCGGCTTCTGGATGGGTTGATTTTGCAGGCCGGAGCCAGGTCGGAATTAGTGGGACGATGACTCGGATTGATTGATTGATGATGATGATGATGCCGATGATGGATCCTGGCGTGGTGGTGGCGGCATGCTGGTGGTGGTGGGGCATCTTCCTCGCCCACTGCCTCTTTAATCGCTCTCCATCACCAACCTCTTGAACATTGCTGCCACCAGCTTGCTCGCTGCTTGACAACCTCATGCACAGTTTCTCCGTGGTTGAATTTGTCGTACGGTTAGTTTTTACTTAAGTAAATTAAGCCTTGTAATTTATGCGCCTCGGCTCTTATCCCGGCCATCCCTCCAGCACCTAGTCACCTACAATACGTACACCAACCCCTATGCCGACAGCGAGAGCGCATCCTGTCGAACTTCATTGCCTCCGTAATATGCAAGCGTTCGTGTTCGTCCACGGCCAGGTCGCGGCAGCCGCACGAGAAACCACGAGGAAATATGAAAAAAAAAAGACAACACCCGGTATATCGACGTGCTCCTTTGGCTTCTTACCTGCTTGCAACCGCAAACGCCCCTTGTCCATGCTCCCCGGCATCGCCCTTGGTACTGTAGGAAAGTGATTTGTAGATGACATTGCGGGCTCGCAGACAAATCCGTCACTTCCATTCCAACGTGCGTGCTGGCTCTCATCTGGGCCTCAGTCACTTTCGACCCTCATGCCTCTCATGCCTCTCATGCCGCAACTGGAGCGGCGCCGGCATCAGGTCCAAAGACACCTCGACTGGCTCGCTGATGCTCCTCTGCCTCTCCGTCCTGTCGTCCCCTGAGCTGCCGTCACCGTCGCCGTCACCGTCTGCCGCCCGTCTTCCGTCTGCACCGCCCTCGCCATCATCCTCGCCAAACACAATCTGCCGCATCACGTTCTTCTCAAACAGATCAATCACCAGCCGCCGGACTCCGAGCCGGTAATGGTTCCACTCCATCAAGCCCATCACCTTCTTGAAAAAATCGGTACTTCGGAAGGCCTTTGGCTTGCGCTGTTTGAGCTTTTGCAGCTCTGTCAGCGCCTTCTTGTAGAGCACCATGTTGCCCAGGTCGACAATGAGTTCCAGGATACGCTCGTTGACATCGGCCTCGCTGAGCAGCGGCGCCATCTCCGACTGCTCAAGCGGTGGGCGGGCGGGCCGGGCTAGAGGCTGTTCCTGGGCTGTGCGCTGGGTGCCGAGGAGCCGAACGGATGCGGCATTGACGTGCTCCCAAGGCCTCAGCGAAAACAGCTTGGACAGGTCGTTGGGAATGCACAATCCGAGAGAGGCGCCCATCGATGTTGTGTTGGAATCCCATCCATGTTCCGACAGAATTTCGAGGCCGTGGGTTGAGCGAGAGATGAGCCCCAGGACGAAGAAGGCTGTGCCACGCAGACTCATCACATCGTGCGACTCGGCAATGTGCATGATCCGCTCAACCACGTCGCTCGACTCCAAGAACGGCGCGCCCAGCTCCATGGATCCGACGTTGCCCACAGCCCAGAGGCAGCCCTTGACCTTGGTCATCAACTCGGCGTCTTCCGTCTGCATGCCGTGGTCGCGGATCGTCGTCACAAACTCTTCAAAATGGCCCTTGTCGCTCAGGAGCTTGCAGCCCTCGCGGGTGCGCGTCAGCTCCCGGTAGAAATGGGGCGGCACGTGGCTGTCGTGGTAGTCTGTATCTGTCTCGGCTTGGTCGAACAAGCCCCCGCGATGGCCGTGGTCGTCCGGGTTGGCCAGAAAGGCCTTTGCCAAGCTGGCCTCGATGACACCGACGTACGAGTCGTTGCGGCCGAGAAACCAGTCATCCATCTCGTTGCTGATGTAGTCTAGCCCGTCCAGGTAGTGGTATCCGATCGACGTGGACAAAAACCGCAGCAGCAGGGGCGCCCCAATCTCGCCGAGGTGGTCCAGCGCAGGCCGACACTCGACAATATACTCCAGAAATGCTTTCCTGTTGCACGCGTTCTCGAGCATCTTGACGGCCGTGGAGCACACCTCGATTTCTGGATCGTACAACTGCGTGACAAGAAGCTGAATGGCCCACTTGAAGTCGCTGGCGTTGCCCTGGCCACCCAGGGAAGTGATGGGCGACATGGTGCATTTGCGCAGCGTGTTCGTGGCGTGTATGCGTATGTCCTTGGTGCCGGCGATGAGGGCCTTGGACAGCAGGACGCGCGGGTGGCCCTGGAGACTGTAGTCAAAGTTGGATAGCAAGAGCTTGATGAGATCGGGCCGCTGCTTCAAATCGACAATGTGGTACATCATGTTGAACATCCTCCACCTCTCCAAGAGGAGCAGCCCATTGGAATCGCTGCTGAGAAGGCCTAGCATCGGAAAGTAGCCTCCGCAGAGCGTGTCTGTGAGCCGGTCATGGGCAAACATGGGGAACTGGGCGGTAAGGCCGCTCGTCTGCGAGGGTCCATGTCAGCAGCTGCCCCTCGTCTTCTCGCGCGCGTTTCAACTTGCCGGATCGCACTGGGCCAGGCACTCGGCTATCTGCCTCAGCAGCTTGCTGTCCGCCAGTAACTTGATACCCTCGGGCGACTGGAGCAGGGAATGCATCAGCGCACACCCGGCCTTGACGTACTTTTGCGTGTTCCTCGTGTTCTTGATCTCCGCAAACTTGTACTTGAAGGGCCTGTAGAAGCTCATGATCCTCTTCATGAATTTGGAGGCCTTGATGGCCTCCTCCAGTCGCTTCCCCGTCTGCAAAGGCCCGTCTATGACCTTGATGATGACGTCCCAGTTCCACTTCATGTAGTTGGAGCTGTTCAGGACCTGCGTGTCGATGAGGAGCTGGCGAAAGGTTGCATCGTCAAAGACGACCGCGTTGGCCTTGGGCTGTTCCTCAATCATGCCTAGGTGCTGGCGGCTGTCGCCGGAGGGGTGGGCGCCAACCAAGGATTCGGATGGCTCGCTCCTGTACAGAGTCCTGCTGACGCTGCTGATCTGGTACACGATGCTCGACGCCACAAAGTGAGACGCGTTGCCGAACTGCGCAGCCGCCGAGAACAGGTCGGGTAACAGCTGCAGCTCGGCACTCCACGACGGGGGCAGCAGGCGGCTGGCCAGCTTCAGCACTTCCCCAATGAGCAACGTTGTCTTGCGCTTCAACACGGGGTCCTCTTCAGACTGCGCGATCTGCAAAAGACTCTGTAGAAGCCCGGCCTTGATGACCACGGCCAGCAGCAGCGTCGTGTAGTGGTCAACAAAGTTCTGCTCTCCGGTATCCTCGTCGAGGCACAGCGTGGCGCTCCTCTCCCGGCTGGTGCTTGACTTGAGGTTGGCGACTCTTCCGTATGTCGTTAACCGGCGGCCGGCCAAAAAGGACGTTGCCCATGCTGGCGGCTTGATTCGTAATAAAGAGAAGAACAGGTCCAGCACCGTATCCCGGATGGCCGGGCTGGGAAACAAGATGCTCGCAATGAGCGAACGGATGGGGCGGGAGTCGTACATGCAGAGGGTCATCAGGCCGGACCACGACCTCATGGCAACGGATATGGCCCTGGAATTCTGCTTCAGGGTTTCTTCAGCCCCGGCAAGCTGGTCAGTGAAAGCGGTAAAGACCACGTCCAGGCCGTTGCCAGGCTGAAGGTACTTGCGTCTCTCGGGCGTGTCGAGCAGGTAGAGAAAGGCGGACATCAAACTCTCCGGGGCCTTGTATGTCCCCTCTGCTAAAGCGCCGGAGAGGGGCCCGAGGCCGCCCGAGGCGACGAGCAGGCGTGGATCCGCGACCAGAATCTCAGCTAGCGTCTCGATGCATATGGGCCGTAGCCGGTCGATGTTGTGGTCGGCAACCTGCACACCGGGGCGACGGTCTTCGCTTTGCTCGGCGACGGCGACAATGGTGCGCACCACGGCCCGAGAGACCTCCCTGATGCCATTCTTGACGTCGAGGAAAGCCCGGACAAACTTGAGGGCCTGCTCGCGCTCCACATCGGCTTTGCGATAGTTATTGAGCGACCTGGATGTGTTAACCAAGGGGCTGGCTTCGAGGGGCGTGTTGGGCACAGGCTCACCTGATGACCAAGTAGTCCGTGTTGAGGCTGCGAATCTTCTTGAGCGAAGCGACATCCGTCATGGCGTATCTGGTGGCTCGGTAGCCGGCGGCGACGACCTCGCGGCTGTCACTCAGCAGCATCATCTGCATGCGCAGTCCGAAGATGGACCAGACGAGATCATACTTGATGGTGGGATGGCGCTTGAAGAGCTCGACTAGCTGGTTGGCCCGGCTCACATAGTACTCGGGGGCCATGCCCTCGACCTCGAGCGCCTGGAGGAGCTCAGCCAGCAGGAAGGTCGGGCTCTCTAGCATCTCGTCAATGTCTGAGCCGATGGCAGACCGGGAAATGCTTGGTGGCGAGCGCAGATGGCCACTGGACTGAAACAAACCGTCCTGAGCGCGGTTCCTAGTCGGCGTGGTCGGAGGGGCCACCCTTGAGCGCTGGGCATCGGATATCTTTTGGCGCAATTCTTTGATCCTGGCATTGCTAGCACTCAGCTCTGCCTCGACCCTCTGCCGTTGCTCCTTAGTCTGCTTTGCCTTTTTGGTGTTGAGCGCTTCGAGCATGTTTTCGCTGCCCTCCTTGATCTTCATCTCCCGGTTGAGCCTGTCCTTGAGGGCCGACAGGGTCTGTTCCATGGCGGCGGCGGATCCCTCCTCCTCCAGCTTGTCGGTGACGGTGCCGGAGTAGGCGGCTCCTATGTCGGCGCGGCTGCCGCTGCGGTGGGAAAGCATCTGGCTTCGCAACTCGGAGCTGAAGCTGCCGGGGCCTGCATTGGGGTTGAGGCTGCTGCTGCGGGGCGCGAAGGAGACGGTCGAGGCGGACAGTTTGCGAGGGGGCCCGCCATTGGGCGGTTGCAAGACGCTGCCATCGCGATCGAGGCTGGTACGGCCGGGTTGCTGCGGAGGATTCTGCTGAGAGGATTGGGCTGGCATGGTCATGCGCTTGCTTCTAGGTCAAGGCCACGGGAGGAGCAGGCGGCAAGCGAGGAGACTGTGACACGGTGCCCAACGGACGGGACTGCGCCCTCGGCCGGAAGACGAGCATTCGTTGCTCGCTTGTCGGCCGGCCGTCTGGAGCAAAAGCTATTAAGTCGGGCTGTCGCGAGCCGGGGCCCATTCGATGGGGGCGAGCGAGGCCGGCGGCGGGGGGAGTGGCGGAGAGGCAGTGGCGTGAAATCCAACGGCGGCGAGTTTCCGAGAGGGCACGAGCAGCGGACGACAACACGGATGGAGCAGCTGGGGTGAGCAAGGCGGTGCAGTGCTTTCCCAGGGCCCGAGGGGATGGGGATGCGCAAGCGACGAGAGCGTGGACGGGGCGTTGGAAAGGTATGCGACGAGATGGGACGGGCGGCGCGGGAGCAGTCAGCCGAGGTGCGGACAGCGAGCAATGCGCAGGGCGAGGGTCGTCGTCAACGGTGAGCTCTCTGAAGGCAGAAGAAGGTATGTATGGCAGGTGTTGTCGTTGGTGGGAGCTAGGATGCGACGTTGATGCGCGGGCAGGCAGGCTAGTTGGTGTCAAGCAAGGCGGAGACCTGAAGGCATGTACGGAGTATGTACGAAGTACTTACTAATTATGGGTCTGGCCTCCTTATGGGTGGGTCGGCCTGCCTGCCCGCCATTCTTCTTTGCTTCCTTTAATTACCTTGGTAAATCCATCTCCAGTGGTTTTTCTTCTTTTGTTTTCGTGTCTGCACGTGTATGGGTGTATTAATATTGTGCTGTCGTTTGCCGACTGTTTGGTGCCTTGATTCTATGAGCTGTATACTCAGGCCTGCCACGTCCGCATGTCTTATCTAGCACTATCCGTACAGTTGACCGCTGAAGGCAGGGCAAACATGCAGGCCGCAATGCAAATCCACCCTGCGGAGGCTTCCAGCTCATTCACGTCTGTCCCCTGGTCCTCTAGTCCCCTGGTCCCCTGGTCCCCTGGGCCCTCTTGGACGGGCGGCCCGGGACAGGCAGGCAGGGGCACGAGGCCGGCGCCTCCCGCCGCGACAAGACGCTTCGGCAGTCGTTGGGCGACATGGCGGGCGGCGCCGTAGTACTGGGATCTTTTTGTCCGTGTGCGTAAGTTATTAATTATCCAATTCTCCGAGCTTGTCCAAAGGCAGGGTTGGGTTTCGGATGTGCACACTTCCTCGTCCGAGTTACTGGACAGGGAACGAGAGCCGAAGAAGGAAATCAAGAGAGCCTCGCCTACCGCATTGCGACCTCGTCTCCTGCATCTACTACACCATGAACCTGGAAGGTGTCTACGATATTCAAGGTACAGTACCTACCTATCTAGGTACCTTAGATATCTAAGTACCTGGGTACCTAAGTAATTACAAGACTGCTCGGCTAGATAGGCAAGTACATACAGCAATCAGATAAGGCGCCCCCCCCACCGGCGCTGCTCCCGTCTGCCGTGCGCGTGCCTGTCCAGGCTTATCGATGCAGTAATTAGGGGACTTGCATTGGTAAGTACTACCCGGCACAGGTAGATACCTACCTAAGTAAGTACGGAGTACAGTACCTAAACATAGGCAGGTGCAGTCAAATCACTGAAGCTTGCCCTGACCCGCGCGTCATCTCGTTGATATCGAAGTCTGCCGCCGCCGCCGCCGCCGCCAGCAAGCCAGCCAACCGCCAAAAAAAAAAACCCGCCGTTTCCCCCGCATAACCCTCGTCCCCCCAACTCTGGGATTCGGCGGGCTCCGAGGCATGGCCTTTGCCCGAACCCCCCTCCCCCCCGAAAAAAAAAAACGAGCGCATCATCGCATGCCTGGATCCGTAGAGTGGAGTATCCACTGCCATATCAGATAGTTCACGTACGGCTTCATTGGATCGATTGGGTGCGCTTCATGCCGGGCTCACGGGCCCAACACAAACGCCTCCACCGCCCTCGCAAGCCCATCTCGTGGTCAGAAGGCAAATAGAATTGGCCCTAGGCGTGCTGACCCCGGCGCCCGAGAGGGTCCCTCCCATTCGGCCATGATCGGCCTGCCTGGAAGACGCCCTCTCGACTCGATGCCGCCAGACACACACAGACGTATATATATCATATGCCAACTCGGGCCCCCTCCGCTCTCGCTCTCACTCTTCCACTCTCCCACAACTTCATCGTCTTCCCCTCCCTTGTCTCGCCCTACCTGCCGCTGTTGGCCAACCCTCCTCCTCCTTCCAAGAGACGCCGTAACTGATACCCTGCCCTCACTTACACCTCCTCCCCCTCCTCCCCCTCCTCCTCTTCAAGCCCACGACATCTCTTGCCCTCTCCCCAGTAAGCCCCCTTCCCGGACATCCCACCATGCCCTACGTCTCCGCTGCCCGCTACGGCAAGGACAATGTCCGCGTCCTCAAGGTCACCCGCGATCCGGCCACGGGCGTCCAGGCCGTCACCGAGATGACCGTCTGCTGCCTCCTCGAGGGAGACATCGACTCCTCCTACACAAAGGCCGACAACAGCGTCGTCGTCGCCACAGACTCCATCAAGAACACCACCTTTGTCCTGGCCAAGCAGCACCCCGTCACGCCCCCGGAGCTCTTCGCCTCCATCCTCGGCAGCCACTTCATCCAGACCTACAGCCACATCCACGTCGCCCATATCAAGGTCGTCACCCACCGCTGGCTCCGCATGGACGTCGACGGCAAGCCGCACCCTCACAGCTTCGTCAAGGACGCCGGCGAGACCCGCAACGTCGAGGCCTGCGTCTCCCGCCGCGACGCCATCGCCCTCACCAGCGCCATTGTCGGCCTGACGGTCCTCAAGAGCACCGGCTCCGCCTTTCACGGCTTTGTCCGCGACGAGTTCACCACCCTGCCCGAGACCTGGGACCGCATCCTCTCCACCGACGTTGATGCCAGCTGGAAGTGGGCGCGCTTTGCTGACCTCAAGGCCGTCGAGGAGAGCGTCCCCAAGTTCGACAAGGCCTGGGAGACGGCACGAAACGTCACCCTCAAGCTGTTTGCCCAGGACGACTCCGCCAGCGTCCAAAACACAATGTACAAGATGTGCGAGCAGATCCTCGACGCTGTCCCCGAGACTGACAGCGTCGCCTACTCGCTGCCCAACAAGCACAACTTTGAGCTCGGTGAGTCCCCTCATTTTGCCAGCACTCTCCCCTCTCTCATCTCAGCGTAGCCTTCCCCTCGCTCTTCCAGATGACTGACCTGTCCCGTAGACTTGAGCTGGCACAAGGATCTGCAAAACACTGGCGCAAATGCCGAGGTCTACGTTCCCCAAACCTGCCCCAACGGCCTCATCAAATGCGAGGTTTCCCGCTCCTAGCTTTCCCCATCGAAAAATGACAGATCAACGGGGAGGGTTGAGCGGAAGCAGTACGGCACGGCGTTGGAGGATTGGCTGCTTTTTTCTCGCTACATCGCACTCTGAGTCTTGGTCTCGACTTTCTTCCGGCTTCTTTCACATCTCCTCTTATATGTACACGTATATACAAACTATGAACACATACATATGCATATACGTATCGTCATTCCCTTCCGTTGAGCCTTGACCCATCCGACTCGACGAGCCGGCATGCTCTAGGGACAACTCTGTGCAACCGGGACTCTCTGTTCGCTGTGAGCATTTGGAGACAGGCCGACGAAGATACAGGTTCCCTGCAGATTGCCAAGATTGGAGCATCTCGGGTCACGTACAAGTCGATAACACTCATCAGTGCACGTGTTCCCTATATAGTACAAAGAGTACAAGGCTTTTGTCGGAACACCCAATGCCATGCATACTGTCCCACCCGGCCAGCGATCGCCTCATAACCTCTGTGTGTCTTTTTGCCGAATCACTTCGACCGCCTTCTCCCAGCCCTCGCTGCCGACGACGACGCCGCCGAAGCGCATCAGGTTTTGCTTGTACGGATGCGCCTCGCCCTCAAAGGCCTTGAGCCGTGCCAGTCTCTTGTCCCGCAGCCTGTTCTTGGGCAGCATGCCGCGCACCGCCTTGCGCAGCACCTCGCTGCCGCCGTGCTTCTCCATGAGCGCGTCCATGGTGAGGGCCTTGAGGCTGCCGGGCCGGGTCGAGTGCCGGTAGTACATCTTCTGCCACTTCTTGCGCCCCGTTGTGTGCAGCGCCGCGCAGTTGGTCACCACGACGTAGTCGCCGCAGTCCGTGGATGGGTCGAAGATGGGCTTGTGCTTGCCCATGAGGATGACGGCGATTCGTGATGCCAGGCGGCCCAGGGGCGGGGGCGTGATGCCGGGCTGCGTCGTGAGGGTTTGGTGTGGAGTAGATGCGGAGATGTGGTGCCAAACTCGAGAGTAGGCGAGTCGAGTCTAGGTGAGAGCGCAGAAGGATGAGAAATGAGAGCTCGTTCAGAGGACCAAGGCTTGTTCACTTACCAGCCCCAAGGTTTGGGACATGATGCCGGCTTACGGAGAGGCGCACCTGCCTCTCCCTGGGCAGGGCCGCACCGGTCTGAGGGGATGGCAATTGCTTCGTAAGGCCCGAAGCGTGCGGCTGTGGATGAGTCGGAAAGCTCTCAATTGCCGCCCAAGCAAATGGCATCGAAGCGCAAGTTTGCCTACCTAGAAAGAAGAGAGGCTTGGTTGATGATGACTCAGCCATCCAGAGCCTGGAGTCACATGACTCGGCGTTCGGCTCTGGCCCGTGAGGACAGGCCGGCCCCGCCCCACTCGCCGCCTCGGAACGTTACCAAGCGTTGGCGGAGCCCATGCATTTCAAAGCAGCCACGCAGTGGCTCTTAAAAGCACAACACACAGAGTCACACTGGCCGCTTCGCTTGGCCTGTTGGCTGGCTACTCGACACACAGGTATAGATCTTCGCGCCTTTGTCCCCCAGAGAAGCCTCATCCACGTTAGACTGCCGCTTAAATCCAGGCGCGACCTTTATCGCTGACTGATGACGAGCTCCAGACGCAATGACATCAAGTCACGCCTACCAGGTCCGTCAAGTGGCCCCTTTCAACATTGCACGCAAGAACATCGCAGTGAGCGTGCAAGACAGTACTCGGACAGGCCTGTTTCTTGAGTCTGGTCAGTGAGGCTGATGAAACGGGCGGCAAAAAGGCCCTCTTCGCCGTGCCGTTGTCCTGCGACGGCTGTGTCAAGGCAGTTTCAGATCAGCTCTACAAACTGGGTGGCATCACCAAGGTGGAGGGCAACCTCGAAGACCAGCTGATATCGGTTGAAGGCTCGGGTGAGTCTTTTTGATGGAAACCAGTTGAAGCCCTTCCTCTTCTTCTTTCTCCCTTGGTTCTGTGGCTAACACACGGCCCATACTTACAGCCGCCCCGTCGGCCATGGTCGAGGCCATCCAAGCAACAGGAAGAGACGCAATCCTCCGCGGATCTGGGTCATCAAACAGTAGGTCCTTTGTACACTGGAGCCGGATGTGCCACACGCCATGCTTCGTCGCACGACGTCCCCACCCTTGCGTCCGATTTGCTTTGATCGAATCGGCACTTGAATCGGGCTGCTGACGCTGCGGGTTGCCAGGTGCCGCCGTCAGCATTCTTGAAACCTTTGCAGACAGGACAGAGAGTCACCACGAGAACCGGGATCGTGCCGTCAGGGGGCTGGCTCGTATGGTCCAGGTCAACTCGGAAAGAACACTGGTCGACTTGACAGTTCGAGGACTGGCACCCGGAAAATACCGAGCCAGTATCCGTGAATATGGGGATCTCAAGGACGGGGTCACCTCCAGCGGTCCTGTGTGGCGCGGGGGCCAGGAGGAGGGAGAAAGAGGACTCTTGGGAGTGATGGAAGTGGGCGAGGATGGCCGGGGGACAGTGTTCGTCGACCATCGCTTCCAGATCTGGGAGGTCATCGGCCATGCCATGGTTCTTACAAGGCAAGACGAACGCACCCAGCCGCTGGAGAATGACGAAAACACGGTGGTGGGGGTCGTCGCGAGGAGTGCCGGGGTCTGGGACAACGACAAAACTGTCTGCTCGTGTACGGGAAAGACGCTCTGGGACGAGAGGAAGGATGAGGTCAAGAGGGGGATGCTATGATGATTGCCCGTGGGAAGGGGAAGCTCCAACCGGGGCCGGGGGTCGCATTTGAGGCATACAATCTGCGGAATGTCTTGGTTGATCGGCGAAGATCATGGGAACGCAGCACTGAAAGTTGTCGCCTTGTCCAACACGGCTATTGCAAAGCTACAGCCTTCTACAATGGCAGTGCAGATGGATAAATGAAATCCGACCCTGCTCGGCAGACACAGGCGGACAAAGCGGCCGTTGACGTGCCGGATTTGCCAAGAGGCGGCTTACACGGACGCCTCTTGCACGGCGCCTGGCAGGGCAGGGCAGGGCATGGCAGGATAAAGTCCAAGCTCAGCCCCGGGGCCGTCATGCCGTTGCCTTGCCGGGCATGGACGAAGCGCGGATGGACGAAGCGCGGTGGAGCGCCTGACTGCGACACCTGGCTCGACTCCACGAGTACACGCGGAACTCAAAGTCGATTCCGGCCTTACAGCAGCAGGTACTGTACTGTACGTCAAGACGGCGAGGCCCCGCCGACTGGATACCGGAAAGAGCGGCAGATGAGACGGAGAGAGAGAGAGCATGCGAGGCGATGTCGGTTGTCTGCAGGCGGGCATCGAGCAGCCTTGACCAAAGCTGGGTAGGCTATCCGAGCCCGAGGCTGGCGGGACTCTTCCTGTTCTGCTTCTTGTTAGTCTTGGATTCTGTCGATCGCATGGCAGAGTGAGATGCGTCCCTCATCTTTGCCCCTTTGGTCTTCTTGATCCGGGCAGCGCACCAGAAGTGGGACTTGGTGAGGGCTGACAGCTGAGGCTCTCGGCTTGGATGCTTGACCAAAGTGACGGCAAAGTGGCACCACCCCTTGCGTACAGTACTCCTGTCATCGAGGCTACTGGGGCTCACGGGACCGTGATCCCTGTCCAGCAGGTGTACCATGATGACCCAAGTGGTTGAATTTGGATCTCCCCTGCTGCGCTGCGCGGAGCGGGACATGCGGGAGTAGCCCAAGGCGCGATGCAATGCACTCGCTAATGACGGGTTGGACGTCACCAGCGGTGCAGCAAGCAGAGAAGAGGGATTCAAGACCGATCTCCCCGTCCAGGACGTCCAGGACGGGTCAGAAAAGAGGTGTCGAGCCGCCCGGGCTATTGATGGCCGAGACTGATCCAGTCTCTAGCTCGCATCTCTCGGCCGGTGGTTGGGGAAGCTGAAGGAACCGGGCAAACAGAGCCTTTACAGTCGTCCTGGAGCCGCCGAGGCTTGGGTCATTCCCGCGGCCGTCGCATGGTGGCTGTCCAATGGCATCCCTGGGGCCAAGGAAAGCAGTGCCAAGGTGCTGGATCCTCGCAGCCGTGGGCGGGGAGACAATTTTTAGGGCCCTGGGGCATTGGAGCTAGGGCAAGGGCATCTATCTGCGACACCTACTCTAACATACAGACGTACGGAGTCGGCCTCTGCCTGCTGGCAACTTGGAAAGGCTCAAGACAGCACAGTAGGGACTCAGGCAATGAAGCAGCAGTCCGTCGAGCCTTGCTGAGCGCCAAGAGCTGCGCCGCTTGTTGGTCAAGATGCCGCCGCGGCCACTCCCGTCTCTCATCCCCTCTTCTTTTGCTTTTGTGTTTTTAGTGGAAGCAACTCCAATCAGCGGCGGCCGACAAGCTCTCGTCTGAAACGCTCCATGCATCCACGAGGTGGTAGGGTAGGGTGTGCACGACCCCTGACCTCGAGGCAATTGGAATCTGCAGGCGGGTGGAAGAGGGAGAACAGCAGGCCGGCCATGTGCAGTACGTGCGCTTCTTGGCAAAAGCAACGCCCTGTTCAACGTCCGTGTGCCCAGCTGCCAGACCAATCCAAGCAGCAGCGAGGATTGGAGTCGGGCGCTGCTCTTCAATAGCCCCGATCCCGTCATCCAGCTCTTTTCACTCGCCCAGCCGTCTTGCCATGGAGAACTCGGGGGTTTCGTTGTTTGCTCCCCGAACCTCTCCCTCAACACCCGTTTCTTTCTGCGCCCAGCATAAGCGACGACCGACAACTGCAGCCCGTTTTGGGGACCGCAGGTGTGCTGGGGCCTGTTCAGGAGCTTCCGTCTGGCCGAATCGTTGTCGATGCGGGCCAACTGTGCCGTCGTCATTCAGGCGTGGAGACGAGCTGGAGACGAGCTGGAGACGAGCTGGAGCCGAGCTGGAGCCGAGCTGGAGCCGTGCATGGCATTGTTGAGCAGCTCTTGGCCCAATGTCGATTAAACTCAACCATGCGCATGCATCCGGTCTGCCGGCAACATGGGGCGTGCATGTGCGTGTGTGATGAGCCAGGTCGAAGCGATGATGAAGGGGTTGGAGTGTGGGGGGGGGGGCTCCGTCGGGTGCATGGACTGTGCCCGGTACTTTTAGTACTGCTGGTACCTTGCTATACCTGTAAAGATACAGTGGATGGAGACGCCTAGAGGGCCGCTCGCTTGCCTCCAGATGTGCTGTAATAAGTGCTGTGGTGCTGTAAGTACCTAGAGTCTCTACAGTATTACTGTACATGCCACTAGTAGTAACCTACTACAGCTAATGGTGATGCAGAGCACGAAGCCTGCCTGCCATGCCTTATTAGTACTTGTTGCCCACCTGAACTCTAGCACAGCGGAGCCGACGAAACGTTCCAACTGATACAGCACAGACCACACCTGAGCCTTCCACCAAAGTGTGTTCACCACCACCCCCCGCCCCTCCTCCCCCCCTCCCTTACCGGCTTTCGCGACACGTCGAGTTGGAGAATCGCGACGCCCCCTGGTCCCTCCCGGTCTTGGCTTGCGTGGACAACGCACTGTGTGTGTCCGCCTTTGTCTCTTTCAATATGCAGCCAGAACCGTGCGGGCCGCAAGTGGTGCTCAAATCAAGTGCCAATCGTAGCCAAGGCGGCTAATATTGCTGCAACTACCACCACCGCATCACCTCGCTCCGCCGCCGCCTCCACCACCTCGCTAACTCGTGCTCCCTCTCTCCTCCTACTCATACTCATGCTCCTCCTTTGCTCCTCCTTCACCACCGCTGGCTGACCTCTGCTGACCCCAAACGACCGGCCATCTGCTCGCCGTCGCCGCCCCGCTCCCTTCTTTGTGCCCTTTCATCCCTCGTCGGCTCGTCTAATCGCCGGCACCGTCATCCGTCATCAACCGCCTCTGGCATCAGAGACATTCTCTCACCCTGTCTTGTACTTGACAATAATCGAACCTCCAACCGGGCTCATTCAAGTCTTCGTTGCCGTCTGCTGCTTCACTCCTTGACGGCGTCAATGATCCTTTCTTCATTCATCCCGTCCGCATGAAAAGAAGCATCACAAAGGAACTTGACAGCACGGGCGCTATTCTCCGGCTGGTCCAGAGTTGTTACGCCGCACACCTCTCGTTTGTTCTCGGTCCTATCCAACGTCGTCCAAACAGCCCGAAGCCGGCTACTCGATTTCTCCCCTCGCACACCCGTCCAACTAGTCGCCAGTTGAGTTTGCGAATCACCACCCCAAGCCCCGTCGCAAGCAAGTCATCACTTCGGGCGAGGATCCCCTGCTATTCTGGTTGACCATATTCCCGTGTCTCGACTCTCGCCTCTCGCGACGGCACCTTTGCAACTCGATAGATCAGTCACACGCCACTCGAGACCAAGAGCGGCGGCCACTCGTCTGCAACGTTAGCGGGCCCGCTCACTGAGCTGGGGGCTTCGCTTTTCCAACGTCGGCCGTCGAGCCATCCCTAACCTGCTTTTCTTGAACTGTTGAGCGGTTACAGCCATGTCTCTGAAGCAGGTGCGTGTCTTTAGGTTGGCTTCCGGTCCACGGCCATCAACGTCGTCTAACTCTTCCGATTTTGCAGGAAATCGAAACCTGGGTGTCGGCCCTGACACTCTACGATAACAATGAATTCGACGAGGCTCTCAGTGACTTTGAAAAGATCGCCGACACGAGCAAAATCCTCTTCAACATGGGGGTTATCCACGCCACCCTGGGCGAGCACGAAAAGGCGGTAAGTGCTCCATGTCAACGTCGAGCAGCAGACGGGACCGGATTGCTGACGGTGTGCTATCCTCTAGGTCGAGTGCTACCAACGAGGCATTCAGCTCGACCAGTATCTTGCCGTCGCGTACTTTCAACAGGGCGTCTCTAATTTCCTCCTTGGCGACTTCGAGGAGGCGCTGGCCAACTTTAACGATACCCTTTTGTACCTCCGCGGCAACACTATGATCGACTATGCCCAGCTGGGGCTCCTCTTCAAGCTGTACTCGTGCGAAGTGCTCTTTAACCGAGGGCTTTGCTACATCTACCTGCAGCAGAAGGACGTTGGGATGCAGGACCTCGCCTATGCTGTCAAGGAGAAGGTAGTGGAAGACCACAATGTCATCGACGAGGCCATTGGGGAAGAGGCCGAGGTCAGTTGCCCTCCAGTCTCTCGAGCTAGGAACCTTCACTGACACGCGACGCAGGGCTACACCGTCTTCTCGATCCCGGTCGGTGTTGTCTACCGGCCGAACGAGGCCAAGGTACGAAACCTCAAGACAAAGGATTACCTCGGCAAGGCAAGGCTGGTGGCGGCCTCGGACCGGTCCAATGCCTTTACCGGCTTTGCCGGCTCCGAGATCAAGAATGTAAGCTGCCTTGCGTATTGATTTTGAAAGTTCACGTAGGCTAATTGCCTCTGTAGGCTGGCAAGAGCGAGGTCAAAGACGACCGGCCAGCCGACAACATCTCCTTCGCCGCCACAAACCTTGTCAAGCCCGGGATTCAGTCTCGGAGACAACAGTCTGAGCCACCAACAAGCCGGAACGTCTTTCCTCCCACGCCGCCTCCTGAAAACGATCGCCCAAGTCGTGGTGCCTCTGTGCGCAACGGGCCAAAGCCCTCACCTGCGAAACTCAGCATCCCGCAAGATTCCAGTCGGAGATACGAGAAGGCCGGGTCGCCGCAGGACGGCCGTCCTTGGCCCACGAGGTCCACTTCTAATACTCCCTCGAGAGGCTATCCTTCGCGCGGGCCATCAAGGCAAGTGATTGATGAAGAAGAAGAAATGTATCCCGACGAGCTGTACGACATGTACCAGGGCGGAGGAGGCTATGCGCGCGGATCAAGAGGAAGCCGGCCTTCGAACCGCTCCAGGCAACCTCGATACATCGATGAGGATGACGAAGGCTCCGACTATGATGATGGATCGCTAGATGGAGCAGAGTTTGAGATGGTGTCGAATAATCGTCGCGGCCCGCCGTCCTACAGGTCTGGCTCACGATCCGCCTCCCGCGCGCCTTCACGGCGACCAGATGTTCGAAAGATCAGGGTCAAAGTGCACGCAGACGACGTGCGCTACATCATGGTGGGCGCAGCTATCGAATTCCTGGACCTGGCAGACTGCGTCCGTGACAAGTTTGGCCTACGACGCCGGTTCAAGATGAAGATCAGGGATGAGGACGCTCCGGACGACATGATCACCTTGGGAGACCAGGATGATCTCGACATGGCCCTCCAAAGCGCCATTAGTATGGCGAGGAGGCAGAGACAAGACGTGGCGAAGATGGAGGTGAGTTTTCCCTCTTGGTCACACTTGAGGCCAAATCCAGTTTGTGAAGCCACATCCAGACGAGACTTGTCTCGCGGTGGCTCGCTGGGTCTATGCTTGGCCAAGGCTAACAAGTATTTGCAGATTTGGGTTTTCGATGCTTAGACTTATACCCCGTGGGTGACTCGGTCAATGCTCGACCCATTCATGCGTACATTACGAGTACACGGTTCACCAACGGACATTTCCCCCCGGCTTTCAGCATTATATCTCGGCCCTATTACACCTTTATTTCGTCAGCGACCTGAGTTGAATTCGGGGGCGGCTTTGAGCTGGCTCATTGGACAAGCCCGCAGAGGGCGTAACCTTGTCCTACTTTAATGGCCCGCGGCTTCTTACTTGCCGCCTTTCCTGAACTAAAAATAATATCCTGGAAATTGCATTCATCGTCGCTACACATAGTTAGAGAGAGAAAGTGAGCGTTCCTGCAGAGGAGTGGAGGGCCTTCAGTAGAATGGGATTGAATTGAGTTGGACGCGTCAATCGCGTTCCATGTTTGCTACAGTCTACGTGTCGGTTTGTCTCCTCCAAGGTCTTAATGTGAACGCAATGTGCGTTGCTCTGATACGCGCGCCGATCTGGACATGGCCATCCAAGACTGGCTGCCTCCATTCATGCTGCGTGCCTTGTCTGCAGCAAAACGAGCCGACCTCGGCCGCTGCTAAACCGCAGTCTAATTAGTGGGCGAAGAGCGGACCGGCGATGTCTCCATATTTTCCATGTCTGATGCGACACCGATACAGCGCTCGCCGCCATCATCGTACATGGGCTTCCATTACAACCCGATGTACGGCCCCGCAGCCTCTCACACCAATCCGCGCGGCTCGGCCGAAACAAAAGCTATGACGCCCATCATCCATGGACACAGACGGTAGACCACCGACAAACTCCTCACGATGCCTCCCCAAGTAGGGCTTTCAGGGCGTCGAGGCGGCAGCGCCACTCGTCCCGGCCCAGGAGCGCGAACATCTTGGAGCTAGTGGGCGTAACCGAGTCCCAAGCCCCAGTGGCGACCAGCCGCAAAACATTGTGCATGACGACGGGGGTGATGTTGTAGTCGCGAAGCGCGTCGTTGAGAAACGCCACGACGTGTCCTCCCTGGTCTTCCCAGCACTCTGTTCGTTCTATGGCCCCGTCCAGCGCGACTAGGATCTCTGGATTCGGGACAGCGGCGGCTATGGAAGACTTGTACAGGTCCGTTGGCACGCGCCAAAAGAGAAAGGGATATCCCTCAATGAGGGTGCTTGGGGAGTTGAAGCGCCCTCCCTGCGTGTTGGTGAAAACATCGCGTGCGTACTTGTCCCTTGCTTCGTCAGATCTCAGAGCCGGGACGAGTTCCAAAGAGGTCTGCCACGCCTTTGGAAGGATCTGCGTCTCGACGCTGTCTCCGCCTGTGATGGTGTCGAGCCTCTGAAATAGAGGCTGTATCAAGTGTTGATTGAAAAGTCGAGCCTCTTCCTCGGCCAGCTCTGGGATGGGATTTGCCAGAAGCGCGTCTTGGTACCTGCTGTTACAGTAATCGAGTTTGCCAAAGTTCATCTTGATACCCCCCGTTGTGAACTTGAACGTCAACTTCGGCACTACCGTCAGCAGCGTGTCGCGAAGGTCCACGATGGGCCACGGGTCACTCACAGCGTCAACCACGTCGTCCAGGGTTCGCGGCGTCTTGGCATTTGACTTGAAGGAGGAGCCGAGATTTGCCAGCCAGGAAAGAAAGGCCATGGGAAAGACACGATCATGCTGGTATTTGGAAAGGCTGGCGCTGTCGTTGCGCTTGCTCAGCTTGGTTCCATCCGGATTCACGAGGAGGCCGAGATGAGCAAAGGTAGGAGGATGCCAACCGAATGCCTGGTAAAGCGCAAGATGCTTCGGGGTCGAGATGAGCCACTCCTATGGAGCAGAACGAGAGTCAGCCAACACCTAACCCCTGAATGGAGATTTGTCCGACCTCGCCGCGGATGACATGAGTTATCTCCATCAAGTGATCATCAACCACATTCGCTAGGTGATAGGTAGGAAAGCCGTCCGTCTTTAGGATGACAAAGTCGTCCTCGGGATTCTTCTTCTGAAAATGACCGTAGATGGCATCTCGGAACTTGGGTCGCCCAAAGGCATCGCCCTTCAAGCGTACCACATGAGGCTCTCCCTTGGAAGCACGGCCGTCGGATTCGGGCCTATCGATGGAACGGCAGGTGCCTGGATAGATTGTCGGCTTGCCCGCATCATGGAGCCGACGCTTCTGAGATTCGAGCTGCTCCGAGGTGCAGAAGCAGCGGTAGGCGTGGCCAGTGTCAACTAGCTTCTGGACATGATGCCTGTAGATGGGAAGTCGTTCAGACTGTATGCAGCAGGTCAGCGTGAGGTCACTCGACTCATGCGGATAGCAAATGGCTCCGACCTGCCTGTAGGGGCCATGCGGACCGCCCCGGTCAGGGCCCTCATCCCACGACAATCCTGCCCATTCCAAGTCCTGGATGACGCGCTCCTCGGCATCTTCAACAAGACGGCTCTGTGTCGACAAGTCAGGACTGGACTGGCTGATAGGCTACGTAGACTGCGGCAAGGATGCGCACAGGGTTGGACGCCAAGAGATCTTTACCTGGTCTGTGTCTTCTATCCTGAGAACAAAGGCACCGCCCTTGGAAGCGCGGGAGACCAGGTTGTTGAAGAGAGCGGTCCTGAGGGATCCCAGGTGCAGATAACCCGTGGGCGACGGCGCAAAGCGTGCCCGGATCGGGAGATCCGAGCTCTGGCCAAGAATGGTGCGGGTCGAAGCATGGCCGGGCGGTTGCCGGAGAGGGCTTCTTTTGTTTCTCAAGCCCCTTAGCCCAGACGCGGCTTGGCCCGTCTTGCTGGAGTCCACTATGGCCAGCCGTTGCGTCTTGCTCGAGGAACCGCCGCCATTCTCTTCGAGGCCGGTTATGGCGGCGCGACTTTCACGGTGTGTGAGGCGGCAGCAAAGCTTGCCTCGAGGCAACACGTGCACCGAGCGGCCCACTCCTTGGGTGGATATGAGCTCCCACCAGCGGCGACGAGTGGGCGAGGAGAGACGCGGTATGACCGTGGTCATGATGGTGACCAGAAGAGTGTGTGCACACCGGCGACGTTTGTTCGACGGCGGCAGTGGCGGCAATGGCGGCAATAGAGGGCGAGAACGCGTTATCGCGATAAGCGAGACCGGACTTGGTCTTGTACTTTGAATCCGGTTCTTTGAATCACCCGACAAGAGGGCAGAAAAGACAGACGCATGGTCTCAAACACGATCGACTAGGTAGTCGACAGCTGAAACGTCATCAGTATGGCAGAGGGGCGTTGAAAAATCTAGAATATTGCCATGCCGAGAGTCGAGGGCCATCCGGACCAGCACTGTAGATGGTACGGATAAGTACGAAGTACATAGGTACTTCGCCAGCCGATCAACCCCGCGCTAATGGGCCAAAACTTTTTTTAGCATCTTTTGCCGTGAACTATTATCGTTTGTCTGATTGCCGTTTTCCGTACCCTCACTTTGCATGGCATATCTGCAGTACCTCGATACAAAACAAATTCTCGGTAACCAGACGCAACTTCAGCCAGCATTTAGGATAGTCATCGTTTCGCACAATGGCTGCGGATGCTCCGAACCCGGGGGCCATGGGCGAGGAGGAGGTTGATCTCTATGGTATGCCCGCCCCAAGACCCTCGACTCCAACGGCCTCCCGTCTCACCACGCTCCGCAGAGCTGCTGTCCATCGAGAGAGATGCCTCGCAAGATCAGATCAAGAAGGCATATCGAAAGGTGCGACTGCTGCCTCCCTCGCCCTTCTCCTCCGGCCATCGCAAGACTGACGTCGAGACAGGCCGCACTAAAATACCACCCCGACAAGGCCCCGGAAGACCAACGCGGAGAATCCGAGGTCAAGTTCAAGGAGATCACAAAGGCATATGAAATCCTCAGCGACGATCAAAAGCGCCATCTCTACGACACACATGGCATGGCCGCTTTTGACGGCTCCCGAGGCGGCCCCGGCGGGCCCGAGGTCGACCTCAATGACATTCTTTCGCAAATGTTTGGCTTCAACATGGGGGGGCCCGGCGGTCCCGGCGGCCCGCGCCGGCCGCGCAGGGGCCCCGATGAGGAGCAAGAGTACAAGGTGACGCTCGAGGAGCTCTACAAGGGCAAGACGGTCAAGTTCGCAGCCAACAAGCAAGTCCTCTGCGCCCAGTGCAAGGGCTCGGGAGGCAAGGAAAAAGCAAAGCCGGCGGCATGCGAGCGCTGCAAGGGCAACGGCATGGTCGAGGCCATCCGGCAAGTCGGGCCCGGCATGATGAGACGCGAGGCGGTCCTTTGCGATCACTGCCAAGGGTCCGGAAGCTTGTACAAGGAAAAGGACCGCTGCAAGAGGTGCAAAGGCAAGAAGACGGTGCAGGAGAAGAAGGTGTTGGAGATTTACATCCCCCGAGGATCCATGCAAGGTGAGCGGATCGTGTTGGAAGGAGAAGCGGATCAGTACCCCGATCAGACCCCCGGAGATATTGTCTTCACGTTGGTGGAGGAGCCACATGACACCTTCTCGCGGCTCGGCAACGACTTGTCTGCCGAGCTCAAAGTCACGCTGGCCGAGGCCTTGACTGGGTTTTCAAGAGTCGTACTCAAGCACCTCGACGGCAGAGGCATCTCGATCGACCGGCCGCGGGGCAAGGTGCTGAGGCCGGGCGACTGCCTCCGGATCGAGGCAGAGGGCATGCCGATGAAGCGTGGCGAGACCAAGGGCGACCTCTATCTCCTCGTCAACATCGAGTTTCCCGAGGACGGCTGGTTAAAGGACGATGCGGCATACGACGCGATCCAGAAGATGCTGCCTCCCCCGCAAGCGCCGATCGAGGCGGAAGAGGTCGACGAGGTCGAGTACGAGGACGGAGCAGACATTGACAAGGTGAGTGAACCGCTGAGCCCCTTGCCGCTGGCAGAGCTGTGAGACTAATATGTGAGTAGATGGGTGAGAACTCGGGAGATCCACGATTCGCCAGCGAGTGGGAAGACGAAGACGTCGAGGATGGGCAAGCGCAGTGCCAGACGCAGTAGCGATAGAGTACATGGATGCGCGGGAATAGAGCTGCAACGGGGCGAGTGGGAGGCTCCGAGAGGACAGGTCCAGGCGGACGCATTCAGGGGTTTTACGGCTGATGAAGACACCCTCGGGATAGAGAGAGCCAAGGGGGCTTTGGGAACAGCGAGAAAGGGACGAGCGATGCTGGCGCCGACAGGAGCTCTTTTGCCTTGGGGATCCGTGGTAGCGGCTCGGTTTCAGGCACACGGGCATATACATGAACCCTTGATGCCTCTCTGCCTGTTCCCCCCCGTGTCCGCCCGGCGACACGGATGAGGGGTTGGCCGCCGTCTTTCCGGACCGTGCCGGGCATGGGGCTGCGTGGTTGTCCTCGTGGATGGTACATGTTTGGCTACAGCCTCGCCAACGTTTAAGCACATCATGCACCGGCGTTGGGAATATACAAAACCTAGCATTTTCCACTCTGTAACTCGTACCCGAGGCGTGTGTGGATGGCGGACGGAAGAGTGACGGATGAGATGCCACCGCTGACGTTGTGCCGAGCCCCACCAGGCTTAGGCATCCGACGACCTCACCACTTGTCATGTCCGGCCCAGCAGTGCGAAAGCAACGTCCTCCCCCGCCTCTGACTTTCCAGAGATATATTGTCTGCCTTCTGGATACGCGCGGTACACGGATCCCTTGCTGTTCTTCTCGGAGAGCAAAGCCTGAGGCGAGCCTACCTCCCCTCCCCCCTTCCCCCTCCCCACCCCGCTCTCAAGCGCGCCTCTCCATCGGAAGCCCCCGCGAGTCTCCCCAACAGCCTCGCCTGCAAATGTCGCGCAAGGGCGTCGGCATCGGCGCCTTCGACCGGTCGCGGCTCACGTCGGCGCACTACGCCTCGCACGGCTCCTCGCTGCGGGCCACCAACGCCCAGGCGCTCGAGACGCAGCTGTCCGTCTTCCGCTCGCTGCTGCAGCAGTTTGCCCAGACGCACGCAAAGGACATTCGCTCCGACCCGTCGTTCCGCGCCCAGTTTGCCCGCATGTGCACCGCCATTGGCGTGGATCCCCTCGCCAGCAGCGCCGGTGCGAGAGGAGCGGGTGGTGGTGCCGGCGATGGAGGGGCAGGGTCCATCTGGGCCCAGCTGCTGGGCAAGACGGTCAACGACTTTTACTTCGGGCTGGCGGTGCGCGTCGTCGAGGTTTGTGGCGCGACCAGGGGCGAGAACGGCGGGTTGATTGGGCTGCGCGAGCTGAGGGAGCGACTCTCGCGACGGGGCCCGGCCGACGAGGGTAACAGCAACAGCAGCAGCAGCAGCAGCAGCAGCAGCAGCAGCAGCGCCGCGTGGTCGCCGGACAAGGACAAGGGCAAGCAACGGGGGGAACAACAACAAACGTCGGAAGGCGGTGGCGACATCTCGGAAGACGACGTGCGGCGCGCCGTTGAGACGCTCAAACCGCTCGGCGGCAGCTACGGCATCGTGCGCGTCGGGCGCAAGGAGTACATCCGCAGCGTGCCGCGCGAGCTGAGCAGCGACCAGGCTGCCGTCGTCGAGGCCGTCCAGGTGCTCGGCTACGTCAGCGTCGGCATGCTGCGCGACAACCTCGGCTGGGAGGCCGCCCGCTGCCGCACCGTCATCGACGACCTCGTCGCCCAGGGCATGCTGTGGGTCGACCAGCAGACGCGCGGCGAGTGGGAGTACTGGAGTCCCAGCTTCATGGTCGACACGGATGGGAGCGTTGTCGAAGGCGGCGGCGGCGGCGGCGGGTGACGGGAGAGGAAAGAGGCTTTGCCCTCTCCTCGTCCAGCCACTTACCAGTTCGCTCACCATAGGGAGAGCAAATCCCGTCTTACGAGATAGGCCTCTCGATCGAGTCCACGACGACAGAGAAACTCCCAACGCCACCGCCGATCCCGATATCGATCTATTGGCCACTCCAGAGCAGCTGGTCGCTATCGGGACCTGTTATGGGTGCAGAAAGATCATCCTTCTCGACCAGGCATCTTTGCTAGAGGAGCGACAGCCTCGTCGTCCCAGGCTTGCACAGCCAATGCCATCTCTCTGAAGAGGCCGCCACCTCAACAAACAGGTCACCAGTCACGGACATGCTGTATAGACTTATCCTTTTCAGGAGAAAAACACGGATCCAAGTTGGACAAAAAGAAACATATCCAAGCCAAGGTTTGTACAGAGCGTCCCTGCCCGACCAGACTCCGTCACCGCAGTCCCGAACCCTTCCCATGCTTTGCGTGGTCTCCATGCGTCGGCGGTCTTGGAAATCCGCGTCGCACGAAGCCATCTGGACAGGGCATATACGGCGGGCAACTCCACCACGTGTTTCAACCGGAAAGGTGGATTGCCAGCCACTCTTCATCTTTCTCACGGGACGGCCCACCTCGTCCTTTTCCCGCGCCAAGCGTATCCCGCCGAGATTTCGCCTCCCTCCGCTCTCCAGTCCCTGCCGAACGCCCGTTTCGCGTCGCCCGATTCGCGGCACGAGCTCAGTAGGGAGGGTTCGGGCCCATGGGGGGAGGGGGGTAGTCCTCGGGCCGGCCCATGCCATTGTTGCGACCGTCGCCAAAGTGCTTCCTGCGCAGGGCAGCGAGGCGCTTCTTCTTGGTGACGGTGTTGATGTAGGTACCAATGACGAAGGATACCAAGTTGAAGAAAGGCACCCACAGTTCGTCGGGGAGGAATTTCTGGGCGAAGGCGAGGCAGATGGGCGAGGTGACCCACGAGACACGCATGACTCTCCAGAAGCCGACCTTGACAGTGGCGCGAACCTGGTGATATGTGCGCGCGCCGGCAATTAGGGCCATGGCGACCAGGTAGATGCTGTTTTGGATGGGGGCGATCTGGAGCAAGGATGTTGTTAGAGGGAAGAGCAGATATGGGCGAGACGTGCCTCTCGGTGGTCGGACATTCAGAATGCAACATGCCGTATAAGAGAGAGGGTTACGTACAAGCAAGTTGCTCACGACGATTTGCATCACCTTGGCGCGGAGACTGGTGCGGCCGCGAAAGAACTTCTGGAGCAGCCAGATGAGAAAGTGACCGAGGGGAGCGCTGATGAGGGCTCCGTAGGCGGCCATCTTGGGGACACGCGAGGTGAAGTAATGGCCATGCTTATTGCGATCCTTGGCGAGCCAGGACGCGATGAGCTCTTGGGCTCCGGCTAGGGAGCCGGCGGTGAGCATCTTTGTGCGCAGCGGATTCGACTCGAGCTGCTTAATGTATGCCTAAGGGAAGCAAGGCGGCCAAAGAGACCATGTCTTGGGTCAGCGGGTGCGGCGCATTCCGCAGGGCAGCGACATACCGCTAGGTAGCCCTTTGTGCCGGCGTTCTGGAGGCCGCCGGTGAGAGCGGTGCCGACCTTCTCGGCGATGGGATGCTTGCCGCTGGTGCCGGGGATGTTGCCGTCTTCGGGGACGGCGCTGGACAGGACATTCTGGGCCGTCTGCTTGAGCGTTTCGCGCTCGAACTTGACCGACATGGCGGCGACGGGAGACGAGCAGAATCGAGGGCGGGTATGGATGGAGGGGCTCGGGCTTCGTCGACGTCGTCGTCGTCTCCGTCGTCGTCAACAGGCGGGGAGGGGGAGGAATGGCGGCTGCTGCGGTGGTCGTCGTCGGTCAATGTGGGAGTTCGGGTTGCGGGAGGTGGTTGGGTGCAGTTGAGGCGGCCATTTGTTTACACCTCGGGACACGCCAGCCCAGCTGCTGCTGTGGAACCCCCTGGAGGAGGGGGCGGAGGGCCTTTGGGTTTTTTTATGGGGGGGCTGGACGCTGTGGTGGCCATTGTTGGAGAGTACAGGAGATTGTATGGGCGGGCGGTAGAGTTGCGGGTACTGCCGGGAGCGCACCACCCCACACACGCCACAGTCGACAGCGATTCAACGAGAGGCCTCGACGTCTGGATGCCCAAAAGGCGACGACGACGTGTACAAAATGAAGGAGAGGGATCGGGCGACCCAAGGCCTCCTCCGATGGGCTGTTGAGGGCAGCAGGGTTGAGGAAAGGCAAACGGGCTCACCTCTTTTTTTATTTTCTCTGTCCCGCCGTGATTCTCTGTCCCTCTCTCTCCTGGCTCGTTGCTGCCTCGTGTCTTGGACTCCGCCTCTGTCTCTCTATGTCTCTGCGTGTGTCTCGTCTTTGTTAATGGTCGTCGCTGTCGTAGCGTCTCGTCTCGTGGCTGGTGAAGAGGGACGTGGGTGGGAGGGAGAGCTGGAGATGGGTGTGGGGAAAGGGGGGACGCGCCATAATTATCTGTAGCGCCCGTTGTAACTCTGGCTAGGTAGGTACCTAGAGGTAGGCAATCCAAGTATAAAGTACCTGTCCACTATCGAGGCAGTTTCTGTACTTGCAAGATAGTAGATGCTGCTAGATAGTTACGCATCTGGGAATTTGCAGGCGAACACGCTTCTAAGCGAGAGAGAGAGACTTGAAGTTTCCCCCTACCATGTATCCAGGTTCCCAACCCCCCCCCCCCAGCGAGGGGTACCTGGACGGCCTGCGGTAACGACCCGGGGCCGAGGCACGGCTGCAGCCTACACGTCGTCGAACATACAGGTCGGGTTCTTGCGTCTTGTTGATATCTACCTAGGTAGGTAGGTACTGACCATGTACGGATATGCACAGTGCAACTCTCTCTCACTTTTGAAGAGCTTTATCAACGACGTGTCTTGGCCCAAGATGTGTTCCGCAACGCAAGGGTTCCGCCTCTTCAACCCGGCGCACGTTTGTCTATTCCTACCCATCTGGAATTTCGCAAAGCAGCGCTCCTCCAGCCATGGAAGCATCCTCATGCCAGGCACCAGCGGCTTTTCCAGCGCAAGACGGAGGGCCTGGTGGGCGGTCCGAGGCCTCAGATGTCCCGCTGTCGACAACACCTTACTCGAGGCACTTGAAATGCACATACTGGGCGGGAGAAGGGGATAGAATGTGCTGGGTTTCCTTTCTCGAACTCCCATGCCCAAGATTGAGCCCTGGCTGGTGCACGGCGCCTGTCCAACTCCTCGAGTGCCCGTTGAGGTAGAATGTGAACTCGACAAACGGAAGCATTTAGACCCGACCAGGAGATGCTTTCCAACTTCGTTTGGCCACCTCGCCAGGCCTCTTTCCGCCCAACCGCATCAGGCGCTGTCGTAGTCGGCCTCGGCATCTCTTAAATCTCGTCCAGGTCCGAAACCCCCTCGTGTAATGCCTTGCCTCGCATGCCGTGGTGCCTGGGGCAACGGCTTCAAGTCAGGTGATCACGCGTCGCAAGCAGGCAGGGCAGAGCTTGATCGACCTCGCGCGCGTGCCCGTTTGGTCTCGACTGTTCTTCACCTCTTCTGCTCCGCCTCCTTGGCATCGGCCAACCGCACAGCCAGGCCGCTGTGGTCCCTTCGTTTGACCTTTCAACTGCTTCGTCAGTAACCATCCTATTCGTGTATCACATTACCTTCGTTTGTTCCTTGTTGCGCCCTGAAAACCCTTTCTTTCTCAGACCACCTCGAACGACACTCCACCAACGCATTCTCTTTCTCAAGCCTCTGCAAAACATCGACCTTGGACGGCGGGTAACTCTCTTTGCCAGCCGAGCTGGTCGGTTCCATCATCCGTCTTCTTCCTTCCAACCGCACCCACTCTTGCTCATCGCCTTGTCCCGCTGCCCAGCGTCCTGGATGCCTTCGCAAGATGCCTCCCCGTGGCGCGACCAGCCCGCAACGGCGTTCCGTCTTCGAGCCACAATGCACGCACCTCACCATGACGCGCATCTATGACTCCACCCTTCTCTGTGCGGCCTGCCGTCGCCCCGGACCCAGTGGGTGGATCTATCACTGCTCCCAGGATCGCGAGGATCTGATTGAGCACGCCATATGTCGAAGAGAAGTGGTACTCAGGGATATCCAACCCCCATCTGCTTGGTCTGATGCTAACAAGCCTGACCCAGGCGAGTTTCGATGTCCTAGGCCACCACCTGTCGGAACAGCTGAGAATCAGAAGAGGCAGCCCAGCAGCTCGGGAAGACAGATTCAGCTTCTTCAATGAGATTTCGCAGAAGCAAATGTCCAGCTACCGCCCGGATCAAGTGGCGGCCATTCTGCGCCAGCGTGAAAACGTACGTGCCGCAGCCGCTTCAATCTCGCCGGAGCCAGTCGCTTACCCTCCCTCTCATTTAGGTTCAGGCAGTCATCCAGCTTCAGCGGCTTCGCAACGACAGCACCGAAATCATCAATTGCCGCACCTACCCGAGTGTCTTCGATCGCGCGCCGGGCCCCTTTGATTACAAGAAGCCCTGGGTCCGCAGCATTCAAGAGGAATGCCCGTATCGCATTTGTCCTCGTTGCCGGCCTGGGCTGGCAGACAGGGCCTTTCTCGGCCTGAACGCTGTCGCTTGTGGGGAGATTCCCCCAACAGCCGCCGTTGGTTATGGCTTTCATATCATGGGAGAGCGCCCCATCGTTGACGCTGAGATTCTCAAGAACTTGGGACACCGCTCTGACTTGGCCAGTAGAAATGAAAAGGCCGGCTTTTCCAATATCTTCGACTTACCGATGCCTTCGCAACGGCCGACGCCGCCTTCACAAACCCTTCCTGGCAGAGGCTCCTTCAGATCACGCGAGAGTATTCGACAACTCTTCGAGGATCCCGTTAATGCTGGGCAAGCGGCCGGGTCAGACGTCCACGCGCCGCGAAAACCAGCATCGGGAAAGGACGCTCCTGGTTCGCTGAAGCATTCTCCTCGTTGTGGGAATCTGGGGAGATATGCCCATCCCAGCAAAGGCCCTGGTCATGACTCTATTCCGCGCCTGCTCTGGACTCCTCCGCCATCCCCAAGCTCGAACGCGAGTGAGAATTCAGCCAAAGATCAATGGCAGGCCGTGATTCCTGATGGAGGAGTTGCCAAAAAGAGCAGGTTCGTCGGAATCATCACGAATCGTTCTTGGCCTCTCAGCTGCTGACTTGGCGTGACCAGTTCGGCCGCATCGGGGCCAGGCATGGGAAAGTTCACCCCTTCGCCGCTCAAGGTGGGCCATGGGATAGCGGTTCTCGAAGAGAGCGTCGAGTTGGGCGTTCCCGACGTCATCACGCACGCATAAATGACCCTCTCACGCGCGACGGCCACGGCCGTACCAAGTCCGAGGGGTCCGCGGGATGTCATTCTCAGGACAGGGCATTCGGGAAACAGGCTTGCGAGTGGTTGAGCACACTGATATCTTTGGGCGCCTCAGAAAGCATGGTCATTCCTTGAACTTGTAAGATGAGCCACGTCTCGTTATCCATCAATGCCAATAAAAGCTGCACGTACATGATTCGAGGGTGACAATGACAGCACCGTTGCGAAGCCCCTTGACATTCTCGTTTCCCTGATAGTCCACGCGACCGCTAGCCACCTCTGACCTACGGCTAGTCGTAACTGTCCCTGGAGCTCTCCAGCACCTTCTTCATCATCTGGTCGCCGACGAGCTTGGCCTCGGCAAAGCGCGGCTGGAAAAACTCCTGGGTGCTGACGAAGCGCTTCTCCCACGTCTCAAAATGGCCGAGGGTAACACACTCTGCCCAGCCGCGGGCGGCAAAGGTGAACTCGAGGTCGTCGCTGCGGTACATCTTATCGTCGACGGCGGTTCGCAGGGCCTCGTCGAGCAGGGCGGCGTTGCGGAAGAGGTGCTCGGTGACGCCGAGGCGCAGGCGGAAGAGCGGGGTGCTGCAGAGCATGTGGTCGTAGGGGACGATGCCGAGGGCGGCCCAGCAGTCGACCATGGCGAGCAGCGAGAGGTGGTTGTTGGGGCGGGCGGGGGCGTCGGCCGGGACGCCGAGGGAAAAGGACGAGAGGATCGACGGCTCAATGAGCGGGCGGCCGGTGGCGGGGCCAAAGACCTTGTCGCGGGCGGCGTGGACGCGCTCGCGCAGGCCGTCGAGGTCGCCCTCGAGCATGAGCTTGTAGAGGGCCGTGACGCTCTCGGCGTACTGGGCGACCTGCTTGCGGGCCTCGGGGTTGAGGATGGCGAGGCCGGCGTAGACGTGCCACTTTTGGCCGTAGATGCGCAGCATGGTGTTGATCTTTACGTTTTCGATGCCGCCGACGTAGCGGCTGAGCTCCCAGGGGAACTGGCGGTTGGCGTGCCACGCCTTGCCCATGGACAGGAAGGCGGCGTGCGTGACGGCCTGCGTGTCGGCCGTGATGCGGTCGTGCTCCTGCGCCGTCAGGTGGACAAACTTGGACCGCAGGCAGCCCAGCACCGTCTCGACGGTCCGCAGCGCCGCGTCGGGTGCCCGGTGCTGGATGAGCACCAGCGGCTGGTTGTGCGGGTCGACGCCCGGCCCGTGCAGCGAGTGGCACGAGACGATGGACACGTCGGCCGGCAGGTGAGCCTCGAAGGCGGCGATCTCGGGCGACTTGCACGACGTTTGGCCGCCGACAATGGCCCCCATTTTGGTGGCTGCAGTGAGCATCGACCGGCGGGGGAGGCGCGAAAGAATAGGCCAAACTGGTCAGACTCTCATCATGGACAGGCTTTTGGGGCAGGGGGCACGATGAGGGAGAGCGGAGCAGAGGGAGTGCGGGAGGGTTTGCGGGTTCGTACAAGGGCCAAACTGGGCAATGACGCGGTTGATGACCGCGGCCTCGACGCTGTAGATGATGAAGTCGCTGGCGCGGGACACGAGGTGGCCGTTGCGGCAAATCTCCATCTTGTTCTAGCAGAGCAGAGCTTCAGCATCCGAGCAGATGGCGGGCGCAAACAAGACATTCAGGCGACAAGCAACACGAGCGAGGTCGTACTCTTCCTGCGTATTTCTCTTTCAGGCTATCGTATCTATCTTCCCTGTCGCAGGCCAGGATCCTATGCGACGAGGTTTCTACGCGTCATTCATCTGTTTCTGTCGAGTCCACGTCAGCGTCAATTCGCACAAGTAATGTTGCTGCATGCCACAGGGTGAAGGAGGGAAAAGAGAGTGTGGAGTCTTGGCGAATCCACAAACTCTGGGGATCTCAGACAGATAGTTTGTAAAGGTAGCTAGCATTTTCATCAGTGAAAGCCTGGGGCCGGGTCTGGGAGCCGGAACGGACCCCAGATGGCCCCAAGCGATACTCGAGCCAAATGCGCTCTAGTCATCATTGGAAGCAAGGAGAGAGGACAGATAGACAGAAGAAAAGGGGCGACGCGAGAGCAGTCAACTTACCCACAAGGAGAATTGCCAGTCGCGCGCAACGACGAAATCTCTGGCTCCGGTGTCTACTCACTTCCAGCCGACGGCAGACAGCCTGTCGGCATACATCTTCCCCATGTCTCCCATGCCAATCAGGCCGACAACAAAGCCCTCCATCCCGGACGGGACGGCAGAAGATGCAGAGGCCATGGCGTCTGCGGCTCTGAGGAAGAGGAGGAGAGGAGATGGGAGGTTGGAGAAAGAGAAAAGTCTGCTTCGGAGAGATGGGTCTCGCGGCGGCGGGTTTTGAGCTCGTGCTTATGTACGCCACTCAGTTCGTGTTAGCCCTGTTAGCCCCTGCTTACATACCCCAGTGGGGGGGGCACCCTCGTTGCCGCTGGGCTGAGCTTCGAGGGCTGAAGCTGAGCGACCTGCTCGATTCGTATCCGGCCTCCTTACGCCCAGCCGCTTCCTCGCTCCGCTTTTCTTCGGAGATCCGTCCCTACTCGGCCCATCAAGAGACCTGGTCTTGAGCCTCGGGCAAAAAGGTTACTATGGATGGGATTTTCGCCATCGGCTCTAATGGATCTGGCCAGTTGGGCATCGGCCACCACGAAGACGTCTCGGTGCCGAAGCCAGTGCAATTCCATCCCAGCCTGCCATCCGAGCCCATCGTCCAGATGGCCGCCGGGGGCAACCACAGTCTTCTGCTCTTCCAATCCGGCAAGCTGTACTGGAGCGGTGATGCTGCGAGCGGCGCCGTTGGCATAGCATCACCGCCGAGTGAGCCTGTTTTTCAAGAGGTTCAACTCGGTGAGGGTGATGGGTTGCACATGGGGCACGTTGATTCCATAGCCGCAACATGGGAGGCTTCGTTTGTTGTTGCACGGGACCATCAGGGAAGGAGAGCAAGACTCTTCAGTTGTGGGACCGGTATGAAGGGAGAGCTGGGCTCTGGAGAGCTCATCGTGCGCACACCAACTGCAACCCGGATCCAAGACTTCCCTCCTGCGGATACCGAAATCGTGTGTCTGGCGGCTTGCATGGGACATGTCGTGGCCGTCCTGAGCAGCGGCGACGCATACGGCTGGGGGAATTGCCGGAAATCGCAAATCGGGCCTCCGGGAGCCGTGGTGCATTCACCACGCAAGATCGAGGGCATCGGCTTCGCAGTGACTAGGGCTGTTTGCGCCAAAGAATCCACCTGCTTCTTCGGCGAACCCGAGAGCGGGAACATACGTGTCTTGGGATCGGATAAGTGGGAGCTATGTTCCAAGGCACCCGCGGCCGCTCCCGAGTGGACCGACGTTGGAGCCAGCTGGGGCAACTTCTACATCTTGGGCAAGGATGGTTCTCTCCTGAGTTGGGGCCGCGACGACCACGGTCAGCTGCCACCTCCGAATCTCCCCCGTATCCAAAAAATTGCCACTGGCAGTGAGCACGTCATTGCATTGTCCGTGGACGGCGACGTCCTGGCGTGGGGCTGGGGCGAGCACGGTAACTGCGGTCCACAGGTTGAGCGAGAGGATGTCAAGGGCCATTGGAACGTCATTGTCTCGTCCAAGTTCATACCACCAGGCTGTCAGATATACGGCGTAGGGGCAGGGTGTGCAACCAGCTGGGTTTGCATCAAGAGCGGTTGATTAACCCACGGCACCCTATCGCTGTGGTCAGTGATTTTTGGTGTCCAACAACCGGTCATCAACCTCAGTCTGGGAACAGCGCCAATCCCTGCACGTCGGAAAGCTTCTGGGTTGGCTCCAAAAAGGTCGACTCGGTCTGCGCGGGTTCTTGACGTTCTGAATCGGCAGGCTTTCTGTCTTCTACCCGGGCCATGTGCATGGCGGAAGCAATCTATCGAGTTAGCATTTCCGATCCGGCACGAAAAGAGGCTTCGAAACCCTACAGGCTTGGCACTGTGATCCCATTCCAGCCTTGCGTCCTCTTCGCCATCCTCGTCGTCGTCTCTGACGGGTTCCCATCCGTCATCCTCCACGAACAAGCTCTCGGATCGCAGAGTCGGCGGTTTTTGCGACGGTCGTAGGTCAAAGGCACCGATGCGCGAGGCGCTCGTTCTGGCAGTGCCGAGATGCGGTGTCGAGTTGGAGGCCAGTGGCCTCGATGCTGTGGGGGGCGGTAGCTCCGGAGCCGTGTGCGGCTGCGGCTGTTGCGGCGCCTCAGATGGAGCGACGCTTGTCTTACGGGACGTTGCCTCCAGTCCCGGCCCGGCATTTTGCGCACCTTGCTTGCGGCCCTTTTTCGTCTTCTGGTTCGGGTTGCTGCCGCGCTCCCCAACGGTCATGATGAGAAACTCGCATGACATGGCATCGCTCGAGTAGGACAGCTGGATAGGTCGCGCAGGCAAAGAGTACCAGGCTGACAGAGCGTTGCCTGTGATGCCAGCGTGTTGGATGATTGCACGAAAGTCCTTGACGGAAATGACAATGTGGAGTTTGTCCTCGACGTCAATGTCATCAAATTCGTCCACCTCCACCGCAATAGATGTTTGCAGTGGCTTCTTGAGCACCGCTAGTGTTGGCCGGTCAGCCTCATATCCGTAGAGCAGTCTGGTAGGCAGAACACGTACCGTCTTCTGTGACCGTCTTTTCGCTGAAGCAGGTGAAATTGACGTGGTCACCGTCCGTGTTAATGTCTAGATATTCAATGCCCGGGCCAAAATGGTCCATCAACTGACGAAGTGTCCTCGACGAGATAATCCAGTGGTGCGGGGCTTCCTGCCTGTTGAATTTGGCGTGGACGGGGACAGTGACCTCGAAGGGCAGACGGTGGGTAGACGTCAAGCCGCTTCGAAAGATGATGCGAACGACAAAGCGACTCTTGACCCCTTCGCCATCCTCAATGGAAACATCGCATCTTTCGATGAGAGTTTGCTTTTCGGCATCCCTCTGACCGTCGATGCTGGAGCGGCTCCTGAAGAGGGAGATGAGAGCCTGGGACCGTCGTTCAGCTAGGGAAACGCAAGTAAACACTCGGCGCCAGTGTCAAGCTCACCCGGATATACAGGCTACAGTGAAAGCGTTCGTGTGACTGCCCGCTGCCTTGATACTGATACCGGGAGAAAAACTTGCTTGTTGCGAACCTGAAGCTTGCATAGGCAGACTTGGAGTTGTTGAGGGTTGTGAGGACAAACTGCGATGGCGTTTAGAAGTCACGTCCACGGGTTAGGGACGACTGGGCCTCGTACAGAATCCCGCCTTGCCTCGAGAGAAACATCGTCGCTAAACTTGTTCAAGCAGGTGAGGGCGTCCCGGAAGGCCGCGACGCCTTCTTCGCTCAGCGTAAATGCAAGAACAGCCATGGTGGGTATCGATGATCTTGCTGCCGTGCAAGGCAGCAAAGGCTCAATGAACCAGAACCGACATGGCTGGCAAAGGTATATGGCTCGCTGACGAAGTCGAGTGAAGCTCGGTCCTTGGTGAGTGCGTAACTGAGGTGGTTGAAGCGAAGTGGACTCGTCCTTGGTACCAGGTACCTCGCAGTGGTCGGTGTAGGTAAGTACCTAGGTACTTCATACCAGCACGGGTGGCGACTCCGGTAGATGCATAGAGGTACATTGCATATCAAAATATCTACAGAGTACGTACCGTCTTGACGTAACGCGAGGCGTTACGTCCATGTTACGGGCGTCTGCGACTGTACATGCATGACGTACGAACTTTGATCAGAAGGCAATCCGCTCAGTTCAAGCACGCGACGGGAGCTTCAGCCTTGTAGAAATGGAAACCTTGGTCATTATTAAATATTCTACGTAGGTGGACGGACAATCGCGAAAATATGCATCAACAACACAAACCCTACCACCGCTCGGGCACGCAAGTTCTCCTCGCTCCCAAAACATGGTTATCATGCCCTCATCCGAAGCCTCCCGGATCACAACAGCGAAAAAAAGCCATCAAGGCCTGCCACCCTGTGACGAGGGGCCTTTGGCGTCGGTCGCCAGGGGCCGCGGCCCATTAGTGCTGCCTGAAGCAGGAAAACTTGCCCAGCGAGAATCTCCACGGGCCACGGCGCATGCCGTGGCGGTCGACGTGGACGCTGGTGCCGAAGTGCCGGCCACCGAGGCGTTTGGTCCAGAACAGACCCATGGCTCGTTCGATTCAATCAGGTGCTCGGGTTGTTTATGGGTGGGAAGGGATGGTGGGCTGCCAGACAGTCAGCAGAGACTCGCGCGAGGCAACGTTTGCCGTGCGCGATGGAAGCACGCCGTACATGAGGTAGCCGGATAGGCTCGCTAACTGCCTGTCTTCACGATGGAGACAGGAAAAGGCTTGATCTTGACGGTGGTTCGGATGTTGGAAAGAGTCGGCACGCAGATGAATTAAGTTATAGAGGTTAGGTATTCGATGGGGCTTGTTGTTGGCTGACAACCACCAATTCACGCTGAAACGGCGGAGACCACAGCAGCACCGCGGCTCGGCATGACGTATGTCCGATCTCTGCCTTGATTGGTGCCTAGCGCCTGCGCTTGGAGGTCACCTAATATTTAAGTCTAATTCAGACTCCTCCCGGCAATCCTCCCTGATGCTTTCTCAATGCCGTCAGTCAGCCGCCTGATTGGGGCTTCCACCCGCTATGATGCCGATGAGCTAGCTATCTCACCCAGACACAGCGTCACCCTTCTGGTCGATCATCCGTGCACCCACTACAAGTACGATGGTTCCGGCGTTCCGCCAGCCTGGATTCTTTCCACGTACGCAACGGGGCGGAGTCACCAAGAATCACATCGCCGTTGCATTCTCTCGACAAACGCTGCCAGCCGGTGATTGCCGTGTGCACGTAACGAGAGCGATGACCACTGACCCGACCACGTCCATGATGAAAATGCAGGCAATCACCACCGCACCACTTCCTTGCCTTGGACGAGGCTCGGCGCGGTATTCGGGATGTGATTTGTCGTGGCGCCATCCACCAAACCGGAGGTACATCCAGTCGGGGAAGCGAGAAATGGCCGGGAATAGACGAGATGCTTGCTCTCCCGGGCCGGCGGGGACCTTAGTGTATCAATATTATTTCTGGTCCTTGTCAGGATCAACCCTCCATTGCGCGGCGTGTCGGTCTTGTATTCCGCAGCCCAGGATGCGTCACCGGACCTCCGGTCACGACGTTCCTTATTTCGGCCAATTAACAGCCACGGTGTCGACGAACCCCTAGTACGTGATTGCGGTAATTAGCTTAATGTCGGCGGAGGGGCGCACAAGCGACTCCGTTTACCCCGGCTCAGAAGTCTACCAATTAGTAGTAGGCCAGACAGCACATTCTCCCCTCAGTGTGTTTTTCTGTATCATAAAGCGCGAGGCCCATTTATGGAAATAAGCAAGTAGCGAGCTCGTGTACATTTAGCATATGCCGGGAGGGACAGTTAGAGGTCAACGTCGTAAGTTTACCAAGCCACGCAAGAGTGTATGCCACTGACGAGCTTCTTTCCATTCCATTCCTTTCCTTTCCTTTCCAGGATGGAGCCGCGGGGCTTCCATGCTTGCTGGCCTAAGCCGTTTGCACGTACGAAGTAGCTCTCTCTCGTGGCCGATTTCTAAGCTGTAGAGGCGTCGACCGTCGGGGTTAAAGGAAGCAGCATGCGTCATCAGGCTCACACTCCACGGCTCTATTGATAACAGTCTGAGCGTCTCCGTCTGTCCATGTCCCCGAATTCCAAGTCGATTCACTTGATGCCAGCGATGACAGCTTGTGGCACTGCCGCCTATAGCCTGCCACAAGCATACCCGCTTTGTCCAACCAGGAGAATGACGTCGAATCGCTCTCGTACTCGGATAGCATGCGCCGCGTAGCCATCTGCCGCAATGGATCGTCGTCTGCGGTAGCTAGTGCACATATCAGAGTGAGAGGTACGTGGCTGGCTCCAAACGGCCTGCGAGGCTTCAGTTTTTCCGCATGGGTCATGGTTTCGGAAAAGTACACCTCCATGTCTGCGGCCAACGGAAACTTGCAAGAACCGAGAGCGCGCAAAAAGCCGTTGAGTGTCATGCCCATGGAGAGAAGCACGCTGTATACTGCCAAGTAACGACTGAGAAGTCTCAGCAGACTAGCGGGTAAGGCATCGGGGGGGTCAGAGCACGCAGGCTCTAGTTTCTCCTCGAGATGCTTTCGCAGTGCGGGGAGCTCGAGCCGAAGTAAGCTGTATAACGACTGCATCTGCTCGATGTGCTGGCCTGGGTTCCGCAGGATATCCCGCATCAAGATGATGTTGTGGAGATCTGCGCTTGTCAGGGCTACGCCATCAAGACTATGGATCGGGGCGGTCGGCTTATGCAACTCGGCCAGTTTGAAGAACCATGGCCTCAGCTGTATCGACGGGTTCACTATGCTCTCAAGAAGCTAAGGCTCGTCGTCAGTCCTTTCTATCCTGTTCTTTGAGGGAGGGAGGATGGAAAAGGGCGTTAGTGTAGGATGAGGCATGGGCCAGCTTGTGCATCGTGTTTCATACCACAGACACACTTATGGTGATGAGTATAGCACTGTTGAATGCATTATGCCAGTTGTTGGAGACGATGACGTTGAGCAAATGCGCCATTGCCGGGCCGTGTCCTGGAAATGGGTTGTCGTCGTTGGCGATCCAGCCCTGCGCGAGCCCGTATTAGTCCAGGCGGGCACGAGTTTTGATGAGTCGAGGCAAGACGTTGAAACAGGGGGCGAACCTGGCAAAGCATGATGAAGTAGATGGCACAAAGTGTCTGCTCCGAGTAGGCCGTAGCGGGACTTTGCAGGCTGTTCTGGACCGAGCGGAGGGCACGGGCATACTTGGCGAGAGACTCGGGCGTGATGCACCTGGTGTGGACGCAGCTGAAGGCGCTGGCAAGGGCGTCTGCGGACGCATCCAGGGCCGCATGTGTGCCCAGCCGGGACGGGATGTCCTTGATGAAGGGGCCAAAGGCGAAGAGATCGTAGCGGGGGTCTGATATCTGCAGGACCGAGACAATGGCGCCGCTGGTCCGAGTCGTCTGGTTGCTCAGAGGCCGCGATGGAGGGGGGCTGCCGTGGATTCCGGGGGCAGGGGAGGAGGCGGCGGCGGCGGCGGCGGCGAAATCAGATGGTGGCGCGTTTGCCGCTCGCAGGGCCTTTGTCTCGTCTTTGAACTTGAAGCGCTGCTGGCCGCAGCCTATACACGGGATCTTGAGGCGGGCGCAGCGGGAGCACGCGGGTCTAGCCTGGTCGCACTGCAAACAGTCAGGGCTCGGATCTATCCACAATGGCCGATTTCCTTCTCTCTTTGTTTGGGGTGTCGGGACTTCTGCTGACCTTCTTCTTCTGCCGACGACAGGCTTCACAGCCGCGGTACGAGGGGACGCCCGGCATATTGTCGTATCACAGTCGCATGCGGCGGCGGGCTGATATGAAGCGGACCGGTCTGGGTCAGCGTGGCGGCCGTCCTTCTTGCGCCCCCGCTCCCCGTCCCCTCCTCTCCTCTCCCCTCCCCGATGTCCGAGGCTCCGAGGCTCCGAGGAAGAGGGCCTCTTTCCGGTTTGCGTGGATGCACGAGGGCTGTAGGGGGCTCCCGCCAGGCAACACGTGCATCGAGACGACGTCTGTGGTTAGAGGCGAGAGATGAGATCAGGCGGTGAGAGGCGAGGAGGAAGGAACCTCACGTGAGTCTGATCCCGACCCTGGCAACGTCGTACAGACTACAGAGTACGTAATTACACTGCAAGTTAACACCAGCAACCAAGTCATCCTGAAGCAACTGAATATCCAGCACTCATCGGCCGCGCATGGGTCGAGGCTCTTTGGCATGCACCGTCGGTCTCAGTAATCGGAGCCAATCGTCGAATCCGTCGTCGCCCGGCCTCCGGCACCGTCAAGTGGAACCGCGCCCCACCCCGCCGCCGACTCCGGCTCTCCGGATACGGCGGGGGCCGGCACCAGCGGTGTCGGCGCAGTTTGCTGAGAAGCGGAACTAGACTTACGTAGTGTCATGGGTCGGAAAGGTGGTGGTGAGAGACTTGAGAGCAGAACCTCCCAATGCTCGTGCACGTGGGAGATGCAGGGAGGCAAGAAAAGATAAGGCAGCCGCCGGGCAGTTGTTTCGAGAATGACAGAAGAGTGCCTTGGTAGCCAAGCGACGGCGTGTTTTGCATTAGTAACAAGCATCATGCTAACAGTACATAGCAAAGTGCAAAGAATCCCTCCATCCACCCGGCTCAGCAGTCAACGTCGCCTCCTCCTCCTCCTTCTCCTCCTTCGGCTCCCCACCATATCTTGAGCCATCAGGAGCACAGTGCCTGGGATTTGGTCGAGCAGTTGCATCTGTACGAGCGCGGCACAGCCAAACGCCCCTATCTGCCCCTATCTGCCAAGGTTTTCCAGTCCCTGCCTCTCCTGAGCAGTTGGGCAGTCGAGGTTGACGCAACGGCACCAAGGTGGATGGGGGAACAAGGGAACGTCGTTGCTGAGCGGTTCAGTGTCAGGGATCATGATCGATCTTGTGTGTCCTGGCCGTTCGATGCGTTGGCGGGTCCCACAACGGCCCTCGCCACGGGCCATGGCGGCCTTAATGAGCAGGTTTGCTGCTCATCAGGCTTCTTCAGAGGAAGGCCTTTTTTGCCGAAGCGTCTTTTAGCAAGTGCCTGTTGCTTCGAATCCGACGTGCTGCTTCGCTCACGTCCCATCCGTGCAAGGTCTGCCTTCTGGACAAGGCGATCCCCGAGGCCTGCAGACGGGACGCAGCATCCACACCTGCGCGTCCATGTGTAGTGCATGGGCTTGAATACCTGGTGGCTTACTACGTCCTAATTGCTGATCTCTGGTCCTGATTCTGATTACTGAGCATCGACGCCGTCTCATGCATCATCTCCGCACAACCCCCCCCCGGGTTGGCTTTGATCGGCCGTGGGCATTGGACGTGCCAAACTGGGGCAGAACTGCATGCGGAGATGGCACGACTCTTCTGTATGTACTTTTTACTTTTGCGAAGGAGCATATCACCGTGGATATCACAAAGATGCTGCATCGTGAGTGGATGGGTTGTCTGTCAGTTTGCACTTACGAGTCAAGTAGGAACGGTATACATGCATATGCATGTCCATTCTGTGCATGGTATATGACCATTTGAACATGTATGTATACTTCATTTAAAGTGTACGGTTTGGAAGATAGATTTCATCAGGCTTGTCTGTCGATTGGCTCGGTAGGCTGGCAGCCTCGATATCTGGCTGCTGATGTTTGCACCCCCCTGAGGCTGCTGTCCAACCAGACCCTTGCAGCCGGCGGTGTAACCATGGACGATGATGCAGACTTCGGACGAGATGGTCCACTTTGACCCGGCCGGGTGATCCCAAGGGTTGCGCGAATGGGACGATGTACCGTATCTCAATGTCAGGACGGACCGGGGTGAACCAACAGGGGACTGCGATCAAGCATGCAGCAATCGTGCACACGAGCATTTAACCAGCGGCCTGGGTCATGGTACAAGGGCACCACGTAGGCCTACATGGTCCCACGGACTGTATATGGAAAGTATACATCCACCATTCGTCCAGAGTGCGGCAATTCGAAACCAGGCCCCCCCTGTCCATAGCCATGGACGTCATCTAACGGCAGCTTTGATTTTAGCTAGTGGAGGCAAGCCCGGGCTGTGGCATGGACATCCTACCTGTGCACTTCGTGCCTAGCCTATAAGCCCACCAGAATGAGAACATGGTCGCGTGCGCTTCGCCCAAGCCTTAGCCGATCCGGGTATCAGGGGATGCTCGAAAAGGTCACTCACGAGTCTCGCCCTTGGCCATCACAATGATTCTGTTGGTAAGTCTTACAAGCGGTCCAACGACTGGCTGCGGACACAGCCATTCGAGGGCCGAGACATGGGGCGCGCTGAGACATTGACAGCGAAGTCGGCTCAGGAGCAACAAGAAAACAAGCATCCCCCCGATCTCTGAGGCACCATATTCGACAACTCGACGCCCGGGCATTGATGACTGAATATGACTGCCGCTCACTTAGAAGCAAATTGCTACCGCGTAGACAGTTTGTTGGCTTGGTGGGAGAGAGGTTACGCCTCCTGGCGGCGGAATCACGCAGCACAGCATCCGCCCCCTTTCCCGGTGTCCTTGTCAACTCCTGGTCCTTCTCCTTGTTATTGTTGGATATGGACAACGGAGACAGCTGCTTGATCATGTACATACTGGAATTCTTTTATTTTCCCCCTTTTGCAAGGGGGAGGGGGAGGGGGGAAGGAGATGTCGATGGGTTCAGTTTGCCCGGCGGCCAACCAAATCTCGCATCATGCCACATCGCAGGCATCTCGTCACCTCAATTCGATAATCGACGGCAAATGCAAATCTTGGCTCCACCTCCATTCGTCGGAGCCATCTGAGCTAGCTGGCTGGTGCGCGTCCGATCTTTCTCGGGCGCCCGGCGGGATAGCAACACCTTGGTCGGGGGCTGCTGCTTCTCCCAGAAAGCACCAATGGCCTTGAGCTCAGCGGCAGTGGCATTTCCGCCCCCACTTTCAGAACCCGCAACAGTTTCTCTCTCCAGGCGGGGGAAGGGGAGAGGGGCTTTGTCATTGACAGATGAGCTTGTTTTCGGCAATCTCTCACGGCCTCTTGCTCGACTGCGGCCCTGTCCGATCCGGTCGACAGTTGCACGGCTACCCTATTGAACCGCGGAATAGAGGGCGATAGGGGCAGCTTCAGCTTATACCGCGGCGAGTCGCATTGTGTGCGCCACCGAACGTCCTTGGGTCGAAAAGGGGGGTGCTTTGCGGTGCATTTATCAGTCAGTGGTGGTGTGTGTGAGCTGCTTCTTGGATACCAGGTAGATATACCTGGTACCTTGGGTAGGCTAATTGGGTAAGGTACCTTAGGTAAGGTAGGTACGCAATACTTTGCTCCTCGTCCTCAGAAGGTAAGGTAGGTAGGTACCTAGGTACCTAGGTAGGTACGTACTGAGCACGGCCGTCGGCTCGGATGTCGCAAATTGACACCCAAGCGAGGACGGAAAAAGGCCCGCGCCGGGCGGAGCCTCAAGGGTCTCGAGGCTCGCCTCTACATCCACAAACCGTTGGAGCGACGGCTGATGACGACAATGACAGCGACAGGCAATAGCGACAATACGTGGTGACAATAACTTGGGCACGAGCCTCCCGCGCCCCCCCATCACCCCCCACGCAAGTTCCAGGGCTGCAGTACCGGTACTGTACTGTACATACCTGCGTCGTACAGTTTGCCGCCGGTGTGGGGGACCACGTTGTTGCCCGGACGGGTTCTTCCTATTGCAATACATACATACTGCGTACTGTACTTCGTACATGGCATACATACATACCACCATTGCATGCATTCGTTCTCCGAGCAAGCCCATGCATGCATCCTGCATATATGTGCCCACAGCCAACAGCACGAGGCAAGCCAGTGGGTGCACGCACGCATTGGAATGTCGGATACGGGGACCGGAACCATGGCTGAGCCATAAACCTTGGGCTGATTAGGGATCGAGTAGCCCGCAACGCCATGGATGCCTCTTCGGCATACGCTGCTGCACAGTCCGAGTCCTCCAGCAGTCCCCCAGCAGTCCCCAGCACATGCTGACAGTACGTGCTCGTTCACGCAGACATGCTCCCCGCGTCGTCAGATGTGTCGTGCGTTCGATATGTATGCAAGCATGTGCGGAGCAGACAGACATGTATGTGTATGTATGTATATGCAGGCGTACGGACCATGTCCGGACTCACGCCGCTGGAGTTTGGAACCGCCGGAACTCGCCACGGTTACACAAGTGTCACGCTGTCGGCTCTCCAAGGGAAACCAGGTGGGCTGATCAAGGGACCAAGGCCCAGGCCCGTATGCTCTCGAGGCCAGCTGCCAAGGCCACAGTGTGCAGTCTGGACCGCCCGTCTATTCACTCATCCTAGACGCAGGCACAAATGGGCTGCGACCAACGCTCATCCGTAAAAGGGGGCTGCATTCTGTAGCTAGTTGTCGGTGTGCTTAAACATGTGATAGGGATATCGATCCTCCCGTGTGAACTATTTGCCCCGCTGCTCGCGCCAGACCCAAGTTGCAAAGAAATTCAGATGCTCAGCTCAGGCAATCGTCTCAACAGTCGAGAAAACCATGGCCTCCAAGCCGTCCGCGCAGACTCCCTGTGCGCTAGAAAGACCACAAATTTGCAGATCAAACGACAGGATGAATAGAAGACAAGGAACTCCCCCCAATGTCCTTGGCCAGCACCTGCGGAGGAACCCGGGAGTTGGAAACATAGAAAAGGGCATCTGAAGCCAGTCAACAGTTGTGCGTGATCCGGAACGCCCGCAACATTCCCTTTCCTCGTTGTGCCCGCCGGGCATCGTGTTTCCCTTCAGACCCCCAAGATACCGCCCCTTGTGGTATAAGCGTCGCGTCTCCCGAGCTCCCTGGATCAAGTGACAACCTAGAACAAGTAAGATATTGGTCACCATTGCGATTTTTCCGTTGCCCGCAAACACGCCGCGGTGTGCGGCTTCGGAGCAAAGACAGCCCGCATCGCGTCTGTCGCTGGCGCCCGCTGGCCTTTGTCGTCTCCCCGGCGCCGATCCGCAACTCACTGACCGCTCTGGTCGGCGTCCTACATGACCGTGGATGCCAGGAGGCGTGATTCGACATCGTCCATACCCATGCCGTCCATGCGCGGGCCCTCCATACCCTGAATGCGCGACTCAATGGTCTGGAAGCGAGGCTCGTAGCCGCCCGCGCGGGCCTCGAGGTTCTCCATGCGCTTCTCAATATTCTCCAGACGCTGCTCGATGCGCATCAGGCCCTGTGCCATGTCGTGGCTCAGGCGATCCAGCTTGTTGGTAAAGGACCGGATGGTTGTCGCCAGCGGAGCGTTCTCTTGGCCGGGCGTTCCCGAGGCCACGCGAGGCTCATGGTTGTGGCGCGCCTCTTGCAGGGCAAACCGCCATTGATTGCCCAGCTGGACTTCGCAGACGGCCTTGGCCCGGAAGGGGCAGTCAATCTTGCGCGTAGAGGGATTGCGCTTCTTGGCAGTGCTGTTGTACTTGACGCCGCCGCGATCGCACACGAGGTCGTAGCGGGTCGGCTTGCCGTCGCGGTAGTTGGAGGCGCGGAGCTTGACGATGCCGTATCCTTGGTCTTTGGCGACGCGCTGGACCGAGGCCATCAGATCCTCAAAGGACCGGAAGATGCCCTCGGGGGGCGGGAGCAGGGCGGGGGGCGGCGTGTTGGGCATGGCGATGGCTTTTTTGTCTTTGGCTTTCGGCCCCGACGGCGCAACTAGAAGCGTGCGGGAAGGCGAGCTGCAGGGAGGGCGCAGGCGGACAGAGAGAGCCTACTCGTAGAGAGAGCCCGGGGGTCTCCTCCGATATATAAATCGAAAGGATAGGCCGAAGGGGATACCGCGACTGCCGATGACTTGTTGGTCCCGGTCCGGTAATGTTATCATACCATGGCAACAGGCAGGTACCGAATGAGAGAGGCTGGGCTGTAAGGATTTTCCAATCCGCACTGTCGACGAGCTAAGGTTTGGTGTTGATCCGACCCGAGGGGGGCCCGGCCAATCAGCGCCCGGTCTACGGTAGCGAGACGGGGATTGGGCGCTAGCGCGGCCCGGAGTAGTCGAGTGATACCGTCCAGGTAGTGCCAGTGCACATAAGAGCCATACAGTACCAGCCCTGTACATGCTTGCGCACAGGTAGCGTTTACAGCACTGTCGAGGCCCACGGAGCGCCGTGCATCTTCCATTTGCAAGGAAGTTCGTAGAAGCCAACCCGAGAGAAGGTGCCTCTCGAACAACTGTGCTCCGTGCTGCCTCTGCACACGTTCTGTCGTCCGTTACAGTCCACATATTTTTTGCAGTGCAATGCCGTTGGCTGCTTGGTCAGTCTCGAGCAATCGAACGAGGGTCTCTGAAGGCGAGGGGCAAGTCGTGCTGCTGACTCGTATTAGCTCAACACTTCACCCGCTGCCCTCAGGTAGATGACGTGCCACGTATTGCAATATGCTCCCGAGGACAGCAAACACGGCCGAAATGACGAGCAGAAACACGCACATATATGGTGCACTTGCTTAGTACTTGACGGCCAGCAAGTTCCAAGCCAGGGAGATGGTTCAGCCTTGGACTCGTGTGTCGTCACGTTGCGAGCCCAGAGGTACATACTTACAGACCTGCCAGTGTGCCACCTGCCACCAAGCCCCCTGGTAAAATGCGTACAACAACTTGCACGCTACCTTCAAGTTACATGCTACCATCAGGTGGCTGGACAGACGAAGGAAAATTTGCCATTACCACGCCTTCCTCGAGAGGTGTTTAGGCTTTTTTAGACCATTCGCTCCGATGTTGGGAGGTACCTTGCGAGTACCTGCCTGTGCGCTTTTGTTACCTATAGGTACAGTACCTTGAGGTACTTACCCCACGGTCGGTCGCGCCGGCCTCGTCAACCTCTCTCGATCTCAGCCGCCGTCCAACTCTGCAACAAACGGCATCGACAACTGCTTCTCGGCGCAAACGATTACTGTCGCCTCCCGATCGACGGTAGCCACTCACCATCCCGTAACTCAGCCCTCATGGACAGTAAGCCGGTCGTGGCAGATGAACGAGCCTCAGGCGATCCTCAGTCCGCGGAAGAGGCCCAGCTGAACGTGGCCATGGAGCGGCTCAAGGTCCTCTACTCGAAAGTATGCATGATCCGTACCGGCTCCTGTATGAAGCCTTGCAGGTGTCACCGGCGCTAACTCGGGTCACTTCTCTAGGCGCGGGCCTTGCGAGATACCATTCCCAGGATGCTCGAGCCGTTGGTCCAGAAACACCCATCTCGTACGTTTTCTCTTCCTTGGCCCTTTGAGGTTGGAGTACGCGTGCTGACCGGGAAATCAACGCCTGCAGCCGACGTGATGTTCAACGCCTTTATGAAGGCTGTGGAAGATGCCCAGGCTGACGTCAGGGACTTTACCGAGCTTATGAAGGACGAGGAAAGCAAGCGGGTGTTTGCGCAGGCCGACAAGAGCCGCGAAGAGAACCCGTTTGGTATCAAGCCCTGGAAGCATACGGCGGATCCAGACTGGTTGAAGACGGATGCCTAAAAATTGACTCAAATGAGAAGTGGACTATTCGCAAATGTCTGCTACGCGGCCTTGAATAATGACGAAATAATCGATACGAGCGACAAACCCGGGTGCCCCTCGCTACGAAATCCAGGTCGCAGCCGTGGTCTTTGGACAGCAGATGTCTCCATGAAAGAAGGAAGAGTCTCTGACAGCCACATTCAACTCTTTCTCAGGTGCATCTCATCATCCAGTATCTCTTGCTGGGAACACTGCTTAGGTCGGTTGCCAAGTCCATGTCGATCCCAGGTTTCTTCCTCTGGTGACGGATATCGCAAACGGTGGGCCCGATCTCCACGAAGTCTCTGAATTGCTGGGGAAAAAAAACCCTGAGGAGAGATAGCAAAGGATACCTAGGTAGGTAAGGTAGGTACAGTAGGTAGGTAGGTAATCCTGCAGCCGCGAGGAGGCTTCCGCGCATCTTGGTCACGTGATGTGTGTACACGCTCTCTTTTGTCCCAGAGGCAGCCCACGCTTTGATTGGTCAACTTGGCGGGCACAATCCGTCCCTCCGCCCACACAAAATTTCCCCAAATCTCGAAATTCCTCACTACCCGGCGAGATCCTCATTGCATACGCCCAGCACGACCAGCCAAAATGGTGTCTCAACGAGTTACCTACCGCCGTCGCAACCCGTGAGTGCTCCTCGTGGCAATCTTGCTACTCGAATACGGCGGCCGCCCAGCCACGCTCATGGGGTCGCAAGTCGTCTCGGCATGGACTGACTGGATTCTGCACACAGCTACAACACTCGATCCAACCGGACCCGAGTCATCAAGACTCCCGGTGGCGAGCTCCGACTTCTGCACATCAAGAAGCGCGGCACTGTCCCCAAGTGCGGCGACTGCGGCTCCAAGCTCTCTGGCGTAAGTGGCCTTCGATTCGAATCCGGCAATGGCAGTTCGCGAAGAGGAGGAGACGTGGCAAAGGTTCATGGGATGGCCCAACCGGGATCCTACGATAATGCCGACGCCGACCGAGCTATAAGTTTGCTGGCCGCGCAAACAGACTTCTGTTTTATCGTTAACGGCGCGCGGCGTGAACACTGAGGGGCTGACAAGACTCGATTAGATCCCCGCCCTCCGACCCCGAGAGTACGCCACTATCTCCAAGCCCCAGAAGACTGTCCAAAGAGCCTACGGCGGCTCGCGATGCGGTGGCTGTGTCCGTGACCGCATCGTTCGCGCCTTCCTCATCGAGGAGCAGAAGATTGTCAAGAAGGTGTTGAAGGAGCAGGAGCAGAGCCAGAAGAAGAAATAGAGTGTGTCCAGGACGGGTTGAGCTTTTTCTGCACGGTATGGCTGGGAGTGAGGACTTGCGCGGGCCTTGATTCACTCTGGTGTTCTTTGAGGGCAAAGGGGGACTGCATGATACATCCGCGGGCTGGCCAGAGGCCAGTTTTCTGCTGTTCTTAGGACTGCAATCTCCTCTTGGTGGTTTGAAAGAAACAAAGCATCAAGCTGGCACAGGCTCCCTCTTCCCGTTGAGTGAACACGTCGGTGTCCGAGCCCAGGGCCTGTCGAAGAGTGCAGTTGAATCGGAGTATACCTAGCGAGTTGGTTGATCTAGAGCTCGAGCCTTCCAGGCCAGATCCTTAAAGCAACTTGACATTGCTTTTTCAAATTCGCCGCCAGGGATTACTCGAGGCAGCGTACGGTACTTTGGTTCTGTTGCGATGACGTGTGGGTGACAATCGTGGGCGGTGACCTCGAGCCAGATTTTCCTTTTCGGTCCCGCGCGCCGCGATCCAATCTCGGAGCGGCATCCACCACCACGCCACCAACGACACCACGACCTCACCGAGGCCTCTTTCACGCCACGGCAGCACGATGCACGCCTATACATAGCATGTCTCCTTTTACCGTCACGAGGCGCGCTTTGACGCGGCATCAAGGTGTGCTGCGCACCGCCGTACGCGGTGACTCGGCAGCAAGATCCGCGGCCCGAACCCGAGCTTCGGTGCCACCGGCCCTTGACCGCGCGAGATTGATGCACACGACTACGCCAAGCTGGAAAGCGCAAAGCGACCGACCGCGAGAACAGCCGCCTACCGATCTCAACGAACTGAATGTCCTGGGGAACATGCCTGCCCCGTCAACGTCGGTGGACGTGTGCTTGTTCGATGGATTCGGCTTGAATAGCGGAATCACCATCTCCGGGGGCGACGGCGCGCTGCTCGTCAACGGGGAGGCCTTCGCATGGCGGCCTTGGGAGACAAAGGGCTCCATGGAGCTGGTCAATGGGAAGGGCCAGATTGAGCTCCCGACCGAGGCTTTTGGGCTTTTCGACTTGCTCTGGCCGCGACCAGGTATGTTGCAGACGTCCCTGTCCCCGGCACAGTAAATTGGCCGGCTGCTGTTCCACCGAGACAGCAGTCATTCTCAACCTAACGGGTATCTTGCAGACTTGCTGGTCATTGGCGTGGGCAAGCACAACTTGCCCCTTAGCCCACAGACGAGGCGACGAGTTGCGGACCTTGGCATCAGAGTGGAGGTGCTAGACACGAGAAATGCAGCGGCGCAGTTCAACCTACTGGCTACGGAGCGAGGAGTCTCGGAGATTGCGGCGGCGTTGATACCCATCGGCTGGAGGGAAGGCGTGGGCGCTGCATAACGGATTCATTGCAAGTTCGGGCAGAGAGATAGGTGCGAAGTCTTATTTGTGATGCCGGTGGCCAGCACTGGCTCAGCGTGAGGCGTGTATATTGACACATCTCCTCCGTGCTACGCTGGAGCCATTTAGCTTCCATGACCTGTCTCGCTGCGCTCCCGTATCTTGATGCCACCGCTTCTATACTGGTAGACGCCGATTTGACCATTTTGTGGCCGCTGGTTTGTGTAGGGTAATCAATGTACCAACCATAGCTCGTCGTCTACGGAGTGCCGGGTAGGCAAATTAGCTAAGAGGTACAAGTGGGACATGTACCTGCAGTAGCCAGCCTGCGTGGAGGAATACCCGACAACCGGTACCTTGGCAATTGGCTGGACGCGAATTGGCTTTCCCTCAGCGACGACGCACTTGGCCTCGTCTGTTCGCCCCTTGCTAATCCCTCCATCTTCACCTTCTCTGGATGTGGTGCAATTCGAGCTCTATTGTCACACTGGAAACCCAGCGCTCATCGCGCCAGACGAGTCTCAGTGCCCCCTACATCCACCGCGCGCACCTAAGAGGAGGGGAGCAGGACAAACCCTGCACAAGGGGAGCAGGCAAATCGCCGTCTGCCTGTTTGCCTGTCTGTTTGCCTGCCTGCCCTGTCCTCCCATGGGTGAATAGCGAGGCTTGGGCTGAGGCACTCGCTGATCGACCGGGGACACGGACTACTTCCTCCGCCCGCCGCTTCCTGCTGGGCATCTCGTCCGCTCGAGCTTTGTATATGGACAGCCCGACTCCTATCATGATCCGCGGGCCATGGCAGACGCTCGCGACTCGCCGCCGGCCACTCAAACGGTCCACTCCACCAACCCTCACGCAACGGATCCTCCCTTGCTCAGGGATCACTCCGATTTTAAGACCTTTCGGACCAGCCGCTTCGAGTACACCAACGTCAGGGTCTTCTTCCGCCAACATGCAAAGGCCAAGGAGCTTCCGACCCCGCTGCCCCTGCTGGTCTGCATCCCCGGCCTCGGAGGCTCCGTTGCCCAGTTTCACCCCTTGCTGAGCAGCCTGGTCGACCTAGCGCCGTGTCTGGCCATCGACTATCCCGGTGGCGGCCGCTCGGATTATGCCGTTACCTCGTGGGATGCGTACAGCTCGCAGGCGCTGCTGGAGCTACTGGAGGTAATCATCGAGCATTTCCGCGACAAGGCTGCTGGTCAGAGTCTGGTCTTGATCGGCCACAGCATGGGCACGGCCCTTGCTGCTGGCCTCGCCAACAAAAAGGCCCATCACGCGAGCTCCATCGCTGACCATGTCGTCGGCCTCGTCGCCATCTGTCCCGTCGCTGGACCGTGGAACGAGTCCACCACCACGACTCTTCGGAGACTCTTGTGGGTTCCGGGTTGGATGTTTGCCTTGTGGCGCGCCTGGGACGGCATGGGCGGGCCAGAGAGCCCCAGTGTCCTCCGCTTCGTCGGGCAGGACGCTGAGCCCGAGCTCAGGCTTCTGCAATACCGTTTCAACCAGCAAAGCCGCACGCCCGTGTGGAGGCGCATGGCATACGGCGCCCTCCCTGTCTACGTCAATGGGAAGCCTGTCGGCGGCATTCCTGGGCTGGACGCCTGGGCTGGTCTGGATCTCCCCGTCTTTCTTATCGCCGGCGAGAAGGATCACCTGACGCCTCCAGGGGAAGTCGACAAGATTACGCAGGCTCTGAGCTCCGGCAGTCCTGATTCAGACACCAAGGACGCCGGACGGCCTGAGCTCGAGAGCGCCGAGGCTGCGGGGCCGGTTAACCTATCGTCAAGGCCAGAGGATCATATCCCCCGGGCCCCGAGTCCCCCCGAGGACGGCCATCCTAGCGCAAGCAACCTTGATCACGGCGACGCCCCCGAAGATGATGCGCACCAAGATCCATCAACCCCCCTCGAATCCGAATTCCCAGAGGCCACGGGGTCACCCACCCCGCTGCCGCCCCAGCCCCAGCACCCTCCCAAAGCGGTGCAGTCGATTGTGATGCCGGCGCCTGCGAACCACGCTCTGCTGTACATGCCGCGCTCTGCCCGGGCACTGGCTGGCCACGTCTCCGACTTCCTGGCGGTCCGTGTCACACGAAGGCTTTCGCTCGCCTGGCAGCTGCAATACCTCTCGCGCTCGGGCAAGTGGGACGTCAAGAACCTCAACAAATGGAAGTCGGTGGCGCCTGTCTCGGAAGTCATTGGCCCTGAGGGTAAGCCTATATTCCGGGCCATGAAGACGTTGCGCGAGGCAGACGACGTGCACTGCCCGATGGCGTTTGTGGAGAAATGGGGCGCCGTAGTCAAGGACGTTATCGACATCTCCAAGGACCAGCCCGTCTATGACCCGCGAGGTCTAGAGCGCGGAGGCGTGCATTACCACAAGTTCCCCACCGTCTCCAAGGTGCCCCCGGAGGCGCACGAGGTCGAGGCCTTTATAGACCTCGTTGACAGGCTGCGAGACGCGCAGGAGGAGCGGGCCACGGCCGAGGCGTGGGAGGACGCGCAGGCGTGCGTCGTCGGGGTGCACTGCCACTACGGCTTCAACCGCACCGGCTACTTCATCGTGTGCTACCTGGTGGAGCGCTGCGGGTTCGCGGTGCCGGACGCGATCGAGGCGTTTGCCAGGGCAAGGCCTAACGGGATACGCCACTCGCACTTTTTGGACCGGCTCTACGTGCGCTACAATGCTTAATTGAGGGCTGCGGGACCCGGGTTTCAGGTAAGTTTCTCATACCTATGGGGAAGGGAGGAAGAAACAGGAGAGGAAGGCGAGGACGATGCGGAGGCGCCTGGGGCACTCCACGCTGCATGGGATGTTTATGTTAATTACTGCACTTGAATTCAAGTAGCTCCATGCACCCCTAACAAGGCTAGTATTTTAGCAAGGTGCTTACAACAGCTCCCATCGGGATAAACAAGATCATATTCAAACGGCCAAAAGACTAAGTCCCTGTTGTCCCAGGCCGCGATATCATGGCCACCTCTGCTCTTCCACGTCTCACGGGCCTTCGGCGACGTGGTAGCTGCCCGTGGACCATTTCAACGGCGGGCCCTCTGCCTCGGTTGACCTGGGGGGGCCCCTGACCATCTTGTGCCTGAGCTCCTTGGTGATTGCGTCGACGTCGACGTCCAGGTAGTCGCTCAGGAACTGACCGACATCCGTGTTCTCGACGTTGCCGCGAATCTTGTCCACCTCTGGGCCACCCGAGGCGTAAACGTTGACGTCGACTGCCGAGTGCCCGTGCGTGCTCCAGCCGATGTGTGCGCGCAGGGAGATGATGGCTGCAAAGGTGGCGGTCGAGATCTCGGGATGTTTGGCAAGGAGGGAAAGCTCCCGGTCGGTGGCGTCGGCGATGCCCAGGCCGCGGACAACAAGCTCGTCATTGATCCACGATTTGAGTTTGTCGCGGGAGAGGGACGCAGGGCTTTGGGCAATGTGATGCTGCAACTCGGCGGCGAGCTTCTCGCACGAAGACGAGGCATTGGCGAGGACCTGGGGGTACCAGTTGTACACAGGCCGGTGATACGGCTCTTGGAGGGCGAGGGAGAGACCGCCAGTCTCGTGGTCGCTGGTCGCGACGAGGACGCCCTCGGCGCTGCTCTGTTTGAGGAAGTTCAGGACGGCATCAAACGTCCTGTCATACTCGAGAACCTCGCGCACCTGGGCGGCGGGATCGTTGATGTGGCCGGCGTGGTCGATGCGGCTGCCCTCGATCATAAGGAAGAAGCCTTTATCGCTATCGGCGGTAGCCTTTTCCAGGGCGCGCAGGGCCGTGCCGGCCATTTCGCTCAGGCTGGGGAAGATGTTCAGTTTCTTGCGGTCCATTTCAAAGGGTACGTCTGCCGTGGCGAAGAGGCCGAGCAAGGGCAGCTGGGCGTTGTCGCCGCCCTTGAGAGAGTCAAAGTCGTCGCGGTTGTCGGCGTAGGTCCAGCCGTACTTGTCCTGCGCCATGCGCACCACGTCGACGTTGTCTTGGCGGCAGCTGCCCGAGGTGGTGTTGGGCAGGAAATGGCATCGACCGCCGCCGAGCATGAGGTCGACGGAGCGCCCCAGGGGGCCGTGGCCAATCTCTTGCAGGGCGATATCGTCCTGCATGCCTCGGAGCAGGACGTGGCTGGCAAAGCAGGCCGGGGTGGCATCGGTAATGTCGGTGGTGACGACGAGGCCCGTCATGTATCCAGCTCGCTTGGCAGCCTCGAGGACAGAGCCGCAGGGCTCCAAGTCGGGCAGCACGGAGATGGCGCCATTGTAACTCTTCTTGCCGCAGGAGAAGGCCGTGGCACCGGCGGCGCTGTCGGTGACGAGTGAGTTGCTGGAGCGGGTGCGGCTCGAGCCCCAGAGGTGCTTGTCGAGGACGAGGGTGTCGTGGGGGGGCAGGCTTTCGACGTGCTGGCGATAGCTGCGGGTAAGGGAGAGGGAGGCAGGGCCCATGCCGTCCGAGACCATGAAGACAAGGTTGCGCTTGGCGGAACGGTCGCCATGGGCCGACGTCTGCTCATTGTGCTGGGTCCAGACGGCGATGACGATGACGGCGGCGGTGGCGAGGAGAGCCCAGGTGAAGAGGGCGAACTCGCGTACGCGGGACCAGCGGCGGCCGGCGGAGGATGACGATGGCCGGCCGTCGCTGGGCAAGAGGGGACTATTCTCGGACGCCTGGAGATGGGGTCGTGAGTAAGGTTAAGTTGCTGCTTGCAGCCGTCCGGGCAAGTGGGGATGGATGCAATTGCCGTGTAGGTATGACATACCATGCTGGCGGGTCCTTTGGACTCGGGAGGAATCATCCGCGGCCCCCAGACTACCTTGCCGTGGATGGGGGTTTGGGCCTGGGCGGTCTCCGTCGTTGCCGTCGTCGTCGTCGTCGTCGTCGTCGTCGTCGATGCCGGGAGGACAATAGATGAATGGATATAATAGCCAGCCAATGGAAACGACGGATGAGCAGGGGAGAGAATGGGGGTGGGAGAGAGTTGGAGAGAGTGTGGTGAGAGAAGGTGTGGGGGAGCGGAAGAGACGGGGGGGGGGAGGCACGAAGTACTGTACGTACTGTGCAGCTCGGCAGTAGGTACCTATGTATGTACCGCATGTACACAGTAGAGCTGCCGAGAGGCTCATGCAGACCCCGCGTATTGGCAGAGACGGCCCCACTGAGGCCCCCCAACCCCCTGCTACAGATCCCGTTAGCAGCTTCCCCGATCGTCAAGCTTGCCGCTGTACCGTGCAGGCAGACATGTGGCAGCACTGTGCTGAGGTTGTCTTGGTGGCAAACTCACTCACCTCTACGGAGCACTGTATGGCTTCATTCATCTCCGCTTGAAGTTGAAGACAAGTTACTATGGTCAAGTATGTGTAAATGGCTGGGTAGGTAAATGGTAGGTAAATACGAAGTACATGTGTCGCCGAGCTCAGCTCGCCTTGCCGTACTCTTCTCGCACAGTACTCGTCCCAAGACGCCTTTGCGGGCAAAAAACTCCATCATCCTAGTGCTCGGCAGACTCATGTGACGTATCGGAAATGGCGGTGGCCATCGCCTTCATCAGTCACATCGATTCGAGCATCTGCGCCTACCGGCCCGTACAGCCCATCTCTGCGTCGGTTCTCCCAGTCGAGGGCAAAGTGCATGCCGAGGGCCAAAATCACCATGAGACCAGTCAGCCCGCATCCAATGGCACAGCCCTTTGAGTAGAATGGCCTAAGCAAAGAACACGAGTTGATACCAGTCAGTTTCGTCAGGGCTCCCATGACTGGACGTTGGGCATCTTACCCGTCGCTCTTAGGGAACATCGTACTGCTGACAAACGAGGAGCACTGCCCGAGGGTCAGGAAGATGGCGAGGCCGGCCCCCTTCTTGCAGTCGCCGCCCTGGTTGTTGAGGAGCCAAGTGACATTGAGGCTCAGGGCCGGAAACGCCCCGCACGCGGCGAGCCACACGCCGGCGTAGCGTGCGCCCGTCTTGCTTTGGTCGCGGATGCCAGCGAGCAGACCATACCCGACCACTGCCATGGTCGCCGTGCCAGCCAGAAAGAGGCCGCGCCTGCCCAGCTTGTCTGACGCGTACGAGGTGAGAACGCAGAGCACAAAGGCGGCGAAATAGGCAGGGGCCGTGAGCCCCTGGGCGCTGATCGCGTCATGGCCCATGTCGTGGACAATGGTCGGCAAGAAGTTGGAGAGGGCAGCAAAGGAGAAGTTGGCGCAGAAGTGGATGGCGGAGTGAACGTAGTTTTTGTAGTCGCGAAAGCCGGCTAACAACTGCCGCCACTTGACGCCGTCCTTGGCCGCCGAGTCCTTGAGCTGCAGCCGCTCAAGAGCCAAGAGCCGCTCTCCCGGAGTGAGAAAAGAGGCCGTGGCCGGCGAGTCGATGAGGAAGAAGTAGATGGCTGGGGCGAAGAGAACACTGAAAGAGCCCTCTGAACCGACATGGCTATGTTAGTCGGTGGTCTTGGGAGGGAAACAGAGAGAGAGGGGAGGGACCGTATTCGTACCTATAATAAACAAGAGCCTCCACGGCTCCAGTGAGTGGCGGATCTGGGTGATGCCGTAGGCGAGGCTGGAGGCAAAGGTGTTGGCCAGGGGCATCATGCCCAGCAGAAGTGACATGCGAAACCCCAACTCGCGGCGCTTGTAGAGCATGGAGAGGAAGTAAGGGGCGCCCGCGCCAAAGGCGGCCTCGAATATGCCAAGGAAGCATCGCGTGATAACAAGCTCAGTCATGTTGCGTGCGGCTCCAGAGCTCATGGCGGCGGCGCCCCAGCTGCACTCGACCCTGCCATCAGCCCATGGAGGACGAGTCCTGGCGGGGGAGGGGGGGCATTACCAGACGCAAAGGACGGACACGTAAATGTGAGCGGGCAGTATCTTCCACAGCATCGTCGTCCATTCAAAGGCGACGTAGGAGATGTAGAAGGAGTTGAGGACCCAGGCCCACTGGGCCGAGTCGAGGCCGAGGGCATCTTGGGCTCCCGCCGTCTTTGCGTTACCAATGTTGCCGCGGTCGAGGTATGAGAAGACGTAGAGGCAGCAGACAAGGGGCAGCACCCGGCGATCAAACTGTGTCGGGCCGTCAGCCAAATGCCTGCGTAGGCTGTGGCGAGGAGCGAGCACGTACTGCGCGGCGGATTCGAAGGTTGGCCTCCCGGGAGACGTGTAGCTCGTTGGCGGCAGCGCCAGAGACAATGGCCGCCTCGTCGTCTGTCGACTTGTCCAGGTCGGCCATGGCCAAAGAAGCGGCGAGTTGAAGGACCAGGACCAGGAGGAAGAGGAGGAGGAGGAGGAGGAGGAGGAGGAGAGAAGCGAAGAGGAGAAGGGGATCCCTGCCGATGCGAAGCACGGTGTTCGGTCAAGCTGGGGGACCCTGGGGTGCAGGCCCCTGCAATGCTTGACTTCGGCCGAGCCGACGCCCGAACGCAGGCTCAAAAATTAGCAACAATAATGTTCATGATGAGAGTTTCACTCATCATACTCGGACGTGCGCTTTCTTGTACGGGCTGTGTTGCAACACAGTTTAATTGCACACTGTATTCTTGAACCAGCTACCAGAAGCGCTGAAGCGCTGCTTTCAACCGCCACGTGACGTTGGAGCTTCGACGACAACCCCTTGAATCCATCCACCCAACCAATTACATACCCATCACGACGGGCGAGACCTCCGGGGAAAGGAAAGACGGGATTGCAGCCGACGGCATAGAAGCCTGCCATCTTTAAACCCCCCTCAAGTCAAGTTTTTCCCGTCCAACCTTGACCGGTCGCGCTCATCTTGGCAGCCTTTGCCGCGACGAGAAACCCGCAGCCGACGGCAATAGAGCTGCCAGCGAAGGCCTTGGCGGCTGCGTACCCGCCAGGGCCGGCAATGAGGGCCCCGGCGACAGGCGGCCCCGTCAGCACGGCGAAGCTGACAATGGTAAATACCATGCCCATGCGGACCCCGAGCCGGCGCAAGTCCGTCGTCAAAAAGGACAGGGCGGCCGGGAACAGGCTCTGGATCCCCGCGGCGGCGATGCCGTAAAAGACGACCCAGGCGTACAGCCCCGCGCGCGAGTCGACGCCGATGAAGCCGAACGCCAGACCCGAGGCGGCGGCCGACGCGGGGATGAAGACGTTGACGGCGCCCACCAGGTCCGCCGCGTAGCTTGGCGCCAGACGGCCGATGATGCCCGCGCCGTTGAGCAGCAGCAGGAGGTTGAGCGACTCGGGGTATGAGAATCCGGGCCGCAGGGCGTCGCGCGAGAAGGCGGCGACGTAGAAGAAGGCAAAGTAGACGCCCCAAAAGTTCTGACGGAATCGAGTTAAAACGCAGCGAGCTCTTTCCTCCAGACACCCGCACTCGCACAGGAGGGAAGAGAGGCGAGGGAGGGATACGTACGAAAAACGCGGCGGCGGCGTAAAAGCTGTAGCCCAGCTCGCTGAAAGCAGACCACTCAATCAAGGGCCCCGTCTTGCGTGGACTCATCCTCGGGCGGACCAGCACAATAGCCACGGCCATGGTGGCGAGCTGGACGAGGCCAATGGCGCGCACCGTCCAGGCGAAGCCCACGGCCGGCAGCAGCTGGCGGACCATGACGGGGAAGACGAGGCCGCCGGTGGAGCTGCCGCAGGCCGCGATACCGAGGACCAAGGCGCGGCGGCGGTCAAAGTAGGCGGCCAGGACGGCCAGCGCCGGGCAGAAGAGGCAGCCGTGGGCGAGGCCGAGGCACAGGCCCTGCGCCAGCATCAGGTGCCAGTAGGCAGTGCAGACCGAGACGGACACGACGCCGAGGGCCAGCAGCGCCGTGCCGGCCAGGAAAACGGGGCGGAAGTGGCCGGCGTCGACCAGGCGGCCCGTCAGCGTACCGACGAAGAAGATGAGGAAGACGTTGAGCGAGCCGATCCAGGCCACGTCGCTGGGCGGCCGCACCAGGAGCTCCGTGTAGTAGGCCTGGAAGCTCCCAAACGAGTTGACCCAGCCCCTGGGTGGGCAGACACGGCTCCAGAGTCAGAACAGGTCATGGCAAATTCAGGCCAGGACAAGCCAAGCCAAGCTGTGGAAGGAAAGCAGAGAAGAGGCGGGAGGGCATACCAGGTGTTGAAGATGACGAGATGACCGGCGAGGCCTCATGACGCAAGGCTCCTGTTAGCCAGCTACTGCTGCCCAAAGGGCCACTCAACAGAGTTCGAAGAAACAGAAAGGATGTTACAACAAAGGAAAAGGGACCCGTCCCTCTAGAGGTCTGAGACCCATAGTAGGTAAGGAGACGAACTCAACCTACATTGAGACCAGGCCAGCCATCCCCCGTCCGGAGGGGCGCTCAGCTCGTCGCTCGACCTCGACGTCACGCGACTCGAGACTCGGTCCAGGATGTTCGGCTGTCTGTCCACGGCAGCATCTTCCTCGTCCTCCTCTTTGTCGTCATCGTCGTCGTCGTGACCGCCTTGACCCCGTCGCGACCGCCCATGGCAATCCTCTGCCCCCTCGGCGGCAGGGCCATGTCTGCTGCCGACCCTGGAGCCGTGTTCCCCATCCACAATGTGACCTTTCCTCTCTCCAGTTTCGTATACCCTTTTCGTTTTTGAACGCAGCGGACTCGAGCGGCCATCGAGGCTGCCAGACGGCAAGGCCGCCTTCTCCTGGTCGTCCAGCAAGGCAGCCATGTTCACAAGGCTAAGTGCAGCAACGACAGCAGACCATCAGCGCCTCCCGGTCTCGATGACAAGCCTTCTCGACAATGTCGTCCAGACGACGCCGGCTTCAGGCACGAGCTTGGGCTCCGAGTAACGCGTCAGTCTCACCACCACTCACACAGCCCATGGAGTTAATCAAAGTCTCGACAAACGAAGAACTGGTCATATTCCCATCAAACAGCAATCCCCGCCGTGATATATATCCAGTAACGCCAGCGCCCCCAAGGCGGTTTATCTGGAGGACAAATATGTGCGTCGGTCCCGTCCGCCCACCCAAAGGGCGTCAGAACCCCGCCCTCAAGGGCGTCGATCGGACCCCAGTCCTGTCTACCGTCGGTTTATTCCCGAATGGCTCAAGAGCGGCATCACTTCCCGTCCGCCCGTGCCGCAGGACCATGTTGCGATCTCGGCGGAACACAAGACTCGCACCACGTCACCCCTCCATGGTGGAGCTCCGGCAGCGCACTTGAGCCGACAGTCGGCCGGCCTGTTCCCAATGGCGCCAGGGCCGGGTCATCTCTCAATGATGTTGCCTCTGAAAGAGCTTGGCGAAGTGAAGACATGTTCCCGGCACCCCCAACTTGAGCCGAGCCATTTGAACTATCCATCAGATATTATCCACATACATGCTCTTCGACGCCTCTTGCATATGCAGCACCATTCAGCCTACGTGGCCGCATGCTACTCATGGTGTTCCAAGCCCCTCCCCCACCTGCTGAAAAGAACAAGTGATGAGACATGAGGGCAATGGAGGAGAGGGGGAAAAGGCACCGTCTTCCGACTCCATGACAATGGGCGCTCCATACAGTGTTGCCCTTTGATATTGCTCAAAACCTGCGTCTCGACCCCCTGTCCTTGTCCAAGGGACAAACACGTATACATGAGTGCAATGGGACATACGCCCAGGTTTCCCAACTTTTGTCTTCATGTCTTTGCATCTGCCACTTGACGGGAGCAGAGCCTCACATCACAACCTAAATCCTGCATTAGTCTTGCTGACTGCGCCAAAGGCCTTGCGACAACCATAACCCTGTGATTGGTGGACTGGAATCGACTTACACAATCTCCTTCCTGCTTTCCTTGCGGGATGCCCATGTCCTCAAACGTTGCCGGACCCTTGGCCGGCGGGCCCTTGCTAGGCTTGGACGGCGCAGTTGCCGAGCTCTGAAGGCCGGGGACGGGCTGACCCGGACCACCTTGCCCAGGTGGCGCGCTACCGGTTCTCCCCATACCGCCCATGCCGGGCCTTGGAGAACTGGGCGGCCCTTGTCCCAGGCCTGAAGACACTCGGGTTGGTCTCTGGGGATCCTGCGGGGGTAGCGAGCCCAGTCGTTCCGTCCGGCCCGTGGCGCCGGGCACCCTCGAGAAGCGCTCATGGTTCTGAGGCGACGCACGCGGGTCATGATAGTGAGCCATGTCATGCTGCTGTCTGAGAGGTTGCTTCTGGATTCTGCTGCCGGCTGCATTGTTCGGATAAGGCTGAGCGCTCGCTGACCGTCCTTGGAAGTCATCACCCGGAAATGGGCGACCAGGTGCATGGCCCGGGCCCGGACTTGGCTGCCGATAGCCTCCAGGGCTGCTGTAGCCCGCGGACACGACTCTACCGCCGGGCGGCGGCGACGGCTGCGGCTGAAGACTGCCTACACTGTGAGACATGGGCATGGGCCGTGGGCCCGCGGCCTGGGCCCTGATGCCAAACGCACTCATCGGCCGATCCGCTTGAGGCGAATGAACCCCCTGATTGTGGCGCGCATTGTGTGCTCCTCGACCATCGTCTTCGGGATAGGGAGCCGTGGATCGCGAGCGATGCACAGTGAGCGTGGACTGGTCGTCGTCGGGGTACGGGGCTGCGGAATGCGGGCGCGGAGGCTGCGCTCCGCCGGTCTCTAGCCGGAGGCTAAAGGCCGGCTGTCGATCCGAGCCGTCCACCACGGATGCTCGCGATGGATCAGGAAACGACATGCTCTCGGACACAATGGTCGGCCTGAAACCTGGAGACGGCTGGGGCGAGACGCGTGGCGAGTCCGACGTCGACGACGACTTTCCCGGAAGCGGCCCGCTGCCCTCGCTCAGAGTCGGCAGCTGCTGGGGCTGCTTGAAGCGCTCAGGGCGCTTTCCCCGCTGAGACCCGTGTTGCGACTTGATGCGCGTCAGTGTCGTCGTCTCGTGATCCTTCTTGGACAAACTCTTGTCCTGGCTTAGAGATTCCAGCCGGCCAACGGCGTCTTTGTTGCCGTGGTCAGCTGCCTGCTGGTACCATTTCCGCGCGTCGGGTATGCTCTTGTTGACGTGGATGCCGATTTCGTAGTAGTAGCCCAAGGCGAACTCGCCCGTCGGAAGCTTGGCCACGGCCGCCTCCTGCGCATATTTGAAGGCGAGCTCCTCGTTCTTCTTGAAGACGCCCTCGTAGCCAAAGAGGAACCAGCGGCTAACGCCCAGCGCCGCCTCGGGAAGGCCTTGCTTGGCAGCCAGCCCGTAGTAGTGAAGCGAGTAAGACGGATTGAAGTCGCAGCCGAGCTGGCAGAGCTCGTAGGCCTGACCCATTTTGAGCTGGGCCTTTGCGAAACCCAAGTAAGCCGCCTTCTCAACGAACACCTTGGCCGTGTCAAGACTGAAGAGCAAGAGGCCGTCGGGGAGGGTGATGTCGGGCAGATCTCGACCGACGAGCATGCCGTAGACATAGGACCCCTGCGGCGCGTCCTCGTCAGCGCTGTCGGCAGCAGCCTGGATGCGCTCCAGCCCCCGAGGGTAGTCCTTTGTCTCGCCATGCTGGCCGAGAAGGCTCATCATGCCCATTCGGTACAGGGCAGCCGAGTCTTTCAAGCTCATGCCCTTGTAGTAGTGCTCCTTGGCCTTGGACATGTCGTTGGATTGCTCAAACAGCATGCCGAGGCGATACTCGGAGCGCGCGTGGCCCAGCTCCGCGGCTCGTTTATAGCCGCTGTAGGCCTCACGCTTGTCGACGCGGTGGCCAAACTTGCCAAACTCGAGCCATTTGGCCTGGATGTACAAGGCGTCGGGATGCGCCTGGTGGGCCAGGTAATTGATGATGTTCATGGCGTCCTCGCGCAGCTCGTGCTCGATGCGTGGGGTGGCCGGGCGAGCCTTGTCCGAGTGCTCCCGGGCGGCGGCGTCGGCCGCAATGTCGACCCAGGTGAGAACGTCGCGAGCCCAGCTGATCTGCATGGAAACGTTCTGGGAGTGCAGCACATGCTTGCGCGCAGTCCACAGTATCCCCTCCTTTGCGTCGTCGGCCGGGGGGACATTGTCGCCCGTCACCTTTGGGAAAGGCGAGAAAGAGGGCGCTTCCCGATCCATGCTGTCGAGCCTCCGCGCCCGGGAGTCGTTGTTTTGGTAGGCTCTGTGGTCGGCGTCGGCTGCGGGGTTGGATTGGGATTGGGGCAGGTCGGCAGCCTGGTCAGCCCTAGAGCGCGTACTCAATGAATGTAGTTCTCGACGGGACGCGGCGTCGGTCGTGTTCGATGTCTCCTTTCCTTTGGGATCAAGTTCGAGGCGCTGGAGATCGTCTTGCATGTTCTGGGGTATCTGGGGAGTTACCCTGGAAAATGGAGAGGACAAAAGAAGTCGTCAGCGCCCAGACCCACCACAGACGAACAACACAAGGCACACCAACGCGCGAGACCGGGATGGACGCGCGCGGCAGAGAGGTGCCTCGGCCATGGACAAGAAAAGAGAGACGGAGGCAGCAAGAGAAGGAATGGCGTGGTCACTCACCGTCGCGGGGAGGGGGAAACGACGTCGGGCATATAATAATCATCCAGGCCACCAGGAACAAAAGTCGCACTAAGCTGAGGAGGCATGTCGGGGGGGTAAAGCAAGGCCCAGGGGTCTGTGGGTGCAGCGAGGAGAGGGCAGGGCAGGGCAGGGCAGTCCAGTCAGCTCGTCCTTGGGACCAACAGGACAAGGCTGCGGAAGCGGCACGGCTCGCGTCTTGGGTGTGCGGCGCGTCTTGCGATGCAGGACGACGGGGCGTGTCGCGCAGCAGCGAGGTCGGCCACGTTTGCGCCTCAGTTGGATGAGAAGGAAGGCAAGTTGGCGGCGCTTGAGCGGGATAAGCCTGAGTGCATGCGAGAAGAGGGCGGGATCAGTGAGAGGGCGATGAGTGCGAGGGCGATGAGTGAGAGGGCGTCGACGGGCGGAACGGGCCAAGGGAGCAGTCGGCCATCGGTTAGGGAAGCCCAGCTGCTTGGCAAGGCTCGAGATGGCGAGAGGGACGATCGTTTGTCGCGATGGTTGCCAGTAGCGTCTGGGAGGGTGGTGTTGCTTGAGGAGGGGGGCGAAGCAGGTACCTGGCGAATACCTGGACCGTTTAGGGTGCTGATCAGAGTCGAACCGTTCTCCTGACGAACGGCCAGTCCGAGTTCCCGGTTCTCTCTCCTTGATCCTCTCCTTGATCCTCTCCTTGATCCTCTCCTTTCGCCCTTATCCCTTCCCCATGCCCTTTTGCTCTATTCATGGCCTGTCGTCGAGAGCTCAAACACCCGTCGTCGAGACATGATTAAACATGCGACAAGGTCCCGGTCGGTGCTTGGGGGATGCTTCTGCGCCTCTCCGAGATTACTTCTAGGTAGAGGTAGGTACTATACTGTACGTAATTACAGGACTTGGAGCGCATCAAGACACTACAATAATAAAGCAACAACCTGTAAGTGCTACTACTACTACTACTACTACCTAGGTAGCCTAGGTAGGTAGATAGATAGGTAGGCACCTTGCACCTGGAATTACAGTATAGCGACCGCCCATCCGGACTGGGCTCGTTGAAAGTACTACAGGTAGGTAGGTACTGCACCCTCTTGCAAGGAACACAGTGGTCGTAATAAGGCATGAGGCATGAGCATGAGCCCCCTACAAGGAACCTGCCAGGTAACAGGTGGGGTTCGGGCCCCAGTTGCCGGTGGAGATTGGAGACGTCGTCCCAGGACAAAGTGTCGGCGTGTAAGACGAGGAAAAACTCATCCTCGGGGCAAAAGGCGGTCGATGCAACCTTGCGAGGCAACCGCGCGTTGTTGTATTTAGGGCCAGACAACCAGGTGGCTAGCCATGTTCTTCGTCCTTTGCTATCCATTCTTTTTTCCTTTGACGAACAAAAGGGAGTGTGTTTATTGTTGTTGGCGGCGAAGCTTGCATAGCCATAATCCATAAAAGCAGCCGTAATGACGTGGCATCCACCCGTCCAGGTAAGACGGTAAGAAGGCTGGGTAACCCAGCAAGGTCGCTTGCCAAGGTCGTGGTTGCTCTCGCTCTTGTTGACGCGAAGCGCTCATGTCTCGGGAGCACCATATAGAACCCGGAGGTCCGGGCCCCTGTCTCGGTAAAATATTATCGTCGTCGGAAGGTACGGGCACAATGCTTGATTCGTCGCACCGGTCCGATGTGGTTTACCTAGTCGTCACTGCCCCCCTTTTCTCCTCGGACAAACCAGCAGACGAGCCGGTGGACGAGACAGCAAAGGGCAGGCATCCCAAACACTGGTGCCGAGCCAGCAAGCAACTCGAGGTCGGATAACGCACCATTAATGAGCATCTCCCGTCATCACAAGCGAGGCGCATGTCCCACCCGGCCAATCTGCCTTGGCCAGGCAGTCAGTTCCTCTCTCCACTAACTTATTCGCCGCTTTTGTCAACAAGGCGAAATGATCGTGTTACGCTACGTCTACTACCTCTAGGTACTAATTAATTACTGCCTGCCTTCCTAGTGCAATCATCACTACCTACCTACGTATCACTGTACAGTACTGTACGTAGGTACATAGCACTCCCAGCCTCGACACCTGCAGAATGCACCTGCCTATCAATTGTAGTGCTTCGGATACACATACGTACTAGGTATGTACATAAGTATGTACAGCCTAGAACCAAAGAGCTTGCTGTCCTTGCCCTCGCCCAGCTGCCGCCCGCCACACCTTTTGTGCTCGGTGGCCGACGATCCTTGTACTGTAACTTATTGTTTCTGTTGATCCCGCCGGGCGGGAGTGCCTTTTCCCGTGCATTACATAATGACAAAATTCGGAACCAGGCCCAAGGCGGCCATGAAGCTCGCGTCATCTTTTAGCCTAGCCCGCAGCCCACCAAGGCCAGCCAACCACGTGCATCCGCGGCCATGTTACGGTATACGTACCTACTAGTTATTACTGTACCTGGCAACTGAGCTACCAGAGACACGACCGAGTTTGTGAGAAAACGCATCATCCATCCAGACAACAACACCAGCTCCCCGTCTCGTTGCGGTATAGAACCCACCGCTGCGGCGCATTTCTTCTCGCCCCCCTCTCCCCGACCACTGCTCCCGCCGACACCCCATCTCCCACCATGGCAGACCGCGACCTCTCCCAGATTCTGGGCCAGCTCCGGCATTCCCCGTCCATGAGCTATCCCGAAGCCAACGGCCTCCTCTCAAAGGCCAAGCTTTCCCTTCTCAAGCTCAACGCCCTCACCCCGACCCCCGACGCCTCCTCCAACCTCCTCGCCCTCGCCCGCGAGACCTACGAGCAAGGTGCCCTCTTCGCCATCCGCGCCCGCAATCCCGAGGCCTTTACCCGCTACGTCCGCCAGCTCCAGCCCTTTTACGAACTGCCCTCGTCGAGACTACCTCCCAACCTTGCCGAGCGCAGCAAGGTTACCGGCTTGAGCCTCCTGCTGCTCCTCACCCAGGGCCGCTACGCCGAATTTCACTCCGAACTCGAGGGCCTTGCCAATAGGGACGGCAGAGGCAGCTCTGGTGACGTCGAGGGCGATCGCTATCTCGGATACCCGATCAGGTTGGAGAGATGGTTGATGGAAGGCAGCTATGACCGAGTCTGGAAGGCCATGAAGAGCAGCGAGGTGCCGTGCGATGAATACAGCGTCTTCTCCGAGGTAAATCACCACTCCCTGCCAATGCCCGCTTGAACCTGAACACATGGCTCATTCTGTCCCTCCCCTTGTCTAGATTTTGAAGAACCAAATCCGTTCCGAAATAGCCAGCAGCAGCGAACGCGCCTATCCCAGTCTCCCCATCAGCTCTACCAAGTCTCTCCTGTTCCTCGATTCCGAGGGCGACGTCATCCAGTTTGCCGGGCAGCGCGGATGGGCTGTCAGAGACGGCCACATCTTCTTTCCAGATGCGGCCGAGACGGGCGAAGATGGCGGTCAGAGCAAGGATCTTAGCCAGATGGTTATCGAGAACACGTTGGGTTATGCCCGCGAACTGGAGACAATTGTATAAATAATAACAGATTGGCGTATTGGTCAATTCACCCCAAATATCATAACAAGGCAGGCTATGACCCTGCAAGTTCGTACCGGTCTGGACTTCGCCACCTCCTGTCATACCTCCATGCACAAGTTTACTTCAGCTTTCAATTGCAATGCCCGTCTTTTGCTCCTGAATTGAGAACTTAAGCTAGAGAGACCCTTCACACTGCCAGCTTCTCCTAATTCAACACTCATCATCTCCACCCTCGCTGCAAGCTTCTGATGGTCCTTTTTCCTCGCCCACGCCTACACCGGCATCTAGTTCAGTCGCCGTATACAGCAGTTACCCAGTGTTCCGCCCGGGGTCGTTTATTCATCTATGCGAAGAGCTTCAAACCACTACCGTGCTTGCCAATTTCGCAAACCTCGCACACCCTGCATACCGTGCCCTTGTACTTGGAGTGGTACTTGGATCCGTCGAAGGCGCATTCTTCATACGAGGTCCCGCTGTAGATGGGCGTGTGACTGGCAGCACATACTTCAAACTCGGCAAACTGGTCAAACTCGATGTCGATGGCGTCGTTGGGGTTCCTCTCGCACTGAGCCTTGGTCTTTTTGGCCTGTAGTTGACTCTAGTTAGCAAAGATACTTGACTACGCAGGAGCACAGCCTTTGGAGACTTACATTCTCCACAATCTTGCTGGATCCACCGTTGGCAATGATGCGGTTGGCAAAGCTGAGAGCCGAATTGTAGTTCTTGTTCCTGACCGCAAGCTGCATCGCACTCAGCAAAGCCAGCTGTCTGTGCGGCACCTCAATCTTTGGGATCGTGAAGTACGCCGACAGCTCCAGGCTCTTCTTCAACTTGGCTGGATCCTGGGCCACGACATCCGGGCCGCCAAGCGTCCTTCGCGCCAGCTCAATGTCCATGGCCACGGCATACTCGCTCGCCGAAATGATGAGCTTCTTTGCCTCAGCCACTTCGTCCTCGCTTGATACGGCGTTGATCAGAATTGCGTGCAAAATGCCCTTGAACAGTGCACGTCCGTCCTCCAGCTTGTTGGCTTTCATGGAATCGTATCCTTTTTGCAAGTCATTGGCGGCAAGATACTCTAGGTCTCGGGGAACAATAGGGAGCACTTGACGGGGGTCCGTTTCGTCGACAGTTCGGCGAACATAGTTGATTAGAGACGGCAGGCCGGAGGAGGCAGGTAAGAAGGTCCTGGATGCTCGGTAAACCTCCAAGAAGCGAGGCTTCAGCGGCGCAAAGTTCACGGCGCCGACTTGACGGTTCAAGAGCTGCATGGCAGTCTCAAACGAGCCGCCAGAAATGTGATCGACTGCCAGAGGGGAGTTTCGCGCCCAAAGATCGGCTTCGCTGCTGCCCGCTCCGCCGGCGTCGGCGCTGTCGACATTGATGAAGTCGCTGTCGGCCTCAGGCACATCGTCTTCGCCCATGTCCCAGCCGGCCACGTCTTCGTCTTCGTCCTCGGCCAGGGCGCCATTTCGTTTCGTGGCGGCGTCCAACTCCGCGCCGTCATCCAAAGCCATTCCGTCGGCGCCAGCCGGCTTGTCTCCGAGAGACAGCCCCTCCACCTGACCAAGCAAGGCCTTCTCGAAGAAGGACTGCGAGTTAGCCTTTGTGGGCCAGTTGGCTTTGAAAGTCGGCACAACCGGCTTGGGCGGTGTCAGGGACCCGCCCAACGCGGGCATGTTGAGCTGATCTTCGGTCGCACCAGTGGCTTCCAGAATGGCTTGGCACTCCTCATCCAGGCCGTGAGACTTGGCCGTCATATAAGCCAGAGGGTCTGTTTGGAAAGTCAGCGAGCTGTTTGACTGGACTTTGCAGTAAACATACAAAGATCAATCTCCTTGAACATCTGGACACGGTCTTCGACTTCACCGAGGAACAAGGCATTGTGAAATCGAGAGGTAAAGTCCCCGCGGTGCTCTGCAATCTTTGCCATCCGGGCAAGCTTGGAGTGATCGCCAGTAGCAAGATAGAGGAAAGACAGCTTGTCGAACTGCTTGAGTTTCTGGTAGCACATTTCCACAATCTGGTGGTTGCCATGAGCCAAGGCCTCGGTGCCCAAGCGAGTCCAGAACTTGGGCTTGTCTAGTTCCTTTGACATGTCAACAGCAACGTCGAGGTTACTGCACTCGATGGCCAGATCAAAGCGCGTAGTTGGATCCTGCACAAATTGCAGGGCTATCTCGGGATAGCCCTTCTTCTGCAGATACGAAATGATCGACTGGCCCACAAGACTCGAGGTTCGGATAATATGAAGCATCTCTTCGTAGTTTCTCTTGACAAGCGCAAGCTTGAACCGGTACTCGGTGGGGTCGATTTGCAGGATCCGGGGCTTTGCACCTCGGTCGAGGCAGTACACATTGCGACCCTTGACTCGCACCAAGTAGACAGTCTGATCCAGAGTTCGGACGATGCCGTTGTCGCCGTTGAGCAGGGTGTACTTGACGTGGTTCAGAGTCGAGTAGAGAAGGACTCCGGCATCATCCCACGTGGCGCTCTTGATTCGGATTGTCTCGTGCAAAGTGCTGACCTGCTCAAGCGTCTTGGTCACGACTGTTACATTGTGCTTGCTGAGAAGCGCAGCGTAAAGGCCGTCGTTGGACCACACGACATACTTGACGCCGTTCACAGACAGCTCAGCAGTGCTCTTCTTTTGCTGTATGTCATAGAGATGCACCGCCGTGGGGGTAATGATGAGAAGGTTGCCAGTGCCACCAAAGTAGATGTCGGATGTTCCGGCCGGCGGTTTGAACGATCGGGTCGTGTTGTTCGACAGGTCCTTGATGTCAATGGTTTGGTTGGACGTGTCAAGCACAGCAAAGCGATTTCTGGCCACAAAGATGGCTGCGTTGCCAGAACCCCGTTTCGTCTCTGTCGGCTCAATGGCCCCAGATCCATCTTTTGGAAGGTTGACCAGTTCGTATGATCCCCCGTCGGCCGGCGTCGTCACCAAGACCGATCTCTCAGCAGGGTTATACGACAAAGTCCGTGGGGTGACCCAGGCGCTGCCGAGCTTCTTCAGAGACACCAATGTTGGACTCTCTGCGTTTTTCTGGAAATCGTACGACTTGACATGCTTCTCCTTGTTGATGTAGAAGAGCACGTTTTGGTGTGTGGCCGAGGCGGGACGCTCGCGTTCCAGCTTAAACACCATGACTCCATTATCATGGCCGGCGGCAAACAAGTTGATCTCAGGGTGTGCCGCAATGACCCAGAACCTATCATTCTCTCGCTTGAAGGACTGGACAGCAGTTCGCTTGTTCAGGTCCCACACTCGAATGGTCTTGTCTTCACCGGCAGATAAAATCAAGTCTTGATGAGGGTGAAAGAGACAGCCCGAAGCGTTGTGGAAATGGCCCCTGCAGGTGTCGACCTCCCAAGCCTTGGTCTCGCTCATGCGCCAAAGCTTCACTAGCCGATCGTCGCCAGCGGAAACGATCAGGGGCATTGTCGGGTGGAAAGCGACCCAATTGACGCCGCGGTCGTGGCCCTCCAGCACAAACTTGACGACGGCATCCGTATTACCAAACATGTCAGCCTGGTTTTGGTTGGCGCGAGCCATCTGGTCTTCGAAGCTCATGGAGGTCGGGGCCGAGTGTTTCTTGCGGAGGCCAGATATGTCCCAGACGCGAACGGATTGGTCTAGTGATGCGGAAACGACGAGGTCTTCCTTGGGGTGGAACTGGGCACACATGGCATAGTGGTTGTGGCCTGTCATTGTGCAGACTTTTGAGGGGTCAGTGCAGCCCATCCAGATGACGTGTCAGCTTGGAAAACATACTCAACGAGCGGTTCTGCCAGTTCCATATCCGAATGGTTTGGTCGTCGGATGACGAGAGAATCCAAGGCAGCTCGTGGTGAAAGAAGACGGTCCGGACGTAGTCGAGGTGGCCGTTCAGGGTGAAGAGGCAGCGGCGGGTTTGGTATGACCAGACCTTGATCTTGTAGTCGTCGCCACCAGAAATGAAGAGCGGCTGCGTCTTGTGGAAGTCGACGCCTCGGACGGGCCCGTCGTGCTCTTCAAATCGATCGATCAAGGTGCCCATGCGATAGTCCCAAAGCTGGATTGTGGATGAATGGAGCGACACGAGGATCCATGGTCTGCTAGAGTGTCAGCACGGGCAGTAGTGGCTCTGATGCTCGACAATCACCTTTTAGGGTGGAAGGCAATGCCCTTTGCTCTTGAAGATTTCGACTCGAACTAGAGCTTGGTTAGCTCGCGAAGCTGAGATGGCGTGCAGCCGTTCTCGCGCACCTTGGTCAACATTCCCGGGGAGGACTGCATCCTGGCGGGGAGGTGAAGCCGCAGCTTCGAGCGTCAGGAAGGGGGTAATTGGTTTCACGCAGGCCTTGGTGAGCGCAAGTCTGGCTGGACAGCTTGCGTGAGTGCTATGCTTGTCGCGAGCTTGGCCAGCACAGCACGTCGTGCATCGAAGGGGACGGAGGTGGGAGGCGGGAAGATGCCGCGCTGTCGTGCGATTGAAGCATCGTGTCCATCTTCAATTGTGGGCTTCGACTGCGTCTAGCCGCCGCAACAATGTTTTGCCGAGCCAGGGTACGATGCCGGCGGTGCCTGCGCTGCGGTAAGGAACAGAGCACCCCGTAATTTATTTAGCCCTTGGGGCCAATAACGAAACAGTATTCCAGAGGGCTAATCGGCTGCAGGGCGAAGTGCACTGTGCTCTTCTACGGTACGCACGTGGTCACGGCCGGTGCTGAGCGTCTCAACTTGAAGGTATACCTATCTAGGTATCCACTAAGTAGGTACCTGCCCAGCACTGCAAAAGTAAACCGGTTACCGGTACTTCGCTCGCTTGCGCCTTCGGAGCGGCCCCTAAATCCGTATGTACCTCACAGATTTCATGTCACTAGACCTAATTGAGAGAGCTGTTGTTGCGACTGTGTTCAGAGCCCGTTGCCTGCTAAGCTGGAGTGCCCGTTGTCTGTATTCAGCGAGCTTTCCATTGCTCGACACGCGACGATTGGGGACAAAGATATGAGTCGAGGCCTCTGTTTGACTCTGTCTGCACTCGACGTCATCGAATTGCGGCCCAAGTGTGCAGTTCGGCTTGAGTAACTGGCCCAGAGGACTGGCAACTTTGCTGCGAACCCCAGGCAAAGAATCCCATATGCTCGTCTTGGGTCCAACCAGCCGTTTGTCTGCTTGTCCATACTTCTTCTCCATCATGGCTCGTTCCCGCAGCCTACCATGGGCTCTGTGCGCCGCCATCATGGCAGCGTTGCCGGCTATCGCCACCCCGTCCGTCAACGTCGGCATGAACGCGGCATTCTCAGCCGGACCGTATCTGCTGGAGCTCCTGTTTGTTCCCCCCAATTGACTTCCGTCTTCGTCGTACGGATGCTAAGTCGCGGCTAGCGAGACTGCGGCGGCGGAGAACGAGACAGCCTACTTTCCCTTGCTCGACCGGCTTGCGAGTGGCCATTTCGCTTCAGCCTCATCTGATGCCGACTTATACAACAAGTTCGTGGCCGTGCTCAAGGATGACGGCCACATTCCAAGTTCCGAGGCTCTTTCCACTTTCAACCTCGCTTTGTCGCTCCGGTCCGCTGCTCCTCGGGTTGAAGCTCACTACCAATATTACACCACTGCGGTGGAACCTCTCGTCGCCGATTCCCATTGCCAGAACTGGGTCTTGCTCGAGGGAAAGCAGTACTGTACTCCGGCGCTGGACAGCTTCGTCAAAGAGGGTCTTTCATCGTCGTACGTGACAATTTCCCTTTCATAGTGTCCAAGTATAAATCTGACCTTCCACATAGCCGTGAAATAGCGTTACCGTTTGACCGCATACTCGGATCTGGTCGGGAAGCTGTCCTCTTCGCCGATCCGACCTCAGACTCCTTCGGCGAGTTTCACAGAGCTCTGAGCAAAGCGGCTCGCGCTCTGGAACTCAAGTATCGACTACGTTATCGTCTCCGCAAGGCGAGCACTGCCCAGGCCTTACCTGTCAGCGGTTTCGGCGTCGAACTGGCCCTGAAAAGGACAGATTACATTGTGATTGACGACAGAGAAGACGCTCCGGACTCGGGGCGGAAACTCCGGGAGTCGGGTGACATTCTCGACGGACAGGAAGAAGTTGCTGACTTGAAGCCGTTGTCCACGTCCGAGCTTGTCTCGCTTGGCACGAAAGCCGCATCCTTTATTCAAGAGAGCGATAACCCGTTCGAAACGCTCATCAGATTAACTCAAGACTTCCCCAGGTTCTCTGCATCTATCGCTGCCCATAACATTTCCAAGGCCTTCAGCACCGCTCGTGAGCAAAGCCAGGCGAATGCCGCCCCTGCTGGAGTAAACGTTCTGTGGATGAATGGCGTTCAACTCATTGACCGTCAAATCGAACCATTCGCTCTTGTGGAGATGCTTCGCCGTGAGAGGAGACTCATCAACGGTGTTCGAAATCTCGGTCTCAATGGGAAGCAAGCTGTATCGCTCCTCGGCCACAAGGCCGTCTCCATGGCCAAGGGCGAACAAGAATCGCCTAGATATGACTGGACCGACCGACTGGAAGACGGACGAGTCATTGTCTGGCTCAATGATCTCGAAAAGGATCCGCGCTATGATAATTACCCCAAGTCCTTGTCATCGGTATGTTCGCAGCCTGTCCGCATGAGTTCAAAAACTGACCATCCCCTGCAGCTGCTGCAACGCACCTTTCCTGGCCAGATGCCGCCAATAGGCCTCAATATTTTCAACCTTGTCGTGCCTGTGGATTTTTCGAAAAGTGAGGACGTGAATACTGTCACTCAGATGGCATCTATCATGAGCCGGGGCATCCCTATACATTTCGGCTTGGTTCCATTGACGTCCACCGTCGAAGCTACCGCTCAAGCCAAGGTGATATACTACTTGCTGGAAAATCACGGTGCAGAGGCGCTTTTGGCTTATATTGAAGGCCTGGAGAAGAATCCCCAAACCGCAGTTGACGAGAAGCAGTTTACCACAGTTGTCGCCAGTGGGGAGCCGCTCTCGGGCTCTCTGAGAATGTCACTGCCCGAAGTACTCGAGGCGGAGACCTTTGAGAAACAGACCAAATTGGCGCGTCACTGGGCGGAGAGACTGAAAGCGGACACGGCAAGCAGACTCCTTTTCATGAATGGCGTTATCATCACTCGCGACCAGAGTTGGATGCAGACGATGAGTATGAAGATCGGTGAAGACCTTCAAACGATTCAGAAAGAGATATTCCAAGGAACTCTGGATGAAGAGGCTTGGGTTCCCGGCGTCTTTCTGGAAGGCGCGGCCACGAGACGCAACGAATACATTGCGCTTGACAGCGACAAGGGCCTTCGAATGCTTGATGTCAGCCGGTTCTACACTGAGCACGCCACTTTATTCAGCACTATTCCAGTCCTCGAACCATATTCGGAGTCGACAAAGGAAAATTGGGCCACTGCAACGATTGTCGCTGACATGACAACCCCTGACGGATTGGAGCTGGTCTTGGCAGCCTTGGAGTTCAAACGCAACAACCCAGGCGCACGCCTCGAGCTCATTCACAACCCGGAGGATTCCTTGACTGCTTCTCTGGTGAATTCAGCCTTCAAAGCACAAGAGGGGACGTTGGACGCCATAGAGACAATCGACAAGTTGAGTGACTTGCCCAAAGCGGCCGAGAGCGCTGTTGCAGATGAGAATTATGCGCCGGCCCTCTCGGCATTTCTCAAGATGGGCAGGATCGAGCCAGGCCAAAAGATTATCATATTGAACGGTCGAGTCATCGGGCCAATTTCCGCGGGCGATCCATTCACGACGGATGACTTTCAGCAACTCTTGGAATTCGAACAAAAACGTCGCATTCTCCCAGTCTATGCAGCATTTGATGACCTTGGGCTGAGCGACAAGCTCTCCAGCGCTCTTGCCGCAGCTATGGCCACATCCATCACTGCCCTCTCGACAAACTCCGACCTCCCGGAAGGAATCTTTGAATCGGCGCCGGCCGTTCGTTCCACTCTTTACGATTCTTGGAACGTGAGCCACGCTGCTATCGAAGTAGGAGATCCCGAGAATGCAAGCATCCACATAGCTGGCCTTTTGGACCCTGTTAGTGAGAAGGGCCAAAGGTGGGCTCCTATTCTCAAAGTATTGTCGGAACTGGATGGGGTATACCTTAAACTCATACAAAACCCCCGCGAGAAAATTAGCGAGCTGCCGTTGAAGCGGTTTTTCAGATATGTCATGGACTCGAAGCCCTCGTTTGACAAAAATGGCAAGGTCAGGGCCCTAAAAGCCACGTTTGGGAGTCTGCCATCGGAGGCGCTTTTGACAGTTGGCATGGATGTTCCGCCAGCATGGCTTGTCGCGCCAAAAGAGTCGGTCCATGATCTTGACAACATCAAACTGAGCTCTGTCAAGTCCGACGTCGACGCCACGTACGAGCTGGAGCACATTCTTATCGAGGGTCACTCAAGAGAAGGCCGAGGGAAGCCTCCTCGAGGTGCGCAACTGGTGTTAGCGACAGAAAAGAGTCCCATGGTCACGGACACGGTTGTGATGGCAAATCTCGGCTTCTTTCAGTTCAAGGCAAATCCCGGCTTCTACAACATCAGGCTAAAGGAGGGACGGACGGCAGATATCTACACGATCGAGAGTATAGGGGCCCAAGGATGGGAGGCCGCTCCCAATGACGAGGGAACTGAGTTGGCGTTGATGGACTTTCAGGGAACGACGCTGTACCCGCGCCTCAAACGACGCCCCGGGATGGAGCAGCAGGATGTTTTGGAAACAGCCGACGGTTCCTCTGCTGGCAGCATAGTCTCCAAGGGCATCAAATTTGCCGAAGAGCTTCTTGGCGGATCCAAAGCCAAATCGCTGTCGGCCCAGGAGCATGCGGATATCAACATCTTCTCCGTGGCCAGTGGGCACTTGTATGAGCGAATGCTCAACATCATGATGGTGTCCACCATGCGGAACACCAAGCACAGCGTCAAGTTCTGGTTCATCGAACAGTTCCTCTCGCCGTCGTTCAAGGAGTTCATCCCGCACCTGGCCAAAGAGTATGGATTCAAGTACGAGATGGTGACGTACAAATGGCCGCATTGGCTGCGGCAGCAGAAGGAGAAGCAACGCGAGATTTGGGGGTACAAAATCCTGTTTCTCGACGTGCTCTTTCCCCTGTCGCTCGACAAAGTCATTTTCGTCGATGCGGACCAGATTGTGCGGACTGACATGATGGACCTGGTCAATCTCGACTTAGACGGGGCGCCCTATGGCTTCACACCCATGTGCGATTCGCGCACCGAGATGGAAGGATTCCGCTTCTGGAAGCAGGGATACTGGGCAACCTACCTTCGGGGCCGCCCTTATCACATCTCGGCGCTCTACGTCGTCGACCTGCGCCGCTTCCGAGAGCTCGCCGCCGGCGATCGGCTGCGGCAACAGTACCACGCGCTGAGCGCGGATCCGGGCAGCCTGTCCAACCTGGACCAGGACCTGCCGAACCACATGCAGTTCGACATTCCCATCCACAGTCTGCCGCAGGAATGGCTGTGGTGCGAGACGTGGTGCAGCGATGAGAGCCTGACGCAGGCGCGCACTATTGATCTCTGCAACAACCCGCAGACAAAGGAGCCCAAGCTCGACCGCGCCAGACGCCAGGTCCCCGAGTGGACCGTCTACGATGATGAGATTGCCAAGGTGGACAAAAAGCGAAGGCAAAGGCTTCAAGACAAGAAGAGCGCGGGGGACACTGCATCTGTCGATGAGGAGGCTGTGAGTCGTCAGCCTGACGCCATTGGAGAAGAGGCGCAACGCGAGGTCAATACCAAGAGCCGCAACTGGGATGAGGCGGATGGCGGCAGGGTCCATTCCAAGGACGAGCTCTAGACGGTCATGTATCCTCTTTTTTCCTGTCATGTTACCAAATAGAGAGGGATCCTTACAGGGAGCCCGTTTATTAGGGGACAACTGTTCAAACGTGCTTCTCCGTACTCCGTATGGTCACATTATTCGTGTGGCTGTAAAAGCTCTCTGCTTTCCCCCCTCCGTCCCTGGCCTTCTCATGCATCATGTCACCACAGGCTTCCAAGCGGTAAGCGTCAATAAGCCAGCTCGCACACCTCTCAGCCCCCTAGAGGTCCCATTGTCAGACTTGGAACAGGTCTGCCAACCCAGCCCCCTCTCCTCCCCCCCCCCACCTTCAGGTCTCCTTGAGCCAACGACAGGCGAGGGAAGAGACAGTCGGTGTCGTTTCTCAACTTCATCTTTCGCAAATCACCAAGTCCATCTCTGGACAATATAGCGAGAACCAACAGTCGTTGTTACGTCTCTTCAACCCCAATAAAGCATCTTCTTGTCAAACTCGGAGCCCGTCTGCACCCCGACATCGCCAGCCAAGATCGGGCATCATGTTTCAACCTCGTACGTAGACTGCCAACAGAAACGCCGCATATATTGCACTCCTTGCTTGGCCTTGGCCGTTACTCCCATGTGTGCGTGTTGCGTGTTGCTTGGCGGCGCTCTCCCGTGCCGAGCATCAAGTTTAATATCTCTGACCGCTCCTCTCTCCCCCAGTCGCCGCGACACGAAGCTGCGTTGTCATGCTATCAAGACTCGCCGCCCAACCTTTGTAGGATTCTCGCTATAATCTATTTCGGCAGCTTACTTTAGAAGACGGCCCGGCGCACAGCAGACTCTGACGCCGCGGGGGAGATATAACTGGCGTTGAGATGGGCATCGATCGGTAGATCCAAAATCGCAATAGTCTTCGCCACCAACGCCTCGTGTATGTGATGCACTATCGTGTCTAGTCTCCAGTCCCAACCGAGTCTCCCTCCCGTGCCAAATCGGCTCCAAGACGTTCGGGGTCAAAACGAACACTCCAACCCGGACCCATCATGAGCCGTGAATGTAGAGTGCAACGGCGTGAGCCCAGGAAAGGAAATCCCCGCGATGACGGAAGGGGGAAAGCAGTTTTCTTGGGGCACCGATCCCTTGGAGCCGCAGAAACTCGATAAACGGCGTGAACTGGCGGGTATATTGCAATAAATGCCACGTTTTCGACAACCAACGGAAGCAAACAAGAACGTCCCACAGTTGCGCAACTTTCATAATTGGGCAAACAACGGAGAGCGTCGGGGGCAGGTAGGCCCCTTAGGGTTGGCTGTTCTCGCGCTCTTCCCGGATAGATGTCATGGACGAGCCGGGCACCCCACCCGAGAGCGACGGCTGACTGGGTGGCGGCATCGCCGAGGGCGGCTTCTGGCCAGTGGCGGACATCGCGCCGCTCATCATCTGGCTTGTGAGCTGGGCGGGGTTGATGGCACCGTCGCCTTCGACGCTCGACCCTGAGCCGGTAGTTACGCCGGCCACATGAGGTTTTGGCGTCTCGGAAGGGAGCTCTTTATGCAGGGGGGAAGAGGGTATCGGCGATGCGGACTTCTTGCTCTGAGAATCGCCGTTCCCGTTGTTGCCTCCTCCCCTCGACGAATTGCGGGGTGACACGCGGCCAGTCTAGGGTCCCAATGTCAGTCCGACTGACCATCACCTGCGCGTCACTGTTTCACGGATCTCTCACTTGTTTAGCCCAGCGAAGACCGCAGCTATTGCAGAGATCCCTCTGGCCACTGGGTCCCCTCCGCCACTCGGGTGTGTTTCGCGTGTGACAATTGGCACAGTCCCTGACCAAATTGCCAACGCCTTTTCTACGCTTCCTTTTCTTCTTGTTGGACAGGAGCCCCCCGAGTTCTTCGGCAAGAATTCGGTTGACCTTCTCCATTTGTCTTAACTCAAACTGCCAGCTGGAGCACTTTGTCGTTCGAAGTTCGTCAAAGACGTTGTCGTCCGAGGCCAGAGCTGCGTCCTGCGTCTCTGGAAGCAAAGCACCTCCTGTAGGTTGCGAAACATGTTGGGGGCCGGGCGTTTGCGGGCTGGATCTGGGCGTCGCAGCCGTAGACCCCGTCGTGCTCGCAGGGGCAATGCTACGCGACGAGGCCTTGAGAAGCTTCGTCTGGGCGAGCAAAAACGACGGTTTCTGTCCTTCTGCGGCGTCGCCAGGGTAGAGGAACGTTTGTGCCTGCAACCCTTGACCTCGTCGGTTCTGGACTTCATGCTTGCACGAGACAATCTTGCCCCTCCTAGCCTTCTCGATTGATCTGCCAAACTCGTTTCGTGACTCTTTCCGCATCAGTTCCTGGATACTTGTGCCAACAAGAGACTCCGGCTGGAGATCGAGGAGTGACCGAACATTGGAAGAGACAAAAAGGAACATTCCGGAGGTGGACAGCTTGGTCCAGAGTTCGCTATCGCCAATCCCGCCCGTCGTCTCCAGGCTCTGCCTGCTGAGTGCGAAGACGGGTCGTTTGCGCCCGACCAGAATAATGCACTTGCGACCCTTGCCTTGCTCGACAAAGAGGGACCCGTGGCTTTCGAACCAAGTATACCCGCTCTGCTTTCGGCGTATTCTGAAGACTATGTTCACCTGATTGCCGGCTGTGGCATCCTTCAGCTCTCGGGTGACGGGCACAATGTCGGAGGGATGGCAGACAGAAGAAAGCGAGTTGCCGACAAGGTCCGCAGCGTCGTATTCGAGCACTCGCTTGCACGAAGGCGAAAGGTAGAGGAAAAGGCCTTTCAAAGAGAGCACATGGACGACGTCATCCGTGTTTTCCAACAGCATTTTGTCCCATGATTGCTTATGCCAGTCCGATACTAAGCCTTTGGGGTTGAACTGCTGCAGCAAGGTGGATACGTCGTCGACGCCAAGCGTCTGACCGTTCTCGGGTTCCCACTGGGTGGTAGAAGGAGGGGTCCAGATATATTGGCCAATGTCGTTGTGCTTGTAGTTGACCGTGACGCCGCCCATTTCTTGACCAGAGATGGCGTCGGGGCATTCCACGAGATCGATCTGGAACCCGATGAAGTATCTGATGTCATCTGTGTCCCACGGTATGGGAATCATGGTCAGGAGATTGAGAAACGGCTTGCCCCCTTTTCGGTAGTTGATGAGGCTTTGCTGGACTTCTTCCCCTCCATGAATCATCTTCTTGAGGTTGTACACGGCTCCGTCGTCGACAAACTCCCGCTTCGAGCCAGCCTCGACCTTCCCGTCCGGGGCCTGTAGGAACCGACAGTTTTGGCCGACAATCTCGTGGCGATTATAGCCCGTAAGATTTTGAAAGTTGTCAGAGACATAGATGATGGGGCAGTCGTTCATTGTGACGTCGCAAACCACGAAGGCGCACGACATGTCGACGGCTCCAAGGTGGATTTTGGGGTCCTTGCGTGTAGCAACCAGCCACAAGGCCTTGAGCATGTCGAAACCGCTCTTGGAATAAATTGTCTTCTCCTTGGGCTCGCGCGGAGTCGGTGCAGGGGTCGGGGTGGTCGTTTCAGAAGCTGCGCTGGCCGGAGCTGCGCTGGCTGACGAGCTTGCCTGCTGAGGAGAAATGAAAGAACCAGACGAAGAGACGTGGCGCGAAAGCGAGGGCGGCATGCTCCGGTTGAAATTGCCCACGTTGGGATCAAGGTTCATGCTGGTCGCAGGAGGGTTTGGCGTGGATCCTATGGAGCTGAATTGAGATGCCGGCATATTCATCATGTCGTCGTCACGGTCATCGGTGGCTGCCACGCTACCTTGGACAGCGCTCGGCGTGGCGTCCATGGAGTCACTTTCCGAACTGATGCCCAGGGAGAAGTCGGCGCCGATAGATGACATCTGGTTTGGGCCGAATTCGTTACCCAGCTGGCTGGTGGATGATCCGCGTCCTGCGCCAGATGCACCGGTCGTGGGAAACAGGTTCATTGCCGAGGAGTCATTGGCCATGGACCCCATGCCCATATTGGCGAATGAGGCCGGGATCATGGAGCCCATCAGATCCGGGGAGATGGCTGAATAATCAGCCGGCTCTGCCATGAAATTGCCCATCTGGTCTGCCATGTTGAGGTTGGTGTTGAGGTTGGGCATGCCTGCGTCCATGGACTGGTCAAACTGATAGTTTCCGAGGTCGTCGTTGCCAGATCCAAACGACATGAAGTCTCCCGCGCCGCCGATAGAGGACATTCGCCTCGGGCTCTGCGCTTGCGTTACCGAGTTGCGATAGGCGTGCGACATGCTCCTCCGGCGCTGCACATCGCTCTGGCTGTTGCGGAGGATGTCTTCGAGTGGATCGCCAGTGATCATGGGCCGATCTGGCATGGCCTGGGACATGGCGGACTGTGGCTGGAGTGGAAGCTGGGCAGACATGTTCAGTGACTGCGAGGTCGATTGCTGGTGTTGCTGCGATTGCTGCTGTCGCTGCTGCCGCTGCTGCATTTGCAATCGGTGGTTTTGTTGATGCTGCTGCTGCTGAAGGTGGCGGTGTTGTTGTTGCTGCTGCTGCTGCTGCTGCTGTTGTTGTTCCTGTTGTTGCTGCTGCTGCTGCTGCTGCTGCCGCTGCTGGGAGAGTTGGCGGTGCAGCTCTTGGGGAGGGAGCTGCTGGTTTGTGTAGAAGCCATCCATGGCGGCAGCATCTGGCTGGAGTGCTATGATCCAGACGTCTGCGAGGCCGGCAGTGGAGGAGCAAAGCAAGGCCGCTCCGACTCAGCGGGCGGGCCTCGTACTTGAGTCGTCTCGGACGTCGGGTGCGCGGCTGCTGTATTTTCAGGCGCAGCGGGCGCGGAGAGCGTTTCTGGGGGGCGAGGAGGTGCGGACGTTTGGTGCGGATCTAGTCTCGGGGGAACGGGGCCAGTCCGGACGGGTTGACGAAGCGGCTGGCGGCAAAAAAACAAATCTCTGTCATCGATGGCGGTTTATAGGCGGTTTCGTCGCGACACGCGAGTGCGGCAGCGGCACAGACTTGATGATATCGGCCGGCTTGCGGGTGGCGAGGGCGGCGAAAGGGAGGAGGGGGGAGGGCGCTGGCAGTGCCGCGGCGGCTCGACGTTGGGAGCGTGGCAGCGGGAGAAATGGCGGCGGCCGTTGAATGAGATGTTCGCCTGATGGCGTTTAAGTAGACTGTCCGGTACGCGTGTGACTGGTCGATGACAAAAGCAGCGACGACGACCCCGGGGGGAGGGGATTCGAATGCGGTTTGCGCCTGTGCATCTACCAGGTACGAGCAGCGTCTGAGGTGGGAGGATAGGATACTGTAGCATGGAAAGATGACAAGGTAGGGGAGAGAATGCCGTTCTGTGGGGAGGGGGAATTAAGAAAACGGAGCCTTCTCCGCTGCTGCTCTCCGGCACGTACAGCACTAACTTGTCCCGTAAAAGAAGTACCCTTGAATCGAGCCAGCTGTTGCGGCAGTGGGCTGGTATCCAGCACGAAGAACAGGGTTAGATGCGGTACTTGGCGCTTTGCCCCCCCTCAAGAGACGGGCACGCTAAGGTATAACTTACACACCTACCTGCTTCAACACCCTCCCCGGTGCGCCTGCCTTCCTTTCCTACCGACACTACTGTGCAGGTGCGCATCTTGTACCAAGGCCGTACAAAACATGTACATAGAAGTAAATAGAGCAATACCATTCTCTAGCCGTTCAACCAAAAGCCTCGGACGCTTTACTCGACTGTACATTCAAAGCTTTTCTCCCCCTCACTTCTTCGTTCTGCTTTTTTCTCTTCTCTTGTTTTCCACTTGACATGGGGGGTGGAGGCGGGGTTTGTTTCGGGTGGTAATGCTACGCTGCAAAGAGGCGTCGAGCAAAATCCTGATCAAGGCGCTTGGCAATTGTACCCAGCGGAGAGTCCATTCGGATACCGACGAGAAGCAGTAGGCCTTGACAACTGGTCGAACCCTACTTGGCAGCATGGAATCTCTACGCCCATACGCTTTACAATTGGCGATTATGAGACCTTCACCAACCGGGGCCAAGCAAAATGCCACACAAGAGACAACTTACTAGCGCAAGCCCTCTTATAGGGGGTTAAATTTGAGCATAACCCTGAAGGTACTCTCGGGTAGAGTTTCTCGCATGTTTGTACTCCATCGCCCAGCATTGCCGGATTTGCATGTACTGTACTGTTCAAACAGAACAGCATGTTTGCCCAAGTCGACTCTCGGGCCGTTTTTAAAAGCTTGTTGTTGCATATCCACTTGAGACAGGGCGGAGAAAATGATTTTCGGACCCCTGCTAATTATTACAGGCTCAATGCAAAGACCTTCTTGCCCGCTGAGTCCTTAACACAGCACCGGTGTAGGATCTTTGTAGTCCACCGAGTAGACGTCACTATATAGGCAACCACGGTGTCGGTACTTTTAGGTTCGTGTATATACCCGCAGGCCAGTTGATTTGCACATGCTTGAGGTATCTGCTCGATAGCCCGCTCGCTCATTGGCAAGTGGCCAGCGAAGTGCTAGTTAGTAGTAGGGAAAAGTCTCGATTCAGGGACCTGACGGGCTGTGTGCATATGTAACTTACCACGGTCCCGCTGTAACCCGATGCCATGCCGCTGAGGATGGACCTTGTACCTGGCTTAATGGTGAGGAGCAGACGTCACGCATCGCGAGGGAAAAGAGGCGACAAGAAGGCAAGAGGAGAGACAGGGCTCCGATACGAAGACTAAATTCTCGTTGGACCTGGCTGTCCCCGTGCTCTAACCAGCACGCACGCTGCCATCCCATCAGATGTGACCGGGCACCAAGGCTGGGCAGGTTACCGGGTGTGGAACAGGACGAAGAGTAATTGAGCGACAATCCTCTTTTCTCCCGAGGGCTGACCCGAGCGGCGGAGATCACTACGACCAGGTCAAGGGCGCGGCGACGGCGACGGCAGCAACAAGAATGCCGGAAGCTGTTCCTGAGGTGACAGGTTCGTTGCAGGCCCGTACATGGGTAGGTAGTATGCGGTTGCTCATCTGTCATTCGAGTGGAAGGCTCATCGTTTTTAGAGCAGCAGCAGTGCATCATGTAGAGCAAGTGTCAGATGCCTGCAACCGCATTCCCCTGCCGGGCAACGTGTTCGCCATGAGCCTCGAGGGACCAGCTTGCATCTTGGGACACCTCCCGAAAAGAAGGCCTATTGTTTCGGGCAGCACAGACAAAGCACTTGCAGCAAATGTCGGGCGTTGTGACTCAGAATGCACAAAGTTGTGACTAGTCGGAACAGAGTGCATGTGCTTGCTGGGTATTTCCAAGCCACTCAACTACACAAGGCGCTGCACAGACACCCTTGTCTTGAGCTGCAGCGAGCGGTACTGGGGATGCTTGCAGGTGCCCTGCTTGCGGCATGGTGCGGTAAGGCAGGCATTTCGATTCGGCGCCGAGGTGAAGACGACGTGTCGCGGCCCGGACTGTGACTGTTGAACCGTCGTTGGAGACGGACCCAGCCAGCCCATATGGCATTTTGACGAAATTCTGTACGAAGAGTAATTACATACGGTATTTCCAGGTCGCTGACAAACCACAAACCAGACCCGTAGCAAGGGGTGAAGCAGGTGACTGACTGCTGCTGGGCCCTTTGCTTTTGCGTTCGAGCAGAAGGTGCTGGCGGGGCACTCGCTCCGTGCATGCTCGTATCACGTCCAGGTAAGTGAGTACCTCTTTGTACCGAGAACTTCTCCTATTCTCCTAGCGGGACAATTGTCGTGGCCGCTTACCTATACCTACCGTAATTATACTAGGTAACTACCTACCTAGGTAGGTTATCCATTGCCGCCTCCCATGGACGTGAGTGAACGTCTCCTCTGGTAGAACAGTTCCTACCGGCTTGGGACCCAAGAGAAGGGCAAGTGAGGAGAAATAAAGAATGAAAAGGGCGTCAACGAGTGCGGCAAGAACCAAAGCCATTTACCATCTCTCCGTTTGCCATCCCTCCGCCGTCCTCGCTTGTCAGGGGCATCAACTAGTCATTACCTTCCTTTACTTCTTTACCTACTTGCTCGGTAGTCAGAGCCACCTGTCCTTTCCATTCTTGATGCAGTCCGGACCATCTGGTGCCGCGCTGCCGAGTTAGCGCACATGTGGCGTCATGCTCTGGTAAACCTGTCTCTAGCCTCGTCTCTCCTTACATCAGAATAGGTAATACAGTAGGTAGGTAATCACTAATATGCCTTTATTATTACTGTCTACCTGCCTGCCTGCCTGCCTGCCTTATTATACCGGGGCACACATGCCGCTGTTCCGCCCCTTTGTCAACTGCCTTGCTTTGCACCCGTCATCTGTGCTACAGCTTGTCGTTCCTCTGCAGCCGTCCTCGCCACTTGTACTGTCCTGCCTGGCTATGTGGCATAGATAGGTATTTAGGTTGTAGTGCAGGTCATTGTATTCAATGGGAGGGAGCCTACTTAGGCACCAAAGCCATGGCTAGCCACATACGGTAGCTAGCTAATACAAGCCTTGCGTACGAAGTACATCATGGCCTTTCCCCTTTGTCAACTCATGTCCCTTGCTTCATCACCAGGCGATTGCCTGCCTTGTTCCTGTCGTCTACATATTCACCCACATGCCAGTCCTGTCGGTGCGAGACCGCGAGTCGTTCCATTTTTAGGCTCCAATGCCGCACGTTGGCACTCTAGAAATCATTTCTCGCGCATGGCATTGCCCAACCTCGCCGCCAACCCTCGAGGGTCTATGGCTGTCAAGCAGCACGACGAAGCGCCGTTGCACCCTGAGCTCGAATTGGTATCATTGGTGTGCAGCGCAAAATCCATCTCTCCTGTCCTCGACCCTCCTCTCAAACTCTCTCTATGCCCGTGCGCCGGATGCCCCCAGCTAGGGGCTCTCCAGAGGGAAAGAAGAGAAGAGAATGCCCCGTCAAGTCTGTTGGGACAAGGTCAGCTCCTAGCTGAAATATCCCATAATCGTTCGCTGCGAGTCTTGCGAAAATTGCTGGAGTAAAGGCATCGGGTCGACGTTGGCTGTTGTAAGCAGCGTGTTCGTAGCCGCCACCACCCGGCTGGCTGTCTGCCCTTGCAGCGTCTCAGCCTCGAGCGCCTGTGCAATAAACACAAACAACTTGCTGGCCTGGCCCATGACCACCGGATGTCGTCTGTTGGGAGTGCGTTAGCCACCGTCTTTCTCCATGTTCCCCCGGGTGCGGCCCACTTACTGGTCAATCAGCTCGGCCAAGTACGCATATGCATAGGGCGCTGCCTCTTCATCGTTCGTCACCGGCAAAGTGTCTAGCCACTGCGAAGTCACGGTTTGTACGTCTGCAACACTGCCCGGGTTGTAGTGTAGGATCTTGGCAAGGGCAGCACATGCGTTCTCGGTCGCGTAGGCGTTCTCCTCGTTCCTCGCATCGGGTACCTGCGTCACCTGGAAAAGAAACGGCACCGCCCCTCCAAGGAACTGCGACCACGACGCGCCGCCGCGATGAGCCACGACGCCGATCCCGTATGCTGCGGCTTGCCGAATGGCTGGTGACGAATCCCTGCAGCCGTCAACCAGAGGCTGCGAGATGTAGTTGGCGTAACGAAAACTATCTGGCCCGCAATACTCGAGCACATCGTCAATGATGCACAAACCCCACTGCCGCTGTGTGGAGTCTGGAGATCTCAGAAACCCTTCGTACGTCGTCATCAGCCGCTCCCAAGCCGGCAAAAAGGTTGCACCATGGTGCTTGAAAATGGAATGAAATGCCTTGTTCATGTCAGACAAAAGGGTCTGGTCGTCCTCAATGGCAAGGAGCGTCTCCTCAGCTTCGTCTTCCACGTCGTCGGCCGTTGCACCTTCCTTGTCCTCGGCTCGCTGGGCGACTCGGTCTTTGTAGTCCTCCAGGGCAGAATGAACAGAGTCGATGAACCGTGTCATGTGCTCAGGACTGAGGCAATCTCTGCCAACAACCTGCATAGACTCGTAGAAGCACTGGTACATTTCAGCCAGCGTTTCAATGGAAGGCTCGGCCGTCAGCACTTCCAAGAGCTTGTCTGCCGTCGCGTTCCAGAGGCCCGCGAGTTCGTTGGAGGGGCAGCCGTAAGCCTTCTTGTACGAGCTCAGAAGGTGGGGCACAAGCTTCGCCGAGATGTAGCGCACAGGATCGTGGAAGAAGAAGGCAAGACCGGGCAGGGCAATCTTCTCCATGATGTTGGCCACGTAAGGGGCAAACTCGGCCTCGAGGACCTGGGCGTAGACGATCAAGAGCTCAATGGCCATATGCTTGTCGTCCATGGTGCTCGTCCGGATACCAATCATCTTGCCTTTGAGAGGAACGAATTCCCAGCCGTCCTCGCCGCTCATTTGCTCAGCCTGCTCATCGTCTTCCAGCAGCTGTATATCGGCCTTGGCCCCGGCGAGCTCGAGAACGGGCGGCATGACGTCGGCCAAAAATGGCATAAAGTCGGAGCCAAGCACGCGGCACATTCGACCCCAGCAGTGCATCAGATATTGCGCTTGCGGGTCGTCGGAATCGACAATGCTGGTCTGTATGTTGGCGAGAAGATTGACCAGCGTCATGGCGTCGCCACCGAGTCGTTCACGCCCGACGGCCAGGGCAATGAGAGTGGCACACTCCATGGCCTTGGCACGCAAGAGCCGATACTCCTTTTCGTTCTGGTTCTGCAGTACATTGACGAGCAGGGGCATCAAAGTGTCGTAGTACTTGGAGAAAGCCGCCTCGGCTGCATCGGCAATGGTTGCAATGGTAGACAAAGCTTGCTCCTGCACAAAGCGCTTGTCGCTCTGCAGCAACTGAAAGAGCTGGGACAAAAGGTCATCCAGGTAGGGTTCCAGGACAGACTTCTCTGCCTCTTCGCAAAAGTTGACCAGTGCCGCCGCAGCGTGAGACTTGACACGCGCTTCGGGGGAGCTGAGGACGGGTATAATGGCATTCAGCACCCTGTCGTAGAAGTCACTCTGCATCTTGGGGGCAAAGTCTGTGCTCATCTGGCCCAGAGCGTTGCACCCAGCCCAGCGCACCCGGGGGTGCGGATCCTGCAGAGCCGGAATGACCAGGTCGAGCACCTGGCTGAGCTCACCGATCATTAGATCACGGCATCCCTCTGAAATGGCCGATATGGCCATCAGAGCCGCGTGGCGATCCCTCCAAGCCATGGAGTTTGTCATTCGGGGCAGCCAGTTGAACGTTGGCGCCAGGATGGTCTGGCCGCCAAGCTTGTTGGCCAGGCGATCCATGGTCTGCTCACCGGCCACATGATACTGGTCGCTTTCGTCTTGGTCCAACTGTCGAGGGCCGATTAGCGGACGTTTTGATATGCAGATTCGGCCGTTACTCACGTCGTCCGAGGCCAGCCACTCGGTGGCATCGTCATCGTCTTCGCCCAAGTCGGTCATCAAACTCAGACACTGAGTGATCATATCAGTCGTGTAGGAGACGTCTTTTCTGCACATTGAGGGCGCATAGTCGGCGAATGTGGCCATTAGTTCAAGGGCGTTTTGCCTGCAAATACTGTCAAGCTCCTTGTCTTGGATGACGGAAATATTGAACTGCACCAAATTGTGGAACAGTTGCTTGAACATTTTGGGCGCGGATTCCGCAAGGTCAATGAGAGCCAGAAGCGCTTTGCTCAGATCCTCAGAGTCCTCGGACTCTTTGATGGGAGGCAAGACGTTGAGCAGGTCCGGAATCAGCGAATAGTATTTCATCTGGGATTTCTTGCTGATGGTTCGGAAGAAGGCAGCAAAGGCCTCCATGGCTGCAAGACGAACCTAGTCCAAGACAGTCAGCGGGCTGCACGTGGGGATGATGGAGAAGTCCAAACCCGTACCATGACGGCATCGTCCTTGAAACCTTTTTGGAATGCTTGAAGGACTGCCTCCTCATGCTGCCTCTCAATGATACTCGGGGTCGTTGTGAAGACGCGGAAAGCATTATGGCGTTTTTCAGCCTCAGGCGCTTGGCTGAGCTGGAAGAGGGCCCCAAGAAGCTCTGGCCAGGCATCGTCTGTCGAGGACGTTAGTATCGTAGGCGAAGCAGGTCGAGCGAGGGATTCAGAGCCACTGACTATTATCGACATATTGGCGCGCAACCTCGGCCACGGCGTCACTAATTTTGTTCCGGACTGTGCGGTCAGCTTCAGTAGCAAGGGTCTCGAGAAGCTTGTTGCGGATAACGGCGGCTTGGTCCTTGGAGAGGGAGTAGAACATGTCGGCATTTTCGCCCGACTCCATCTTGCGGGTTTTTGACGAGATGCGACGAAATATAAGGGCGGCAAAGGAGCGAGTCTAACGCGATGCGTAGAATTTTCTGTCAGTAGAGGAACGTGGAAGTGGCAAGGCGAGGAAGGAGGCGTTGGGAGAGACGCACAGCATTGTCACCAGCACCCTGGATTTGCTCCGCGAGCCCCATCAACAGGACCTCTGGGCGTGAGCTGGTCCAGTTGCTCTGGAGGTGCTCTTCAGCCTGAGAGCGGACGGCATTGTCGGCGGACTGCAGGGCTTGGAGGAGCTGCGTCAGCTCGGCATGGACGTCGGCAGAGAGCAGAGACATGATGGCGACGGCTCCAAGGCGACTTGGCGCCGTGCAACCTAAGTCAAACGGGCTGTCCTTTTTTTGGCTGCCTGCCGGCTCGCTCGACTGCGTGTAGGCGGTAAAGACGGGCTCGGATAGCTGGGGGGCGATGGAGGGACTCGACAACCCAGTCGGGCAGTGGTGACAGGTGAGGGAGGAATGGGAGTAGTTAATAAGATTCGAAGATGAACTTTTTGGTGGACAAGAGAAAGTGGGGGAGGGGGAGCCTCCACCCACTGGCGTTGAGTGCTCGGCGCGTCTGCGGTCGCTGGGCAAAGGGAAAAACAGTAGCAGTGAGAGGGCAGGAGAGCGACTCAGCAAAGACGTGCGCTGGACCTTATCTAGGCGTGTATCGCGGGAATGGGCAAGAAGACGAAGCGGGTGCGGTGTGGATGCAGGCGGCCGGCTCACCAAGAAGGGACAGACCAGGGCAATTGGCATAATCTCCCAACGTGACGGCAAATGTGCCCCCGTACCTTACATAAGGATGATAAGGTAATTAACTTAAGACCAGATAACGTAATCCACCCCCTTCCCGGTCAGACCCCCTACTCGGTCAAAAATTCCCCACCGACTAGACCCGCACCTTACGCGAGACAAACGGAGCACAATACCACGACATATTTACTCCAAGAGACAAGTAACTCGATTAGGACTATCTATTACACGTACGGGCAGTGTGTTCAAAAGACCTGCACTTACTACACCGTGGTGGTGCACGCTGTCTTGGGACACTCAGCTCTTCTATAAGTCGTTGGTCCCGCTCCCTTCTTCCCGCCGTCGCTTGGCCCGCTCATCTTCCTTTGCTCTCTGTTTCTTGACCCGCTCCTCTTCCTTTTCTCGCCGTAGCTTGAACCATTCCTCGTTCTCTTGTCGCCGTCGCTCGGCCCGCTCTTCTCCTTCTTGTCGTCGCTTGGCCCGCTCCTCGTCCTTCTCTCGCCGGCGCTTAGTCCTCTCCTCTTCTTCCACTCTCCGTCGCTTAACCCGCTCTTCTTCTTCTTCTCTCCGTTGCTTTATCCTAACCGTGCCCTCTGCAACCGATAGAGTACCGCCGTCGCCAATGTATTCACGGCGCTGTTCTTTCTCTGCTTTCGCCGCTGGTTTTCTGACCGAAGTTGCCGGTTTTCGTCGGCAAGGAGGGCGGCGCTGTGCATGGCCATTTGACATCCTTTGATAAGCTGGTTGATAGCTTGTGAAACTGGCGAGTCTGTATTTGTGGCCGGCGTTGAAGAAGCCTTTCGGCGTGAGTGGTAAGCTGGTTGACGTTATGCGGAGTCTTGGCTGCTTCCAGGCTCTTGTTGGGACTTGGAGTATTCTTGTCGCCGTGATCGTTACCGACTTTGTCAACCTGAACTTGTAACCGCGATAATACTCTGTTTGGGTCAAACGGAAAAAGGCCTGTTGCCATAAATCCGCTTCGGATATTCGACGGCGAAAGTGCTTGTCGGCGAGCGTCTAAGTACATGGGAAGGAAGTCCTGCTTGTCGATATGATGGATCCCAGCGAGCATTTTCTCTTGAACCTTTCGGCCGTATATGGTTTTCAACGGCGAAAAGCACCCGACATCAAGAGGCTGCAAGAGATGTGAGGAATGTGCAGGCATTTGGAGTACTACGATGGAATTGGCCGTACAGTACTTGTCAAATTCCGGCGTGACGTGACTGCCGTGCCCGTCGAGAATAAGAAGTCGATGCGTACCAACCGTACGGCGCCGTGTATTCGGATCAAAGACTTCCTTTAACCAATTCAAAGCAAGGTCGTCGGAAGTCCAGCCATTCTCACTAACGGCGATATGCCAGTCATCGGGCACTCCTGATTCGTACCAGCTTGCTTGGTGTAACTTGCCCTGGAAGATAACCTTCGCCGGTAAAGCCCAACCTTGGCAGTTGATAGACTCGATCACAGTAACCCATTCTCGATTTCCAGGCTGCGTGAGTACTGCCCGACCTCGCCGGTCAGACCGGGTAAGGACTCTCGCCGTTGCAGCGACTCCCATTTGAAACCCCGTCTCATCAAAGTTATAGACATCCTCGTCAAGAATCCCCCATTTCTGTTTCGTCGCCGCGACTCGATCGTACCATCCTTGGATCTTTTGGGGGTCTTCGCATTTGGCTCGTTGGTAGTCGTATCGGCGAGAGTACTTTGCCTTGATTTCGCCGTGGCGGCCAACAAACTTCCGCACCCAGTTTTCCCCGACAGGATCTTTGCCTCGCTCGGAAAGCAATAAGTTGGCCATCCGACGAGTGTAAGCCACTGTCGGCGGCATCCCTCGCTCGTCCATCGACAAGATCCATTGTACCAGGGCAGTCTCTTCCGTCGCCGTCAACTTCAGGTTGTTCATCTGAGCGTCGCGTCGGCGAATGACACCGCGCAGTCGATCAGATACTGTCGATTGAGGGACGTCGTATGCGGCCGCAGCCTTGCGGGTACTTTTGAATTGGCCCTGCTGATAGGCCCTGACGGCGAGCAGGACCCGTTCTTCGCGTGGAACCGATTGGTCTCCCGTTGCCGTCATAGTGCTCGGTTTGTCTTGCCATAAGTGTGGGTCGCCGCGTGGAGACTTTTTCTGACCGAGTAGGGGGTCTGACCGGGAAGGGGGTGGATTACGTTAGTTACAGACCAGATGCCGCAACACCGATTACCTAATGAGCCAAGGTCCCGTTGGAGCCCCGCGCTGCTCGCCCACCAAACTTGCACCTGAGCGGCCATGGATGGCGGGGTCGGCTCGGTCATTTATCTGGCGGGTGTGACGTTGGCCAGACATCAAAAGACCTTCAGCTCGAAGCTGGCTCTATACACCTACCCAACTCCAGGGACGGCCGTGACCTCCATCTCCATCCATCAGCACCTTGCATCAAATCCCAAGAGAAGCTCGCCTGTCATCCTCTGTGTGTACCGTCACTTGCCGTACGCACAACCACCCGGCCCCAGACACAAGCAACCTCGCCTGCTCATCCTCGTTCTCTGAACCACCCGCCACTCCTGAGTCAAGCCCCTGCAGCGTCCAAGCAGTCATTCGTCCTGATCTGGCTGCTCGCGGTGAATCTGACTCTCATCCCGATCCTTGCAAATCCAGCTGGCGACTCATCTCACGCACGCCCTCAACACTTTTGTCTATACACCCACGTCTGCATATCCAGCAGCCTTGCTGCCACGCCCCCTTTCGAGAGAGCGCGCACACCGTCTCGTCTTTCATCCACTCGCAGCCTTGGCCTTATTTAACTGCTTGCGACCCGATCGCTAGTGCCTGCTTGAGCGTGTCTGTACAACGCTTCTGAGGTCCCACAGCGGCGGCCTCCAGCACCAGCCGCCCCTCAATGGATGCTACCACAACCGCCAGCAGGAGGGATCTCGGAGACGCCAAAGACAAGGAAGCCGCCCCGGGCTCCTCGATGAGCTCTCACGCTGCCTCTGCTCCTCAGCGGACGCCATCGACATCCAGCATAAGCAAGATGGCTCATCGCCAGAGCTTCGCCGAGAACCTGCGCAATGTCCCCCCCTCTCCACGTCATCGCCACCCGTCCTTGACTCAAGCCGCTGTCCAGGAGCTCCTCAACCACCCTCCGTCAGGTAATAGACACGTAAATCCCAAGTTTACGGGTCGGGAATGGCGCGACATTTCCATTGGGGAAATGGTCTCTCCCGACGACGTTTGGTGGGTCGAGATGGACAGCAGCGTCGAGGAAGCTACCAAGGTAAGGCGTGAATCAAGCAATCAAATGCCGCCAAATGCTGACGCGCCGATACATATCCGCAGATACTACTCAAGAGTAACACCAACGTCGTTTTGGTTCGAGAAGATATGACAGCCCCCAATGCCGTATCTACTTTCGACTACAGTGACCTCAACGCCTACCTGCTGGTTGTTGTCGGGCTGTCTAGGCCGGATGGCGATCAAGTTCAACTATACAACGGCATCATGGCAAAGGCCCAGCATGGAACGCCGATTTCGGTTCGAGAAATCCAGCCACTCTGCCGACAAGAGCCTCTCATCAATGTCACTTCGACCGGGAACTTATCTCAAGCCATCGAGATTCTGGGCAGTGGCATTCACCGGCTGATGGTCACCAGTCCCTCGGGTGGCGTGATAGGTGTCCTGAGCCAACTGCGACTGGTCGACTTCTTTTGGAACGAGGGCATCAATTTTCCCGCCGTCGACCGACTGTATCCGGCCCCTCTGCGTGACTTGGGGATCGGAACCCAGCACATCATATCTGTCAAGTAGGCCCGCTTGCCGTGCAGACCGACCAGCTAGCTGGGAAAGCCGGGTGTGCTGACGAGGACTATAGCTCCGACGCTCCACTTTCGGATGCTCTGACGCTCATGAACGACGAGGGCCTGACGAGTATCGCAGTGGTAGATAACGGCCAAAACGTGGTTGGAAACATCTCATCGAAGGATGTTCGACATCTAACCACGGCGTCGCGGGCCCCATTGCTCAACGGGACGTGCATGCATTTTATCTCCGTCATATTGAACGAGAGGGGCGTGGAGCAGGGCCAAGATGCCTTTCCCGTCTTCTACGTCGGCCCCTACTCGACACTCGCGCACACCGTCGCCAAGCTTGTCGCGACGAGATCACACCGCATGTGGATTGTGGAGTCGGCTTCACCGTCGCCGTCAGCCCCGGCGACACCTCTGTTGGCCCCGCAGAGTTACGTGACCGGCGCGCCGGCCACGACGGCGGCGCCTCCGTCCCCCGTCCCGTCAATGGCTGTTTCGGCGTCTGCCCTGGCGGGCGCACGTCTTTCGGGCAAGCTGAGCGGCGTCATCTCCCTGACGGACATTCTCAACATTTTTGCGAAGTTCACAGGGCTTCATCCCACAGACCCGGGAGAGCAACGGGCCCGACGACGGAGGAGCTCCAGCAGCTCTGTGCGCCCGAGTCTAGATTCTTCGCGAGCGAGTTTCGATATTCGACGGTAATGGGCCACGAACAAGCAATCATCGGTCGTGTCTCTTTTTCCCCCGTGCCTTGTTAGTGATTAGCCGTCTCTTCCCGGCTACCCAGACAGGCTGCAAGGGTAGGGTCTGGAAAGGGGGGTCCCGCGAGGGAAGATGACCCATCCGCACCGCGGTGGTGACAGCCTAATTATCGTTGGTTCGAGAAGCTCTGCAAAGAACGGGGGATGATGCCATGGAAACACGATGCTTACAGGATGCGTCATGTCACGCACCTGTTGCAAGTAGACGAGGCAAGGCTGGTTTTCGCCGTTGGCGGAAACGCGAGAAATTGGCAAGGGATTAACTCTTTATCGGCAGATTTGTAGTCGGTGCAACCGGTCGTGAACCATTGCAAGCTGCTGTAAGTTGCGGTGCAAGCCCGATTGTGAAGTGGATGACGGATTAGGTAAGACGGAAGTATGCGTGGCGAAACCAGCCCGGTCTAGCAGCAGGTCGAGCACCTCAGTTGACTCACCTGCCCAGCCCTCGTCTCGCCCGTCTCCCTCTTTACTTCATCCTTCGAAACTTCTTTCTAATACCCAATCCCCTCTTCCCATCCAGAATCCGGTCTCTTGTCCACACAAAAAAACACCCCATCTCGCCCAAGCGCCACAACGTGCTTGGCGATTTTGTTCCCTCTGCTCGCTAAGCCTCCGTGTTCATGCCCCTATTCACGGCCGCGAAGTCCCTCCAACTGTCCGCGCCTCGCCTCGCCTTCGCCGAATAACCCGTCTTCCTCATCGCATCCCTTGCCGGCACTCGGCGTCGAAGAGACGGTCTGCACACGCAGCACCAATGGAATCGTCTTTGACATCGGCCCTCGGTTTACGTCATGGATCTAGAACTAGACGCTTCATCCATTAACCATCAAGCAAGCGTCGTCGGTCAGCGCACTTGTCTTCCGAAGCTCGGAGACTTTACCAAACTCCAATCACTTGCCGACGGCTATATCGAGACCTCAGCAAAGGCTCCCAAGGGAGACGCCTCCTGGAACAAGACTGGTGGAGCCTGTCGGCGCCTTCCCCGTACATCCGACGTGGGAGCAAGTCCTTCTGCCTTGCTCGGTGACTTCTTCCGACTCTTTTCCCAACTACAATCTCAGCCGGCGGCCTCCGAGGTCCCGAAGCAACATACTCGTGCCCAAGCCGTGTCCAGCCAAGCTTGGGAACCATGTCAGAGTTCCCGTGTCCTGGATACAGACCTGTCGACCGATTCAGATCACGAAGTGTCTTTTCGCTTCGAGCACGTTACCGAAAGTGACGTGACGCCTTCTACTACTCCACCGTCCCCGTGGTATTGCCATGCGCCTCTACTTGCCAGTTCAGCAGAGCAACACGAGGACTCAACAGGCCCACATGCAAAGCCGGGACGCGCTCAGAAGCGCCGCCCTGGCGTGGGACAGGTGCTGTCGTACCAGCTCCGCAAGAATGGCCCACTGGTATCCGTCGTGGACAAGCTGCGAACCAGGAAACAAAAGCGCGCGTCGCTATCTCTGAGTCTCGTCCCTCTCCGCGCAGTGGACGAGCTGCAGGCTGTACAGCACCCCAACATTAGGTCCCATGGTATCCACGTCTTTCTTGACATGTCAAACATCAATATCAGCTTCCAACAGACGCTGCGGGCCAAGTATTCAGTCCATGAGAGCGCCCGATTTACGCCGCTCCCATCTCTCGACCTCGGGCTTCTAACCGAGATCCTTGTCCGCGAACGCCGAGTAGTTGCGCTCAACGCCGGCTGCTCCGTGCTGCCTGGAAAGCCCGCGCCCCGATTCATTCAGGACCTGCAAGATCGCGGCTATCACGTCGATCTTCGGGAGCGTAAGCGAGTCGTCGCTGGGTCGGCCAAGCTGCCGCGCGGGAGGTCAGGTGCCGGTGTGTCGTCTTCTGACGAAATGTCCGCCCGCGCCGGCCCCGTTCGCTACGTCGAGGACTTGGTCGATGAAACCCTCCAAACGCGCATCGCCGAGTCCGTCATGGAGTATTTCCAGGCCCAAGGTACGCTTGTCATTGCGACGGGCGATGCTCAGCCTGCCAAGTACTCGGACGGATTCTTCACGTATGCCGAGCGGGCCCTGAAAATGGGTTGGAACGTCGAGGTCGTTTCATGGAGGAGAAGCTTGTCATCCTGTTGGAAGGGCTCCGAGTGGACGACCCGATGGGGCAATCGCTTCCGCATCATAGAACTCGACGAGTTTGTCGATGATTTGTTGGCTTGTCAGTTATGAGACGGTTCAACTTCCGTTTTGCGCCCCTGTCATGCGACGCTATCGTCGCCTTGTCGATGGTGTATTTACCCATATATCTACACGTGCCATTTGCCTGTTGGACATGGCGGCTATATCTGGAAAGGCGCCGGGAGTTGGCTCTCGGCTCCTGTCTCGACCGTGCCTGGATTTCTCATTTCGATGAAGCGTTGCGCCGGGCGTAACATTTAGCGGGTACGGGCGCGCAAACGGTTCCATGCATTGTGAGTATGGCTCCTACGAGCAGTGTACGAAGTGCATACTATGTAGTGTGGGAATAGACCTTGCGCACAGCAGGTGCGAGGGTTTGGCGGACGAAGCAAGATCAAAGCTGGAAACCCTCCTGGGAAAGGTGCGAGGCAATGAGCAGGTGGAGTCTCCGCCAACGACGAAGCCAAGATCGTAATCGCCTTGCGTCGACACGACTGCTATTCCACCCCCCATGATGTCTCCAGGCGCTCTTCACCGAACTTTGGGGAGAGCCTCGAGCCAATCGACCGAGGCTGGGCAAGAAGAGAGAAGAGTCAGGGGGCAAGAAGAGAGAAGAGTCAGGGGGCGAAAAGGCCCAACAGCAGCGGATTGTAGGGATCAGATATATCATAATGCATAAGTAGCTAGAGGAAATCGTGTTTGAGCGTCGCTTTCCAGACAACTTCCCAGAGGACATCATGAAACCCAAGCAGCGGCTCTCGTTCCCTCACGCCTTTGCGCAGCCATGTTCCGAACATCATACATGAAAAAAGGGCTTCTGCCAAAGTCATGCTCAGCACATCCTCCTTGACCCTGCGTCACGCTCTCTCCAGCTACAGCAGGTGAGCGCGGCTCGGAGCCAGAGCTAAAACCCGTGCCGCTGAGCCAAGTGGTGGAGCTAGGGGTTCCCTCTACAACCGTATGGGAGGGTAGCGAAAGCTTGCACGTCGGTATAAAAGCCAAAAAGAAGTGAATATAGAATAAAAATGAAAGATCTCGTTTCCAGATCTAACCGGGACTCGGTTCAATCTGACAAGGACAAGACCATGGTCCGGCCAAAGTTAAGTGTCAGAGTGTGACACGGCACCGTCGATGCCCCAGTATTGGTCAGCGTTGAAGGTGGCTGATTCCCTCTTCTTCCAAAGGTCGTTGAAGGCAGAGAAGAGGACGACGTCGGCTGGGTTGGCGGAAAACTCGTGTTTAATCGAGTCCATAGCGAACTTTTGGTTCTTGAGCCCAGGGACTGCATGGCCATTGGCATCACCCTTGGTGGGCCACCCTGTCTCGGTGACGACGACTCTTTTAGAGCCTGGGCAAACAGACTTGACCCTTTTGACAGTGTCTTGGAGCCAGCGTCCGGCCTGAGCGGCCGAAATGGTCGAGTCGAAGAAGGCATGCGCGTTGATGGCACAGTAGTCGGATGCCTGGCCCAGCTCCGAGTGGTCGAGATAGGCCACGAAGGTGTCGACAGTCACGACTGGGCCCCGATACCCAGCCTTGCGGAGGACGGAACGCGCGACGCCAACAGCTCGGACCATGTTCTCGGGAGACGACTGATGGTTATTGACCAGTTCGTTGCCGACACTGACCGTGTCCACCATGTTCCAGTCGCCGTGGAACACGTCGATGATTTTCTGAGCCTCAGCCTTGACCGCGGCTGGATCCCAGATACCTAGGAAGACCTTCATGCCATGAGCCTTGGCAGCTGCGCGAACCGGGCCGACTTGATCACAGTCTGTGCCATAGATGCGGACCATGGAGTAGTATTTTCCAAAACGCTCAAAGTCTTTAGCAATCTCAGTTTTGGACTTGCACTTATGATCGGCGCGGTATGGGGCGTATGAGATTCCAAACAACCTGGACGAGGATCCATGAGAGGTGGCGTCGGAGCGGTTGAACGGTTGAACATGCGAAGAAGCCTCTGCGTCGGACCGCGCAGGCTTTGGCTTGGCCGCGGGAGCCTGGATGGTATGTGTCGCACTCTTGGGTGAATTGGCCGGGCCAGATAGGTCATGAGCAACATGTGCGGACACGCGGCGACGCGAGTCCGAAGCATCGTTGCCGTCTGCAAGCGGAGGGGATGCTCCTGGAGAAGACAGGTAAGCCCCCTCTGGTAGCCAGTCACTTGAAGCCCCGTCCGTCGGCAGCAGCAGCACGTCCTCGGCAGCGCTTCCGATGGTTTCGCCGGCCTCATTGACGAAGAGGACAACATCAGGGACTTGCGTGGGCTTGGCTACTGTCGAATCGTAGACGGTTGCATGTTCCTCCTCGAGGCCCTCTCGCCGGGCGACATTGTTGCCTGCAGAGCCGGCTCACGTTAGCACTTGACCTTTGGTGTTCGTTCAAGGGGCGGCCAGGCCTCTCACCAGTAGGATGGCCGGCCACGAGCGGCCCCAGCGCGATCGCTGGGAGCAAGAGTCTGCCGAGAACCATGACGCCGTGATCTCACAATGCCGAGGTGGCTGATGGGCAGGGATGACGCGGGTCAAGCGGAGCGGTGTTCAAACGAGCGACAGACACGGAACAGGATCTTAGGAGCGCGCGTAAGAGGATTCAAAGAAAGTCACGAAGATGAGGAAGATTGACGAGGCAAGGAGTTTCGACCAGCGAAGACCAGGAGCAGGGCCGCATTATCAAAGGGAGGGCGACGAAGATGGAGGTTGGGCGACAGGGTGTTGCGTTGCAGGGCGTTGCCAAGGCGGCGCATCTCGACGAAGAGCAGCTGCCATCTTGTCGAGCACCGCGTCATTGGCCGCGAAGAAATGGATAAACAAGAGGCTCGAGGAATGTGCGATGCAACACTGCTCGGGAGTGCTGTGGAGCCGGCGGGGAGACAGGAGGCCCGGAGGTATGCGAGACGCTATATATTGGAGAGAAAGGGAGGCGGACGAGTCGGGGCGCACACAATGGCCCGAGAGGGGTCCTGGTCTTGGCCGGCCAGGACGGTTAGAAGCGTGTGTGAATAGGAAGCGAAAAGGATTTCACCCTATCCAGCACATGGCCGAGAACAACTGAGGAGGAGGAGAGAGGGTCGACATGCAAAGGGGAGGCTGGTCAAATGTCTGCCGAGGGCTGGCATGTCATGGACACGCACAAGAGGTTGGAAGAGGGAAAACGGTTAATTACTTGGCTCACCATGATGAGTAGCTGACTCATGAGGGTCGGCTCCAAACCATGTGCTCGTGTCTCTCATCAAGACAGGCGGCGCAAACCGCCGGGAAAGCACGCGCGCGCATTGGAGTTTGAGACAAACTGAACCGCAGGAAACAAAAGACAAGGCGTCGCACCATCACGACAGCAAAAAAAAGGGGGGGGGCGGCAAAAAGGAAAGAGGGAAAAGATCTCCTTTGCGCACCATATCTTTGCTCCCGTCACCGTACGGGCTTACTGTCCATCCAGTCCTCTCGCCACGTCGCGCCGGCAATCAGTGTGCCTCGGGACCTGAGACTCATTCGAGACTTTGCACATCGCTTGGTATTTGCAGAGTCCCTCTATTCCCCTGAGGTCATCGTCGACGGCTGAACGTAAACAAGCCTCAGACCCTCCCACGCCTGCCTGTTCTCCCGGGAACAGGTCGATCCATTATTCAACAAAGACACCCGTGCCACTCTCATTAGCGACGCCTCAATGGCCCCATGTCTCATGCCAATTTGCTACTCGCCTTGCGGGTCATGACCTTGGTTATCGCATGCCGAATCGTCACGCCCGCCTTTTCCATTTCCTTTTTGGATAGTGCCGAGGTGACGCAAACCTTGAGCGCCGGCTGCGCGTGCCAGCCGCCGTCCTTGGCTGCAATGGCGTGGGCATACGGCCATGCCTTGAGTCTCGCGACCATGACACCATTCGCCAGTGACTGGACAGGCGTCGTTAGCAAACGCCTTGCAACACACATGGCTGCAGCGCCCTGGCAAACCTACCTCCTCGGCACACTCCATGAAGACGCGCTCCTGGTCGTCCACAGTCAATCTTCGGGCCTTGATCACGTCTGGCTTGAGGGCAAGAAGCATGATGGGGTTGTCGGGGGCACTGGTGCACGTGACCCAATCGCTGCGAGGATCCAGCTGGGCCTTCATGGCCTTGATGTTCTCGCGGCACTGGGACAGGATGTCGGGGTTCGACTGGAGCAGATGGACCGTCTCGCTCGCCGTCATGGCCATCATTGCGGGCAGAGCAGCCGAATAGGTGTAGGCCGACGACGTGATGCGTTGGTGTTCGACCACGTCCTTGGCTCCGGCGCAGAATCCGCCGCCGGCGCAGAGCGGCCCCGACAAGGACCCGATTATCATGTCGACCTGTTGGGGGTCCACGTTCTGGGCCTCTGTGAGCCCACGCCCTGTCCGGCCCAGGACACCAAACGACCACGTCTCGTCGAGGATGATGCGGAACTTGTATCTTTCCTTGAGCTCAACGAGCCTCGGCAGGTCCGTGCAATCGCCCAGCGTCTCAAACAAGCCTTCGGTGACGATGAACCGCCGCGTCAGCCTCTTGGCTTTGGCCTGCTCTCTGACGACGACCTTCATGACCCTCTCCAGATGGTCCATGTCGCCGTGGTCGAACCACTTGATGTTGCTCCGCGAGGCTTGCAAACCCTTGCGAATCGAGTAGTTGACTGCTTTGTCGGCAACAATGATGTCGCCTCGCTTGCAAAAGGCGGGGATGACACTGGATACTGTGGAAAAAGACTGGGCGTAGACAATGCAGCCTTCGGTGCCCAGGTAGTTGGCGATGTCGGCCTCGGCCTTGACGTGGACATCCTGCGTACCGTAGAATTGGGGCGGGCCACAAGGCCCAACGCCATAAGTACGTAGCGTTTGAATGGCCTTTTCCTTGATCTGCTCGTTGGAGTTGAAGTTGTAGAAATTGTACGACGCGAGATTGGTGACGGTGCGGCCGTTGGAGAGCTTCACTTTGGGACCGGTTGGGCTAACGAAAGCAGGAGGGTTAACCAAAGACGACCTCTCAGCGCGTACACTTCACGACGGGGTAAAGGGGGGAGGCGCCGTACCCAACTATGACGGGGAGCTTTTCGCTTTCGGCCTCCTCAAAGGGTGTCTGCTCGGCGACGAGCGGCTCAGGGGCCCAGTCGTCAATCAACTCGTCAATCTCCTGCGGCCGAATTCGGTCAGCGCCATCGACAAAGGACGCGCGCGCGCGTCGTCTCCAAGCCAATCTCTGGGCAAACGCACATCTTCCCTCAGCTTGACGTAGTTCTGCTTGTGAGTCGAGTAGGATGGCGAGAGAAGGTAGCGGATAAAGAAGAGCACCAGCACGAGCTCGATGGCAGACCGCACGGGGTCGTTCTGGTAGCTGGACTGGACGTAGCGCACCAGGACTGCAGACCCGGGCACTTTCTGAAACATGGACGACGCCTGCTGCAGCACATCTTCCAGCCGCGCATGCAGCGCCTCGAGTTCCATGACAGCCCAGGCGTCGGGGCACAGAGCGGCAGACTGAGAGTCGAGAGGGGTCAAATCGCGCGCTGACGTGGTGGACAGACCTTGACAAGCGACAGGCGAGAGTCATACGATACCGGTACTGCCCGTCGCCACTTCTAGGGTACTGGTGCGGTTCCACACTCTGCAACCCACCAGTCGGGCAGGCTTCTGATGACTTAGGTAAGCAGCATCGACGACGGGGTCGTCTTCGGGACATTGCGACTCTCGACAGTCCATCCCGCATCACTGGCTCGTTCGTCACTCACACCGGGCACGAGTCAAGAGCAAAAAGAACGCAGACCAAGCTTGACTTGGCCACTGAGTGAAATTAAAAAATACTCGTCGTCCACCTAGTACCCGTCGCCCTGCCGTATAGTAATTCGACGGAAAACAATCGCCCAAGCAAAATACTCCCCAAGGCCATGGCAGCCTCGACTTGCAGACGGCATTTTCCCCTCTCCCTCGACAAGTCCAATTCGGACGCCATGGTCCATCCAGCCACTATTATACAGTCTTTATAGCAGTTTTATCCTATTGTTGCCACCAGCAGGGCTGGGCGTTGCCTCCGATGCGCCTGTCCTGGTCGTTGACTTCGTGAACGCACCGCTGTAACCGGGTTTGCCTGTGCCAGTTTCTTGAGTGCCATTGGTGTTGTCCTTGTTCAGGGCATTGGGCTGCATCAGCTGGAACTTGCCCGAAAGCGAAGCCGAGTTGCCAATCTGCCGGAGTGTTTTCTCCGGGATTTGGCGACCAGCCACAATGGGCCCGGCAATCAAACCAATGAAGAGGGCCAGCAGCGTAAAGTAGAGGATGGCGAATCGAATCACCCGTCTCCGCCGCAGCTTCGACTGTTTCATTGAGTAAATCGGAGGTCGGATTTGGCGGCTGAAATGAACCGAGTTAGCATCTCCACACGACCTTGACAGGCTAGACGGGGGAGCAAGCATACCTTGGTCGAAGCCAGAACAGCATCATCGAGTGAAGCTTGTCGAACTGCGGAATCGCAATGAGCGGGAGCATCAGGAACAAGAGCCAGTGACCGAGGATGAAGTCGGCCGCAAACATGCTCAGCTCCGTGATCTTGCACAGGAACTCGCGGGCAGGCTGTGACATGGAGTGCCAGCCCATGGAATACCACTTGCCAGTCCAAAATGCGATGTTGGACTGGTCCGTCTTCATCTCTCTCGTGAGAGCAAGCGATACGATCAGCTTGAAAATGAATCTCTGGATGGCTACCACCGCAATCATCCCGGCCAGAGTCCTGGCGAAGTTGAAGCCTTCCAGGACAAACATGGCCTCAAAAAAGATGAGCATGAAGATGGCAGCCGCTCCATGGGCAATGCCGGCCAGGACGCTGCCAAATTTCTTGCAGCACATGCTGAGGACCGGGCCCATGCAACAGGCCATGGCGAACATGCCCCCCAACACTCCAGCGTTGATTCCAATTGGACCGAGCGCGACGACGAGAACACGAATGAGCGAGTCCGTCGGCTTGATCTTGACCCCTTCGTTGTTGGCGGACGAGACACCAGTCTGAGCATTGATGAACAGGTACGGAATAACAGTCCAGACCACCTGCAGGAGAGGAGTGAGGATCTCGGTGAAGAAAATGTTGGCGATGGCAGCGCGGGGAACATCGGCTGACATCTTGGCCGACGCCTCACCCAGGGCCTTGCGCTTGTACCCAGTGATGCGAGTTCGTGACAGACGGCAGAAGGAAATCCAAGACGAGGCATGGCTTCTGGAGTTGCCTCTTGACAGCCAGCGCAGAAAATCGCGGTAGTCAATGAAGAAGTCGTTCCAGGCAAACTGGTGAGGGTTGTACAGGAACGGGGAAATCGTAAGACCGAGCAGGGTGATCCAGAAGTAAGTCAACGCCGCCTGCCAGGCCGTGACGGTGGCAAACAAGAGAATCATCAACAGCCTAGCGCCGAAGTAAATCGACGGCCCGGCAAATCGAGAGTACAAGACGCCAAACGGAATTCGGGCCGTAGCGAAGCCACGTCCGGTTCCGATATATCGTGCGCCGCCAAACGAAAGATCCTGCTGCACAGAGTTCGCGTAAATCTGGCAGACGAACACTTCGAAAAAGGGCGAAAGCGAGAAGAACTGCTTGAGGAAGCGGACCAGTGCACGCCAGACGCCGCGTTCCGTCAGTTCCTGAACGATCAGGGGCACAAACGACAGGAAAAAGACGAAGAAGATTGACAAGATGCTTCGCTGAACCCAGTCCATGACTGCATCGGTGTTGGCACAGCCGGTTGGGAACAAGGGGTCCGTGAGCGGCTTGTTCCGGTTATAGTCACAAGCAATCGTCTCGTGTCTGAAGGCGCCAAAGTTGAGCAGCGTGAGCATGAAGAGCTGGACGGAGAGCATGATGAACATGTTGTTGATGTGGAAGCCGGGATGCGCGTAGTAAAAGGACAGGAATCGATCTAGGGGAAGCTGCGTGCCGAGGTAGTAATACTCGCGAGAAAGCATCTGTTCTCCCATGCCCGTTCCAATCTTGGTGGTAAAATTAAGAATCGAGCCAAAGCCCAGATCACGCCCTTTGCCACACTGGTAATATTCACAGTGCTTAATGCGCCCGCCGCGGAGGATTGCATTCATACCGGCGAAAATATCCTCATTGAGATGCAGTCCCTTCTGGGCCTTGGAAACGCCGCCACGCGTCGTCATAAAGATGCCATTTAGGAAATCGGGATGACCATAGTGGAGCTTGCCTCCGATTTGGGCCAGAGTACGCGCGAACAGAGTACCAAACGTCTGCTCTTTGCCAGCAGCAACATCGCCCAGAATACCGATGTTTTCCGAGAAAATGTACTCGCGAGCTCCGAGGATCGCGACCGGAGCAACGGCATCACTTTTGACCCCCGGTGTGTATGGAGAGACGTTTTCGGTCTTCATCTCTTCAAACTCGGCAAGGACGCTTCGAATCTTGAGGCACTCCTCAAGGTAGTTGTCTTGGTTGGCGTCAATGAGCTGGATGTATTCTCCCCGATAGAAGATCAGTGCGTGATTTTGGTTGTCAGACTTTCCGTCGCCCAGGACGGGGTTGCCCGAGAGCTGAATTCGAAACTTGGGCCGTCGCATGCCGTTCTCCATGAGTTCCGAGTGGCCATCAATCAGAGCCGAGTACAGTCGTGGTTCTTCGCCCTCGGCGAGGGGGGGTTCTTCATCGAGGTAGGCAATCTGAAGGTCGGGGTAGGCACGAAGCAGGAACTCGGCGTTCTCCATTTCCTCCTTCTTGAACTTGGAATAGCGCTGCATAGACACCACAATCTTGAACTTGCGGCGGGCCATGCGCTCCAGTTCCCGCTCGAGCTTGTCGGAGTTGCCGCCAAACATCTGAACAACTTCAGGGTTCTCCACGCGGTAAAGGAGTTTAATGGCACGGCTGTAGTTCATGAATCCAGACACGGTGCGGTAGAGGGTCTGAGAGCGCAGAGACGCCCAGATACGAGTTCGCAGCGTGTACTCGGGAGCCGATGACTTGAAACCAATGCAGTAGAAGGGAAGGTCGTCAATCTTGCTCTTGGCGGCATCCTTTTCGTTTTTCTCGAAATCGCCGTTCATCTGCGATGTTTCGTCGGCCAAGATCTTGGTGTCTTTGACGAAGCAGTCCCACTCGTGAGGATGAAGCTGTTTGAGGTACTCGAGGAGTGTGACTCGGGAGTAGGGCTCATCTTCGCGGATGATTTCCCGCAGGGAGAGAAGAATCTTTTCGCTGTAATGGGGAATCATGACCGTAAACGTTGGCATGTTGTCTACCGGCAGAGGCTCCGGAATCGGCGTCGACAGTGACTGAGCAAAGAAGGAGATGCGGCGCTCCGCCTCACTATGGCTGGGGAAGAACTCGGTTTTAAAGGAGTGGTCCTCCTGAGAGACGAAAAACGTGGGGGCTCTCAGTGTCCGCTTGCCCTCTTGCTCCGACGGAACCTGATGGTAGAGCAGCTTCTGAACATGATCAATCGCCAGCAAGTGCTCGCGATACATGGAAATGACGATAGCGTTCCAGACCTGCGAAATTAAGACCTTGGGCTTATACTTGATCTCCATGTCGGTCGTGGCAAGGACCTTGGAGTAGATGCGCTTGGGGAGGCGGGAAAAGATGTTCCTCCAGGGCGTCCAGATGGAAGATCCAATGTAGAACGAGCGGGCAATCGAAAAAATGGTGTTAAGGAGGACGTAGAACAAGTAGGTATCGAGGAAGAAGAAGATGAGATCCGTAAACGCCATCAACCCAAGCAGGATGGCGGGGTGGTTCTGACAGAGAATGTTGCTAGAGGAGCCGAGTAAGTTGTCGCCTTGGCATCTGGGGTGGAAGATGGAGAGATAGCGGATCACGTCGCGGAAAGAGAGCGTGAGGTAGACGTAAGATTCTCCGAACTTGGCACCAAACACAGTCAGCCACAGGCCATACGACATGGCCATGTCATTGCCCGAGAGCCTGGGGTAGCTGGCTGTAAAGGTCTGACTGGCGACGTATCGTCTCGAATTCTTCGTCAGGTAGCTGCCAAACAGACCACCGAGAGGCATGACGGCGAAGAAGATGAAGGTGACGATGGCGATGACGAAGTGCACAATGCCGATGATGAGATCGATGTCCACCGGAGTCTTCTTCGGGTCGGTGGGAATCATGAACACCTTTACGCCAGGGCCGACGTTGAGAACGAAAATGACAAGCAGGAAAAGCAACCTCTTCGTCAAGTGCTGTGCACCCGCCCATCGCCGAGGGACGTACGCCCACTCGGCCAAGGTGGCGAGAATCTGGATGAGCGCGGCGATGGCTCCGCCGAACGCAACCACAGAGAACTGTTTGGACGCGGGTGGCTGGTTGTTGACCTGCTGCTCGTACTTGGAGCCGACAAGAAGGGTCGGCGCGTTGTGTGCGGTATAAAACCAAAACATGGTCAGGTGAATGATCCAGATTCTGTTGAAGTTGACCAAAAGATGGCCCCACGATCGCGTCTCCTTGTACGTCTTGAAGAAGCACTTCTTCCAATCGACGTCCTTCAGTTTGAGATACCGTTCGGCAGGCGGCACGTCGACGAGCTTGCTCTTGTCCTGGAGCACGACGCGCTCAATGCCTTCGGGGTACCAGAACAGCTGGTTGCAGTCGTCGTACCCAATGATGTGCTTGTGGTCGCGTTCCCGGCGGACATAAACCCCGTTGAGAATCTCGTACCCCTGGTCTCGACAATACTGGTAGAGTGGGGTGATGACATTGTTGAGGTACGTGAATTCATCCACGGGCTCGACGAGCGCATGGCCGGCAGGAGAGTTGAGGTAGTCGTCGGCGCACTTAAAGATGAAGCAGAGGCACTCGGGCATGAACCGAACCTGGTTGGCTTCGCCCCAGCAGAGGAGATAGAGAGCAATCTGGCGCACACGATCATGCTGCGACATGCGATTCATGCGCGTCTTCCAGCGGTATTCGGCCGCTTCGAGACTGTTGTCACCCTCGAGGTCCTGAAGAGCGTCGTCTTCGTTGGCACCATCGGCATTCTGCTTCTTCTTGCCCTTGGCCTTTCGGCGCAAGCCCTTCTTACTTTTGGCGTTGGCGAAGCCCACGGCATCGTCCAAGTCGAGATGAGCTGCGAAGTACCACTTGCGATAGTTGGCATTGTCACCGCCAATGTAGTCGGCGTGGAGAGACAGCAAAGCTTGATTGGGCGTCATGCGAGAGGCCCTCGAGTCGAGCAGCGTCATGAGGTGGTCGTACATGTTTCGCATGCTGTCTCGCTGGAATCCGAATTTGGACGTCAGGTCCATGAAGATGTCCTCGATCTCCTCTTTGGACAGCGGGATCTGAGCGTCCGAAGTCCAGGCCGGATATGGCTCCCGGGATCGCTGGCCGGGGGGCAGGACATTGCCGTAGTCCATGCCGTAGTTCGGTGTCGAGGCGCCGGAGGAGCGGTTGGCGCCATACGAAATCTGAGAGGAGGGCGGGCGGAATCCTCGCTGGCCATCGCCGTAGCTGTTGTGGCGTTCATCGCCACGGCCATAGTAGTCCATCTCTGCAGCGCGGGCCATGTCAGACCTCATGGTGAAGTCGCTGAATGTCTCCGAGTCCTTCTCGGAGCCGTGGCGAGCCCCGTGACCGGCGTATCCGTTATTGTACTCCTGGTCATAGTAGCCACCATTCCCGTTGTAGTAGTCGTCTTGATACTGGTCGTGGCCATCGTAGTAGCCACCGTCCTGGTGATACGGGTTGTTGGGATCGGCGTTGTAGTAGCCCCTGTGAGCAGTCAGTAATTGATGCGCGAGACCTCACGTGGCAGAGGACTAACGATTCGTCATAGTAGCCATCGCCGGCGTTGCCCGCCTGGGCGCCATGGCCGCCACGAGCATCGTAGCCGCCATTGTCATAGTACTGATCATCCTGGTAGTAGGACTCGGTGTTGCCACCAGCCTGTTGACCGTAGCCATCATCGTAGTGGTCATGGTGACCACCTGGATACCCCGACATGATGGAAGTAGATCAACTGATTCCATCACCATCCGCGTTAGTCCACGATGCAGAACCCTGTGGAGCGTCGTGGGTAGACGTTCTGGCCCCAATGTACGGGAGAGAAAGCTTACCCTTTGACACGCATTGAGTTGCAGGCGCTGAATGGTAGAGCACGACAGGCGCGATGGGAGAGGATCGAGAACGTTGGGCGCGAGGGAGAGTGCACGAGGGCTCCCGCGGCGCAGGACCAAGCAGTCTGCTGACACTCGTGCAGGCCGACAGTTGGCCGGGTCCACGATGGACAATCGAAGAGCAAACGGGCAAAGCGAAAACCACGGGAGTCGTCGATGCCGAGTGCCCGCACGAAGGGATAGGACTCCAAGCAGGCCACGAGACGAACAGCAGTAAGGAACGGCGGGAGCGACGGAAGAGAAGTCGGCAGGCAATCAGCAACAAAAGGCAGCGAGTGGAAGGTTTGGCCGGTCGTGTGTACGCAATCGAGGCCAGAGTCGGCGTTCCCCTGGATGGTGTGAGGAATAGGGGAGGAGGATGGGCGGGAGGAAGAGAGTCAAGGAATCCCAGGAGTGGAGCTGCTGCGCGAGAGTGAGCGAGAGTGGAAGAGACGGAGCGGCGAGCAAAGGTGGCGGAGCGCTTTGCTTGCTTACAGTGACGAGCAAGAACCCAGCTGAGGTACCTGCGGTTCAGGGGATCGGCACGAAGGTGGCCGGCCAGGTATCGGGAAAGCGAGGCCCTTGTACATTACCTCGCCGGACACGAGAAAATGGTACCAGTGCGCGGTGTGCCCCTTATCACCCCCCCCTTCTCCCTGGTCATGGATGCGACCCAGAACCCCGCAGCAAGAGCCAACCAAAACCGGCTACGGACCGGGGAGACGCGGTGCATACTGTGCAATCTGTACCTACCTAGATAGGTACAGTACAAAGTGCCGCAACATGTCCAAGAGCCTGAGCGGGCATGTTGATGTTGGTGGAAGGATACATGTAATGACAGTGCACAGCTGTGCGCAAAGCAGAAGACCGAGGAAGGTAGGTAGGTACTGTACTACCTACCTTAAACCTACCTTAGGTGCCTAAGTACCTATCATACAGTCCGAGCTCGTGCGTCGGTGAGATGGCCAGATACCTTAAGGTAGGTTGGTACAGTACCTATCCAACCACGCAATCACGCCTACTCCAGACGTGCACAGTACAATTTGTCTGTACATGTACATGGCTTGACAGTTTGCCACCTTGCCTATGAGCCACTTGCGTTGCTTGGACATGCTGTCTTGTGTACTGTATATCAGTTGGTTGGCTACGCGTGTGAATCATCCAGAGATATATCGCGTACCTTACGCGCACAGTGCAAGCACCCGCCTCACGAATAGCCGCAAAAGCGCGGGTACGCCGTACGAATGACAATGCCGCCTGCTGGGCCATTCATGTACGTGGTGGGGCGACCACGCGTACAGTATGTCCGGAGCACATTGATCGTGATCTTCAAGACACGGGCACCGCACCTTGCTTGAAGCACCTTGCACAGCAGCGGTCGCGTATGTCATGCCGAGTGCCCGTGTGGGGCATCATCCCCTGACAGTGAGTGATTACTTATCCGTGTCAGGCGCGGGCGTCTCTTTGCTACCTAACTTTTTGCCAACCCCAAAAGTCTTTCCTGGAAGACTCGGCGCGCGCGGCGGACTGGGCAATGCGTTCCGGCGAGTGCGGAACGTGGAAACCGCCTCGACGTCTGTCTAGATAGAATCCTATCTTTAGTAGCATCTCAGGGTGCTCTGCTCCGTTCAGTAGCTCCTTCAGCATAGTCATCTTGGACTTAATAACTACTCAATAGCGTCTTGCCTACAGGAAGACGCCTGTCGAAGAAACTTGCATAATTCCCTCTGCCCCCTACCTCTGCGGGAAGGGGGGCTGAAAAAGAGCCTGCGAGATGCCCACGGGTCCCATGGGTGGACGCCTGCTAGGATTTCCTGTCCAGGGAGGTGCCGAGCTGTCATGCAGATAAGTATACAGTGTCAGGCCCATGTTTCTTATTTTCTTCAAATTGTCCCTCCTTGTGCCCCTGGGACACTTGACACTACGTAATAACAACACAGTACCGTATCTACCGTGCCAAGAGAAACACGGAACATATCGAGGCTTCTGTCCGTACAGCTTGCCCAGTTGCGATGAGAGGCTGAACGGGACCTATCACCCGCCTCGATCCCCCCCCCCTTTTCAACAACAACTCGTGCTTATAGGTGGCAGATAGAGCCCGTCCTCGGCAGCCCGCTCGCTGTGCCGCTCAGGAACGCGTCCAGCCTGACACAGCCGTCCGGCCGGTCCAGCATCGTCTTTCCCCTTTTTCCCTCAGGTGCGCCTGCGTTGGGACGGGGAATTTCCTGCTCATGTCTTGTGCGTGTCTTGTGTGTCCTCTTGACTTGGACCGGCCCGACAATGGGTTCCTGCGACGACCTCGGCAGCCTGTTCTGTACTGTACAGAGTACCTGACGAGGAGGTGCCTCGCAACCTTGTTGCTTGCCGACGAGTGGAGCCTGCGAGGGGTGATGGATGGACGTGCCGCTGGCTGTGCAGTGCGACTTTGCAAAACCTGCATTCTGATTGATTATTGGCCCGCTCCTTTTCCCACGGGCCGTGACGAACGATGACGGCTGCGCGTGTGTGTGTTGGCTCCGCACTGTATTCGTGTACCAGAGCCGGCTCCAGTGGCAAGATAACGGCCGACATTGTCAGGATTGTCAGGGATGTGAATCTAGGACAGCGACTTGTTTCTTCCTTGGCGCACGCATGACTTCCGGACAAAAGAAGACGCGGCTCTTGAGCGTTTCCAAAGGGCAGATCGCAGAAGCTTGACTCGTATCGACCCGCGGGTGTGGAGCGGCCGTACAGCACAAGAAAAGAGAGACATTTTTTTTGCTTTGCTTACACACGCCATTACTGTGTACTCCGTACTGATTTGCTCGCTGGCGACCAGGACGCGCGCGGCGGCCCAACAGGCCAAAGACTTTATTTTTCTTCTTTTTCCTTCCCGCCTTGCCGCCTCGCCGTCCTTATAAAGAAAGACTTGCGGACGGATATACGAGACCAAACGGGCATCCAAGTCGAGTTTCCATCCAAAATCAACGTTGGGGGATTTACTGTAAAGGACCAAGGCATGTGCCTATAAATACCATCCGACACTGGGGGGGGCCTTGATGAATGGCAGGAATGAGGGCAGAAAGCCCACCCTCCCACCTTGATTGGAAACGCCGGGCCTTTGCAGCCAATATCCTCCCTGCCTGGCCTGGTGGGTACCCGCCCGTTGCGAGGTGCGGATCTCAGCTTGGCGGCCGCCCACCGCCCGGGCGCCTACGTGCATTAGTGCATTACTTGAAGCTGTGCAGGATAAATGTTTTCCCTGTCAGCCAGCCTGTGTAGGTAGGTACGTACTGCACTCACTCCGTACCCGTGTCGCCTACCGATATTGTCTCTCGAGCATCTCCCAGTGTGCAATGGCGGCTGCCTTGGAGTCAGTGGTCGTCTGGTTGGGTCCCAGACGGTTGAGTCCCAGATATCTTCAACAATCTGGCACATGTCTGAAATTGCGGGACAGTGAGATATGTATAATTACTGTATGTCCATCCAAGGATATCGCTGGGTCATAATCCACCGCCCTCTCGGCTGACTCGTCATCGCGACCCAGCTCCCTGATTGCGCTCTTCCATGCGTCTCCTAGCAGCCCGCTGGGCCATCACTCCCGGAGCACCTGCGTCCCATCTTCAATCATCCCCAGAGTCCGCTCGAAGCGAAGTCTTTGGATGGACATCAAATGTCTAATGGCAGACAGAAGCAAGCACTACAACCGGGCATTGCTGTGGTCGTTGGCTCGCACTCATCACGTGACCGTCTTCGGGTCAAATCATGACTGTTGCCGTGGAAACCATGGGCCGTTGTATACTCGCATGCCGCGACCGGGCTCCTTTACCTTGCCCGCGATGGACACACGTCGATGAGGAGAGCACGCCTCGTTCATAGCCTCCTCCCGCCGCCCGAGCATCCCTTGTGCAGATTGGGAAAGATCGTCCGTCCTACGTCGCCGTCGTCGACCCACGTCTTCGCCATTGCCTCGGTCTTAACCATCTGCCCTCTTGCTGGCCGCCAAACGACTCGAGGGCACCGCGGGCCACTACGTCGAACTACAACTCCATGGCCATGGCTCGGCTTGTGGACTGCTACCCTGCGAGCGACGACGACCTACCGCGACTTCAAGGTCCCCTTCAACTCGATACCAGCAGATCCAGGCGACCGGCGGCCGAAGCCGCTGACAAAAAAAACCTTGTTCCCAAATCCACAACCACTTCATCGACCCGCAAGGTTCGTCGACTGGGCAGAGGCACCCGGACTGCGACCAACCCTCTCTTCCGGCCATGGAATCCAGATGGCGAGAACAGCTCCCAAGCCTCCTCGCACGTCTTCCTCGGGGGGTCCCCGAAGAAGCGAGAAAAGTCTCAAGAAATGCCTCGGTGCCCTCAATATCCTCCGTCGCAATCCGATCAAGACTCGCCGCCGCCGCCTGCCCGTCCCGGCCGCGTCAGACGGCAGAGAGCCAACCCAGCATTCCACGACGAGTCCGCCGATGCTGGCCTGATCGAGAAACAGCTGAGTCTGCAGGGGAAGACACGTAATTTGGCAACTGCCGGTGGTGAAACTGCCCGTAAGCTCGTCATATTGCCAGTGGACGAGGACGGCAACCTGGCGGAGACACGAAAAGGGGCTCCGATTCGAGAAGCAGTCCCGCAAACTGAGGCAAAGGCACAGGACGCCGTTCTGATTTCCGACAATGAGGAGTCAAGTGTCTACCAAACTGCGGCCGAGGACACTTCTGAGGACAGCGATGGCTCTGCATCGGAATTTGAACTGGACCATTCGTCTGACGAATCATTCAACGGACTTTTACAGCCACGAATGGTCACGGGTAAAGGGCGAGTTGCGGCCCGTGGTTCCTCGGCGAAAATTCCGTCCCTCAGAGAATCCAGTCAGGATAGACAGACCCTGGCACGAGAAACTCTGCACAATTCCAAGCCTCCTAGCGAAGCGGTGGAGCTCAGCAAAGCCCTCGAGAAGCTCCAGATACACGGCGGAGACTTTTCAGGCAAGAACCTTGAGCTGTGCAAAGGAGACAACTTGGTCTTGCCGAGCACGCCGCCCAAAGCGCCTCGTCCGGGCAGCCTTGTGTCGCCCCGCAAGCTGGGCCGCATCCCGCAGACGCCTCACAGGCCAAGCATAGATGCGTTCTGGAGCCAGGACTTGATAGACGACTGGAACGATCGCCACTCTCCAACGAAGCCGATGCTGCTTCCGGTGGTGGAGAGCCCGGTCAAGCGAAGCATGGCCAAGGGCAGCCCGACCAAGGCTACAAAGAAATCGTTTGATGCCAGAAAGCGATTGCTCGCCGAGGAATTCCTTCGCGAACTCGATACCGAGATCACGCACGGCAAGATCGCGGAGCTGGTCGAATCGACGGGCGGCGTGAAGCTCGTCTGGACAAAGACGTTGAATACCACGGCCGGAAGGGCCAACTGGCGGCGCGAGACGACGCGGACCAAGTCGGCTTCGGGCACGCCCATCAGCGTGAGCCACAAGCATCACGCCTCCATCGAGCTTGCCGAGAAGATCATCGACACTGAGGACAGGCTGCTCAACGTAGTAGCCCACGAGTTCTGTCACCTGGCCAACTTTATGGTGAGCGGCATCACCAACAACCCGCACGGAAAGGAGTTCAAGGGTTGGGCGGCCAAGTGCTCTCGCGCCTTTGGCGATTCGCGGGGGATCCAGGTGACGACGAAGCACACGTACGAGATTGACTTCAAGTACGCATGGGCCTGCACGGCGTGCGGATCCGAATACAAACGGCATTCCAAGAGCATCGACCCGCAGCGTCACCGCTGTGGGAGCTGCAAGAGCACTCTCAAACAGACGAAGCCGGTACCCAGAAGCGCGGCCGGCGGAGGGGGCGGCAAGCCGAGCGACTGGCAGGTGTTTGTCAAGGAGCAGATGAAGACTGTGAGACGGGAGAACCCAGGAAGTCCGCAAAAGGAGGTGATGAAGATTGTTGCGGAAAGATGGGCCAAGACCAAAAAGGGACTTGTGGTTGCGGATGATGCACCGTCGAATGTCCCTGACGACGCCTAACGGGATAGAGAGGGAGAAAGATGTGGCGAACACATGTGTGTCTTTGTGGCCGGGAATCTGTATTACCAAGCGGGAAAACATTGTGCACTGAATAAATACATGGCCAGCTCGCGAGTCCCCGAGCCCATGTCATCATCATAATTAATGCACATGCAGGACAGCAGCGAACTCACCGGCTGCGGCTCTGCATGAAACCATAAAGGTGAATGGCCCATCCCTCGGTCGCATGCGGAACAAGCACTCGTCCATGAGTCACGCAAACACCATCGGGCGTCTCAGGATGCCTGCCAGCTTGCTTCGTCAAGCGTGGCCTCGGCGACGCTTGTTGGCTACCTGCATCGCCTTGGGCTCGCGCGCCTACGGGATGCTCAAGGCGCCCCGAAAAGCTCCCAATCCTTGACTTTCAGCGTCTCCCAGATACGGGCGGAATACTCTACGGCGTCGCCTATGAGCTTTCCCTGCTTGCCGAGTTCGAGGTCGACCTCGTCCTGGTCGTACTCGCCCTTGATGTGGGGCACGTTGATGGTGATGAGGATATCCGTCTTGTATCGCTCGAGACGCAGCAGGGTCATGATGATGGCAGTAAAGTCGGGAGCGGAGGTTTGGTCTCGCGACTGCCCGATCTTGGGCGTCTGGGTGGCGATGAGGGTGTAGGCCGGGGGCTTGGATCTGCGCACATTGGTCGTCAGTTGGCGTGTTGTCTGGGGCCGCGCGAAAGATACAAATGTGAAAATTGGGCTTTACTCGAGACGAGTGAACTCGGTCTCGGCCGTGTTCCAGATTCTGACCGTATCGATGTCGGTGCCGACCATGTCCTCAAGGTGCGTCGTCATGGCACGGCCGTCGATCTCGGGGCCATCGCCCGGGCCGCCGACGCGCTCGGTGATGTCGAATATGATGCTAGTGAAGCCGTCTGTGTCGATCCAGACCTCCTGGTTGTCGGGGACTTGCCGCAGCTTACTAGAGCGGCTCGGATTAGCTTTCTGAGGGCCGTGGAAGAGCCGAGACAGCCTCTTTACCTCACATCGGCAAACTTTTTCGGCAGGTCGCAGACGACTGCGCCGCCATAGAGAGGCGTGCTCATATAGTCGGCCATGGTCGCGAGCTTTTTCGAGCCGGAGGCGGCCTTGCTGTCTGATGACGAAGGGCGGGGGTCAGCGCAAGGTGTTGCGACCGGGAAGAAATCTCAAGTCTCGAGTTCTGGAAGATACAAAGGGAGCTCTTTCGTCTTACCACGTGCCACGCGAGGCAGGGCGTCGGGCGTCTCGTTGGTTCGGCTTGGATCGACTTCGGCCTGCCGTCTGAGGCGATGACGCGGGGGAGTGTGGGGTAGGGAGTGGTCTGGTACTTACGGCGTGGTCTGGTAACTCACGGCGTGGTCTGGTACGGCGCTATAACTGTTTCGGCTTCTTGCATGTCTAGTGAGGGCAAAATAATAGAGTACTCATAGAATAAGAGCGTTATAGTGGCATATAGGAGCTATTGGGCTAAAAGATTCATGTAGACGTACGTATACCCCCTATATAGATACCTTAAAAGAGTATACCTAGGTAACTACCTATCAGTTTACTGGGCGAAAAAGTGATTAGCTGGGTGCGGTACTCCGTACGTTGACGAGGCATGAGAAGTATGAAGGGGTTGGTCTATCCGGCCATCTACTCTGCCTTGCCACCTGTAAGTGGGCGGGCTATATAGCGCGCGCACCTAAAAGGAGAAAGGCAACGTGTAAGTTAGCTGGTACTCCGTACTTAACGTCCAAATTACCTAGGTAGGTAGCTACCTGCCTGCCTACCTGGGTACCAATTGAGCGCCTTTGAGTCCAGCACGACTGCATGCTCTAGCTACAGGCTGAAGCAGAGAGTATATGTTATTCCCTTCACTGGGAAGCAGTCTTTACCCTTGCAAATGTCGTCTGTTGTCTGCAAAGGCATTAGGGTGCCGCCGACTGAGACGACATCCAAAGGATAGGTAAAGCTTTTTGTAGCCAGGGCAGCTGGCAGGCTTACTGGAATCTTATTTTCGCCCTCTCCGGAGGGCGGGGGTTTAGCAGCGGCGGGCTCTGACCTGCGACGCTGCTGCTTCCTCTCTGTCTCTGCCTCTTGCGCATCGCAAACGGCTTCACTCGCCGAAGGAAATACATGTCTTGATTCTAATCATCAATTGCCAGACAGGATCCCCTCGACCTGCATTAGCGGCGCGGGTTCCTCCCGTATACATACCGGCCGATGCTGTAGAAGTAGGCACCAAGATAGAAGGAACCAAGACCAAAGGCACCATTTAAAAATTTCATATGCCCGCTACGGATACAACACGTACGCTACGGGCGACGGGAGTCTGTGAATTTAGAGCTTAATGCTATTCATTTGTACAGAGCTAGCAAGACACACAATTCATCGACTCCTACGCGGTAAAGGCGATACCTGGACAATGGCTGCGATCGCCGCCGACCAAACATCTAGGCTGTCGGCTCGCCACGTCTGCCTCCACCTGCAACACCACCCCGTCACAACTTCTGTTGCACACGGATTATACCACATTGTTTCCTATCATTTGCTGCGCGCTTTCTTCTTCCACTCGCTCATCGCTTCGCGGCCTTGGCCATGGTGTTCAACGCGCTTCCGTTCTTGAACCACTCCATCTGCGCCTCGTTGAATGTGTGTTGTAGCTGAACCTCATAAGGCTTGCCGTCCTTGGGGTGGACGACCATTGTGATGGGCTTGCCCACAGCGAGCTGGGTGCACAGAATGTCCACCTAAATATTCAGTCAGTGTCGGTTCACCGGAAAATCTCGCGCCATCGAGGCAGTAATTCGAGGGCACACATACCTTGTCGTCGGGCTTGATCTTGTCGTAGTCGGCAGGGTCAGCGAAAGTCAAGGGTAGCATGCCCTGTTTCTTCAAGTTGGTCTCGTGGATGCGGGCAAAGCTCCGAGTGATGATTGCTAGGCCGCCAAGGTGCCGGGGTTCGAGGGCCGCGTGCTCTCGCGAGCTTCCCTCGCCGTAGTTCCAGTCGCCGACAACCACCCACTTGATTCCCTTCTTCTTGTAGTCACGAGCGACGGCAGGAACGGCATCCCACTCGCCCGTGGTGGAGTTCTTGATCTTATTGGCCTCGCCATTGGCCTCGTTGATGGCGCCTATCAGCATGTTGTTGGAGATGTTGTCAAGATGGCCACGGTATTTGAGCCACGGTCCGGCCATGGAGATGTGGTCCGTCGTGGTCTTCCCATGCGCCTTGATCAGAATTGGGACGTCTTTGGCATCCTTACCGTCCCATGGCTGGAAAGGCTGCAAGATCTGAAGACGGTCCGAGGTGGGGGCAACCTGAACGCTGACGCTGGCGCGCTCCTTGGGGGGGGCTTGGTACGTGTCGTTGCCAGGGTCATAGCCCCTGGCGGGAAGACCATCGCCGGTTGGCGGCTTAAGCATGAACTCGTTTCCATTCTTGTCCTTGAGCTTGTCGGTGAGAGGGTTGAAGTGCAGGGTGCCAGCAACTGTGAGAGCAACGACCAAGTCGGGGGAGGTGACAAAGGCGTGGGTGGCGGGGTTTCCGTCATTCCGGCCCGTGAAATTCCGGTTGTACGACGAGACGATCGAGTTGGCCTCGCCCTTCTTCACGTCACGGCGATCCCACTGACCAATGCAGGGACCGCAGGCGTTGGCAAGGACAATGCCGCCAAACTCCTCAAATGTCTGTAGCTGACCGTCGCGCTCAATGGTGGCGCGGATTTGCTCGGAGCCAGGGGTGACGGTAAAGGTGGTCTGGGCCTTGACGCCGTGATTGAGGGCATCGCGGGCGATGGAGGCCGCGCGAGACATGTCCTCGTACGAAGAGTTGGTGCAGGAACCAATGAGGCCAACCTTGAGCTCATCTGGCCATCCGTTTTCTTTCACGGCCTGGCTGAACTTGGAGATTGGAGTCGCGAGGTCCGGAGTGAAGGGGCCGTTGATGTGAGGCTCGAGCTCAGACAGGTTAATTTCGATCAACTGGTCGTACTCCGCTCCTTCGTCTTCCCGGAGCTCACGGGCATAGAGGCGAGCAAAGTCACCAATGTCCTTACGCTTCGTGGCTGCCAGATAGTCGTACATGCGGTCGTTGAAGGGGAAAACCGAGGTCGTCGCGCCGATCTCTGCTCCCATGTTCGCGCAAGTTGCCATGCCAGTTGCTGAGATGCCATCCACGCCAGGTCCTAAAGTGGAGAAATGTTAGAGCAATAGTACTAATACTGCGTCAAAAAGAGGCTCCGTGGTGAATAGGCTCCTGGTCGCTACTAGCGACCTGAGCAGCAACCTTGGCGGCATGCCTGAGCGTGGCAAGATGTTTCTCCAAATCGCTCGATCATTGGAAGTCGAAGCCACAGACAGCCAAGTGTACTGCGGCTTCCCGGGGGAGCCGCAGTTTGTCGCGGCATAATGCAGCTCCAAATTCGCGTATCTTGCGAAGGTGCAGTTACAAATGGCACAGTAGCGCGGCTTCTCTCCAGGAACCGGAATGACTTTGCCAGCATGGATTGCTGACTTGAGGTGCCTCCGCAAAGTTGCCCAGCATGAAAGTATCCAATCGTAGACAAAACAGTAGTGCTGCTTTATTCCAGTGTCCTCGGTCACCGGAACAAGGTGACACACTGATTTCGATGTCTCGTCAAGGCAGGCGGAATTGGAAACACCTTGTCGCAGACTGAGCAAACGTACTTCTTCTCCTTTAGGGTCTCGTGGGATCGACAATTTGTGGTTCTCATCTGAACAGCCATGATGAGGGCATACTTCTTGGGGTTCTTCTCCCCGGTCTTCTTGGCCCAGTCCCTTGCGTACTGCTGGCGTTTTGCCTCCAGTTCGAGGGCGATGGCCTCCAGTTCTTCAGGATACAGGTCAAAGTTGCCATACGGACCCTTGGTCAAGAGGCTGTGGGAGCAAAGGCCGTCGTAGTCGAAGGATTCTCGAAACCACCAGCACAGGCCAGACATGCCCCAATCCTTGTCCATCTTGCAGCAGATAGCCCAGAAGAAAAGGGTAAACACGATCTCAAATGCAAGGAAGAGGATGCGGACAAATGGTTCCTGGCCCGGAGAAGGCATATCAGTCGAGCATAGGGTTCCTCTGTACCCTTCGTCCCAGGCTGCTTTGACATAGTGGGCCACACCTATGTTGATCTCGTACTGGCGAAGACGCTTTGACACACCCTCTCCCTGGTTTTGGTCCCAGAGCCTATGTAGATTCGAGGTCTATGTCCCGGTTCTTCAAGAACCGGGACGTATACCGCCCAAATCTTCACGCACTCGGTGCTGAGACTCTTGAAGAACTTGATCGGAGGGAGGGTGGGTTGTCGTTGAGAATTTCCAGGAGTCCATCGGCGAAGACCGGAGAAGAAGACCGGAGAAACAGACAAGAGAAGCTCTTCAACGACAGCGCTGGACGGGATGATTTTGAAGATCGGATGCTTTTTAAGGTCCATGGACAGGAAATCCCAGAGAAGGAGGGCAAACCAAGCCAGAATCGTTACCGTAGTGTCGGCTATCTTAACTGAGATGCAGTCTGAACGCGAAGATTTGGTGGCCGACCGAGACGAACATCGAGAAAAATGGCAGCAGACTTGAGCGCTTCCAGATACCCTTGAAGCGGAGAGACATTGGACTCCAGATGGACACGAGAATTCGGTGCGCATTCCAAGGAGGGACAGAAAAGAAGGAGTGGGCGCTTCCAGGTATTCCTAGGGCGGGTAGGGCTTGGACGCAGCGCGACTGCCATGTTTGCTCTCGAGTCTGGACGCGGAAGGAGGAGTCGCACTTGACACTTGAAAAAAAAGACACTCACCATGATACTCGACGATCGAGCCCGTTCCGCCCTTCACAGTTAAAATTCCGGCCAGACGCAGAATCAGGTCTTTAAAGGTGCATCGAGTTAGCAAGCGAGATCAATGAACAGTCCAAGTCCAAAAGATGAATGGACGGGCAGGGCAGACCAGCACGCAGGGAAAGCAGACCTTTGGGAGATGTCCAACCGGACATGGTTCCAGTGAGCTTGACGCCGATAATGTTGGGTGCCTTAAGCTCCCAAGGCAAGTTTGCCATGACATCGACAGCATCAGCCCCACCGACGCCAATGGCGCACATGCCCAGGCCACCGCCGTTGGGAGTGTGAGAGTCGGTACCAATCAAGAGGCCGCCAGGGAACGCGTAGTTTTCAAGGATGATCTGGTGGATGATGCCGGAGCCGGGGCGCCAGAAGCCAATGTTGTACTTGGCGCAGGCGGAGGACAGAAAGTCGTAGACCTCTTTGTTGATGCTGATGGCGCGGTCCAGGTCCTTGGCGCCGCCGACTTGAGCCTCGATCAAGTGGTCACAGTGAACGGTGGTGGGGTTGGCAACCGAGTCCATGCCGGCCGACATGAACTGGAGAATGGCCATCTGAGCGGTGGCATCTTGGCAGGCAACGCGGTCTGGGCGCAGCTTCAGGTAGGACTTGCCGCGCTCAATGTCCTGGCCATGAGGGTCGTCCAAGTGGGAGTAGAGGATCTTCTCGGCATAGGTAAGGGGGCGGTTGAGGCGGCTCCGAACGATGGCGAGGTTCTCGGACATTTTCTTGTAGTTGATGAAGTTTCTATCTTCCCAGTTGTTTTGACGAACCTGGCCGGCAGGGGTCGGTCAGTCCGCGCTCGCCAAGAGGTCCGACCATGCAAGCCCGACTGGACGGATGGTCAAGCTCACCTTGCGGTCGAGGGGGGAGTTAGAGACGGTGGCCAGGCGGCGAACGCCAGAGGCGGCGCAGCCAAGGCCGCGGCCCCGAGCAAGGTTGCCCAGAACCTGTCGGGAGGCGAGCATGGCGGGCGACAAGAGGCGGGCAATTGACGCCGAGGAGGGGAGAGGGTCTGAATGGGTCAAAGGCGGCTGTGCCACTCGCAGAGTTCGTTGCAGCCAGCTTGGTGAGAGAGGGTGTTGGTGATGGAGGATCAAATGGAAGAAGGGAGGGAGGAAGCTCGTGGAGGTGGAGAGGTATGTTTTTGGCCTTTTCCGGCTCGGCCAGCCAGCCCAGAGCCATATGTTACCGAGCACAGAGGAGCAAAAGTGGGGCCGGCGACGCAGCTTGCAGCTACTGGACCGTGGAGAGGTAGCGGATGTCTGGCATCGGTACCTCGGGCTTACTCCGTCCAGCTACTTTACCTGCCTCCCCAGGTACCTGCCTCGGGTGCCCTGGTGACTCGTGACCTGCCTCCCTGCAGCCCTGGCAGCTCTGGAGTTGCGATACGAGCAATGCGATGAAGGGTACTGCCGTCGCAGAGACTTCTACGTTCAGTACAATGCAGGAAGCTGAGGTGTATGTATGTACCCATGTACCTGGGCAGGAGGGGCTTCTGCGGGGAGAGGGAGTTGCGGCTGAGCCAATCAAGGACCGTGAGAAAATAATACACGACGTCGCCGTTTCGTCATGGTCCCGAACCATACACAACGCCGAGAAGCGCCCCTCCAATGCCCAGCCAACGAACCAGGGAGGGCGGGAAAGGAATGACCACCGCTCATATCAAGGGGCGCCGGGCGGGCGGACCGAATGTACACGCACAAGTACAGTCAGTACGCATCCACCAGACCCCTGGATGTTTTCGATGCTGGGTTTTGCCGTCTCTCGCGACTCGAGTTCCGTCCTTTCCGCTCGACTGCTGTGACATTCTTGCCGACAACCACAAGCTTGACCAGCGCCGGGCGGTCAACCCGATGTCGCTGAAGCCATTGCCGTATTCATGCCTGTTGCCCTCCGACTGCACCGACGGCCCCGGCTCGGCCCCGGTCGGCTGTAGGCGGTATGGAACCACAGTGCCGCACCGTGCGATTCTCTAGCAAAAGTCCGAGGCACCGTGCGAGCCTACTCACGGCGAATGCTGCTGGAAAAATCCATGACTCGGGCCCTCTCGGTTGCCGTTCGCTTTTGCGAGTTTTTCGGAGCTCCAAGTTCGGTCGCCGACCGGGGCCACTGGGGTTAGTGCAAGCTACAAGTTGAATGAATACGGCCCCATCGCATTGCCTCACACGCGTAATTTTACACGTCAAGTTCGGTTTTGATCTGGCTTTTGAGCAATACCCAAGCTGATTTCGTCCTAGCCAACACATTCGTATACCGTAGTCATGCGTATCAAAAATGGCATGTTGCGTGGAGCATGGTAAAGCTCCAGGCAACACGCGATCCCGTGAATCTACATACTTTGCCTTCTCGACAAGAGTCTTACTATTTACACAGACATATTTCTCTAGGTGTCTGATCATTTGTACGATAGAGCGCACATCGCAGGAGGGTATCACGTGCGTCAGCAGGGAACAACGTTTACCCGACACGCGCACAACCTATCAAACCTCACAGCATGGTCTAGATAGCGAAGAATAACAAGAACAACACGATCATCGATCAAAGACCCAACTGAGCCTCAGTTAACCTATCCACACTGATCAGTTGTTACCTTGGCTGGTAACCTCAGAGCAGCAAGATAGAAGAGACTTCCTCAACGCATCCTCACGATCTGTGGCGCTCTGCGAAGAAAGAAGTGCTACAACGCGAGACTGACTACGAAGACCCGACCGGCGCCCACTCTATTCAGTCAACCGTGCCTAGTTGTTTGCCTCAGCCGCTGACCTCTTAGGCGTGCCCTATCGCACATACAAATCTCTGGTATCCCGCTTGATTATCAGCTTCATTGATCACTCTCGATCAATTTGACCTCTCTTGACACCTTCTTGCCCTATTCCCTCGCAGATTTTCCTGTCAAGCCCCATCCGACATCATGAGCAGCAGCGCAAGCGGCACCAGCGCGAACGCGAACGCACCGGCGCTCGACATCAACGAATTCCTCGATATTGCTGAATTCAACCGTGGCCTCGCCACAATCTTCAACATGGACCTCTTCAACACCCCAGTCAACGAGACTTCCGATGAGATCCACTATAATACCTTCGTTCTCGCCCGCATCGTTGATTATAAAGTCTCCTCAACATGTCAAGGTCTCGAGCTGCTTGGATCATTCCAAGAAGACTTTGAGGATTGGGAGGAAGACGACTTCAAGAAGGTCGATCCAAGGGTCCGTAAGGTCCTACGGAATACCCTAAGGTTCAGAGGAATCTATACAGGAAAGCTGAACGCAAAGATCACGGCATTCCTAGTAAATCTGAAGAACCGTGACCGACTTCCTGAGTGGGATGAAGACGATCTTCGTGATGCCATCTTATACGAGAAAACGGCCGCCTACCGACGCCAACAAGAACTCCTCAGACGATCGCCATCGCTAGCAACAACCCCAGCACCAACCCCAGCACCAACCCCAGCACCAGTCACTCCCGATCTAAACCTCCCGCAAGACCCCCCCCCAATGACCAATCCCTACCCCTGTCACGATCGAATCAACAGCAGCAGGAACTTATGATCAGACCAGCTATCGACCGCGAAGCTTACCGGACCGTGCCCCCCAGTCCAGGTCCCCAATGAAGACCTCGATCCTGCCATCGCCAACCAGTTTTCTAAGCTATGGGATCGAAAGCTCAACTATTCAGGTGACGCCTACGATATCCTAGATGATAAGATCCGTTACTTTCTCGATGCCTGCCTCACAGCTAGCATCAAACCGTCACAATTCCACGCTTTGTTCTCAAATATCCTCACGAAGAGAGCAAAGAACTTCTTCGTGCATCAAGTCAGCCGCGATTCAACGTTCGCGGAGATGTATCAGAAGATGAAGCAGCACTTTGATACGGAAGTCAATAGGCAACAGTATCACACTGACTGGACCTCGATCAATTTCACACAGCTTCGGAAGGAATCTCGAGAAGCCTCTCTGTGAAATCCTCCAGGCTCTTCTTGACAAATTGCAGCTATGCCAGAGAGCTCTTGGGAATAGCTATGGCGGCGAAGACCAGCTAATTTCAACGACAATTCGAGCATGCCGTGGCGTGCCTGAATTAGAATTCGCCCTCTTCGTGCCGGCTAAGACCTTCGAGGGACTATCTTCACAGCTAAGATCGTCACTCACAACCGTCAGCCAAAGACAGCCCGGACAGCCCAGTCAATATCTTCAAGATCAAGACCAATTCTTTACTGACCGCCGCTATCAGCACCCCGCTGACAAAGGAAGAAGTGGACGAAGCGCTGCTACGTCTGCGGCAAAGAAGGCTGTTTTTCAACGAAGCATCCGGATGACGAGAGAAAGAGGGCCAAGGAAAGATATCTTCGAGAACGAGGATTTCACGGCCAGAAGTCATCTTCCCGTCCATTTACTACGTTCCTTGCCGATTACGAAGGGGACCCAGATGAAGATCAGACCTCTGATTCTGCTGACGATGACTCTGACGATCAAAGCGATAGCTTCTTTGCAGCTGCCTTCCTATCTAATAGAGCTTTTCGCCACCGCATTCACACCGTCGAGGAGAATCGATATGCGAGGAATCACAGCATTTCTTGCTCGATCGCTACAACCGGACCTCTTTCCAAGGGATCCTGCCTGACACGGGTGCAGCGAAGATATCTACAGCTGGGATCGACCAATTCCGCGCGCTCCAACGAGAGATGCCGACGGTCCAGCTACGGAAGAATGCGACGATCGCAACGGTCAGATTCGGTGGAAACGAGCCGACGAACACGATCGGGATCACAACAGTCATTACCCCGATTGGAGAAGTCGTTTTCCACGTTATCAATATGTCAACGCCCTTCTTGCTATGCCTCAAGGATATGGACCGTCTCGGTGCCTATCTCAACAACGTCACGAACGAATTGATCTGCGGCGATAAGAGGATTCCGATCGTACGCAAATGGGGTCATCCGTGGTTCTTCCTACGGAAGGATGAAGCCGCTATTGCCTTCCTATCCGAAGCCGAGCTTCGGCGCCTACACTCGCTTTGGCCACCCGTCAGTACACAAGCTACATAAGCTACTGACAAGCGCTGGGCATGATGTTGAATTCGAAGCAATCGCGATGATTCGAAAATTCTGTCATTTTCGCCAGATCAAGGCAGACGCACCGCGCAGGTTCAAATTCACGTTAAAGGATAACTGCGATTTCAACTACGAATTGATCGTCGATGTAATGCATCTTGACAGCCGGCCAGTCCTTCATGCCGTTGACCTAGCAACCTCTTTCCAAGCCGGACGATTTCTTCAGAATATATCGGCTAAAGAGACGTGGAAGCACTCAAATTGTGTTGGATTGACACATACCTAGGCCCTCCAGATGTTATCACGCACGACGCTGGTACGAATTTTGCCTCCTCTGAGTTCCAAGCAGAAGCGAAGCTGCTAGGAATAACCTGTCACCAAGTGCCCGTCGAAGCCCACTGGTCAATTGGCAAGGTGGAGATATCACGCCCCGATTCGAAGGGCATACGAGATCTTGAAAGCCGAGCTAAAAACAGCATCAGCTGAGTCGTTGCTTCAAATGGCCTTCAAATCCGTCAATGATACCGCCGGACCTGACGGTCTAGTGCCCACACTACTAGTCTTTGGTGCCTACCCTCGGATAACGATGGATTCGCCGCCTTCTGCTTCCGCGATCACGTGCGAAAGCCGTGACGAAAGCTATGGCAGAGCTACGCAAGCTTGTAGCTAAAAGGAAGGTCAATGACGCCCTCAATGCCCGTAATGGGCCCAACACGATTGAGAAGATGCCACTATCATTGCCGCTTGGTAGTGAAGTTCGAGTATTTCGTGAGAAAGGAGGATGGAAAGGCCCATACAAGGTCCTAGCTGTGACAGACACAGAGGTCACAGTTGAGCTAGACAACGGGCCAGCTAAATTTCGCAGCACGGCTGTCCAGCCCTACTTTCGCCACCCGGATTCGCAGCAGCAACGAAGTCACGATGTTCTACAGCAGCCACACGCTGACAATCAGACTGCTGACAATCAGGCTGATAGCATCAACGTTGAGACCGAAGTGCCTAAGCCATTCGAATATCCGAGCCGGAGAGACCACGCAGACGCGGCAGACCAAGAAAAGTCCTCGAGATCAGCAGCAATACGATACCTTCGTTCCTTCTAGTTATTTCCTTAGTCTTAGCCCTTTCGTTACCTCGATCTCAATTTTCACCCGCTAATATGTTTCTATCGCATAAGGAGTGCGCCGCCCTCGACCTTGCCGTAAAGTTACGTGCAGAGAAGAAAATCACTACCGCCGGACGACCGTTTGAAGCCTCTGATGACCTCGAAATCACGAACCTGCTAGGCGCAGGCGTCATCGTGCCCGAACGATACGATATGAATAAGCATGGAAAACACAGGCTATTCAAGTCACGAATGGTCCGGGAGGTCAAAGGCAAGAACACTGCTACACCGTACGAGAAGTCTCGTCTTGTGGTACAAGGATATGGTGACGACGAGAAGCGTGAGATCCTCACGCAGGCTCCAACAATCTCCCGTCCTGCCCAGCGGGTAGTACTCGCTCTTTCCCTTTCCTTTGCTCTTTGAAGATGTCTCTTGCTATCCGAGACATTACGATGGCCTATACGCAGGCATCGACCACTTTGAATCGCACTATCCTCATCTCTTTGCCACACGAATTAAAGAGAGATACCCAGGGGAACCATCCTTCGTGTGGTCAAGCCATTGTACGGAATCGCTGAAGCAGGCGCTCATTGGTTCAATACGTATCATGAGCATCACCGCATCAAGCTACAGATGGAGCCGTCAACGTTTGATCCATGTTTAATGATAACGACCGCAGAGATCAACGTCACGACCGCAGAGACCAACGCGGATACCGCACTTCAGGTTAATGCCTTCGGCGTTGCCGCGCTTCAGACTGATGATACGTTATTGGTAGGCACAACAACATTCCTGCAACGTGAAGACCGCGAGCTATGCTTCCAAGCCAAGCCAAAGAAGACCCTACGAGAAGGCGATACCTGTGATTTCAACGGCAGCCTCATTGCTCTAGAGAAGGGCTATCTTCTAGTCATGCAGAAAGGTCAGGTCAACAACCTCAAAATTATCGATCTATCCACGGAAGATCGGGCCCAACGATACGTGGAACAACGTGCCCGTGGCGCCTATATAGCCTCAATTTGTCAACCAGAGGCTAGCTTCGATTATTCAATCGCGGCACAATCACAAGATCCAACCGCGGAGGATTTTCAGGCGTTGAATAAACGGATCCAATGGCAGATCGACAATCCACAAAGAGGCCTTCGATTCGTCCCAATAGGTCTAGAAGCAGCAAAGGTCTTCGTCTTCACAGACGGATCATTCGCCAACAACAAGGACTTAAGCTCTCAGATCGGATTCGTTATAATCATTGCAACCGAGACTAAGTCAGATGAGTCATTCACGATCCACGGAAACCTGATCCATTGGAGCTCGACGAAGTGCAAGAGAGTCACCCGCAGCGTCTTGGCTTCTGAGATATATGGATTAGCTTCAGGCTTCGATTTGGCATATGTGGTTGCAGGGACGATCAACCAGATTACAAGCCGCCTTGGATTACCGCAAATCCCGCTCGTTGTGTGTACAGATTCGTACAGCCTGTACGAGTGCCTAGTGAAGCTTGGCACCACCACGGAGAAACGTCTGATGATCGATATCATGGCGTTGAGACAGGCCTACGAACAACGCGAAATCACCAACATCCGCTGGATCAACGGAGCGGATAACCCGGCCGATGCAATGACGAAGCTATCTCCAAACGGGGCCTTAACCCGATTCGTTAACGACAACGAGATCACGATCCGGCTCGAAGGCTGGGTTCAAAGGAAGGAAGATATGACCGCATGATTGACGATTTTGATTTAAGCTTGCTATCGATTGTTCCTTTGTGTTGAGATACCCGTTTTTACATGTTGTTTGGGTGTTACGTTTAGTGCGTTTTGTTCGATTCTTAAAGAGATGCCAGTGTCTGATCATTTGTACGATAGAGCGCACATCGCAGGAGGGTATCACGTGCGTCAGCAGGGAACAACGTTTACCCGACACGCGCACAACCTATCAAACCTCACAGCATGGTCTAGATAGCGAAGAATAACAAGAACAACACGATCATCGATCAAAGACCCAACTGAGCCTCAGTTAACCTATCCACACTAGGAGTATTACTATTTGCCCCGGAGCAAATCTCTATTCGGCCCGGATTCTCTAGAAATCCTCTTTTTTAATTGGATAATATATATCTTAGTCATCATTGCGATATCTTAAGTATTTTCAAGTCTCGTCTTGTACGTCGCGCTCACCTCGCGCGGGGGATAAACCCCCACAGTAGGGCCCTTCCCCAAGGGAGACCCCTCCTCCCCTACTGGCTCGGGCGTTCGAGTACGCTTTTCCGAAGTTAGAGCTCTCTAGAAATTTCTAAGGATTTTCTATTAAGAGATAGCCAATATAAAATACTAGCTAGTAACATCTAGGTACTTTCACTTTAGCGGGTTAGGCCGAATAGAGATTTGCTCCGGGGCAAATAGTAAGTCAGCACCCCTAGCTTCCGGCACCCCCTACTTCCGGCACCTCCCCACATCACCATCGCGTTGACTACCCACTACATCGTGACCGCGTTTTCTCGTGCATCTCTTATTCAATAATTATAAAATAAATATCATTCGAATCAGTGATGCCTCGTCTTTCTAAATATACCGAAAACCAGCTCTAAGAAGCGCTCGAAGCTATTAATAATAGCATACCTTAGCTCTAAGCTAGTCGTAAGTAGGGTATTCTAAGAACAACCCTTTAGACGCGTCTTAAAGGAGCCCTACCTATAAAGGAGGTAAAAGAGGCATCTTAAAGGCTTAGTCGAGAGCAGGAAAAACACCTCTATGAATGGGTTCTTGCCTAAGCGGCCCTTGGGCTGCCTCCAACGCATTATCAACTCAGGGAATTCGCCGGCCGCATCATCGTGGCAGTGGAGACCCCGCCCGCTTAGAAAACACTAGGTTTCGAGCTTTTGCGAAACCTAGAGATTAGCACGATTAAAGGTAAATCTCTTAATTCTACCCGTATTAACGGCGCCTCTATTAGCGGGATCAAGGAATAGTTCCAATTGCTTAAGCTGCCGGCTATATAGGCAATCCCACCGGAATCACGCTTTAATATAGACGAAACAGGCATCCTCGAGGGCCTTAGCTGTAACGGGCTAGTGCTAGGGAGCTTAGAGAAGAAGGAGGCTATTAAGAAGCGGCTTAGATCGCGTTATTAGACTATAATCGTCGAATGCGTCTCTACAACGGGCTAGGCCTTGACCCCCCTTGTGATCTTTAAGGGCTAGGACCTCTAATAGCAATGGTTCCCTAACGAACTCGATTTTCTAAAGGATTGGGACTTCGTCACTTCCCTAAAGGGCTAGACAAGCGATTCTATCGCCATTTAATGGCTTAAGCAGGTGTTTATCCCCTAAACAAGGCGCCACCTATAGGGGAACGTTCTCCTTATCGTTAATGGCCACGGGAGCTATTAGACCGACGATTTTATATATAAATGCTTTAAGAATCGCATTTATCTTCTTTTTCTACTAGCACACTCCTCCTACGTCCTCTAACCTCTTAATATCTCGGTTTTCTCGCCGATCAAGGCTACCTACCGACGTTAACTCGAAAAAATCGTATCTTTCGACGATATAGCGCCAATTAGCAAGGCTACCTTCCTCCAAGCATATTATCAGGCCCGGCAGGCCGGTCTAACCGAAAAGAATATCAAGGGCGGGTAGCGTGGGTCAGGACTATGGCCAGTTAATATGGCAAAGCCCTTGCTAAGCCGGTTCGTCTTACCGCAGCCGTTAACGCCGTTAACGCCGTTAAAAAGAAAGAATTCTGGTACCCTAGCTATTTACAATGCCCTTAAAACGCCTAAACGATCACAAGAAGTCCGTCGCCTTATTGTGGGGCTAGAAAACCGTGGTCAAGTTGACCGTACGATCCGACTACTCTGGCAAGGTTGGCGCTTGATGAGCAAAATTGGCAGCTTGCAGCCTCCCAACTTCGAATACAGCAGCTAGAGCATCAATTACATCGTCTACGGCCTTAAAAACAGAAAAAGGTCCCTTAGGACCCTAATAGGCGGTTCGTATAGATTGAATAAGTTATAAAGACGAAGAAATAGCTCGAGCGCACGCTTGAGCCGGCTGCCGCCGCCATAGCCAATTAGAACGCAGGATTTAAAGCTCTTTGCAATAGCTGGCAGCTAGAGTAGCCAGAAACACCAAATTTAATTATCGTGATGTTAAAATGCGGCTTCAATTGCGTTTAGAATGTGCCTGCCTTGGTGCTGCGAAGGGTGCCGGAAGTGGGGGGTGCCGGAAGCTAGGGGTGCTGACTTAATACTCTTCTCTATTTACATAGAATTTCTTTAAAATCCTCTCTTTTAATTGGTGGCTTTATCCGCTTAGTAATTAGTACTCCACCTCGTATATTTTTTAAGCCCCTCAAAAGTCGCGATCTTGCACGTCGCACTCACCTCGCGCGGGGGATAAACCCCCACAGTAGGGCCCTTCCCTAAGGGGGACCCCTCCCTACTGGCTCGGGTGCTCGGGTGCGCTTGTTCGTAATCGCGGCCTTCTTAGTAGGTACCTAGGTAAGGCAGCTAGGGGAAAGGCAGTACCTTAAAGTGACTTTAAGGTACTTTAAGTTTAGGTGCTCTATATAACTCTGTGTAAATAGAGAATTTTGTCTGTGCAAATAGTAAGACTCCTCGATAAAAGGCTTGTGTCTATTACGAACTGTGGGATTCTCCAATCTACCTCAACTTTATGGTGCGCCACGGGCAAAGCAGAATCTCGCTGAAGTAATCATGGCGATTATTATCGGTCGAATATCAGCTTAGTCATGTGCATTGTCCGCCATTGTCCGTCTCCACAAACATTTTCTATCTCTCATCGTCGTCACTTCTCTTGCAACGGGCGCGGTGGATTATACCATCACGTCAAGAATTTTCGCCAGCCAACGCCGCTAACAAAATGGGCGTCGGAAACAAGCGCACAATCACCAAAACGAGGCGGAAGACGAGGTGGGAGCAGGCTGATCCTTGAGCTTTGATCAAATACTCATCGTAGAGTCCTGCTGACTGGAACCCCCAGGGATGTCGACCAAATCAAAGCCGACCTACTCTCCACGAGGCATCTCAGCCAGTTCAAGGACACCAAAGCCGCCGAGGATCTCCCCGGCCTTGGCCGAAATTATTGCATCGAATGCGCCAAGTGGTTCGACACCGAGTCGACATTGAATGCCCACCGCCACGGCAAGCCTCACAAGCGCAGGTTCGTGTCCACCGTGGGGATAGGTGCAGACGCATCTTGGAGGGAGGGCCCAGTATTCTGACATCCGCAAAGAGTCAAGCAGCTGCGCGAAGAGCCGGACCCTGACCCCCGGACAGTTCCAGGGGGGTCAGTCAACCCACGTACGAACAATGCCGAAGAAGAGGGCGGTGGCGTAGCAGCCGTCGACGTCAACATGGCGACTTGAGTTGACATACAATTCGCTGTCCTCTTTCCAAATATCGAGCGAAGAAAGGGCAGCACCTCAGTGTGTCTGGGACTCGAAAATAGTCGGAGCCAGTCCACACAACGACTTTAGGGGCTATGGCGGCCCGATGCCGACTGGGCGCACCATCCGGAGCTCACCTTATGCCACGGCCGCGAGCTCTCGTCATCCCACTGGGCCGGTTTCGGCCATGGGTGGTTTGTCTGCCTCTTGATGATGAGCCTCGCGCGTAAGGTAGACGCGATTGACGGGTCTCGGGAGTCGCAATCCTAGAGTTTGATTTGGCCGACGGGGCCGGGTTCTCAACGAAGGACGTATCGGTGGTCCTGTCCGCTGGTTAGGATTTATCGAAAGGAGCTGTTTCGCGTTGCAAATGGCTGGACCTACATGAAAGTCGTCTCTGCGTCATTGTCCGGTCGTGCAGTGCCGCCGCCCGGAGCTTCGTGCTGGTGCCGGGCTCTGCGAAAAGACTCGGGAATGGGACCCTACCAGCCGGGAAGTCTTTAGCGCTGATCTTGACCCGGTGTGTAGGGTGTTCTTTGTTGTATATTAGAAGACAGCTTAAGCGGCAACGCGTACCTCGGGGAAATCAACACAAAAGGCATTCATGTTGAGTCCGTAGAGGAAGCTAGCAAAGGACTCGCTGAACCTAGCCAGGCTTTCGTGCATGAGCTGAAAGTGCATCATGTTGGCTTCCAGGTCCGCCATGGCGTCGGAGAGCTCAGCAAAGGCCGGCTCAAAGGTGTTGAGCGGAAAGGGCGCATCTGGCCCGCCGGCACTGCGGGCAGAGTCGCGGAACGAAGAGCGGGACGACGGTCGCAAAGGCGTGGTGGGACGCGTACGCGAGTTGGAGCGCTTGCCGCTGGAGGGCTCATGGGCTTCGGTGGGCATTTTCCTTTGGCGGGCTACGTCCCAAGGCGGAGAGGGGCTTCTTCTCCTCTGCGTTTCAGCCGGCAGCTAGGTCGCGTGTCCGATGGGCGCCGACTCGGCGGCGTCGTCGAGGATTGGAAACGGAGGCGGATGAATGCTCGGCGTTGTTGCCTCCGCGTTGGCTTCCCCTGTTGTTTGTACGGATCCTCAGCGATAAGCTGATAAGGCAGCTGAGATATCCAGTCACGGTCAAATACCGCTGGGGAGCACGTGCCTGCGCGGCCGGGGAGCCTCGGTCGGCGGAGGGCCATCCAGGCCTTGCGCTGTTCCAAAGAATGCCACGCTTGCGATTGGCACGCCACCATCGCGCGAAGCCAGCCGCTTCCGTAGTAAGTTACTGCGTAATACTAATTAGACCGATGTGTCCAGGTGCGGCTTAGGGGTCCTGGGACACCTGCGTCTGGTGCGATATTTCAGTCATTTCAGTCATTTCAACAACTCGTCTATCTGCCATGGCGATTGTGAGACGTATATGGACTCTATGGTGCGCCTGCCTAGGTACCTATGTAATTTCTTCGTTACAATACCGGTACACCTTGAATCAGTCGGGCGAAAGCCACGAGCATCTGTTTCTAAGCGGCGGTTGGTCGGCCCAACCCTCTCTGGTACCTGGGCAGAACGCATGCAGGCTGCAGCCATACTGTACAGCAACCCTGCCCTGTGCCTGCTGCAATCATGTATGTACAGTACATACGACGACGCGGCTCTTTTCCTTGCAGGTGCCTAGGGGAAGCCGCAAGGTCGACGGCTCCAGGGTATGGCAGACTGGTGGCTGTCACGGCACTTGATGAAGTTGATGCAAGTCGTTTACGCACTGACTCTCAGGAGCGGGGATGATTGATTCAGCAAGTACGCGGGCATGATTTCACCATCCTCCCGATCCGAGCACTCTGCTGGCGTAATGTCTGCCGTGGCGTTGGTGAGGCCCGGGCCACGTCCCCGCAACGCCGCTCGCGCACCCTTCCATGCGGGCATGCCGATGCATGAATCGACATTGGAAAGGCAGTTTCTACAAGGGCGGACGGACCGAGTGGGTAGTGCCGTGCCCTGTCTGTCTCATTTAGCGTTGTGTCTACCGCTTTACGGCCATGTACGGGGCGACTGCGAGCAATTAAGTTAATTGTTTTATATTATTGGGCACAGGCTTATTATTACATGTACTGGCGCGTGTTGCGGCGCCGAACGCCCGGCATGCGCACGTTCTCTCCCCTCTCATCACCAAGCCTTTGCGCCGAACAACAGATCAAGCAGGTCTGCCCGGTCGCAGGATAGCTCAGTCTATCCATAGACTCTCTAGCGGGTGCCTGGGTGCTGACTCCCACCCCATCAGCTTCTGCCACTCCCCCCCCCCCCTTCCCGCCGCCTTGTGTCGGGACATCCTCCCCTCCGGCAAGGCAGCCTGTGCTCGTCGTCCATGACTCTTTGGGCCGTCCGTCCAGCCCTCCCGCTCGTCAGGTTCCCCGTCTCGGCCTCCGCATTGCGTCTAGCTCCCGCCGGGATCCGCCAATCGCGCCGTGCGATCGTCTCCGATCGCGAAAAGTCGCTTCTGCCCTCGAAACCATCCGCCAACCCTGATTCCGCCCCTTCCATCTCGGGTCCCGGCCTTACCACTACTCCTCCCCTGGAGACCCGGATCGTCCTCGACGGATCATCTCTCTGTCAAACGCGACTTTACTCCACTGGGCCGCGGTTCTTACCAGCAAGCGCTGGCCACCCTTCCCAACACAACCTTAAAAGCACCCTCAGCCCCCCCTGCTCTGCAGCCGTTGTCGTCTTTCTTATTCTCGCCACCTGGGTCACTGCAGATCTCTACACGCTCACTGCCTCTGACCGCCCCTCTCAAGAAACCATGCCTCCCACTACCGCGGCCCCGGGACACATTGGCAATCTAACTGTCGAGCAGCAAGAGAAGCTCCGCCAACTATGGAACGAGATCTTCAAGCTCTGTGGCGTCGCAGACCCCGAAGGTAACGGCTCCAATGCCGCTGAGGCGGCGCCGGCCAAGCCCGATCCCGCTCCAGAGGATCCCGAGTCGCCCCAGAAGAAGCGGTTCAGCCTGTTCCGGCGCAAGAATGCTGAGAGCAGTCCGACGTCCAATGGCTCCGCACCCGAGGCCAAGGACGGAACGGACAGCAACGACAAGCACGGCCAGACAAAGCAGTTCCAAAAGACGCTCGAGAGCCAGACTCCTGAGTCGATCCGCGAGACTATTTGGTCCATGGTCAAGCAGGACAACCCCGATGCACTCGTGCTGCGATTTCTCCGAGCTCGCAAGTGGGATGTGCAACAGGCGCTTGTTATGCTTGTGTCCGCCATGCACTGGAGGCACACTGAGATGCATGTCGACTCAGACATCATGAAGAACGGCGAGGCCGGTGCCGTGCAGGACGAGCAAACCGGCAGCGCCGAGGCTAAAAAGCTCGCCAGCGACTTCATGGCCCAGTCCCGCCAAGGCAAGAGCTTTCTGCACGGGTTAGACAAGGAGGGGCGCCCCATCTGCGTGGTTCGGGCTCGACTGCACAAGCCCAGCGCCCAGTCTGCCGAGAGCTTGGAGCGGTACACGGTCTTCATCATCGAAACGGCTCGCCTGGCCCTCGAGCCCCCCGTCGACACAGCGGTTAGTACACCCCAGAAGGTGCCGTGTCAAGGGCCTTGGTCGCCTAACAGCTTCGCTTAGACAATCATCTTCGACATGACTGGCTTCTCATTGGCCAACATGGACTACCATCCCGTAAAGTTCATGATCCAGTGCTTCGAGGCCAACTACCCCGAGTCCCTAGGTGCGATTCTCGTCCACAATGCGCCGTGGGTATTTCAAGGTACGTGCGGCCCCCACGCATGGCCGAGGACGGTGGAAGCTAAGAATCCAACAGGAATCTGGAGGATAATCCGTGGCTGGCTTGACCCTGTTGTGGCCGCCAAGGTCCACTTCACCAATTACAAGGCCGGACTAGAAGAGTTTATCGAACCGAGCCGCATCATCAAGGAACTCGAGGGCGAAGAGGACTGGGAGTACAAGTACGAGGAGCCCGTTGAGGGTGAAAATGACATGATGAAGGACACAGAGACGAGGGACCGACTACTCGGGGCGAGGGCGGAGCTGTACAAGCAGTTCGAGGCCGAGACCCGGACGTGGATCCGTGCTGCCGACTCGGAGGAGGGCAAGCAGGCCAAGGCGCAGAGGGACAAGATCGCGGAACAGATGCGCGTGGGCTACTGGGAGCTTGACCCTTACCTGCGCTCCCGGTCTCTTTACGACAGACAAGGCATCATTCTGCCGGGAGGCAGAGTCAACTGGTACAAATGGGGAGACAGGAAGGAAACGGCGCCGCAGACCAACGGCACCGCAGGCGATGCATCGGCCTCGATGGAGAGGGAGGCATGACGGATACACTGTGCCGTGAGTGGGTTGAGCTAGTGGCATCACCACGGCAAAGCCTTTGGCTCTGTCGCGGCTAAGAGGAGGAGCAGGAGATGAATATCTGGGATACTATTTTAGAGAGCCGAGCTCGAATGCTGTGCCCGCAATCTTTGTCTGGCACAAGGCGCGGTCCTCGAAGGACGAGCCAGTGGAGCAGATGAGGCACAAGCCTACATCTTGGACTTGATATCTTCGCAGAGTGCCTTGAGCTCGTTCATGTCGCCAGTCGTGGCAGGCCATTGAATGCCCAAGCCCTCTGTCTCGTTTGGCTTGGGGATCTGACGGAGGCACCTCGCGTGAGAAATGAGAGTTGGCAGCTCGGAAACGGGACAAGCTTACCATGTGAAAGTGCACCTGAGGCGGAGGCAAGGAGGGGAGAGGGGAGGGAATCTCAGTCAGGCTTTGTTGACAAGGGACGACAAGTTTGCATTGGGCCACTCACATGGTGAACTTGCTGGTGGGCTATAGTGCCGTTATTCTGCAGGATGTTGTACTCGGAGGCGCCGGTGGCCGTGACGAGCTTCTTGAGAGTGGGCTGGACCAGAGGAAAAGATGGGCAGGTGTAAGCGGCGACAGCGGTCAGGGCCCGGAGTTGGGATCAAGAGGGCTCTCGTACCAGAATCTCGGACAAGTGATCGTCGGGGATATCGGTCAGCTTGGCGCCGTGGTGCTTGGGGATGACGAGCTGTATGCGGGAACGATGGTGAGCAAGCATTGTGCGCGTACACTCTGGCGGATGAGGCTTGGACGTTAGGAAACGCACAGCGTGGCCCTTGCTGAGGGGGCCAATGTCAAGGAAAGCGAGCGTCTTGTCGCTCTCGAAGAGCTTCATGCAGGGGATATCGCCTGCAAGAGGAGGGATGAGAGGACGGGGTCAGCAGCAACGGACACTCGGCGGGAAGACACGGCGACGTGGGCTTACCCTTGATGATGCGACAGAAGATGCAGGCCGCCATGGTCGCGCAGCTAGATGGATGCTTGTCAAGCGCACTCCGCGAAGACTTGCTCGAGGGTAGATGTGAGGATGTCCGGGTTGCGGCAAATGGGTGGGGAAGAGCCGCGGAACGTTGACAGCCGGCGCCGAGGGGTACCGTAAAGAGGGGCAGGTACGGACGGATACAGGCCTCTAAACTTCTAAAGACTCAAGAGAGTCCCCATGAACTACGGAGTACAGCAGATAAGTGTATTCGACACATACAACAGCCCACGGACGTCTCTCAATACGCATCTCAAGCACAGGCATCTCAGCATCGCGACTGCGCGCCATTTGCTGGCGTGTAGCACTTGGCAATCAGATTGCATTGCGAGCCACTCATTGCATGCATTATGAGTTGCAAAGTGACCTTCGCGTGCGCGAGGGGATTTAAAGAACGGGGTTGCGTGACTGTTTGCATAAATAAATTGGTGCTTATGGCTTGCCGTGTTGGCTGCTACTGGTGTCAATGCCTACTGATAAAGTCTTGAAGCATCACTCTTTCTTTTTAGCCCGTAACACTCAGTGACGTGGGAAGTAGTGACTGCCTGCCCGACTGCCTGCTCCATTAACTAACTGTCTGCCGGCCACACACCCGACTGCTTGTCCTTGCCTCATCTAGTTTGTATGCGAATTGCGAAATAATTACTCCATACCTGGTTCGTGCACCCGCGCTCTGAGCAAATGTAGTGGGGCGACGCACGAGCTGCGGCGTGGCTACGGGCTGGATATACGTACAATCCTGGGTCACGTGCCGATAGCGGCGTCTCGGGGGCCGGCAGGTCTATCTGGCTAGTTCCAGCCGCTGAGTCCGCCGGGCCCGTGAACGATCCCCTGGCATAACACGCCCATCAGGATGCGCAGCGTTCACCAGCCGCGACAGGGCGAAGCGAGGCCTGGTTGAGGAGCTTCCGCACAGGTTCAAGCAGGCTTCACTACCAGAAATCTCATCTTCCGGGGCGTCCCCCGAGGTTTCGCACAGTGTCACGCAAGCCGCGATGCGCGGTGTCCGGGGATTCAGCACCCTTCGAGCTCGATCCTACATTTTCCGACTGCCGCTCTTCACTCGAGCAATCATACTCGTCATTATCATCTTCTGGGCCGTGAGCCTGCCGTCGATCTGGGACATCAAGGGCTGGGGCGCCTTGATTCCCGACAAAGTCTCTTTTACCACGGGTAAGCACGTAGAAATAACCATTGCCACGTACTCGGCATCGAGGCCGCGCTGACAAACTTGGCTCAGCATACCGACTTTCGACCTTTCCCCTAGTTCACCTGAATCTCATCCATGCTGCTCTCAATGTGGTCGCACTGACGCCTTTGATGGAGAGGTTCGAGAGCGAACACGGAACACTGCCTACGCTTTCCCTGTTCTTTGGGCGTAAGGATGACACCGGCCGGCCCTTCCTTGTCCCACAGCTCGCTGACTTGACTGCCAGCTTTGACGACACTTCCTGCGATTCTATACCTCGTCATCGAACGTGGTATCCTCCGCAGCAATAATGCAGTCGTCGGAGCAAGGTGAGGCGTGCCCTGTCGAGCGCGCTGTTGGCATGGACGTCGGGACTGATGTTCAATACCTCTGCAGCGTTTGGGTATTCCTTTTACTGGGAATGGAGGCGATTCGAACGTACAGATCGAACCCCCACCTGGTTATTGCCACGTACCACATCCCGACTTGGACAACACCGCTACTCATGATCATTGTGGTGGCCGCCTTGGTACCAAACACGAGCCTACTTGGGCATTTATGCGGTGCAGCCGTCGGGTACATATGTACGTCCTTCGCCGCTGCCCCATCCCCCTGATACATCCTGTTCGAAGCAACCACTTACCGGTCTCGGTAACAGGTGGACTTGGCTATGTCAAGTTCCTTGCACCCCCAGAATGGGCTCTGCGCTGGGTCGAGACGCGCCTTAACCTGCTGGTAATTCTGCCGCACTACGTTAGCATCGATCAGAAGACGTACGGCCGGTTTGGGGTGTTGCCTTCTAGCAATCGTACGGGAGGCAGTGTGGCAACAGAACTCGTGGGGGGGTCCCAGCGTCTCGGACCCTGAGCGGTCGCCGCTACTGCTGTGTGGATTTACGTCTCGTTATTTGTGTGTGATTACAGTCTGTAGGCATGCTGTGTAACAACGGCGGCTGCTGCATTAGATGTGAAGCGCCCAGGTGCAATGTATTGGATGGCGGTAAGGCTGGGCGATGTCTGCCGAGGCAATTTACTTTTTTGGGCCCTTTCTCTCGACAGTTCACTCCTTGGACCGCTCGGGTATGCCCCCCTCCGATGTAGTTTCAGCCTGGGGTATCGTCAAAGCCGTCCATGACAGCGTTCAGTTTAGTTGTCTAGCCGTCGGCAGTGGTAGTAGGGTAAGTAACACTCGGCCCAGTATGCTCTCCAGTGCCACTATAATATTAATTTACTGCCTACCGGGTAAAATAGTAGCCGCTGTAAACGTTTCTGATGTTAATATAGGGGAGATGGCGCCCAGCCAAACCACGACGCTGACGCCATTGATTGATGCCTTACTTTTCAACGTCACCCTATAGGGTAGGTAGGACGGACCCCAGTGGGTCTGGCAATCACGCTGTCGAGCTCCAGGGAGTGCCATAACCGTACTCCCTCCCTTTAAGTCCCCCAGGATCCATGTATGTTTGTATTGCGTTGCGACACTTCCACCATCGACGCGCATTTCGTTGCGCCAGCCAGCCGCCATGTCGCGACTGCTATGTACGCCCCTGGCTCTCATCACTATTCCATGCCGTCCAGATCTACTGCTAACGTGTACCTTTCTCTAGCCTCGGCGCTCTCTTTGCGGCGCGATCCCCGGATCCTCAAGCTCCCCCCCTACCTATCCCTGATGTGCATCGCCGTTGGCGTCATCTGGCTTCTGCTGCTGCCACTGGACGAATACTCACGGCGCACGTACATTTCGGAGAATGCGCTTCTGCCCGGTCAGGTACACACATACTTCGGAGGAAGCGAGCAGAACGTCTTTCGAGCCTATCGCCACGAAGTGGACAACTTGGCAAGCCAGAGCAATTACGCGTGAGTATCGGAACCAGCCCCACGACCGCTGGGTACCCTATGCTAACGGAGAAGCCACAGAATCAACGATAAGCTAGAGACTGTCATGAAGGGCGTGGGCATCAAGGTCGGACGACAGAACTACACCTATCACTCCGCGGGGGAAGAGTTCACCGGCGAAAACGTATACGGAATACTGCAAGCCCCACGTGGGGATGCCACCGAGGCGATTGTTCTCGTCGCAGCGTGGACGAGCATCGAGGGGGCGCTGAATCGCAATGGCTTGGCCTTGGCCTTGACGCTGGCCCGTTACTTCAAGCGTAAGTTGGATTCGGCGTCTTGCATGGCACCCACCCCATCGTCTGCAGAGTGCTGATAAGCCTGGACAGGCTGGTCTCTTTGGTCCAAGGACATTATCCTCTTGGTGCCCCCAGACAGCAGGACTGGCACACAAGCCTGGGTCGATGCGTACCACGATGCTCACGATCCGAGCACCGTTGCTTCGCTCCCGTTAAAGTCCGGAGCACTACAGGGCGCCGTTGCCATCGATTATCCCTTGGAGCAGCCATTCGACGGCATCCATATCGTGTACGACGGTACAAACGGGCAACTGCCTAATCTTGACCTCATTAACTCCATTGTCAATATTGCCGGGGGCCAGATGGGCATCCAGACGGCCATCCAGGACATGAAGCATCATGCAGGGGGGTACCTGGACCGGCTGAAGACGATGCTCAGAGGTATGCTAAACCAGGGGCTCGGCAATTCAGCAGGTCCGCATAGCAGCTTCATCCCGTACCATGTCGACTCGGTGACGCTGCAGCCCTACGGCCAAGGCTGGCACGACGAGATGGCCATGGGCAGAGTGGTCGAAGGGACCTTTAGGAGCCTGAACAACCTGCTGGAACATCTGCACCAGAGCTTCTTCTTTTACCTGCTGATGCAGAGAGACCGATTTGTTAGCATCGGCACCTACTTGCCCAGCGCCATGCTGCTCTCGGCCAACTTCACCATCATGGCCATCTTTCTCTGGGTCAAAAGTGGTCAGTCCGCGGCACAAGAGCCCCAGCAAAACCAGGCTGCCCCAGCCAAATCGAAGGGAGACTCATACAAAACAGCGGGACAAGGCGAAGCCACGCGTCCACCGCCATCGACCGTTGAGCGGGACCTTGCCCTCCCGCTTGGCGTCGTGGCCGGGTGCCAAGCCGTCTCGATTGTGCTCCTTTTCGTCTTCAACAGACTGCCCGCCAGTGTAAGTCGCCCTGTAGTGTTTGCATCTGGGCAGGGGCATCTTCCCAGTGTCTCGGTTCTTGACTGTGCTTACGATATCTTCTTGATAGATGCTCTCTCCCGCATTCACCGTTTTCTCAATAGCCTCGGCTGCCTTACCACCCGTTGCCTCGCAGCTAATCGCAGCCGTTTCTGCACCAACAGCACAGCACTTTCAACTCACCAAATCCTTCTCATTGCTCATCCTGGGCATAACACTAGCCACACTCGCCACGCTCAACTTTTCGCTGGCGTTTCTCATCGGACTGCTGGCCTCACCCTTGACCTTTGTCCAACCGACGCGCAGCATCGCTGCCAGGTATTGCCTGGCAGGGCTACTGAGCGCCGTGGCACCCCCCGTCGTCGTATACACGGCGGCGCAGCTCTGGGGCGTGCGCGTCGCGGATGTACTGAGCGGAGCGAGCTTTGGGTGGAACGTATGGGGGATGCATACGGCCGTGGTCGTCTGGTGCCTGTGGTGGCCTGCCTGGCTCGTAGGCATGATCAATGTCCTGGGGACTGTCTCCAAGTAGGGGAACAGGGAAGAGGAGAAGAAGAAGAAGAAGAAGATGGCTGGCTCAGTGCGAGAAGAGGAGACGAGCAACGGTCTTCGGTCAAGGAACGGCCGCCTGCAGTAGAGAGGGAGGGTGGAGTGACTGGTACGATTTCGTTGTTCCATCTCCTTTGCCGGCTCAGCTCCTGGCCAGCAAGGCCATTGTCTGTACACATCGCAGTGAGCTTCTGGCCTCTCGTCCCGCTGAATGCCGTCTGCTAGGCAGGCCCCAGACGAGGGTAGTGGTGGCTACTGCTCATTGCAGAACGACGTTCTCTCTATTTCTTCGCCGTGCCTGTTGACGCCTTAGCTCGGTATGTCCTCGGTAGTGGCGTCTCGGCCAAGAGCGTCACGCTTGGTCGCCTTGGCATGATGGGCTGACGTCGACAACCACGCGTTGTCCGTAACGGGACTAGACGTGTCCAATCGGGTGCAATGGCACTCGATCAGCCTTGGTTTTCCATTTCCAGCACATGCATGCCGTTGGCCGCCTTTGGATGCTAGTGGATCAAGCTACCTATCGACCGATGAGGACAGGAGCCCATCATCTACGTACTCCGGGCTTTGCGTCTGATCGGCCGGCCCCGGCATGTGGGGGTGGGAGAAGCCGAAGCCCCAAGCGACTCCATCAACTCCCCAGCGCGGGGGCACTTACCTCGTAGGAAGGACGTAGGCGAGAGGCTGCGCGTCTTCCATTGCCCCATGTCTTTTACCGCCGCCGTCTCGTTCTCTTCGTCTGCGGGCAGGAAAGCATGGGTATCGATTATACACCAAGCCAAACACAGTGAACACTGAACAGCCACCCTCAGCCCCGAGCCCGCCCTGCCCAGGTCCCAGCTCCTCCGTCCGGCCTGTGATGGGATGCTGACGAATCAAAGATTCTCGGCGACTGTGCCTCTGCCAAGGACTGGGACAGGATGACGAGGCCTCACGGGTCCTCCCGCACGCCTGGCGTCTGGGGGCCTGAAGCACCACCATGGCCCATCCCAAAGCGTCGGAGCAGACGGGATAGATAATGAAGCCTTGAGCCGACCCGACGACCACATTTGCATCCTGGCCTAGACAGGGGCCTTGAACGCCTCTCCTATTATCCGATACTCTTGTTCACCATCTCCGTCACACAGTTGCAGCTCGGAAAGCACTCAAGGACCCTCGCGGCACTCGCTTCGACAAGATGGTTGCGTCCACAACTTGGAGCGTAGCGCTGCTCCTAAGCGCTGTCGTGGCGCATCCAAATCACGATGCTAGCCAGGAAATGGCAGAGCGCCGCTCCTTTCTCAACTCGGTCCGAAGCACCTCTCTTGCTCATTGCGCCGAGTCGCTCAGAGCTCGCGGCGTCGATGCCAGGAATGCCGCTCGGCGATCAAGCCTGGCGCAAGAGGCCCGCTTCAAACGAGGCTTGCTCGACAAGCGGGATGCCGAGACTGTCCTTGGAAAATCGCACAACCAAACCGAGCTTGGCTACTCACAGAACACGGACTTGGCCACCCTCTTCTCCGGCAATAACTCTTGCGTCCTGGCTCCCGAGGTAACCGAGGGCCCTTACTGTAAGTTGAAAGCCTTCAAAGCCCTCGTCTCTTCCAAGGCCGTCCTGTCCGTCTCTACTCTCCATCTGACTAGGTGTCGGTTCGTCTAGACGTCTCGGGAGAGCATGTGCGTCGCAACGTCGTCGACGGGCAAAAAGGCATCGACATCGTCTTGGATTACCAGGTCATCGACGTGGACACGTGCAAGCCCGTTCCCAACGTCTACGTCGAGATCTGGCACTGCAACTCGACCGGTGTCTACTCTGGCGTCGTGGCCAACGGCAACGGCAACGCGGCCGACCAGCCCAACCTCAGCGCAACCTTTCTCCGCGGCATCCAGGAAACCAACTCGGAGGGAGTAGTCTCCTTTGAGTCGCTGTTTCCAGGCCATTACGGTGGACGCACGACGCACATCCACGTCATGGTCCATGCCAACGCGACCCTGTATCAAAACCAGACTCTGGGCTACGAGACGTACGCCAGCCACGTCGGCCAGGCCTTCTTCGACCAGAGCCTCATCTCCGGCGTGGAGCTGCTTGAGCCCTATCGCAGCAACGAGCAAGCCCTCACCACCAATGCCGAGGACATGATTCTCAGCCAGGAAGCCGACGCGGACGGCGTGGATCCTCTCATGCAGTACGCTCTCCTGGGCGACAGCGTAAGCGACGGGCTCCTTGCTTGGATTGCCTTTGGCATCAACACGTCTTTTGCCAGTGAGGTCACCGCGGCTTCCTTCCTCTACGACTCGGGAGGAGTCGAAAACCCAAACTCGGGCAATGGCGGCCGGGCGTCGAGCTCTGCATCCGCGTCCGCTTCCGAGGCTCTTGGACCTACCAAGTATGCGTCAGACCTGGCAGCCATGGCCTGCTTTCTCGGGCTGGCAGTCTTCTTCTAGGGGACAAAGGTACATCATGCCCGGCATCGCACGCTGAGAGGAGGCGGTGACGGGACCAAATGGGGCCGGCGACGAGGATATGCTTGGGCTTGGCAGCATACCTGCTTGGAGTTTGACGATGCTATACAACGAGCCACGCCTTTTCTTGTACATATCCTTTTCACGAGACGGGCCAAGCTTATGAGTATTACTAGGTAGGTAGGTCTTTGCTCGAGTACAAATCCCCATCCAGCTACATTACTTAGCGCACCAACGCCTCGCCTCGTAATCGCCCTTGAGCCGGGTACGATAATAAGAAGGCGGTTACGACATAAACTACCTACCTAGTAGAGGGGCGGAGGCAGCAGCCGGGCAAGTAACCAATGGAGGCCGTAAGTGGGCGTGCCGGCAGACGGTCGGGCAGTCCATTAAGCAGGCAGTCGAGCAGGCAGGCAGGCAAGCATGTAGCTCGTGGTTATTGTAATGCAATTAATCGCCGTAAAAGTTGCGATTCTATCGTCTTGAGCAAACGGTAATATTCACCTTTATACTGCTGTCCTTTGGAGTCGTGTTCACTTGCACGCCTGTACGGCCACATCCACATTTACTTAAGTGGGCCGTTCGCCATCTCGTAGGACCTCCTATTTCCCCGATTCACTCCATTGCCTCGCCTTTCTCCTCCCGGGAAGCCAGTCGTGGGTGTGTGTCTCTGTCACTGGACCGACCAGAGTTCTGTCACAAAAAGCCGGTCAAATAATGGCCGGACCTCGTTGTGAAAGGTAACCCTGTTCATCCATGAACGCATCCATATCAACGTAGCGTCGCCTGTCTATACATGCCTCGCAAGCTTGTCCTCCAATCCCATGTCCGCAGCAACATTGACCGTCCGGTCCACCCGGTCCACCAGCCGCCGTCTCATGCCGCCCATACGTCCTTGCCGGCAGCCTCGATCCAGTTGCCGAGCTGGTTGACATTCGAATCCCAGTCGAGTAGCCGTTGTCGCATATTGCCAATCTGCTTCATGTCCAGTACCTTTGGCTGCACCCACGTAATGCGCGCAATCTCGTCTACCTGGTCGATTGTCCCACGCAAGAGGCCCAGACTCAGGGCCTTCATGATGAGATGCTCAATCTCTTCAGCCCGAACTTTGGTTTCCTGCGCAATAGTCGCAAATGTCATGGTTCGGTCATGTGGTGGCCGGCGGAAGACGGCTTCTGTGAGGGCGGCAAGGTAGATCTTTTGCCGGAGATGAGTAGAGTGCTCGTTGAGGAGCTTGTTGGAGGAGATGTTTTCGGAGAGCACGTCGTAGGCAGCGAGGTCGCCACGGTTGTAGGCAAACAGCAGCTCTCGAAGCCAAGCATCCTCGTTGCTCTGAGCCAGGGCATCGAGAATGGGATGCAGGAGCAACTCGCCAAAGTTGTAGATGCTGTTCGATACCAGAGCGGCCACGCTCAGATAGTAGGCTCTTCGGTGGCGCTCTTCGGCGGAGAGGGACGTCAAATCGATGCAAGCGAGGTATAGCAGAGCAGTGCGATAGTAGTTTGCAAAGTCCATCTTGCGCTAGGAGTCGAGAGTTAGGCCCGTACCAACTCTCGAAAGGAAGAGGAAGAAGAAAGGTAGGGCAAACCTGATAGTAGCTTGCATTGGCATCATAAAAGGCCGCATGGACAATCGTCTCGACAGAGTCAAAAGAGTCGAGTATCCGCTCGGCTGCGTCGAGATCCTTCCTGGCATCGTCGAGCTCGTTCAAGTTCAGCTTGACCCGCGCCACAGCCACCGAGGCGAACACAAGGGCATCCTGGGAGTTCTCTTTGTCGACCTTCTTCACCACCGATTGCAAGAAGGCCAAGCGCTCTTGATCGTCTTGGGGACGCCTTAGCATCGTCCATGGGCAGTGTTACGGAAGCCGCTTCAGGGCCATACCTTTACACTGAGTGGCAGCCTTCAATGCCAGATCCACCAGCTTCAATTGATTGATTTTGTCGGCGAACTTGAGAATGAAGACCTTGTAGAAGGACAAGCGCTGGGGGGCGCTGTCAGGGTGACTGAAGAACTGAACCAAGGCATCCGTGAGCTGATGCCAAAGCTTGCGCTCCCAGAAATTCTCAAAGTCAAGGAAGAGGGGCTGGAGCTCTTCCGGGGCCTGGTCCCGCTGCTCTGCCAGGAAATCGGAAATCGAATCGACGTTCATCATGGTGAGGTCCCGGCAAATAGAAGGCTAGGAAACTCGGGGATTTCTGCCGTGCGCGACCGGGAGAGGCTCCTTTTGGAGTGCGCGGGGGTCACCTCAACTGGCCCTTGGTCGAACGCGAGTTCAAGGGGCTGTGAGGCTCGTCGTTGGGTTGCGGGGTGAGCTGGAGAATGCCGTGGCTGTGATGGAGTATGGAGGAAGCTGGAGCAAAGGGCTGTCCGAACTCGTTGACGCAGGTGTCTAGCAGCCTGCTGGCGCGGTAGCAATTACCTACCTTAGGTACCTAGGTACTGAGGTAAGAAGTACATATACCTGCCGTAGCTCCTTCCGCCGTGACGGATGAGTTCACGGGCTCCATTACATAAGGAGCCTAGGCCAACTTCATAAAGTGTGCAGCTCACCCAATGAAGCACGTGACTTGAAGCGCTAGCCGCCGAGCTGTGCGCGCCTTCGTACAACCGACGCTCATCCGAGGGGCCAAGCTGAACCACGGAGCCTCTAGAGACGGCATAATCAAAGAGCCCCCATTCGGGTGGGATTCGAACCAGCTTGCGCAACTCTGACTTCCAGCTGCAAAGATGGCTTCCCTCCTAGCTGCTGCGCGGTCCGCCCGCACTGTCGCCTTCAACGCCGTGGCCAAACGCCAGCTGTCCGACATATCTATTACTAGGACGGGCAAGCCCATCATTCGTGTTGAGGGCGGCCGGTAAGTCTGCACGCCCAACTGATCACCAAGCTTGTTGCTGATGTCTGTCCCTGTTCAGGTCATCTCTCGGAGGTGCGACCGCCGATTAGAGCACAGCCAACCGACGCTGACGGGATTCGCAGGCCACACGGTAACAGTATTCGGCGCGACGGGCCAGTTAGGCCGGTACATCGTCAATCGGTTGGGTATGTCCTGCGTCTGCACACGAGGTCATCTTTGTAGACTGACGCGACTTTGGTAGCTCGTCAGGGATGCACCGTGGTTGTTCCGTTCCGCGAGGAGATGGCCAAGCGTCACCTGAAAGTTACTGGAGACCTCGGTCGCGTCGTCTTCGTGGTACGAAAGTCGGAACGTTAGGAGCAGAGCGAGTTCAATAACATGGGTACAGGAATTCGATCTACGCAATACCCCTTCCATCGAGGCAAGCGTTCGGCACTCAGACGCCGTCTACAACTTGATTGGACGAGAGTACCCTACCAAGTACGGTCGTGCGGCGCCTTTGACCACCGAGAGGCAATACTAAACTCGACCAGGAACTTTTCTCTCGAGGAAGTGCATGTTGAGGGAACAGAGCGGGTCGTCGAGGCTGTCGCAAAGTACGACGTCGACCGATATATACACGTCTCTTCACACAGTGCCAATCCCGATTCCAAATCCGAGTTCTACGCCACCAAGGTACATCTGGCCGCCTTCAGATGTATCACACCTCGTCTAATCATTCTCGTATCTTTTAGGGCCGAGGCGAGCAAGTTGCTCGACGCATCTACCCCGAAACAACTCTGGTCCGGCCGGCGCCAATGTTTGGATTCGAGGATAATCTGCTGCTTAAACTAGCATCCGTACTGAATCTGTTTACGGCAAACAACATGCAGGAAAAATTTTGGCCCGTACACGTGAGACAACTGGCCCAGCCCGGCGCGCGGCTCTAGCTGATAATTTTAATCACTGCAGTCCATTGACGTGGGTGCGGCTCTGGAGAAGATGCTATACGATGAGTCCACCGTGGGCCAGACATTTGAGCTATACGGGCCCAAGGAGTATAGCATGGCGCAGATCGCTGCCATGGTAGACAAGGAGATCTTCAAGAAGCGACGGCATCTGAATGTGCCCAAGACGCTTCTCAAGCCAATAGCCGGGCTCCTCAATCGCGTGCTGTGGTGGCACACGCTGTCCGCGGATGAGGTTGAGCGGGAGTTTATGGACCAGGTCATTGATCGGGACGCCAAGACGCTCAAGGACTTGGGCATTGAGCCTGGTGATATCGCTCAGTTTACCTACCACTACTTGGTAAGTAGTAACGGAGCGAAAGCGAACTGGGGCATGTTTGCTGACCATGACCATAGCAAGGATTCCGCAGCTCAAACTACTACGACCTACCGCCGGCAACGGAGAAGGAAAAGAGGGAGGACAAGAAGTATATCCATGTGCTGGACGAGCTGTAGGATGACAGCCGGACTCGGGCCAGGCGTCGATGCAGGGAGTGTCCGTGGCTATGACAGGCGGACCTGCGGACTATGTACAGTAGTCGATGAAAGGGGGACTTCCATGTTGAAGCGAGGCCCTAGATTAGATTTGCGAATCACAACAGCAGCCAACCAATTGCTCTTTTGCCTCATATCCCGCAAACAGAAGGAATTTATGATATGTCCTCTCGTGAGTAGGCCTTTGGCAGGATGCCCAATGAACCCCAGGGGGCTTGAGCATGTTTGTCGTCTCGTTGGAGGGGGCGTAATTCTCCGTGCCGCCCGATTTTGGTCCGGTAATTGATCCACCCGGTGCTAAAAGACAACAGCCAACCCACGGTCCAAGGTCCAACCTTTCCACGTGAGAACCTCAGGCAGCGCTGCAAGGAATTGCAGAGAAACCACAGAGAAAGACATATTGTCATCATGGTCGACAGCGACGACGAGCCAATGTCAGATATCTGGACCTCCGCTCCATTCTTCCAGATTGACTGATGAATGAGACCTGGCAGAACCCTCTCATCTCACGCCCTGGCCGCATTGACCGAGTTTAACGCTGAAAAGGATGCGCATCGGGCCAGGTTTGAAAAGCTGCAGGCCAAGGCTGAGGCTCAAGGGCCCCTGTCGATGGAGGCTTTCACCGAGGACTGGAATGAGTCCCAGTTTTGGGTAAGCCAGCGCTCAGCAGGTTTTGCGTCAGGAGCAGTGCCTCGAGGCCTCTAGGCGCCAGGACACACCCCCTACGCGAGAGTCCCATTGCTTGTGGCGAGCCGGTTTAGGTGCTGACTCGGGACTCTCGACGCCTGCCCCGATGGTCGGAACAGTACTCGGATGAGGTGGCGCACGTCTTGGGCACCCAGTTGCTGCACGGCTCGACAAGCAGGACGGTGATTGGGGTCGTTTCGGCCCCGAGTGTCTTCGTGGCGCTCCGCAACATCTTGGTGAGCCAGCCTCCCATGAACCCCAAATCTTAGCAAGAATATCCTTCAACTTACCTAAGCCACGTTTCCCGATACACAGCGGACATGCCAGGAGAGCGAACGGCCACGCCTAGTCCTTCTGGAGCACGACCAGCGGTTCAACGTCTTTCCCGAGTTTGTCTTTTACGACTATAAGCAACCCTTGAAGCTGCCGGGTGAGCAACCGCATCCTCTTTGTTCTCGCATCACCCCCTCGACAGCAGACACTGCTGGCTTCCGAACCGAGTGGCCAAGTACTAATTACAACCTGGTGTACACGCAGACGAGCTCAAGGGCATTCTGGATCGGGTGATATGCGACCCTCCTTTCTTAAGTCAAGACTGCCAGACAAAAGGTGCCTCGTCGAACCTTCCCACCGCTTGAAGTAATGCTCTTCTTCCTCGGATTCGAAGACTGACACAGTGGTCATCTTCAACAGCGGCGATGACAGTCCGGTGGCTCCTAAAGGCAGAAAGCAGCGAGCTTCCCCGTCCGCGCGTCATTGTGTGCACGGGCGAGAGGATGGAGCACCTCGTTACCAAACTCTACCAGCCCCTTGGCGTCCAGACCACCACGTTCGAGCCCAAGCACGCAAGAGGGCTCAGCAACGAGTTTTATTGTTACGCCAACTTTGAAAGCTCATCATGGGCGTGGCGGCAGGAGCGCTTCTGAGGCCGAGGCGGGGGGCCAAATCGAGTGCCACGTGGTAAGGCAAGTCCCAAGGAAACCAGACAAAGGAAGCCCAAAGAAAGCCCAAAGCTCAAGTACCCCCCTTCTGGGGCCGCAGGATGGCCGCAGGCGTCTACAAGGAAGGAAAACTTTGACGGTTACGGCCCACGAACAAGCGACGCGGCAAGAGCTTTTGTTTAACTTGAGAATCGGTTCCAACGATTCGTTATTTAGGCTCCGTGACGCCGGACGCAACCCGTTGCCTGACCCTGAATGCATTCCTTCGCTCTTTGACGCCTTTTGAATGCTTCATGCACGCCTTCCCACCCGATCGCTTTTAAACCCTCTGTTCAAGAAAAGACTGACCCTAAGCCAGGGACCGGATGATGTAGAACAGCAAATAGGCTTGGGCGCCAAGCACCTCTGATACACTCGCCAATTCGACCTTGTGATCGTTGAACTTGAACCACTGCAAGAGACACACATTGTTAGTAAGGGAGCTGCCAGGAGCATCTTCAAGTTCAGGTGCTCGAGCAACTTCAACGCTTACCTGATCGCCAACGCGACAGTATGACACGTAATGCCCCGTTTCAATCTCTCCAACGTGGACCACCACGCTTAGCAGATCGTACGTGCAGGACCTTTCCAGCTCCAGGTTCTCGCGGCTGTCGCGACTACGAACGCGGTTTGTGTAAGGAAGCATGTTGAGCTGGAGAGGAAATTGGACCACATTGTCGATTTTTGACGCTGCTCGGTCGTGTCTTCCCTGCTTGTACTCAAAGCGCTGCCAAAGCCATGTTAGTGCATGGGACGATGAAAGTCTGGAGATAGTGAGGAAAGTTATTACCTTGAGCTGTATGGACAAGACGTTGGGCAAACGCTTGATGCTGGTGTACCTCTTCGCTTGTTGCGCCGAGGCACAAGCGTGGCAGCGGTACTCGCACTTGTCAAACCTAACGTATTCCTCGTCCAGACAGTCGGTCAGCGTCAGGGCCGGCCTCTTCTGGCCTGTCTTCTTGGCTCGCTTCTGCGCCAGGTTGTCCAAGCCAAGGCTAAGGTCCAGAAAAGACTGGACCGCATGCGTCGTGCCCTTGCAGTTCTGGCACGTCGTCGTGGTTTGCATTTTGCCATAAAATGTTTGGTGGATAATGCAGTTGCAGCTGTGCTCGCTGCCAATCTCGGGTCTTTTGCCGTCGCCATTGCGCTCGTGGAGTTCCTCGGCCAAGAACTGGAAGAACTCGTGCGCATCCTGTTCCTTTGTCGTGACTAGGTTCTCAAAGGCCTTCTTCTCCGATATCCAAAAGCCAGAGAGAATGTTGGCTGCCGTGTAACCGTTGGTATTCTCCAAGGCATAAAAGTCTTGGAACATGTCATCCATGGCACAGCTGAGGCAGTGCTGAACGCTGCATTCGTTACTTTGATGCCCATCGCTGAGGTAGAAGTTACGGAGTAGAGGGTTGTGCAGGAAGCTCTGGAGAACAACGTTCTGATAGCAAGTTGCTCCTGCGTTGTAGATGCCCCGCAGGCCATTTGTTGCCCGGCACGAGGCTGCTGTGGTGTTGGAGCTGATGTAGCGGGGATCGTCTTTGATCGAGTCCGTGAAGAGCTCGTCGTGTTTCCTCTTGCGACCTGCAATCAAGTCACTGTCAGTGGCTTGGGTTCGAAGGGTATGGGGCCAGCTGTGCAAACCTGAAAACGATCCGGTCCCTATCTTGCGCACTCTAAGCTCCTCGAGAGTCGGGTCCCATACCAAGTCATCACAGATTTGACAATAGAGGGAGCCGCTTCGAGAATCCACGTCTGCAAATGCGTCAGCGAGACAGCCTTCTCCTCCTGGTAATTGTATTGCCCGAGGGGGGCTGGCGTTATTGCACGACATACAGAAGCGGTGCGATTTCTTCGTCCCGTGCCTCAAGCGATCCTCTTCCGAAACCGTGGTCGGACATTGAAGGCAAAGATAGTTGCTCGTCAAGGACGTGACGGGCCGCCCCTCCTGATTCGTCGACGTCTGGGGCACGATGGGAGTCGCATCAAAGATGCCTCGTAGTATCATCTTGTAGTGAGCTATCGAGCTGTTCATGACTTCTTGCCCTTGTGAAAGTAGGAGCTGTACATGCTCTAGAGCGCAGTCCATTAATCAGAGGAGGACATGAACATGAGTTGGGAAGTATGGGGGCACATACCGCAGCCGAACATTGGGGTCCCCGGAGACGGCGACTTGACCTTGACGTTCCTAGGGGACGCCGGAGTTGCCGGGCGGGCAGACATCGTGACAGCGCTCAACCAGGCAGGCTTCGAGCGTCGCAAAGGCGCCAGGTGGGATCGAGCAAAGCTAGGATGGCGGCGGCGGCGACTCGTCGTGCGTTTGGTCGGTCGATCGGTGGCATCAACGTTGACAAATGCAGTGCTGAGCCGAAGATAATTAGCAAAGCGAAGCGAACTGAACCTCGCAATAGAACGGTTTTCAAGGGAATGCTTGAAACTCCCCCGCAAAAAAGAGGTTGGAGCAATAGGAATGAGAGATCGTATCGCACCCTTTCAGCCTGCAGACTGCGAAAAGATGTCGGGGGAGACGCGGCGCAAGAGAGACCGCCCAGCGCCGACAAGACGGGAAGAAAATACGGGAAGAAAAGACGCGATGGCTTCTTCACTTGACGAGAGCACTTCGCGATCGAATGACGACGTAGCGCTGCATTATGTTTAACAGGTTATTACCACATCAGCGCGCCTGCCGGAGCGCTTGATAGGAACTGATAAAGCAGGGCGGCCTGACAACACAGCTCGGCTGGGGAAAGGGGTGGACATTACGCACCCCCTCCCCTTGCTTACTGTAGAGGGGTGAATATAGAGAGACATTGCTTGTACAAGGTTTATCCATTGGTCACGTGCTCTCGCGATATGCATCGCGTGTCAAGACGCGGAGGGCTGGTCGACCAAACAAAGTAGCCATCGCCACTCGTGCACATCCCAACTTCACTGCGATCCCGGCCCCGTCCGCCAGTCAATCCTTGGTCCCGCTCTTGAGGCTGCTACGGAGACTCAATAACCATCTGAAAATCCCTCATGTTGCCATCGTGAGTCGAAGCTCGGAAACTCACCCGATTCTGCGTCCTTTCAAAACTGATAGCCGCTCATTCTAGCCGTTCCTCTACGTCGACTCCCGGCGCTAGTAGAGCAAATAGACCAGGCCGTCGCACGCAAATTCCCGAGTCGATCAGTCGACTTCACAGACCATTCAAATGTCCAGGAGCCGCTTCTCATACTCCCGCTACAGATCGACCAGCCAGAAAGCGGAGAAGGGTTGACTACAAAGGCGCGGATGTCGACGCTGATGCAGACAAGGCATACTCCAACGAGGACCGCTTGGCGCTCGCCACACGTGATGCCAACAGGTTTCCTGTGTTTAGTGTCAAGGACAAGGCCACTGTTTTTAGAAAGGCCTTTTCTGTGCCGCTCAAGGACAAGAGCACCTCCATCTACGACCCGAGTCGCCCGCCTCCAACGCTCGGCCTCAGAAGAGGGGCCGTCTTCGCACCCAGGCCCTTGCACGACCCGAGTGGCGAATTTGCAATTGTCCTCTACGACCCAACTATCGATGAGAAGCGCAAGGAATCAGCGCAGGTACAGGCCGAGCAAGGCACCGACGCCGGGCCTCTCCAGAAGATCGACGCACCACTCGTCCACAAAAGTCTGGCTGAGATTCTTGGTATCAAGAAAACTGTCAGTGAGGATCATCCCCGGGTGCCTGTTGTCCTCGATCCCAAGCTGGCAAAAACCCTGCGCCCACATCAAGTAGAGGGTGTCAAGTTCATGTACCGCTGCGTCACCGGCCTGATTGAAGAAAAGGCCAACGGATGCATCATGGCCGACGAGATGGGCCTAGGCAAGACACTGCAGTGCATCACTCTCATGTGGACCTTGCTCAAACAATCTCCCGATGCCGGCAAGCCGACCATACAAAAGGCCATCGTGGTGTGTCCGGCCAGTTTGGTCAAGAACTGGGCCAACGAACTTATCAAATGGCTTGGTGCTAACGCCATCACGCCATTCACCATCGACGGAAAGGCCTCCAAAGAGGATTTGACGCGACAGCTTCGCCAATGGGCAATTGCGTCTGGCCGAGCCGTCACACGGCCCGTCATCATCGTTTCTTACGAGACGCTACGTCTCAACGTGGAAGAACTCAAGCACACAAAAATCGGACTCTTATTCTGTGACGAGGGTCACCGTCTTAAAAACTCGGACAGCAACACGTTCAGCGCCCTCAACGGTCTTAACGTGTCGAGGCGGGTCATCCTCACGGGAACGCCCATTCAGAACGACTTGACCGAATACTTCTCGCTAACTAGCTTCGCCAACCCAGACCTCCTAGGATCACGGCTCGAGTTCCGCAAGCGGTTTGAAATCCCCATACTGCGCGGACGTGACGCAGATGCTTCCGAGGCGGATCGCAAGCGGGGAGACGAATGCACTGCAGAGCTCCTCGGCGTTGTCAACAAGTTCCTCATTCGACGGACCAACGACATTCTATCCAAGTACCTGCCTGTCAAGTACGAGCACGTTGTCTTCTGCAGTCTCGCACCCTTCCAGCTGGGCCTGTATAATTACTTCATCACCAGCCCAGATATCCAAGCACTGCTCCGCGGCAAGGGCAGTCAGCCTTTGAAAGCAATCAACCTTCTAAAAAAGCTTTGCAATCACCCCGATCTTTTGACTCTCACCGATGACCTTCCCGGCTCGGAAGGTTGCTACCCTCCCCAGTACGTCCCCAAGGAGGCAAGGGGACGGGATCGCGAGGTAAACCCCGAGTATTCGGGCAAGATGCGAGTCCTAGACCGCATGCTCGTGCGAATCCATCAGGACACCAACGACAAGATTGTTCTCATCAGCAACTATACGTCAACGCTAGATCTTTTCGAGCGCCTGTGCAGGTCTCGCCAGTACGGCTGCCTTAGGCTCGACGGTACCATGAACGTGAACAAGCGACAGAAGCTTGTTGATCGGTTCAACGATCCCGACGGTGACGAGTTTGTCTTCCTACTCAGCAGCAAAGCTGGTGGCTGTGGCATCAACCTCATTGGGGCCAACCGACTGGTTCTCTTTGACCCGGACTGGAACCCGGCCGCTGATCAGCAAGCCTTGGCTCGGGTGTGGCGAGACGGCCAGAAGAAGGACTGCTTCGTCTACCGCTTTATCGCGACGGGAACAATAGAGGAGAAGATATTCCAACGTCAGTCCCACAAGCAGAGCCTGTCGTCTTGCGTGGTCGATTCTGCCGAGGATGTCGAGCGTCACTTCTCATTGGACAGCCTGCGCGAGCTCTTTCAGTATCGACCCGACACCAGAAGCGATACGCACGAGACCTTCAAGTGCAAGAGGTGTAAGCCTGACGGAAGGCAGGTACTCAAGGCGCCGGCCATGCTTTATGGAGATACCAGCACATGGAATCATTTTGCCAACAACGGGCTGCAGCCTATTCAGGATTTACTGCTGAGGCAAGAGTTTGGTCTGCCCGAGGTCTCAGCAGTGTTCCAATACGTATCTCACTAAACGAGTGTGGCAAGATTCAGGGGAGCTGATTGTCAATATATGTACTGTTGCTGTTGTTGTTTCCGCTATTGGCCATGCCTAGTGAGACGAAAGAGAGGGATGGTGCAATTTGCCTTTGTTTCTTGCGAGCGTGTCCAGAGCTGAGACGTCGAAACGAACTGGCTTCTGCAGGAGAGAAGGGGTGGAGGGGCTAGAAGCGTTTGGCGTTGTCTCACAATAGCTGTCAGTTCTTGACGGATAGATCTTTGTGAGGTTAACACATCTTGACTCAACATCGCATTGCGCCCACGGGTGCCTTGTCGTAGTATTTTGAAAAATATTTCAGTCGGTGCCAACGACAGCACTTTGCATGTGAGAAGCGAATGCCACCCAGTACTCGGTCGATGATTGATGATGTGTCAGTGACAACTACGACCGCAAGTATAGCTAGGTAATAAGAGTATCTGGGGTATATGTACTGTGTGAGCTTTCTCTACGTGTCGTCGTGCCTGGGTCTCATCTGGTGTAGGAGCTGTGGATGGCCTTCCGGCCAGCCAGTCGATGGTCCGTGAATACAATGGGAGATGATGACGGAACGATGACGGACCACGCGAAAGTACCACTGGAGAGAGCTCGGACACATGTTGCCCAGGCTGCTTGATCAAGCAGCGACATGGCCTAGGTCAAATGCCAAGAAGGGCAAAACGAGCAGCAGAAGTAGTGACGCATGATGCTAAGTTCCATGGAACCCCCTGCTATAGATGCTCCTGTTCGTTGACCGACCAGAAGTAGGAGACGACTAGATAGGCTATTTGCGGAAAGCGTTACCCTAGATATTTGTGGCTGGGGTTCAACGACAGTCTACAACGACAGTCGTTACACTCGTCACCGGCCTGAGCTAGAGGGGATAGCCGGCGGCGCTGCACTTCCCAATCGCCCACTGTTGGGATTTGGTGCTGTTTCCCGTCTGATCAGTGACTGTGGACTTCAGGGAGGGCCTCGGCCGCGTTCGTCTGATTCCTCCTCGAATACGGTGGATGAGGAGGTCAACGGGAACGCGGCAGCAGGTAACGTACATGTCATCGCCCTCGCATGCTCGGAGGACACAGGCCATGATGGATCGAGTGAAGGAGGTCTTGGCCCTGCGGCGCTATGTCAGCACAGGCATAGACAGCCGCCGGGGCAAAAGACGTGAAGGCTACTGGGGATGTGAGATGGGGACGAGGGGCGACGGGCTACCCGTACTGGCACAGGCAGGCAAAGTCGTTCCTGTCCGCACAGCCTGAGTTGCCAAAGTTTCTCTGGAAGCAGGCCGCCGAGCAGGCAGGGAGGCCAGACAGGTCCTGTGCCGCGACGGCGACGGCAAAGTTGATGAGAAGGGCCTTGAACTGCATGTCGAACAGTCTGTAGGTAGTGATGTTCTTGTTGTTGAATTGAAGAGGAAAGGAATGGCGGGTGTCTGCTGGGAACCGTGGAGGAGAGCATAGAAGGGAGGGAGGGTTGTAGGCAGCCTCTTATATACCCCAAGCTCAACACGCAACGACGAAACGGCCTGCAACAAGTCATGGCTTTTTCCCAGTAGGCATGAGGCAGCCGAGTGAACTGCCGGTCGAAGGGGGCAACTCCTCCTCCCTGTCCCTGGTGAATCGGTCTCCACCGCCAGTTCGGTTGTTATCGAGCCATCATAGCCACCGCCCCTCTCTCCTCCTGTAACCCCAAGCCTCTGAGCTGGAGCCATCACGACGTTTAGCCGCGATTGTTGTCGATATTCCGCCAGGGCTCATCACACGTCTCATGACGAGCTTGAGACTCGGGACTGCCTTTACGGCTGCGCCTCTCTCCTTCGAGGCGGCAGCGTTAGCAATTGCACAAAGCCCGGGCAGCTGGAGTCGGTGCTCAGTCTCAGGACCACACGTCTCTTGGATGTTGCACTGGGGTGCATGTTGGGTTTCGAGTGGATCGGCACTTGCGCTGGCCTCAACCCTGCTGGTCTCTCCGATGTTCAGTGGCTTGCCGTCGACGCAGCCGGAGGGGCCAGAAACGTCGTCGACTGTCGACTATGACATGGACTGTGACGCTGCTTTACGACGTAAGACGGTCGACCCGTCCGCTTGTCAATGGGCCGACGACGCATTTACGGTTTCCAACACGCGTACTGTACTGTCGTCGCTGCCTCGGCTTTGTCCCGATAGAGCGTGATGAATAGCACGGGGACGAAGGCGGTGGGTGGCAGTTGCGCTCATGATGCTTGGGGACAGCACCTGGCTGCTGAATGAAGGTTAGCTCCAGAGAAGCGAAGAGCGACACAGGTCTCTGAGATGAGCGCGCCGTGCGCGTATGTACATGCAGCGACGCCGCCGAGGTCTGTCCAGAGTGATGATGCTACGTGCGCCATCGAGAAGCGGGTTTCCACCCAGCGAGCGATTTGGGTTTCGGGGCTTGCCGCCTGTCAAGACGATTCCGTGCTCGTCGCACACAACTTGGCCGAGGTTTTGGTTTCAAGGCAGGGTGGCAAGACATTGTCATGTTAAGATCTGGTACGTACACGTTGTCGATGGAATTTGGTTCAGGATATAAACGCACGTGCCTCTTGAAATCATCGTTAAATACCTAGGCCGAGTCTTGGCGATCGACAAGGGCGGGGACATCCAACGAGGGTTTTCATGGGAGGACGGATGGTGTTTAGACCCACTAATTCATGGGGCTCCCCACCGCCAAGGCCTGGCCTATTTAACGAGTTTCTACAGTAATGTACAGTATCGTATACGTATATGGTAAATATATCATATATATACTGTAATTACATGCCTACTGCAAGTTGGGATGTGCCTGGAGCACTTGCCTACTTGCCTACCTGCCTACCTGCCTACCTGCCTACCTGTGCCTACCTGCCTACCTATAGGTACAGTACCTTCGCATAGAGGTCTCGCCTGCATAAACTTCTTCTGGACCGTTTCTAAACAGCCGTACAAGACGCGTGTCTGCCGACGGGCCACCCTCAGTGCCTTTTGAAATGGAAAGTTTTTGCTTAGAAAAAATAGAGCTGGAAAACCTCGCTTCTGCTGTGTGACTTGTAGCACAACGCAATGCCCTCGCCTCCAGATTGGCAGTCCGGCCAAGGTTCAGCCACGCCGCCGGCCACTTGCTTTGCGTGTAACCTTGATAGATACCCGCGATGAAGATGGACAGTTGGCTAGGTTCAAGCTCTCTCTACTGCATCTCCCAAAATTGCACAAACCATCCAGCTCAATGCGCCCTACGGAGTAGACACGACGCCAAGTTGTTGTGGTTGGGAAACTGCTACGGCGATCAAGTAAGTACCTCAAGACTAGGTCCAAGTCTAAGAGAAAATTGTCGGTTTTTTTTAATTACATAAGCGGAGTAGAGGAAGAAGAAAGCTGGGCGCAGTCCCAGTCCGTGCAGTGTACAGAAGACACCATTGCTCGGCCAAGTGTCCGGGGAAAATACAGCAGGGGAGACAAAACAAGAACAACCCCCCCCCCTTCCAACGTCACATCATAGCCATGCCTTCGGCATCCGGCCGCGACGATGGCGCCGAGGCGGACTTTTCGTCCTACTACCTGGAGCGAGCCACGCACGAGCTTTCCGAAGACCTCGACAAGGTTCGCAATGCCGAAGACTTCAAGCTCGATTCCGTCTCCTTCCTGGTCCATTCTCTCCGCCAGGGTGCCGCTCAATTCTCAACCCAAGACCAGAAGAGAGTCGTCGCGCACCTTGCGCAGAGCAAAAGTAGCACTTGACCCACGGCCAGCAATCCACGGATGCGCGCTTTGCGCGCTGGCCCGCCAAAATTCCACCATTCCTACCGCAAATCATCAATCGACAAACCCTGCGGAGGCTGCCAGGAAAGAGATGGGGCTCTAGCAACTCCGGTTCTCGCCGCGCTGTTACCCGGCCCGCACTCGCCCGCACGTGCGGCGGGCTGTGGATGGGAGACACAGGCTACTCCAGACACAACCATCTGACATTCTGCTTAGCTCAGGCCAGCGAAGATGTGGTAAGGAGAGAGTAGGAGTCACAGCAACAAGGACGGAAACCAGTTGTTACAACATCCCAGCCAGACTGTTGCGGTCAAACCTGCAAGTGGCTGCCACTTGTGGCTCACTAGCATCTGGGCTAGCAGCCTGCTCTTGAGCTTTGCGTGGCTGCAAGCTTCGATGCGCATCAATTCCATTAGCTTGTCATTCCCCTATTGTTTTGTTCGCCTCCGGCCTAGTCTATCTTAAAACTATCTGCCACTGCTGGATGCTACTCCACAGCTTCCTCGCTCGAATAAAAGCTTGTGTAATTGCGCGTCATACCAGGCACAAATTTCTTTCCGCGAAGGGTATCCTGAAAGAAAGAAAAGAAACATTGGAGCTGGGAGCAAAGACAAATTTGGGCAGGACCATCCGCACAGCCCAAGGTGCAGCAGCATCAAAGCATTGGGGAGGCCCGGCAGCTCCAGCTGTGAACGCCTTGCTGTCAGCACTCACCGATTCCGGATCGTCATATGCCCGGCAACGCCCCTTACGAGAGGGCTCGGTATCTAACACGCCATTCCCTGCGAGTGGCCCACCCTTTGATGGCAAGCACGATGACCTCCCATGCCATCAACGTGCCTACCAGGCCCATGGTAATAATTAAGATGAACATGGCATCTAGCTCGTAGTGGATCATTCCAGCGACGGTGTCGGAGCTCTGCGGTTCATTAGAAGCTGCTTGGGCACGAGGGAGACGCAGGGATCGCGTGTGGCTGGTCATGCTTACACTGGCCATGAATACGATGCCGCCGGCGATGAGCCCAAACGAGGCCAGAAGCTCAGTCGGCGGCCGGGACGGCAGAGCGGACTTTGGGGGGCGCAAGAACATGAGCACGTAGGTCAGGCCTCGGGCCAAGGAAGCGCCCAATAGGAGATTCCCCCACTGCTTGTGGACCATGGTCGAGATCATGGTCGACTGCTGGTGAGAACCCATCATGATGCCCAACAAGAGGATGACGAGAGCGGGAATCGGGTTCAGAGACAGCTCGTACGTTGCGGGGGCATTCTGTCGCTGCCGCTCCTCGTCGGACAATGCGTTTTCGGGCGTGGCGTCGGACACGGCGGTGTTGAGCAGATGACGGATTCTGGTCGACTCGACGAGCATGCCGCACTGCATTGCTCCCAGTCAGCACGCGGCCGTTGATGCTTTACTTTACCTGTTCAGCTGGTGCTCACCAAACCACCGCCGATGAACAAGACGGTAATGGCGGCGTGCTCAAGATCCTGGGAGCTCCACGCGCCACCCCAGTTGCCGAGATGCTCGAGAAAGATGTTTGTGGAGCCGTAAACGAAGATGAGGGCGCTCTCGACCAACTCGGCCGAAGGGCGCCACATCCGCTGGCTCGGCCGCGGTCGCAGGTTCCAGGCCCAACCAAGCTCACCAAAGCTTCCGGTCCAGCGACCCAGAGTGAAGAGACCCAGCCAGAAAAACACGCCGCCTTTGATCCAATGCGCCAGTCCGCTGAATATCGCCTGGCCCTCCTATCAACAAGGCAAGGTTACAGGTTAGCCAGACCGTCCGTCACCTGAACCGCCCAGCAAAGCGGACGGGGACTCGGAACTCACAAACAGTCGACCAAACGTGGCAACGCCAGTAGTCAGAGCGACAAACCCAAGGGGGAGAATGAGGCGATCGATGACTTGGTAACAGAGGTCGAGATATCTCCACGCTCTCGTAGAGATCAACTTGGCCGCCCTGGCAGACAGGGAGGTCGCCGAGCCGGAAAACGATAGGGGGCCCGTCGCCGGCTCGTCATCGTCATCGTCTCGGCTATACTCCTTGTCAAGACTACTCAGGGGCGGGCATTCGTTGTCGTCGTCATCTTCAAAGCCGTTGCCCAGAGTGGAAACTGATTGACTGCGCAGCGACTCTGTATGGGGCTCGGTGCCCTGGCCGCTGTTGTCGGACAATCGGTGACGGGTGTCGACAGGGTCTGGAGATGCGGGAATGAAGGCCAGCGTCTCGCTCAACGACCTGGAGGGGCGATTTGCAACAGCGCTGGAAGCCCGGCTCACCAAGTTCACCAGAGCTTGGGCGGAGACGGCCCAAGTGACAACCCAGCCGATCTTGCCGTGGGCGCTATTCGGGTACAGGTCGGGAGTCCTGGCGTCATAGACGATCCCCAGCACAAGCCCCAGAGCGTTGACTGCCAGAAAGCAGAGCCGCGACACAAGGGTGTAACGAGACTTTGCCAGCGACAACATGGCAACTGAGGGAGGCAGGTTCATGAGCATATCGAGGACGACGTTGGTGTGGCCCGGTTTGCAGGGGCGAGGTTGCACACGTACCGGCGGGGAGAATCAAGACCCAGGCGAGCAGCATGAAGAAGATGTGGGCGTATATGAGGCGAACATGGTGTGGATGAGCAAAGTAGGTTGGCGGGTGATGACTTTTGTCGGCGACAAGGGCGGTACCGTTGGCGCTGCCAGTGTCGTGTCCATCTCCATGTGCGAGAGAAGACTGCACCAGGAGAGGAAGCAGTGCAACGACCGCGTGACGGGGCTGCCGAGGTCGGGCGGCCTTCATGGAGTGGGAGATTTTCTCTATTTGATTGGAGGGTACGAGGCTGTTGGTGAGTCGGTCTGAGCTTGGGGAGCTGAGCCTGTACGGATAGGCTAGAGGAACCAACAAGAGCGCGAATGGAAGGGCCGAGGCGTGAGTATGGATTCACGTCAGACAAACGCCAGCTACAGCGCCGAGGCCGTCGCGAGCGTGGCAAGTTCTACTGGATACGCCGAGTGAAGATAGGATGGGATGAATGTCTGAGCAGTTGGAAACGCAACAGCCGGCCGGGGGTCTTGGTATACGGCCTGTGCTGGGCATGACAGGCGGGTACAGGATTATAGGAAGGCGAGATTTGGTCGAGGACGCACACGTGGTGGTGATTAAGGGAAGAGGGTCAGGACTCAGGAGGGGGGAGAAGGGGCGGGTGGAGGGTGTTCTGGTTCGAAACCGAGAGGCGAGGTTGCGGTGAGGCGAGAGGGCAATAGAATGTAATCGAACGACTGGTAAGCTATGGCTCGAGACGAGGCCGAGTGGAGATGGTGTAATCATGCTCCATGCTCGTCTCGGTATGGCGCCGACGGTGGTCGATTCCGCACGTGTGTAGGACTGTAGGTGAGCGGCGGCGTGAGCAAGGTAAGGTGGCAAAGCGCAGAAACGAGGTACTCGTCAAGTCCGTTCGGCGTTAGGGCCCATCCTGTTCCCCGGCCTTGGTCAAAGTCGGCAGCCCGGTCGCCGAGAGGCCGGGACTGCCGGGAGCAGGCTTTAGCGCCGCCATGCATCACGCCAGCTCGCATCATGTAGGGAGCCGGCGACCCAAGGTTAGATGATGAAGTGTGTAACGTGTAACGGGGAGTGGGTGGGTGCGTGGGTTTCTGGCTGCGACTCGCACCATGATCAAGCCTCGGTCCAGTGGCGCAGGACCGGTCACGGCTTCGCCGGAATCGCCGGGCTGCCGAGCGAGACTGCGGCACTAGACGAGCTCTCGGTCTGAGCTCTGCATCGACTGCGTAGCGGCTGCAGGGCGTCATAATGCATAATGCCGGGCGAAACACTGTGGGGACTTGTCCGTGGCACGAACGAGCACTTGGTCTAGTACAAGCAACAAGCAGATCGTTTTGCAACGCTTTGTTTGAGGCTCAACGGTAACGACGAGAAAGCCGGCATCCCTTCCCTCTCCCCATTTCTCCAGGTTGATTGGCCCATCGGACAGTCCAACGGCGCACGCCGATCCGATGATTCCGGATGGCGCGCATGACCTGCAGCGACACGCACGCACGCACGGCTGGGCAGCGTCGAGCCTGCGACGACTGCTCAGCTTCTGATGACAAAGACGCCTGTGCCGCCGTGTCCGGAACTGATTGGTCTCCGGCGCAGATGTGACAATGGCACAGGCTGGCCTTTTGTATGCATCGTGCGCAAACCGGGCCTCGGTCCATGGGCTCCATGCCTCCCGGATTGCCTGAAAGTCAAGACGTCGCATCGTGTCTCAACAGCCGCCATTCATCTTGGCACTCTCGCGTCACCCGTCCTTCGCGTTCAAGCTTGACGAGGATCTGCATTACGCCTCCGCGTGCCGCCTCGTGCAACTCGTCGGGCACGTCGCTGTAGATGGACTTGACCAAATCCATGGCTCTCCAGGCCGTTTTCGTCTCGGCCTCTGGGTTGTAACTGGCCCCCATCGTATGCAGCACCTGCTCTTCCCGCTGTCTCCTGTGAGCAATGTAGTCGACAATCTTGCCGGGGCCGTCTTCCACCACGGGCCCGTGGCCGGGATAGGCGCGCCCGCCGAAGAGGCCGCTCATCTTGTCCAGGCTTTCGAGGTAGGCAGCCAGGTCCTCGAAGACGGCGGTACCGTGGCCCAAGACGTTATCGGCCGTCAACATGGCGTCCTCCTCGTGCAGGACGAAGACGGTGTGGTCTCGTGTGTGGCCAGGCGTGTGTGTCGCCGTTAGGGTAACGCCTTCGGCATAGAACTTTTGGCCGTCGTGGATGGGCGACTGGCCCGGGCCGGGGTCGTTCTTGTAGACGACGGCTTCGGGGGCGATGCGAAGCAGATGATCAATGCCGCCTGTGTGGTCGCGGTGCCAGTGAGAGATGAGGGCGGCCTTGATCCCTGCCTTCTCCTCCCGCAGCGTCTCCTGGAGCGAGGCGACCCAGGCCGGGCGGCCTTCACCAGTGTCGATGAGGATGCGCTGCCTGCCCGTGCCGAGGAGATAGGTGTTGGTGCCCTGGAGCGTGAACTTGCCCGGGTTGCCGCCCAGGATGCGAATGCACGCCGGACTCAGGCGTTCTACGGCCGCCAACGGTGCAAGTCGAGGGGCGGTCATTTGGGACCCACTCACGATGGGCCGACGGCAAAGGAAAGTCGCCTTGACGCTCGCATCAGCTGTGGCTCCTGGGGCACCACGACGTCTTGTCAGGCGTGAGCGTGCGGGAGCGCAGGGCAGGCGCATAAGCCGTCGTATGAAGCTGAGGTGTTTTGTCTGTCGTCGGCAAAAAGCATGCCCCCTCCGTACTTGCCTCGGCATTGGTGGCCCCGCTTCTGTGATGCCGGATGGCGGGTATAGCTCGGGAACCCACCTGAAGCTGGTTCTCGAGCTGGATGCCCACCAAATCCACCGGAGCTTCTGTCAAATGCTCGGTAATTGGCGCTCCCAGCACGTTCCAGCTGACGTGGCCATCGGAAAGCCTCGTTTCGCCCTTTTCATCATCGCCGTTTGCTTCCGGCCCCGGCCCCGGCCCCGGCCTAGACTCTTCGGGCCGTTCCCGGCGCCCGGCACATGTCGGCCGAATTCTGGGCCGGCTACCTCAGCGGTGCTGTGGGCATCGTCATCGGCAATCCGCTCGACATGGTCAAGGTGCGGCTGCAGGTGGCTCGAGGTCAGGCGGTGGCGGTGGCGGGCGTCGACTACCGCCCGCACGCCCGCCCGCTCTCGGCCCTGACGACTGGAGCCGCTGCCCCGGTCCTCGGGTACGGCGCCTTGAATGGCCTCCTCTTCGTCTCCTACCAGCGCACCGAGGCTGCTCTGGGCCAGGCGCACGGCGACAGCCTCTGGACCACTTGGCTGGCCGGCGCCGTCGGCGGCCTCTGCACCTGGGTCGTCAGCACTCCCACCGAGCTGGTCAAATGTCGAGCCCAGGTGTCGGAGCCTGTCGTGTCGAGCTGGACAGTGGCGCGGCACATGTGGAGAGCCGGCGGCATTCGAGCCCTCTACTTTGGTGGCTCCGTTACCGCTCTGCGCGACAGCGTTGGCTACGGCTTCTACTTTTGGTCCTACAGACTGGCCAATAGTTGGTGGCCGTTGCCGTCGTCGCCATCTCTGCGCCACAAGGCCCCGAGGATCCTGCTGTGCGGCGGCTTGGCAGGCATCGTCACCTGGGCCAGCGTCTTCCCCCTCGACGTCGTCAAGTCTCGTGTCCAGGCCCGACCGTGGCAAGCGGCCCGACAGTGCTCGGGGGCCCTGCAGGTGGCGAGGGAGATGTTTAGGGACGAGGGCGCGCGGGCCTTCTTCCGTGGCCTGACTGTCTGCAGCATCAGGGCCTTCATAGTCAATGCGGTTCAGTGGGCCGTCTATGAGAGCATCGTGCACGACCTGTGCAACATGCCCGACGCTCGATGACGCTCGATGACGCTCCTCCCTGGCCTGCCGGGTGATTGTCAGACGGCTCCCTGCCGCCGGCACCGAGTACAGTACTCCGTACAGGTTTTCCACGTTTGCTCCCTTGCCAATCTTGAATTCGGAGGTTGTTTCATATGGATTCCTCCAAGGCAAAGGCATTTTAGCCAGGCCCGGTTGTTGCCCGCTTGCTTTGGTTGGAGCCGAGAGCGGGGCTTACCTGCTCGTGCTCGGCAGGTAATTTAGCCCAGGTGGCAGGTGCCAACAGCATCTCACCAATGGCACAGACTTCACCAGTCACGTGCTGTCGCAATGCTGCATTTTGGACGGCTGCATGGCCTTCCAAGCACCCATGCGGCGCGACTCCTTCAACAGGGACGGCCATTGCGGCCAATACTGTCTTTCAATTGTCGGTTTCTCAGACACCATGATTGAACGGAACTAACATTCGATAGGTTTGTTCTTCATCAGGGAGCCGTGATGGAGGGCACCTCCTCCCGTCGGCGCCGCACAACAACGCTCCCGTCCATCTAGTAGTACCAGCAGACTTCTGGCGACGACGCTACTGGATTGCAAGCCGCGTAACGTCGATGAGACACGGGCAACCACTGCAAAGGGCGTTGGTCGCGTCGTGCTGGCAACCATTCCAAGGCTCATACGTCTTTTGGACCGCCCCTTTGTCGCGTGCCAGCCCTCCAACACCGCTCCCTGTCGAATCCCGAGTCTTGATATCGACGCTGGCGTTTGCCTTGATATAATCCTTTCATGCCTTCATCATACGTCTTCGCCGCCTTTTCCATCCATATGGTTGCCTCTTCAAGTGCAGCAACATGAAGTCCTCTAGCCTCGGGTGGTCTTCCCCGCGCAGCGCCCGACTGGCCATGGCGCTCATCTCGATAGTTGTCGTCTACAGCATCGTCTTCTCTTGGACGAGCCGTGGCGCTTTCTCATCGCATGCAGCGACCAGCAGAATAACTTGGTCCGGCACAGAGGACGTGGACGAGGAACTCTCCGGACTGGGCGAGAACGCGGTGCACCAAGTTACTGAGTCGAAATCAACGGCTGCCGACTTCGGTCGCGTCTCCAACCGGACTCTCGGGTTCGAAAAGGTCATCGCGATCGGTCTTTCCGAGAGGTCGGATAAGCGAGACGCACTGGACCTCATGGCCGCTCTAAGCGGATTCGATCTCGACTGGGTCGACGGCGTCAAGGCATCTTCAATCTCGGACAAAGCTGTGCCATTTGGCATTCAACTCGACCAAGTACGTGATAATTTCCTCGGCAGTTGGAGAGGTCACATGAATGCCATCCGCCGGTAAGTCTTGCTTGCCTTCCGAGCAACAAGTTGAATTGTGCATCAAGGCTGACAACTGGAAGGATTGTGGATACCGGCATCTCTTCAGCCCTCATCATGGAGGACGACGTGGATTGGGACGTTCACCTCAAGCTCCAGCTGAATGACATTGCGCATGGCGCTCGCCAGATACTAGGCGAGTCGTCGCCTCTTCCCAACTCGCCATACGGCGACGCATGGGATGTCCTATGGCTTGGCCATTGCGGAGAGCCCTTCCCTGAAACCCTCGAGGAAAACGCCGGGCTAGAAGGAGACTTGAAAGCAAAAATGTCCACCAAGTACACCATCAAGGATGACGACACCGTACCGCCGTACAGCCAGGTTTCGCATCTTGTGGACTGGTCTGCCTACCCAGCGCACACAAGACTTGTCCACATGACGGCGGCGCCGATTTGCTCGTTTGCCTATGCCATCTCGCAAAGCGCGGCCCGAAAACTCCTTTATGCGCTGAGCGTTGATGGTCTTCACATGGCTTTTGACAACTCCTTGGCCCAGTTGTGCCGCGACGCTATCTACGACTTGGGCAGGCAGAGGGAAGGGGGTTACCGTCTCAAGTGCCTCAGCGTGAATCCCACCATCATGTTTCACCACAAAGCCAAGGGGCGCCTTGCCGCGGACAGTGACATTCAGAGTTACGGGCAGGGCGGGGGCGTCAGGGAGAAGGGCATCTCGGAGTCAATCAAATGGAGCATGAGACTAAATCTGAAGAATATCTTGACAGGTCACGCCTTGGAGCCTCAGTTCGAAGACGAAAGTTGACAAGTTTTCACTAGATGTAGGATTTTTTCTTCTTTTTTTTTGGTTTGCGCCCTGCGGGAGGATTAACTGCTTGGCGCGTCGCACATATTCTCGAATTATACATCTCCCTAGAATAACAAGGTCGCTTCCACCATGGCACGTTGAACATTGATTACAGTCGCTTTTTGACAAGGGTTTGTAGTTGCGGACTGGCAGCTTAGTGGAGACACAGAGATAGCTCAAGCCTTCTTATCTATCCATCGGAACTGTCTGCATGAGGACGATCATCTAGTAAAACACGACACAGAACTAGTAGATCTGCCACTGTACGGAATCTCAACAACTCCAGGGCTTTCATCGTTAACCAAGCGTACGCTATAAAACTTGTGAGATTCTACAGCACCTAGCACCCTCTCATGCCTGGCTCGGGACGAGATTGGCAGTTATGCCACGTTGCTCCATCCCTCCAAGCCGGCATTTCTTCGCCATTCGTGGGTCTCGTGATCAAGCTGGCGAAACCACTCATTCATGGCGTTCGTTGCTTCCCCCACAACAGGATCCGCTGCCTCTGTGACAGCGGCCTCGTCCGTGGCCATACGTTTCTGAGAGACCTCTGGCTTTCTCGCGGCTTCGTCTCGGCATTTGCGCTTCTTGTCTCGTTCAGCAAGCCACGCGGTGCGTCCGGCAAGATACCTAACGCTGTGACCGAGGCCTGCGCTTCCCGACGACAGCCCCTTGTGACAACGATCAAGTGGCGGCGCGGTAAAGAACAAAACCCTCCCGGCGTCATCGTGCTGAAAGCCTTGGCGGAGCGCCGTAGGCAACGCATCATTGGCACCGTCGGTGAGGGTATATACCTCAGGGGGGCGAGGCGGGTTGTACACGGTGGCGTGCTGGGTGGTACTCCCAGTGACGGGTGCAAGGGCTGCTCGAGCGGACTGAGGTAGTTGTACTTGGCTGCTGTTGCCAGCTGCCAGCGGGGTGCCCATGGGCTGCTGATGGGCTGCGGCAGCAGCCGAGTAGTTGTGCACGTAGCCAGCCTGGGGCTGTTGTTGCTGGAGCTGGTGCTGGGGGTGTTGAAGGTGCTGGTGCGGATGCGGATGCGGATGCGGATGCGGGTGCTGGTAGTGCATGGGCCGGATGGGCATATGCGGCGGGGCGGGCGCGGCGTGATGGGGCGGGTGAGGGATAGGCACGGGCGTCTGGTGCATAGGGGACACTCCTGATGCTGGGGTCGCGGGTCGGAAGTGAGGCGTCATCTGAGCATTACTGTAGTGACCGGGGGGTGATGCGGGTCCCGGCCCATGAAACGGACCTCTCACAGTTGCCTCCGCTGGCCCGTCTCGGACCACCGAAAACATCGACGAGCGCACGTCGGCTGCCGCGGGGACTGGTGGCGGCGGGGTAGGCTCAGGCGGCGGTGATTCCTAGGCCATGCCAAGTTAGAAATTTATCTGGGTCGGGAAAGGACGCTGAGACAAGGGGTGGAAGCCTCAGGCACGAATCACTAGGTAGGCTAGAGAGTCGGCTGGGGCGACTTGTGGGGTGGCCGCCGCCGCCAGCAACGTCTCCTTCTGGGCCTGCCGATCAAGTGCGCGTCGCCGCGGAATCGGGATTGACACCAGAAGACTCACATTAGGCTCTGGTAGGCGCCGGTGTACGGCGCCGATGATTGGAGGAGCATTGGGGCTTCCCCAGATCGGTCGCGGAAGCTCGTCTGTCTCCTTGGCGTCCTCTCGCAGTAAATGCTTGATCGGACTAGGTATCTTTCTCATGCGGCTGGGCGCGTCGAATAGGTCCATCTCGTAGTCCTTTTCTCTGACTTCGTCGGGTACGCAGCTCGCCCAGGTCTTGATCTTGTTGAATCGGAATTTCTCTTCGTTGTACCGTGACTCGCACACGTACACATCTTTGTCTGGTGGAAAGCCTCGCGGCCGGCCCTTGTTGAAGCGCGTGACGAACATGACGAAGCAGCGATCCAAGACGTCACCGATCTGGTGGTCGCGATATTGCCCCGTCTTGACCACTTCGCGTTCGAAAAAGTGCTTCTCATGCCGATGAACCGTCTGTTCTGGCCGGTAGTACCAGCAGGCATTGATCCACTTCTGCCCAGCACGGTCTTGCCAGGTCCTGAATATCTGTGCGACGATGGGCTTGGCCAAGTCGTTGGGGTTGCGAATGTGGACCCAGTCGCCTTGGGCGCAGCGTGGTTAGCTTCCGAATTCCATCACCCATTCGCTGGCAGACGGTGGACAACACTTACCGATCTTCCACGCCTGTCCATTGTGCTGAGCCTCGGCCAAGGGCAATTTTCCATCCTCATCTCTGAAGTCGTCGTCGGGCCTGCCCTTCTCCTGCTCGGCTAACAAGCGCGCCTGCCGTTGGAGCTCCACCGCAGCTTGGAATACCTCGCTGTCGTCCTCATTATAGAGCTTTGCGTTCTCAAACATGAGCTCGATGTCCGCGAGGACTTGATCAACGTCGTGGTACTTCTTTCGTTTGGCCTTTCTTTTGATGTTGTCCAGAGCAATGGGGTTGGTGATCGTTTGGTAGTAATCGGCAACCGATGCTTTGTCGGGCAGTTTTTCGAATGCTAGGATAAGAAGGCCTCCCTCGTGATCCTTGAATTTCCTCAGTCCCTTAAGAATAGAGGAAATGCGAGCCTCCATCGGCGTGAGCACCATCGGTGGCCGGCCCCTTTTCTTGTGCGTGTATTCGTACTTGTCATGGTCACGGTCTTTGCGGCCAGACAGAGCCTGCCGTCTGCCGCTGAGGCGCTGCCGTTGCCGTCGACCTCTGGGCCCCCCTTCATCATCGGATTCCTCTTCCTCTTCATCGTCGTCGTCTTCTTCTTCTTCTCCTTCTTCGTCATCGTCGTCCTCGTCCTCGTCTTCTTCTTCGCCATCGACGTCTCCTGCTTCAGATCCCCGAGAGGACGATTCTTCCGCCGGAGGAAGCTCTCCTAGGTCCGGAATCGTTGCGTCACTGGCCGAAATGTCACCATTGTTTACGAGCTTCTTGAGCTCGCCGCGGAAGACCTCGCGAAGTCGCACGGCAGCGCCAAATATCGGTGCCGAGGGGCGATTATAGACCTGGGCATTGTGGCAAATTTGCGCGACATCTTTGACGAATTCTGCAAAGGAAGTGTACTGTTTCCTTTGTACTTTGCCCTATACCAAAGTTAGTGCTCATCAGCCCACGCGACAAGCCTGTGTTTACCGCCAACCTACTCGGACAGTACTGAAGGCGACAGGATCAGATATGATTTCAAAATAGTCGGGCAGCACACGGCGGTTGGGGATACGCTGGAAGCCCGCTGCTAGCTCTTCGCCACTGTCATATCGCAATTGGTCAGAGTTTGGATCAGGCCGTTTGCTTAGTTGACTCACTTCTCCTTCACAGAACAGAGAAATGTCGACACCGTCTGGATGAGCTGGAGCATGTCGCGCTTCTGATCATCTCCTTCGGCTCCTTCCTGGTCCTCTCGACCCGCTTCACGCCTAGAATCGCTGCTCACTCCGTCTGCGTCATCTCCCATCTCAGTGTTGACCTCTCTCACTTCGATCGATCTACGCCGTTCGGACGCGGCCGCTCGCCTTGCCGACATGATGATGTTGTTACAGCTGGTGAAGCTCGTGGCTTACACAAGACTGAAATGGTAGAAGACGCGATTTCGAGGCCAGTGTTGATGAACGATTGGCTGTAGCTGGAGGCGAGCTGCGAAGCTCGAATCGAGTCGTGCGTGGGTGTGCAGCGACAGGCGCTCCATATGCTACCTACCTAAATGTGAACGCGACTTTGCGAGGGTGTACAGTACAATACGAAGTAGACTACCTAGGCTTCTCGGGGCAACGTCGGTAGTGGCTACGACGGGACCCTGTACTCAAGTACTCTGGTGGTACCCGTTGACTGGGCTCTTATAAGGGACAGGTCCTTGAATGGGTCTTCCAGCGTCCTAGGGCCTATATCCCCCCTCTTTGGCTCACGTCATTCCGCGAAATGAGAGCGCGCTTCAGGGGCCCGTCAGGCACTGGACTCCTCGATGTCGCCGACGATGCCACAGTTGAGGTCGTATTCGATGAGATCAGGGCCAAAGCCGGCATCGACCGTTTTACCATCAAATATGGCCCTCCGATGGCTATGAAGACGCTCAACCGCAGTCACAATGACCAGCTTGCCAGGTCTCTGGGTCTCAACGGGGAGACACTGACCATCGTCCCAGACGAGCCAAGGGGCTTATCCTCGACACGTTCAACACCCGGTGGAACAGGGGCGATCTCCCAAGGCGATGCTCAAACCCTGCGTAGACCGCGTCCCGATGAGATTCCAGACGACATCACTATGCCTTGGCCAGAGCGCGATGGCACTTTGGGCAAGTATCTACGTCTGGGGCAAACAAGTCGTCAACTTTCGCTAACGTAGCCAAGTGCTCCGTGTCATGCCCAGCGACAATAGCTGCCTTTTTACTGCGTTCGGTGGGGCCTTGCCGGAGCAGATTGTAGCCCAAAAGCTGCGTCACATGATGGCAGACTATATCATGCAACATCCCGAAGTCTACACCGAAGCAGTCCTGGGATGCTCGCCTGAATCGTACTGTCAAGGCATTCAAGACCCGGGGCACTGGGGCGGTGGCATTGAACTGAGTATTCTCTCTGCCGTTTTCGATCTTCAAATCTGCACCTACGACGTCCAGGTGAGGCTGCATGGAGCGTCCACGTTGTGTCCGGTTCGCATGCTCACAGGGCGCACAAAGACGCAAAGGTTGATCACGTTTGGTGAATTGAAGCAGCATCGCTGTATTCTGGTCTACTCAGGGATCCATTATGACCGGGTTGCCTTTTCCTACTCGGAGTTCCCACACAACGTTGCCACGCTGCCGCCGGAAGTGGATCGCACCGTTTGGTCCACGAGCGATGCCGATGTTCTTCTCAAGGCGCAGCAACTTGTGCAAAAGCTGCATGTAGCGCATTACTACACCGACACCAACGGTCTCATCCTCAAATGCGACGTTGCTGGTTGTGACTGGATAGGAAATGGGCAGCTGGAGGGAAGAAAGCACGCAGAACTGACTGGCCATATCGAGTTGAGTGAGATTACCGAGCCTGATGGGGACAATAAACTTCGGAGGTGTGAGGCATCAGGTTGTGACTTCATGGGCCTGGAGGACTGGGCGATTCAGCAGCACCGCGATAGCACCGGCCACGAGCGGTACTCGGACATTGCAGACTGCTAGACGTGGTGGTGGTTTTGACGCTGCCATAGAACTTTTTTCTGTATGAGACAAAGCATTGACACTCTGGGCAAACTGTTTGGGCCTGTTACCTTGGACACGAAATTGGACGACGGGCCAGCCTCAAAGCTGATGGATCAATATGCTTCGGCAAGCTGGGCCGAAGACGCCTTCTTCCATGCAATTTACCCGAGGATATGTCTGCTATTACGGCTCCACAAGTACTTAACACCCGATTACTCCGAGCCTCTCAGGGAGCAACAGTGTGGATGGCAGGAGTTTTTTATCACATTGGCAACTCCGTCCTGCCAAATTAACAGCATTGGCGGCTGACCGCTAGCGATCCACTCTAGTCATGTCAGGCCTGTGGCGAGCTTCCCTAGATGCATCGCAATGCCGCAACGAGCCTTGGCGAAACAGCGCCTCGGTCTGGTCGAAACTAAGTGTAGTTCGGCGGAGCAATTCCCGAGGGGGAAGGCAACAAGTCTCATCTGTCGAACTTCGAAGAACCCAGCTAGCCTGTGTTTGGGGTCGGGGCGTTGCTCCTGGTGTTGTCGAGATTTGCCAGGGAGAGGCTGAGAAATTCGTGCCTGTTCCTCCAGGTCTGCTGACTTGCAGCGTATTCTCTCCTTTCAGCGGGAGGGGGCGGAGGGTCGGTGATCTTGGTGATGAGGTACGCCGTGGAAGCTTCAGCGATGCCGTAGATAAGAACGCCAAGAAGCGGCACCTTCATCAGAGCATAGAATCCGAGACCAAATCCGAACAAAACACCCTCGCGGCTCCTGAACCAGTTCCGCTTCTCTGTCTTCGTGAAACGAACGCGAACAAAGTACGGCTCCAGAAGCTCGCGCGTCAGGCTTCGGGATGCAAAATAAGTCTGCAAAAATACGACGAGGCATCTCCGGGGTAGGAAGATGCCCGTTCCGAATATGATGCCAGCTAGCCCTAGGCCAGCGGCCTTGTTGAAGGTGTAGAAGCTAGCAACAGGAAGCACCAGTTTGCCGACCACTGGAAGGTAAGAAAGGGCAAAGATGGCGGTCGAAATACATCCTTTGCGGGCAAACCTGTACAAAAACGCTGACAGGGCATGAGCAGCGCTCTCGGGGCCAGTGGAGTCGTCGACAACTCGACTGTACTGCGCGAGGTTCGGATAATACATATCTCGCAGATCGTCCTGGCTGTCATTGGAGTGTTTTTGGACATAGGTTTTGTCCACCCAGTGCAGTGACTGCATAAATCTAGGAGGGTTAGCAATGGGCGGAACAGGGAGATGCTCGCCGGGGGCCACCCACAGGGAATCCAGCGTGGGCACGACATAACGCATAAGGGCCATGAGAAAGAGAGGAAGCTGGAGGACGTATTCTCCAATGAAATTGAGACCGTCGATGAGAGAATCATCCCATGAGACCGTGTCTAGGGGGAAGAACATTGAGACAACCCAAAGGAGGACCCTGATGCCAGTGATCTACGCGGCGTCCACCGTGGCCCAGTGTTAGTTGGAGTTTGCTCGAGCGGACGCTGAGGCTACTGACCGGTACCGCGACGATTAGGCGAATGAATACTCCCATCACGACAGCCAATGCAGCCTGGCGGTAATGGTCGCTCGTGAACATTGCGGGATTCTGCAAAGCTCTGTGGGCTTTTGTAATGGTCAGTGCCTGCTGGCTGGCCTGGTTGGGCAGAGAGGCCCCGGTAACTCGCCTCCGACAAGGGTGAGCTGGACTCCGCGCAGGATCGCATTGGGCCCAAAATGGGAGATATCTAGTCTTTCTCTGACAGCTTTCGAGTCGAGATTTTGATCAACCCTTTTCTTGAGCCGGGCCACGTCGCCGTGGAGCTTGTCCATGTTGGCCATGGCGGTATATACCAGGCAATATTAACGTCGCAAAATCGTAAAAAGACGTGCGTTTCCAAAATGCAGCCCAGTGTCCCATGTTACTGGATCAGAGGTGCTGTCATGCGATTATAAGCGGAGCCCGAGACTGGTAGGCGAAATTCCCTAAAAAAATCATATTATTGCTCGCATGCAGCCTCTAGGGCTATAGCGAGGCTAATAGGGGCCTAGGCCCCTATTAGTAGTCCTAGCTAGCTATAGAGCCGGGGGGCTTATAACTAATTAGGGAAAGGGTAGCTATAAAGGCAAAGATAAAGGAAAGGTTAGTTTAGTTCCTCCCGCGCGGTGATTTTCCCCCTTAAGGGCCCTAGGGCCCCTAGGTTACTCTTTTTTAAGCTACTTAGCTATCCCTATCTCTATTTTATCTAAGAAGGTTAGAAGGGCTTCCTTTCCTTCCTTAGAGCTATAGAGAATAGGTAGGCTAAGGGCCCCCTCTTATATCTTAGAGGTCTAGTAAAGGACCTCTCTTTCCCTCCTATAGTTTAGGCACCTTAAGATAAGGTACCTAGCTATATACCTTTCTTAGCTATAGCGGTAGTCGTCTTAGTCTACCTTATTAGTTATTTTTAAGAAGGAAAATAAGAAGCTAGCCTTAAAGAGGAGCTAGTAAAAGGCTAAGAAGGTTAGCTTAGGCCTCTTTATAAGGTCCTTTTCTAGGCTAAGGGCTAAGTAAGGGGTCTTTTAAATAAATATATAGTATTTTTTCCTTTTAAAGGCTTTTTAAGGCCCTTAAGTTATTATTTTTAAGCAATTTTTTTTATATTATTACTCGTATATAGCCTCTAGGGCTATAGCGAGGCTAATAGGGGCCTAGGCCCCTATTAGTAGCCCTAGCTAGCTATAGAGCCCGGGGGCTTATAACTAATTAGGGAAAGGGTAGCTATAAAGGCAGAGATAAAGGAAAGGTTAATCTAGTTCTTCCTACGCGGTGTTTTTCCCCCCTAAGGGCCCTAGGGCCCCTAGGTTACTCTTTTTTAAGCTACTTAGCCGTTCCTATCTCTATTTTAGCTAAGAATGTTAAAAGGGCTTCCCTTCCTTCCTTAGTACTATAGAGAAAAGGTAGGCTAAGGGCCTCCTTCTATCTTTTCGAGGCCTAGTATAGGACCTCTCTTTCCTTCCTATAGTTTAGGCACCTTAGGATAAGGTGCCTAGCTATATACCTTCCTTAGCTATAGTAGTAGTCGTCTCGGCCTACCTTTTTTTTTTTTATATATTATTACTCGTATATAGCCTCTAGGGCTATAGCGAGGCTAATAGGGGCCTAGGCCCTTATTAGTAGTCCTAGCTAGCTATAGAGCCTAGGGGCTTATAACTAATTAGGGAAAGGGTAGCTATAAAGGCAAAGATAAAGGAAAGGTTAATCTAGTTCCTCCTATACGGTGTTTTTCCCCCCTAAGGGCCTTAGGGCCCCTAGGTTACTCTTTTTTAAGCTACTTAGCCGTTCCTATCTCTGTTTTAGCTAAGAAGGTTAGAAGGGCTTCCCTTCCTTCCTTATTACTATAGAGAAAAGGTAGGCTAAGGGCCTCCTTCTATCCCTTCGAGGCCCGGTAAAGGACCTCTCTTTCCCTCCTATAGTTCGGGCACCTTAGGATAAGGTGCCTAGCTATATGCCTTCCTTAGCCGTAGCGGCAGTCGTCTCGGCTTACCTTATTAACCCTCTTTAAGAAGGATAATAGGAAGCCGGCCCTAAGGAGAAGTTAGTAGTAGGCTAAAAGGGTCGGCCTAAGCCTTTATATAAGGTCCTTTTCTAGGCTAAAGGCTAAGCGGGGGGTCTTTCGAATAGACGTATAGTGCTTACCTAAGCCTTTAGCCTTAGGGCCTTTAGCTGCCTCGGCAGCCTAGAGGCCCTTCTAGTAGTCCTTAGCCGCTTATCGGACCTTTCTTCGTAAGTAGCTAATAGAGACTATAGGGGTCCCTTACGTTAGGGCCCCTAGGCCTCTCTTAGCTAGCTAGTCGGCTAGCTCGTTACCGAAGATCCCTAGGTAGCTAGGGCACTAGTATAGCCGTATATTATAGAAGGCCTCTAGGCTCGTTAAGAGCCTCCTAATATATATAGCGAGGTCTAAGTAGCCCTTAACCTTTCGTATAGCGGCTTAGCTATCTATAAAGATATAAGCCTCTATAGGGGGGTTAAGGGGGCTAGACCTTAGAGGCCGAGGCCTCTTAGCTAGGTCCTCTAGGACCCTTAGTATCGCGAATAGCTCTACGTCGGCTACTTCGATAGAGGGCCTTAGGTTCTCGTAGTACGCCTTACTAGGCCTATTTTCTAGGCCTATCTTATAGAAGGAGCAGGCGTTAGTCTCTATAGGGGACCCCTTAGGGCACCCCTTAGAGCCGTTAGTATAGAAGACTAAGGGCCGTAGCCCGAAGTCTTCTAGGCTAGCTAGGTTAGCTAAGAGGCGTTGGTGCTGCTTCTTAGCTAGAGGCTTAGGGCCTCTATTATCGTAATAGAGGCCTTAGGCTCTAGAGCCTACGGGGGCTCCTAGCTAGCTTTCCTTCTTTCTAAGCTATAGTTAGGCCCTATAATAGCTACTAGGCCTTTAAGGAGGCGGAAGAGTTACGTATAGGGCCTAATATAGCTTAGGGCTCCTAGGTTAGAGCCCGAGTCGGCGAGGTTATCCCGTATAGCTAGGTTATAAGCCTGCCTTATAGGGTGATTTAGTAGGAGGTATAGGGTTCGAAGGGCATAGGAGAGGCATGCCTTTTTAAACCGTACCTCTAGTAGTAGGAGGGCTGCTTCGGCTTCTAGGGCCCTAATAGGGGATCCTTTAAAGGCCCCTAGGACTTTTAGAAGGGCCTGGTTCTAAAGCCTTTAAAAAGGCTTTATTAGGCTCCTAGGGGTCTTAGGCCCCCTATATTAAAGCTAGGCCCCGTAGTCTACTATCGAGGTTACGTAGGCTTAGTAGAGCTACCTCGAAGCTCTAAACGATAGGCCTCTTTATATAGAGACTAAGCGGGATAGCCCTTCGAAGGCAGCTTATATAGAGGCTACCTTCTTTTTAATATATTGTTTAAATAGGAGCCTAGAGTCGAAGAAGACCCCTAGCTACTATACTAAGGGCTTCGCTTCGAAAAATAGGCCTCCTACCCTTATACCCTCTAAAATAGGCTGCCTTTACCTACTAAAGTAGATAAGTTCCGTCTTAGAGGGGTCGAAATAGACCCCTTAGTCCTTAGCTTATTCGAATAGGTTAGCAGCTATAGCTTCTAGCTGCCGGACGTTCTTCTTAGCCGAGGTCGACGTTATAGAGATACTAAAATCGTCTATATAGGATAGCTAGTACCCCTTAGCCGCTAGTATCCCCCTTATATATAAGAGGAATAGTATAGGGCTAATAGGGGACCCTTAGGGTACCCCTATTACTAGGTCCGTTAGGGGCTAGGTTTGCCCTTTAAAGGCTAGCTAGATCTTCCTTTCGGTAAGGAAGTGGTCTACCTAGCTTATAAGGGCCTTAGGGAGGTTTAATTCCCTTAGGACCCTTATAAGCTATTCCTTCGATACGAAGTCGAAGGCGCCTTTTATATCTAATAAGAGGGTGCTAGTAATAGCCTTCTTATTAGACTCCTGCTTCTTTTAAACGTGGTATAGAAGGAGGAAGGCCGTGTTAATAGCTAACCGTTATTTTCGTCCCCCTAGCTACGTAGGGTTTAGAAGCCCGGCTATATTAGCTAAGTAGCTTAGCTAGGTAGCGTATAGCTTTTCGAGGACCTTCCTTAAGCAGTTAAGTAGACTTATAACCCTATAGGCTTTAGGGATAGTATAGTTTAGCTTATTTTACTTAAGGAGTATAATTCCTATAGCTTCCTTCCACGCCTTAGGGTGGTATCCTTAGTTAAATAGGGCTTTATAGGCCCTATTAAAGACCGTGGGAATAACCTTATACGCGTGTTAGATAGGAAGGAAGCTAAGGGAGTCCGGGCCGGGGGCTTTCTTATTAGAAGAGCTAATAATAGCCCTTCTAATCTCGGGGTCCTTTAGCTCTTGCCAGTCCTACTTAGCCGTGCCCTTACTGCCTATAGGGCCCGGGGGCTCTTCTTTTTCTAGGCTCTAGGGGGGGCTAGGGGGGCTAGGGCTAGGGTCCGGGGTCGGAAAAAGGGTCGTTAGGAAGGCCTCGCATTTTTCCGTAAAGGTATTAGCTTTTACCTCTATCCCTTCTTTTATATACGAGATACTCGGAAGGGTAGGGTTACCTTTAGCCTTAGTATAGGAAAAGGCCGTAAAGACGTCCTTTCCTACTGCTTCTGCTAGGAAGCTCTCCTAGTATTGCTTTTTAGCAGCCCTAATAGCGTACTTAAAGCTATTTCGGGCCTCTATAAAGCTCTTCTGGTTCTCCTCGTCCTGGGCTAGCCTATAAGCCCGTTGGGCTAGGCTTAGGGCTTTCCGAAGGAGGTTAGCTCGTCGGTCCACCAGGTTTAGATCCCTATAGGGCCTCTTTTTCGGTATCGCTGCGTTAGAGGCCTCTATAAGGGTTCTTATTAAAAGGAGGCTATCCTCTAAGTCGTCTCGTTTTATAGCCCTCTCTATAGCTATAAGGAGGTCCTGTTCCTTCTTAGCTAGGTGTTCCGAGAAGGCCTTCTAGTCTGCTTTCCTATAGTTATAGGTAGCAGGCCTAGCTAATAGGGGCCTATTAGGGCCCTTAAGCTAGCTTCGAAGGCTATAGGCTTATAGTCTGAGCCTGTAGCCTCTAAGAAGCGGAAGTTAGCCTAGGTTAGTTGCTTAAAGGGGCTATAGAAAGCAAGGTCTATAACCGAGGTCCCTTTTAAGCCTTCCCTCTAGTAGGTGCCTTCTATAGCTACCGTAAGGTCCGTTAGCAAGGAGGCCTTATAGCGGTCGAGCTAGCTAATAAGGGCTTCTGCCTTACGGGCCTTAGAGGATTCCGTAGACAGGTTCCACCGGGGGTGGTGTAGGTTAAAGTCCCCTGCTAGTAGAAAGGGCTGCTGTGGGAGCTGGGCTGTTAGTA